GTTGTGTCATCTGCATATCTGAGGTTATTGATATTTCTTCTGGCAATCTTAATTCCGGCTAGGGATTCACCCAGCCCAGCCTTTCGCATGATGAATTCACTTGTCTTCCTAGCCCCTAACTATTCCTGACTCAGCTTATTTTGCTACACTAACTCAAAATACCCACAAACTCTATCCCAATTCACTCCCACTCCAACCAACCACCCAACTCCCAACGAACTCTCTCCTCCACCCATCCCAGAGCTGGTTTTATAGTCCCTCTGACTCCACCCCCGGGTCCTGATTGGGTAACCTGTTTAACTACTTCCCTTCCAGCACTCTCATATGTTAACGTCACAGTTCTTGATGCAATAACCGTGCGTTAGTGGCAGGTTCAGTCAGCAATGCTTCTCCACTACTACAACGTTGTTGTCATCCGGAGGGGCTACAGCACAACAGAAGCAGGGCAGGAGTAAGCCTGTGGCACGAAAAGTTCCAGCATTTTGGCAGGAAGTTGCAAGCTAGGCACTGGCTGCCTTGTGCAGGGGGGGAAAGCACTGGAAATAGGATCCCATGGGAATCCTCTGTAGTTCCATGAACACAAATCTTCATGGATATGCTATAAAAATGAAATCTGGAGGGACCTAGAGTTAATGCCTAAAAACAGTGCCTTACCGCCCCCCCGCCCCCGGGGATTCTCAAAGGTACACAGTACCAGCACCTCTTTCCTTTTCGTTGTTAAAAAGTGTGGCACTTCCTGTAACTGCTTCATGGAGAGCACTGACATGTCTTTTTCTAGGAAAAAAAAAACCACTGCCTAAAAGAGAATTGGGATTTGATTCCTATCATGTTCTTCTAGTCAAATACACCTCCAACAATCCCCCCCCCCCCGGGATTGCTAGGTAGGTACTTAACCGGCTCAGCGCATCGGCCCATGACACAAATTTAAATAAAACTTGAATAAAATGTGCATGCGTTATTGTACAAGTGGATTTCTGTAAGCAAATATATATATGCGATAATGTTGTGGGATTTTTTAAAGAGAGATGGGAAAGGAGATCTAGGGCAAAAGACCTAGGGCTCAGGCCCCCTAGACTTCCCCATTAACATCACCACTCCAGCCAGGACTTATAGGGACATAGGAAGCTGCCTTATACTAAAGTCAGATCATTGGTTGATATAACTCAGTGTTATCTACAGTGACTGGCAGTGGCTGTCCAGGGTTCCTGGCAGGGAGTCTCTCCCAGACCTGCGTGGAATTGCAGGAGATTGAATCTGGGACCTCCCACTCACAAAGCAGATGCTCCACCGCTGAACCACAGCATATCTTTTTTTTTAAAAAAATGATATTTATTACTTTTTCAAAATTTCCAACACAACACTACAAACAAAAAGAAAAAAAGAAAAACAATACGAATGCAATACAAAAACGCTACATGGACTAACAAATCAAGCAAAAACAAACAAAAACAATTTAAAAACATCTCAAACATTTTCAATATCTTATATTTCATTCACTTATTTCCAGCGACTTCCTCACACCTCCCTTTTTGTATTCCACTTCTATTATTTGTTTCAGCAATTCCTTTCCATCTTACTCTGTTTTCTGTTCTATAATTATCTTAACACATTCTTGCCATACTTTTCCTTTAATTTTCTATTAATCTATTTATACTTAATTCCTTATGACATTTCTACTAAAGCCATGTAATTTCATTCCAACATTTTTCTAACATTCCTTAATTTTACAATATTTCTATAAATAGTCTTTAAACTTTTTCCAATCTTCTTCCACCGACTCTTCACCCTGGTCCACAGCATATCTTGAGGCTTTGTAGAATCTTAGAATTGCAGAGTGGGACCCTGAGGGTCATCTAGTCCAACCCCCCAACAATGCAGGAATGTGTGGCAGATGGCCATCCAACCTCTGCTTTTAAAAATGAAGGGGAGTCCACAACCTCCCAAGGTTCATGGTGGTCCTCTGCCAAACAGGTTGTCTGGGGATAATAATAATAATAATAATAATAATAATAATAATTTATTATTTATACCCCACCCATCTGGCTAGGTTTCCCCGGCCATTCTGAGCTGCTTCCAACAAAGTATTAAAATACAGTGGTCTGTTAAACATTAAAAGCTTCCCTAAACAGGGCTGCCTTCAGATGTCTTCTAAAAATCAGATAGTTGTTTATTTCCTTGACACCTGATGGGAGGGCGTTCCACAGGGTGGGCGCCACTACCAAGAAGGCCCTGGTTCCCTGTAACTTGGCTTCTTGCAGCGAGGGAACCACCAGAAGGCCCTCGGCACTGGACCTCAGTGTCCGGGCAGAATGATGCGGGTGGAGACACTACTTCAGGTATACTGGACTGAGGCCGTTTAGGGCTTTAAAGATCAGCACCAACACTTTGAATTGTGCTCGGAAATGTACTGGGAGCCAGTGTAGATCTTTCAAGACCAGTGGACACTGGTTCTGATTTGAAAGAGAGGTAAAGCTGGGTATCATCCACATATAGATGATACCTAGAATGTCGTGCCTGAAAGATGAAGCAAGCTGGTGGCGGATGACAAATGTGAGAACAGAAAAAGGGTTTAAAAATGGATGCTCTCATGTTGTTGGAAACACAGGAAGAAGAAGAAGAAGAAGAAGAAGAAAAAGAAGAAGAAGAAGGGGAGGAGGAGGAGGAGGAGGAGGAGGAGGAGGAGTTTGGATTTGATATTCCGCTTTATCACTACCCGAAGGAGTCTCAAAGCAGCTAACATTCTCCTTTCCCTTCCTCCCTCACAACAAACACTCTGTGAGGGGAGTGAGGCTGAGAGACTTCAGAGAAGTGTGACTAGCCCAAGGTCACCCAGCAGCTGCACATGGAGGAGCGGAGACACGAACCCGGTTCACCAGATTTCAACACTACTGCTCTTAACCACACCACCACACAGGAACCCAGCTTATACCAGATCAGGCTCTTTGTCCATCTAGCCTAGTATTGTCGACTTCTGGGGTCACCAAATGTGGTGCGGGTGAGCACCATGCAGCCTCAGACACCCCTCCTTGGTGCTTCTGTGTGTGTGGGTGTGTCAGTGAGTGCGCAAGCTGCAGTAGAGGCTGGTCCATTTGGGTGAAGAGGGCACCGCCCCACCAAACCCATTCCGCCCTCAGCTCACCCCTTACCTGCCTGCCTTCTTGCTTACCACCAGCCCAGGGGGTGGCAATGCCTGTCCTCTTCCTCCCCCTTGGTCTCAGTTTTATCCTAGTGGAACTCAGCAGGGTGATGGGTACAAAACTAGAACTAGCTGGCTCTGCCTGTCGTTGGCTCTGGCGCCACCTACTGTCATCCTCCCTGCCTCCTGCCCCAAAGGGAAGCAGCCTTCACAGACTTCCGAACACACTTGGAGGTTACATTAAAGGTAAAGGGACCCCTGACCATTAGGTCCAGTCATGGCTGACTCTGGGGTTGTGGCGCTCATCTCGCTTTACTGGCCGAGGGAGCCGGCGTACAGCTTCTGGGTCATGTGGCCAGCATGACTAAGCCGCTTCTGGCGAACCAGAGCAGCACACGGAAACGCCGTTTACCTTCCCACCGGAGCGGTACCTATTTATCTACTTGTACTTTGACGTGCTTTCGAACTGCTAGGTTGGCAGGAGCAGGGACCGAGCAACGGGAGCTCACCACATCGCAGGGATTTGACCTTCTGATCGGCAAGTCCTAGGCTCTGTGGTTTAACCCACAGCGCCACAGAGCATGTTCCAAAAAAAACCAAAACCACCCTGTACACAGTATTAGTGTGAGGTTGGAAACAAAGGCAGTGATTGCTTTTAGAGAGTTGAAAGTGGTGTAAAAGTGGGATTGATGCCTGCTGTAAGTGCACTTGTCCCACTTTTGTATGGGTAAGTAGGTTTCTGCGTTGCTTTTGGGTAAGCAGGTTTTTCACACTGCACTCAAAGCAACCACAAGACAGAATAAAGGTATGTGCGGGGCATAGGAAGCAAAACTTTTTAAAGCCACTTTCGTGTCTCAGAAACAATCAGTTCCCTCCTGCCAGAATGAGACTGCCAAGTCCCTGACTGCCGTGAGCCCCTTAGAGTGGAGGTGAAGCAATATAGGGTGGTACAAGGCAGATTGAGTGAAGGTGTAAACCACGATGTTTAGATGGGGCACAAAATGTTTTAGTACAACATAGTACAAAGTATAAGGAGCTTCCTTATACTTATTTAGATATTATTATTATTATTATTATTATTATTATTATTATTATTCACCACCCACCCTTCACCCTAAGGTCCCAGGGCGGGTTACAACAGTAAAACACAATATTAAAAAACAGTTTTAAACAAATTACGATCACAAAAATAAGGTGCGCCCTAAAAGCATACACCCCGAGTGTCAAAAATCAGAGTAAACAGGTGAGTCTTTGGCATTCGTCGGAAGCTGTTTAATGATGGTGCCAGGCGTACTTTCCTCTGTAGGGAGAATATATAAGCTTATTATTACTGGCATCAAGGGGAGGCTTAGAGAAAAGGTGTGTGGGGATTAGTTATTTTTATTAAGGCCTCGTGTGTTTTGAATCGAGACTCCTAAGCACCCACCCAGCTAATTTATTCTAAGAAGTTGCCTAAAAACAACCTCACACACTATCTGGCAGATATTCCCAGCCTGCTGCTTGGGATCTTTTAGCAGGAGATGCCGGGGATTGACCTTGAGGCCTTCTACATGGAAAGTATGTGATTTGCCACTGACCTCCCCATTAGGGCATGGTGACCTAAAGTTTGAGAATCACAGCTGTACATGTTGAGTTAATTTTAGATACCTCCGAATCCAAGTCCTCAGGACACAACCGAAGGCTCTCTTAAAACATAAATCAATCTGTCTGTACCTACAGAGACTCGGATATACCTATACAGATTGATTTATGTTTTAAAAGAGCCTTCGGTTGTGTCCTCAGGACCACGAAAAGAAAAAAACCCACTTCCTTGCCACTCTTATATGTTAAGGCTTAAGCTAACACCAAATGATTGCAAAACATAAATAGGACAGTGCTTTTTATTAGGCCAACTAAAACGTCACAAAATAGTGAACGAGCTTTTGTTTTGAGTTCTCTTTTTGCCGTTGTTCCAGATAGTGATAGTGATAGTTATTCTGTCTCTCACAGCTACAATAAACCTACCATTAAAATTATGGGCTGGTCATTTCTTTGTCAGAGAGCAAATGGGCAAATTTAGCAGGGGATCAAATACTTTCCCCCCTCACTGTAGTATTAATTGCTTACAGGATTAGTCAGTCTAGATATTCCTGCACACTTCATGATCTTCACTGTGCTTGCAATATGTGAGGAATATAAGGAAGACCAGGAGCAGGAAGCCACTGAACTATCTTCACTGGAGAACTGGGCTTGAACTGTGCATGCGTGTGTGAGAGAGAAAGTGTGTGCATTGAGATTTTCCTCTTCCATAAGGGCTAATGTGGACCCTTTCCCACAATCCCTTACTCCGGACCACCCAGCTACGGCCTTGTGTTCGAGCTTTGGTAAGTACCGTGAACTGGTGTTTGGGCAAGACCCCATAGCCATTTGCTGTATGAAAACACAAGAACTTAAGAGTCTGATGGATCAGGCCAACGGCCCACCTAGTGCAGGATCCCGTCCTCTTGGTGGCCAACCAGATGCCTGTGGGAAACCTGCAAACAGGAACCCAAGCACAAGAGCACTGTCCCCTCCCACTGTATGGTTTCCAGAAACTGGGATTTCTCCAGCTGTGGCTAGTAGCCATTGAGAACCTTATCCTTCATGAACTTGCCTAATCCTAAACCCATCTAAATTGGTGAGCATCACTGCCTCATGTGGCAGTGAATTCCAAAGTTCAACTATACGCTGCATTAACTATGTGCTGCTTCTTCCTGGCTCTTGATCTCACAACATCTTGATTAGACTAATAAAGGTATTATCCTCCTGTGGATTTTAGAATCTTTTGTGTAGGCCAATACAGTTGCCTTTGCTTTCTTGTGTGAACTAAATGCCGTCTGGTGGTAGCCCATTTCACAGAATCATAGGGTCAACTAGTCCAACCCCCTGCTATGCTTGCTGCTAGCAGCCAGAATGAATGTTACCCAAAATTATTTTGAAATGAAACCGGCTTGCATTGTTCTTCATTTCTTCATGTAGTTTTCTAAGTTTTTGTTCATGTTAAAAAATAAAATGCAATTGACAAGCGATAGGATGAAAGAGACCCGCTGGAGAGAAGGCAAGAAGGGTATTTTCAGGCACAGAGGTCTTCATGAATAATCACGCTGTATTCTGCCTGAGGTCTTCTAGCAAAGGCGGCCTCACCTTTCCTGATGACCGCATGCAGTGTTTCTTCATTAGCAGGAAAATCATCTGCGACTCCAAACTGAATTAATACTGGAGGGGAAAAAAGAAAAGGCACATTCAATTGATCAACGGAGGAGTCAAAATATTCTAATAGCAGAAAAACAGGGGTCTAGTATTCAGGCTTCCCAGGAGAGAACTGAGGTTGGGTTTAATGAGCTCCGTTGGGGCCCCAATTTGTCAATCAAGATTCGCTCTTGACAGTCGCCCCAACACCAAATGCTTTTTCTACCTGACTCTAGCCTCTGGATATGGGAGGGGTGCAGATAAACAGTGCCTAAAACATGTCTCTCCCCCGCCATACTCACCCACGCACCCCAAATAAGAAAACAGTCCATGTAACAAAGCAGCCGCTGCAGCCAGCCAGAGGTGTACATGGTGCTTGGGACTGAGAAGCTGCTTTCTCTGAAGGAATGCTGAACTCTCTGAGACCAGGAAAAGACTCCCTCATGTATCATTACAGTCATATTATTAGCACTCTGATCCTTGCTCTGCGCAGCTGGGATTTGGGACTCCTGTCTTGTTCTTTTCCCTGAGATCAAGGAATAGTGCGGTTTCAAGCTGTCGCTCAGTTGCTCTGTGAGAGCGCCTCTCTCATACCCACCCACCACAAAATAACCTTAGGAACAGAAATTGATTCTCCCTTCCCACCCCCTCCCCAGAGTGCTTATCAAGTTAAAGACGCAGTCAGTGCTACATGTGTTATCCACACCCCCCCCCATAGCTCAAAACTTATATTTACATCCGCAGAGGAAGGGGGCACTATTTGCAGAACCTGTCCATTATGGAAACTCTGTTAAGCACAAAGAGAAGAAGAAGAGGAAAAGAAGAATGACGGAGGAAGGGAGGGCAGGGAAAATAGTTATTTCAAAGCTAAGGTCAGTGACCAAAATGGTTACAATGGGGTGGAAGGTTACTCCAGGCTGTTGAAGCTGATTCAAATTCACTTCTCCTTGAACTTCCTATTTTTAAGCTTCAAAAACTACAGGCCAACTTACAATGGTTACTTGCTTTGTTGCAAAAATGAGCGTGGCTAGCCTTTCCTGATTAAAAATTGTGCTGCACTTCAAGCTGAAAGCCTCTTAGGGCCAAATCCAGAGATATAGACTGTGTACATGTCATACATTTAAAGGACCCTCCTAATAATCCTGGGAACTGTAGTTTACCACTCCCAAAGCCACAGCTTCTAGCACTCTTAACAAACTACAGTTCCACTGAATCTTTTCTCTCTTTCTTTCGGTTCCATTGAAATCAAAAGAACAACTTAGCAGCAAGTAACTTATGTCCCATTAAATTCCTAAGAACCTCAGGCTCCCTCCTGCATGCAATCCACAGGATTCCCCAAGAGTATCCAGTTTTTAAACCAGTTTACATCTGTAAGTTGATTAAGTAGCGTCTGGGTGAACTCGGGAGAAACTGGTAGGGAAAAGGCTGCTGCTGTGCATTTGTGATGCGGTGCTAGAACTGGCATTTTCAGTACTGGCATTTAATATAACAGGTGCAACAGAGTACCAGAAGATCCAAATGAAGCCCATGGAAAGGGATAAACGAAGCAAAACCAAGCTTCCTGGTATTGTGCACAAACAGAACAGAGATAGAACTGTCACTGGCATTGGGGAAGGAAGAGGGCAATAGCAGAGCCAGTGTGGTGTAATGGTCGGAGTGTCAGACTAGGACAGGGGTCAGCAACGTGCAGTCCGTGGGCTGGATGCGGCCCACGAAGACTGTTTTACCGGCCCACGAGCCGTCCCCGAACCGAGCCGCTCGCTTGGCGAGTCCAGATACCGGAAATCGCGTCTGCGCATGTCCAGACGCCGAAAACCACTTCTGCGCAGGCGCAATTTTTGGCATCCGGGCATGCGCAGAAGCAATTTCCAGTGCTGCAGACATGCACAGACGCGATTTTTTGGATTTGATATCCTGCTTTATCACTACCCTAAGGAGTCTCAAAGCAGCTAACAATCTCCTTTTCCCTTCCTCCCTCACAACAAACACTCTGTGAGGAGAGTGAGGCTGAGAGACTTCAGAGAAGTGTGATTAGCCCAAGGTCACCCAGCAGCTGCATGTGGAGGAGCGAGGAAGCGAACCCAGTTCACCAGATTACAAGTCCACTGCTCTTAACCACTACACCACACTGGCTCTCCAGCATCGCACTGCGCCAGTCCAGCCCACAGACGATCTCCATGGGAGTGATCCGGCCCGTGGCCAGTAAACCTTGCCGACCCCTGTGCTAGGACCTGGGAGACCAGGGTTCAAATCCCCACTCGGCCATGACCTTGGGTCAGTCTCTGCCTCTCAGCCGAACCTACCTCACAAGGTTGCTGTATGGATTAAATGAGGATGGGAGAACCATGTATGCCATTTCGAGCTCCTTGCGAAGAAAGGTGGAATATAAGTGCAATATGTAAATAAATACCTGACATCAAGACAGTTGTCTGAAGAAAGACATGAGTGGCAGCAGCCAAGCTGGGCCTCTAATCACTGCCCAATTAATCCAACCCAGATGTTTGTATGTGCTCTGCTCCAAAACTGCTCCGTAGGGTGGGTGCTTCCAGAAAGGACGTCTTACGCCTTTGCCCTGCTACTAACACTGAGGTGGCACAAGCACTATGCACCAGAAGAAAGTCTCAGTGGGTCTGATCCGTTTGGCATGGACTTAAGGGAATTTGTTCCTTTGTTCTAGGGCAGTACGAAGGTTCACTTGCCTGCCCGACTAAGATTGATACCAGTTTCAAATTAAGTTTGGAAGTCACCCTAAACACCTAAACAGTAGAAAGGCAAGGTATACATTAATAATATGTATACATTATGAACGTACGTGTGTGTGTGTGTTTGTGTAAGGCTTGTCAGAAGAGGATAATTTGGCCAGCAGGGGGTAGTGGTGCATGTCTGAAAATGCATGTAGCCTATGATACCTGAAAATGTATATTTGCAAAAAAAACCCATAGAATTGTAGGGTTGGAAGGGACCCCTGAGGGTCATCTAGTCCAACTCCCTCCTATGCAGGAATCTCAGCTACGGCATTCATGAGAGCATACAAATGCAAATACAAACAATAAATATTCAAAAATGAAAATATTTAACATTTCAAAAGTGTTGGAAAGCAAATACATTTCTGTTTCTGCAAAAAAACGGGGGGGGGGGAGCATTCCCCGCAAAAGTCTGACTCTTTGTACTTTATTATTAATGCAGAAAAGCTACAGCATCAACTACTAAGCCTATAAATCAGCAAAACATAATACGGCCCAAGAACAACACTGCCCTTCCAGTGTGATAAAAAAAATAACGAGCATGATCATTATTTTGTGAACCCTTTAGCACAATCCCCAAGTTCCCATACCCTGCCATAAAGAAGCCTAAGGCTGCAGTCCTCTTCCTCAGTGTGTGCAAGGGGGGGTGCTGCTGTGATCCCCCAGCCACTGTTGGACTCCAGCTCCCATCAGCCCCAACCAGCAGGGTCAGTGGTCAAGGATGATGGGAGTTGTAGTACAACAAAACAGCTGGAGGACTGCAGATTCCCTAACCTGGACCATACACCTTCACCCCTGTTTCCATTTCTTCTCATTTTCCTGTTTCTCCCATGTTGATTGATAGATTGCTATTATCTCACGACAGGGACCTTGCCCTCTTGTATTTTGTACAGTACCACACATAGCAACAGCAATATACGTATCAGATGTGGGAAAACTTTGGCCGATGTTGCTGAACTACAACTCCCATCCCCCTGGTCATGGGCTATGCTTGCTGAGGCTCATGGGAGTTGTATTTGGCAACATCAGGAGGACCAAAGGTTCCCCCTCACACCTGATATAAATCATTGTAAACTTTTCCAAAATTCCTCCACTGATCCATTTCCTTCCTATGAGTTGATTGGCTTTTCCACTGCCGTTGTTTCCCAAACTGCTGCATCCTCTTCTACTGCTTTTTAAGAGCTAGTGATTATGTCCAGGGCCTGGCCCAGAAAATCATTGCAGCTGTAAAATAGATACATTGCCAAAGCTTTGTCTCTGGCTATTCCACCACTTGGCAACTAGATTAAAAAAAAAACACTTCCTGAACTCTCATCTTTAGCAGCAATCATAGACAAACATATATACTCTGTATACATAGCACAGTATCCAACTAAATTCTACTCAGAACAGACCCATTGAAATGAATGAACTTGGTAGTCATGGCCATTCACTTCAATGGGTCTCCTCTGATTGGACATAGAATTGGATATAATCCTCTGCCATTTTGTATTCAGTATGGATTATTACTAATCAATACCTTTAAAACAAGAAAGTTCCACCAAATGTGAAACAAGTCTGATCTTAATTGGCTGCAAGGAGTAAATATCACTGAACTCTTATAGCTAACTAACAGCTTGAGTGTATGCATGTTTATCAGTCAAGGACAAATACCACTGATGCAAAAGTTTTATGTTTGAACTTGAAACCGTTTCTAGATTCAAAGCACACAAATTAAATGAATAAATTTAATTATTAAAAATATTTGTAGAATATTTGTGCGCCCACTTTTTAATTTTGTAAAAAATATTTAGAAGGCATTTTCCAGATAAAGTTCACAACATAAAGCATCACTTTTTTAAAAAAAATCAAATCCCAACATGTTATTGTTCTAAACTGCAAGCTCTGTAGAGAGCTTTGATACCGAGGGGTGTGGGGCAGATCATAGAATCAAAGAACTGAGAGTTGGAAGGGACAACAAGGGTCATCTAGTCCAACCCCCTGCAAGGCAGGAATCCTTTTGCCCAACATGGGGCTCGAACCCACAACTCATGCTCTACCAGCTGACCTACCAACATTAAAAATAAGCAAACAAAAAATGTAAGATGAGCCTCCTGGATCAGTCAACTGGTCCATGTGGTCTAGCAACCTATTCTCACAGTGGCCAATCCAATGCCTATGTAAAGCCTGCAAACTGGACCTGATCCCAACTGCACTCTCTCTACTTGTGATTTCCAGCAACTAGCATTGAGTGGCATTCTGCCTCTGACAGCAGAGATAGAACATAGACATCCCCCTCCTCCTTAGTTTGTCTTATCCTCTTTTAAAGCTACCCAAGTTTGCACCCATCACCACTTATTGCGGGAGCAAGTTCCAGCATTTAACTATGGGCTGCATTGAAAAAGTACTTTATTCTGTCTAGCCAGGTTTTCAAACATAAAAAAAAGCAATTAAACATAATTTCATGACCATAATTCCAAACATTTAGACTCAGTGCCCTGCCCAGAACCTACCGGTATTTTCATTTGAGTTTATACCTCATGCCTTTTATGAATATTTGTCCATCTAGCCCAATATTGTCTCCAGAAATGCAAACATTCACATCACCTAGGACCGAAATATATATGTCAGAAATCGAACCTATTTGCATGCACAGCATGTGCTCTGTTAAGCTGTGATACCTCCCCAGCTCTTAACAGGCTCTAAAAGCGTTGAGTACTTTTTCACTTTACTCTCCAGGTGAAGACAGACATGACTTCCAGAGTGTTGTAGAAATGGTTTAAAGACACATTGGGCACTATAGAAATAATGTTTTAAGTAGCAGCCCTTCTTCCATAGAAAGTAAAAGTTAAAATATACAGTCATGGCCTAAGAGCCTGTACAACCTTGGGTCTCAGTGGGCACTCCTCACCCCGAATATTTCAGAGATGGGTTGAAAAGACAAGGCTAGAACAAGCCCACTGCCAAAATGAAGTAAATGCATAGTCAGCTAATTCCTGCCATCATTATTCAGCAAAATGTTACACCTGGAGCATGATAAGCTAGGATACCATGTTTGCTTTCTTTTGCCAGTTGGAAAACTGTTTCACTATTTGTCTTGGACACTGTGCTGCAATTTCACACGTGGCAAAAATACCAATAAATCTTTGTGGCTTCAGTGTTCTCCCTGCGTAATAGGCAAAAGAAGAAGAAGAAAAGAGATTATTGTGTGACAACAACCTGTTGACACACCAAAGTAAACCTGTGACAAAGTAGAAAAACTCCGAAATGTAATCTGGAGGAGTAAATGTATACAATTTAGCTCTAAATAGCAGCGAGGCTCATCTTTAGGCCTGAATCTTCAGTGAGAGCCATTTAAATGAGGCGGCTCAGAGGACCTACATGGGAATGCAAACAGCAGCGAGTGAAACAGCGCACACAATAAAGAGCAATCGAATTCCAAGGGCCTGTGTGAGCCAGCTCACCTAACCAGAAATTAGTTTTGGAATGGAGTGAATCCATGTGTATTATAGCTGGCCACATCCTTAGCGGCTTTCTGCGTGCTGAGGCTGATGGGAGTTGTAGTTTAGCAACATCTGGAGGGCCACAGGTTCCCCATAACCACTGTAACGGAAGCAAGAAAGCTGAGGAAATCCGATTAAAATCATAGGTGCTGGAGGTTTAAAGTTGGGGCACCTCTCAATAATCAATGGTGTGGCAGGAGGCAGTTGCTTGCACCAAACACACAAGCAGCCTTGTGTGTTTGGTGTCTGAAGAGATAAATCAAAGCAAGGGAAGAAATAATTATTTTTTATGCTAGTTTGGAAAGCAAGGAGAGGGAGACAACACTTGTGCATGCTCTAGGAAGAATCTCATGTTCTTGTATCTGTCACCTGTAAAACTTTGCCCGTTTTGACTTTGGGGAATGTCTTTTAAAAATCTGGTTTCCAACACATACCCTGCAGCAGAATTATTCTAGCCCACTCCCACAAGTCTCTAGAAGTAAAAAGTTGGATATATTTTATTGATTCTAATGTACATGCAAGATGCACAAATGCCAGCAGACTGTGTCCCTACCACCTTTCCCTGTGAAGTGAGTAACATGTTGGGGAATGTGCTTGAGAGTTTCAGGTATAAGTACAGTACTGCCAGATAAATTGCGGGATTATGTCTGCAATTCAGAGCACATGTACTTGGCAAGGAAGCCTCACATTGAGACTTCAAGTCTTGTAGAAACATGCAGATGATCCGGCTGCCAAGCACCTATCCTATGCAAACTTAGCTCGGAGTAAGTCCCACTGAAAGCCATAGTGGGACTTGCAGAACAAAAGCCCCTCCCTTTACTGGGAAGCAGGGCTGCAAGCTTAACCCTTACAGACAAGGGAGTAAAATCCCATTTAATTCCATAGCATTTACTTCTGAGTAAGCACGGTCAGGACCGTGCTGCAAACCTCTCTAAACTAAATGGGAGTAAAGCGTGTTTAGGATTGCGCCTTACTTCTGAAACCAACCAATCCCAGGATGGGGCTGCAAACAATTTTTCCTTTTTAACTAAAGTCCCCTGGTTATGGCTTATTTAAATACTCAGCAGAGAAGAGCCTTCATCATATATTTTTTTTTGAAGGGGGCGGCTTTTTCGCCCTGCGGGAAGAGGGGCGTTTACAAAAACAGAAGGGGCTCCAATTCCCTCCCCCTTTTTTTGGAACCCACTTTATTTTGCACGTCCCCTGAAACCCCCCTATGGTAGTTCAAAAACATAAAAAGAATAATTTTTTTGAGGGGAGGGAAGGAGGACATGCGTTCGTAGGAGTGGGTCAGAGTAACCCGAGTGAAGGCGAGCTGGGGGGTCCCTGGGCGAAAGTGATCGCGCGGGGGCGTGTGAAGCGGGCGGGTGGGCGTACTTGCCGTCACTTTGGGGGGGCGTAACCCTCCCCCTCCTCCACCGCTGGCTCGGGGGGGGGTGTCAATTTGCAGCGGGAGCTCCTCCTCCCTCCCTTCCCCTTCTCCTCCTCCTCCTCCCTCCCGGCCCCTCGCTCTCGCATTCCCGACCCTCCCCGGGTGGGCTAGGCAGGGGACCCCGCCAGCGGCTGCATCGGAGCAACTCTCGGGATCCTTTTCCTTCCTCTCTCTCTCCCCCCACGCCGCCTCCGGGGTGCCGCCTCCCCCTCGTCCTCCTCCTTTTCCCGCCTATCCCGTTCCCTCGACTCCGAAAGAAGGAGAGAAAGAAAGAGAGAGGGAGGAGGAGGAGAAGAGGAGCTCTTCGGCGCCTTCCTCTCTTCCGGAGAGTGTCAAAACTTTGTTCGGGCGGAGGAGGCGGCGGCGGCGGCGGGACGGGGCTGCGTCGAGAGGCCGGGCTGAGGCAGGCGGGGTGCGGGGAGCGGCCCCCCGCCGCACCGGGACCCCGCCGCACCATGCCTCAGCTGCAACCGGCCGGCGGAGGTGGCGGCGGCGGCGACGACCTGGGCGCCCCGGACGAGCTCATCCCTTTCCAGGATGAAGGCGACGAGCAGGACAAGGGCTCCGGGGGCCGCGGCTCGGCGCACGGCGACTTGGACGAGCTCAAGTCGTCGCTCGTGCACGAGTCCGAGAACCGCGGCGGCGGCGGCGGCAGCGCCTCCGGCTCCGATTCTGAGGTAAAAAGTTGATGGCGGAGGGAAGGCGGGGGGGGGGGCGACAAAAGAGAGCGAATGTGAGGGGAAAAAAAAAAGAGGCTGCTGTTGTGAGGCGGGGGAAACGGGAGAGCGGTTGGGGGGGGGGGCTTCGTCCCAGGCAAACGCCTCAACCCGCCCCCCTTTGTGCCTTTTTCCCCCCACACAGGCGGAGAGGCCGCCACAGCAGCCCCGGGAAAGTTTCCAGAAGCCGCGGGACTCTCCAGCCGAAGGTAGAGGAACCCTCTTTAAATATCTATCTCTATATAATATATATATATATTTGCGTCCCCCTCCCCAACCTCGAAATGGGGGGGGGGAGGCAGCGTTGTGGGGCGGCGGGGGTCGGAGGAGAAGGGGAGATGGCGCTCTCTCCTCAGAAGACGGAGGACCCGCGGCGACGACTCCTCGTTTCCCCCCCGCCTCGCCTTCACTTTTCTGGAATGAGGAGGAGGAGGAGGAGCTTCCCTTGGCCGCGCCGTCCCGTCTCCTCGCTGGCTTTTGTTGCTGCCCCCTTTTGGCCCTGATCCTGTGTTGACTCGAAAGAGGCCCTGAATCGCGAGTCGAGATTCGAAATCAGGGCGACGCGCTTTTGTATGTGTGTCGCTGCTTCTCTCTCTTCCCCCCCCCCAACCCCCGCCGTCCTGAAGTTCTCTTGCTCGCAAGTTGAGCTGCCATAAAATTTAACGAGGCATTCTCGGCGGGCCTTTGCGTTTGAGTAAACACCGCCTATCATCTGACTGCGGAGCTGCGATCCTGTTTACGGGGAGAGAGATTTCCAGTTAGCGGGATTTACTTTGGATTCCACAGATAACAGCCGCTGAATTGTATGGAGATGAGTCCGAAAAGGAAGTAGGTGCAAGATTGCACCCAAGGATATTTGAATTAATGGGATTATATGGGCCTGATCGGGTTTGGTATGCTGGTGTTGGGGCCACTGTTAGCCAGCATTAAGTGGCAGAGCTTCTCTGGAGTTAGACCTGTTGAAGTCCTTGCCTTTGGGAAAACACACAAATAGAAGGTCTTGTGCTACTGCTCAAGATTATTGTGACGTATGTCACAGGAGGACTCCAGTCCTATCAATACTTGCTGGGAATAAGCCCCGTTTATGTACAGTGGGGCTTACTTCCGAGTAAACATATAGGAGTGTGTAGTAAGTCTATCATTCTTTGACCTTCCTATAACAGATTAGCCAAATCTGTTGCTTTACTTCTGAATAAACAGATTTAGGGTTAGCATGAGGTACAGCAGAACTTTATACATGTTTATGTAGAAGCAAGCTCTACAGAATTCAAGTAAACATGGGATTGCAGGTTTACATAGAAACAAGCCCCTTTGGGTTTAGGAGGATATACTTCCATATAGATACAGAAACTCAAGTTTTATGAAAGGGAAAAAAAGATTGGAGATCTTGGATTGGGGGAGTAGGAATTTGTACACCAATATTTGTACTTACCAAATAACTTTTTGGTTACTCAGCCTTTTTTAATAGTCACAACCCATAGACAATTTAAGATTGCAATCCAAAACATATTTTCTTGGAAGCGTTATTCCACTGAAAACAATGGTTCTTACTTCTGAATAAGAAAACATAGATTGGTTTTTAAACAAAATTAAAAACCCAATGTAAGCATCTTTACTAACAAATAAGTCCCATTTAATTCAGTGGGAATTACTCCCTTGTTGATTGTTGCCTTAAATCATTTTGGTTATGCTTTATATTCTTTCAGCCACCCTTTTGGGATGTCATCTCTCTTTGCTTCTTCCACATCAGTGTTTGCTCATATCTAAGAAAACAGTTATTCTTGAAAGATTTAACCTGTAATGCAGTGGTGTAATTTTATCTACTTGTTAGTACAGATTTTTAAAAATATTTACATGGACACATATCTTCCTGATTTCATTGTGACTTAATAATGCAAGTCAGCTTTGCAATTGTCTTCTAGTAACCTTTTTGTATGCAGCAGGTTTTCAGTACCCTGCATTCCATATTAGTATTTTATGACCTAAAAATAAAACAGCAACAACCACCCCATTACTTTTTGTAATGCTTCCTTGCTTGGTCATCTGGAGGTCATGTTTACTAACCACAGAAACCCAGCTGTTACCAAGTATGAAGTAGGTGCTTAATATCACATGCAGAAGTATATGTATACTTTTGTTCTTACTTGGAAGTTTTGTTTTGCCCCCAAGTAAAAACAAAAGTGTACATCAGTTGCATGGGCATGAATTCAGTTGCAGGTAAATACAGTACTGTCAATTCAAGTAAGACCTGAGTCCTATATTGACTGCAAAATAGAGCACATACACATAAGATGCCTTAGATGGTTTGCAAATCTCACATCTTATTTCTTTCTGTTCTGTAATTCTAGTTAACCCTACCTTCCTTAATCCCTAGGGCTGCATTTTGAAACACTGTGTTTGCAGCCTTTACTCTGAGTAGCTAAGTGTCTTTTTCTTCCCTAGTAATCAGAAGACAGCAAGATGGAGGCTTCTTTAAAGGGACTCACTATCCAGGTTATCCCTTCTTGATGATCCCAGAGCTAGGAAGCCCCTACCTGCCCAGTGGAGCCTTGTCCCCAGGTGGTGCTCGCACAGTAAGTGCTTTGTTTTGGTTTGAGATATTGGTGTGATTAAAGTTTTCCTTCCTCTTCTATAAAGGTGAATTGTGATAGATGGTGTTCCTTTATGCCCCTTTGCCCCACTGAAGAGTTCTGCATTACTGCTGATATCACAGAATAATAAACATCATTTGAGGGGAACTCTTGTTGCATGGAATGTTAAAGATATCTCTTTTCCAGTGAGGAAGTTTGGAGATAGGCAATCTCCTGAATAATTTCTCTGCTCATTTTCAACTTAATGATTTACAGTGCTGAAGAGTTTCCATCTGTTTGAGTTGAAGATAAATTTTGTTTTAATGGATTTTATCCTTTCTCTCCCTACCCCACCCAATTTCACTGTTTAAATGAGTGTGTAGGCTGTTGCTACAGAGAGTTGATAGGCTCAAGAAATGTGTGAATTTCATCATCTTTCTTCAATTTTTCTGTGGAGTTCATTTATTTGTGATCAGAGTTCTGGGGAGGGAAAGGAGTGGGCGTGTGTCCATTTAGAATTCAGTTGAAAGGATTAGATCTAAGAGAAGTTACCCTTGGCATTGTTGAAGTAAACAATATCAGCGAATGACACTTAAAGTCTATTTAGGTACTGATAGGCTTAGAGAGGAAGTTTGTTATTATTGGAGTGCAAATATGAGATGCTAATTTTATCTGCCATGAAATCAGCTAACTTAGAAGCATTATTCTATGGCACTCATTTTCAAACTGCATTCCAAAGAAACCTTATTTAGTTTAGGCATGCCATCTTGGGGAACATGCTATCACTGTGCATCACACACATTATGCACCAACAGAGGAGTTTTGCGTATGTTTTGGGATGCACTCTCGGTTCTTGCATCCTAACAGTGATTCTCAACAGGCCTGGGTAAAATATGTGTGTTTCTTAGAACAAGCCATCTAGAATCCCCTGCTGTGTATCCAGGTGTTCTAAACTGGATGTATGGAGGTTCTTGTTTAGACTAGTTCATGGTGGGTGGCCAAAGATGCTTAATTAATATGATCTGCTGAGGCAGTGTCTGGAAGTGAGTACCTGCACTTGTTATATGATCACATAAAGACATTGAATGGCATAAGAATCTCTGATTGCTTTGCTGTTTATGACAACTTGGTTGCACGAGCGTAAGGGGTGTTTTGACATGCTTATATTTATTTAACAAAAATTATAGCTACTTTCTTAGTGAAACAATCTCTAGTTGTGCTTATTGGAGGTAAAGTTTCTCCAACAGGATTTAAAGGTCTGCCTATTGGGAGAAGGGTTTAAGAAGTGCCTTGTATAACTAAGCTTCAGTCCTCCTAATATCAATCAATAACAACTGTTATAACTACAGATAATGATGAGCAGGGTATTCTAAGGCTTTATGCAGATATAACTTTGCTGATCATTGATAGACCAAGAGTGAGCTGGTTTGCAAGTTATTTTTAAAGCTAATCCTAGTCATTGTTATTGTTATTATTATTACATTTATTACACTCTGTTCACCAGAAGGTCCTAGGGCGAGATACAGCATTAAAAACAGTTTAAAACAAATTAACTACAGATGTAATGCTACATCATGGTACATTCTGATAGATGGAAAATAGGAATTTGTATGCAAGAAAGGAAGTGACTTTACTATGTTTAAGATTAACTGTAACATCAGCCTTTTCAATCTGGCATTCTCCAAATGTTTTGGATTAAACTCCCATCAACCCCAGTTATCATGTCAGGATGATAGGAATTGTAGACCAAAGCATCTGGAGGGGCAGCAAGTGAACAACTATCTGATCAATACAAGAAACCAAACGCTTATCAATTTCAATGTAATATTACCAATTCAAAATAAGCAATCAAAGCACCAAAATCTAGGTGCTGCTTGAAACATAGCAATAGTCACACAAAGAGTAACCATCAGTGTTCCAGAGGACTGTTTGGTCACTTTCGAGTATTAACTTTGATGATAAATAACTTTGAAGCATGTAGGATATTTCCTTGAAAGAACAGAAGTGAAATATTGCACTGATAGCCTTTATCAATTTTAATTAAAGTTGCAAGTCATTGATTCTGTGAATTTCAAAAGCTGTTTTCATTCCTTATATTTGAGTTTTAGTTTTTATATCATGCATATTTCATGTAAGACAAAATGAATCAATATAAATGCTTCAGAAATAGAAAAAGAATGGGCTATATTGTTGCAGTGCTTTATCTAGAGCTGTTCAGCAGTAGAATAAACTCCCATGAGAGGTAGTGGACTCTCCTTCCTTGGAGGTTTTTAATCAGATGTTGGATGGTCACCTGTCATTTATGACCTAGTTGAGATTCCTGCATTGCAGGGGGTTGGACTAGATGACCCTCGGGGATCCCTTCCAGCTCTACAGTTCTATGATTCTATGGGTCATAAACTCATTATTAATGCTTTCTTCCTCTAAAAGAAGTTACTTTCCTTAAAGCTTGTGTTGCACACAGTTATAACTACAGTGTTCCACTGACGTTGATTTATATAGCAAATTTGCATATTTTTTGAACTTGATGCAATTACTATTTTATTTATGTCCTGTAGAAACTTGCTTAACAAAAGGCCAAAAAACGAAACCAAGAAGCCCCATCAAAACAGCTCTGTAAGCATATCTTTAACAAAAACAACAAATAATTTTGTGGCATCTTAAAGAATAGTAAATTTATTATAATACTTTATAAGAATATATTATAAAGAATTTCTTCCTTATTAAAGTGCCACATGACTTGGCTGTTTTTGCTAAAAGATTTCTTTAGTGAGTGGTTAAAAGAGAAAATCTCTGCCATATTTTGAATTGTCCCCTCCCCACTTTTGGAGGGGTAGAGAAGTAAGTTTTGTAATGACTTAACATTTGACTGTAAATTTTGATTGGAAAGGAACAAACAAAAGGATTACTACACAGTGGCAAATTTAACTGCAACCTTTCTTTTCTTGTTTGCACTGCTTTTCTCATTTAAGCAGGAGACTTAAGACTTTTAAAAGCTGTTAATGGGCTGACATTGTGTGTCCTCACCAACATTAAAAGAAGTGATTAAGGAAATTGACCAAGCGTTAGACAGCAAATTGAATCCCCCTAAGCACAAACCCAAATGTCCCAACTCCAGTTCCAAACTCTGCAAATGCCATAACCCTCAGGAGCTCATTGTGTATTATGGCCATTGGGGATTCCCTGCCTGCGTCCTTAAACAAAAACCTATTATTATTCTGAATTGTGCAATGAACACCTTATCTGTAATATGTTCTCCCATCAAAGATCACCAGCCTTACTGCTTCATTCTGAAGAGTAAGAAATTCCCTTTAGACTAATCCATAAATCTTAAGATGTTACAAGTATCTGAAGAAGTGTGCATGCACACGAAAGCTCATACCAAAAACAAACTTAGTTGGTCTTTAAGGTGCTACTAGAAGGATTTTTTTAATTTTTAATATTGTTTCTTGAGATGTTGGTAGTGCCAGAAAGTTTTAAAATAATAAGCCTGTCACTCAATTAAAGAAACCTCAGTAGCTTAATCATGAGTATTAGTTGAATAAACGAGTTAATCAATTTTATTTGCATACATTTCTTATGGGTAGAAGCAGTAGCTCTGGGGCAAAAAGTATAATGCCTAAGCCCGCAACATATGTGCATTTAACGAGTACACATTCAGCTGAACACACATGGCAAATGGAAAAGAAAGAAAGAAAAGGGATGGGTGTCCAGGAAAAAGACTTTGGCAGTTCCATCTGCGACTGAACCCAATGTGTTTTGACGACATGCAGTTTTGGGTTTAGGCATGATCACTGGAATGTGACCCCCATGTATGTATACTGTATGTATGCATGTATGTATACTGTACTTTTCTTTGTTTCAACAAGATGTAGGCATGTGTTATAGCAAGCAATAATCCCAGAAGCATGCCCTGGTGTGTAAGAAAAGGGGGGAATGCTTTTAAGATGGTGGCAGGTATCCACAGATTTTAAGTACAGTACTCATATTGAATATAACTTTTCAAAATATGCCCAAGTCATCTAGGAATTTTTTAGCTGATCGATTCGTTATAACGCCTAATCAATTGAACTTTTTATCCCTAATAATGAACAGATGCTGGAAACCTATAGTAATTTTGCCAGCTTTGTATGAGTATTAGTGGGAAACACTGTGTTAATTTGTAGCACTGTACTGCATTTTTACATTATTGTTAACGGCTAAATGGCTTGGGAGCAGGCCTACTCCCACAAGAACTTGCCCATATATTAATATCTTGTACTTGGCTCTTGCCTAGTATGCTCCTGCCTTTCAGAGATAAGGCAGGTAGCCAGAGTGATTTGGGTCTTTTCTGTGGTGGCATGGCAGCCAGACTTTGAACTTCTTCCCCAGTTTCATGCATCAGATGCTACCGCTATTTTTGTTCTTTTGTTTGCTGGTAGTTGATCATGATTTTATTTGTATAGTTATTGCAATTGTTTTAATGGAAATGTGTTAGCCTCCTGAGAGACACATCTCCATGTAGAACAGTGGGATAAAAATATAATAAATGTGATAGAAGCTTGAACATCAGGATACTTAGCAGGGATAAAAAGAGCCTTAGGCTTTCTTCCCTGGATGTTCCATTTTTGTGGATAAATTAAGTTTCGTGCCATATTTTAATGGAGATATTGGTGAAAATATGCAGGCAGTCTCATTTGATTGCTTACTGGGAAGTTATAAAATATACAGTATGGGAAAATCATGTCTATTCAGAAGTGAGTCATGTTAAGTTGTCTGGGGCTCATATTAGTAGGAAAGTGTGGTTAGGATTGCCATTTACATCACTTAAATACAGGTAGCCTAGTGTGTTTAATTATTCTTGCTGTTTTATAGTGGTTCTGCACCTCCTTAGTACACTGCAATGCAAAATTTGTTGCTGCAGGTCCAATAATATAAGATCAATTCTCTACAATTTTGGTAGCTCATGTTGGAAAGAAGTACCTGCTTTATTAGTCAAACGTCAAAGAAACCACTCTTCAGTACTGTAAGGCTTTGTTCCTGCTGTACCATAAAGTCTCTAAACTACCTACCTACCTTATTTTCTTAGTTGAAAGTTGAAGGAGGTCTGGCTGCGTTGATTGCCATAAAGGAGTATGTCTGGTTAGCCTTGTTGATACAGTAGAGGCAGCTTCTACTGTCACTAACATGAGTGAATCTGCTGCCTCATGAATGTCCTGGTACCAGCATGTACAACCATTATATTCCCTGCATTAAAGAAATAAAGAAAACATTCATACCAAAACTTAAAATGCTGGTTTCATCTAGAAAAGGAAATAAAGGCAGGAGCATTGATTTTGAAGGGAATGAAACCCAGCAAGTTGTTGGGCAGTCACATTTGTGATCTAGCAGTCTCTAAAGCAGTGGTTCTCAAACATTTTTCTCTGGGCCACTTTCGAAATAAAAAATTGCTCATGTCACACTGAATTTTTTATTGATAAGAAATACATTGTAAAATGAAAAGAAGAAACTGCTCATTGCAGATCAAACACATAGGCTGAGGAATGTTTTCATCTCCTGTCTATGTGAACCTGAGACTCAGATAGCTAGCCACATATTGTCTACAAACTTTATTTTTGGGAGGTTTGCGTGGGCCTGCTACTGGTGTCAAATTAAACGAGTCTTCAGCTCTCTGTTTGAATGGTGATTCTGGATCACAACTAGGATTGCTGTCAGTATCACTTGATGATTTTCATCTCATTCTGGAAAGATATTTACCCATAGTCTGCAAACAAAAGAAATTTTTGATACTGTAGTTTACTAAAATATACTACACTGATTTTTTAAAATGTTTCTTTGATTGTCCTTGAATCTTCCTGTCACACTTGCCACCCTATCCTACCACACCAGTGTGAGAACCACTGCATCTAGTATTAAAGAAATTTCATGAAATTGGTTCTGATTGTGTCCGTTAACATTTAGATTTTTGGTTCTGCAAGTATTTGAGCATTATATGCCTTATGGACAAAACAAACAAAACTGTTGTATAAGTTATAAATATTAAGACTGCAATTGTGTTCAGTATGTAATATATGTTAAACATACATTCATTTTCACAAAATTTATAATAATTTGGCGTAGATTAGAGCCAGAAGCACAAGACAAAAGACACTGAAGATGTTGGCTAGGGGTTGGGGAGCTATCCCTCAGTAGTTGGAAACTGCTTGACTAAAATTCCAGCTATGTAGGGACAAAGCTTGACAATCAGCATGGATCCCTCTATTTGTTTTGCTCCTGCTCTCATCTATGAATAGAAGTTAATGCCCAAACTGAGTGATCACATGTTTATTTGATTTTGCAATGTCCCTTACCTTCAATTAGAAGAAGAAACCCACTTTAAAGAAAATTACATTAAGCATGCAAGAGCTTTACCCCTCTGGCCTTTGGAAGTTCTGCAGAGCCTTTCTGTGAGTTGAAAATCAAAATACAAAGATTTATAGGAAGTGCAATTTTAGCTGATTTACTTTACAAAAAATACATAAATCCCAATATCCATAAAACCATATCAATATAACTAAGACTGGAGAAAACTACTCAGCAGCATGATACAAACTCTCAGCAGATATAACACAGACTATTAAAACAACCAATGAGGTTCACATAGCCCCTTCACTGAAATCTTTTCAAAGCCAGGTAAAAACATATCTTTCCTCAAAGCTTGCATTGGGCTGCCAAAGCTTCTTGCGACTGTTGTGAGGTGGGATTTTGTATATATTTTTATGAATTGCATGTGTATTGTTATGAATGTATCAATATAATCATATATGTTTTAAAATATGTTGTAAGTCGCTTGGAAAACTCTGCAGCAGACTAACAGGTCTAATGAAGAATAATCACTTGCACAGTGTCACACACATCGTTCATTTACACAATCACTACAACATTCGTTGTCTCCTACAGTAACTCTACCAGCCAAGCATTCATAGCAAAACCAGCCACACTGAACAGTATTACAACCACATATACTTAAACTCATATCCTTCCTATACAGGATCCTTGCCAAGCATAGGAGCCAAATCCTAGGTGCCGAGGGGTCTTTGTCGCCCAATAAAATATTTGAGGGGGCCAGACCCTCAAATGATGGCATTGCCATTCAAATGGTGTGCGTGCACCGTGTCATGTGATTGATTATGCAGGGCGGGGCTTACCTGAGCTCCCCAGTATTTAATCAAGTTGGCACCCCTGCTGCCAAGCCTACAAGAGTAGCAAAATGTACACATCTCTGAAACTCTAATGGCCTCATATTCTGCATCTACTGACCTATCAGTTCACCCTGTTAAAGGGTTCACGGACAGCAGTTGCTTATGTAGGATTGGAAGGGCAGAATTCTGAGGATTTTCTCCCCAAAGATACCTTCAAAGAAAAACTTTTAGGATATATGTAGTGATAGTGTGATGTGTGGCACTGATACGTAGCTGGAGCCCACTAGAATGCCATTTGCAAGTGACAAAGTTGGTGGGTTTTTTTTGAGCAACTGTAATAGAAGAACTTGGAATTGATCCATGTTTTAAGTCCCTTGCTGTGCTTTGAGGAGCTGATTTTGCTGGCTGCTTTATTTTAATTTATTCTGCTCTTTTGAGTGCCTCGCATTGGGAAAGGGTTTAGAAGGTTAGATAGAAGCCTAAGTGCTTTGTCTCCAGGGAAGCCTTCTCTTTTTCCATGGTAAAAAGTCTGTTTCTTATTTAGAGTTATTGTTTTGTTACATTCTTATTCTTTCTGTAACTGCTTCAGGCATTAGATAAACCCCAAGTTCTGCGTAGCATTAAAAAAAATTTTTTTTGGGATGAGTTGCAGCTGCTTTCTTACCTAATAAATGCAGAATGAGGGTGCTCTGGGAAAGTTTTTCTGTTGTAACTTAAGACTCTGATTTGGATGCATGGATGTCGGTTTGTGCGGAAGTAACCTCTACTTCTGGTAAAGCAGATAGTTTAACATTGTTTCTAACAACTTTCTAAAAGGGTTCTCTATCAGTACCATAATGCTGGCTTACTACTCCTTTCTTGATAAATATTTATTTGCAGCATAGCAATGCAATCGAAGCTTTCCACAATAATGTGGGATTTTGGTGCTTTAGTGTTCTGGTTTCCTTTACGTCAAATAAATAAACCAGGCTCTCAAATTGTGAGGTGTGCTTCTTTGCGGAGATGCATGCTCATGAAGTCAGCACTTTCCTCACTAGCCAAGTCAAGCATGGTGCTAATCTTCTCCTTCCACAGACCCAATAACTAAAATAGGCACTGTGAACAAACAGGGCTGCGCTATATTAGGCTTCCTGAATATCATCCAGGCCATGTACTTGCTTCCTGCCAGCTGGGAGTGAGAGACACTTAAGCCTTCCTAAAGGGGATGATTATTTCACAGTATCAGTTGTGGAAAGTTGTGAGGGGATGCTGTCTGAATAGACTAATGGGGAGAGAAGTTCAATCTGGGAGGAGCAGGAGGTGAACTCAAAAGAACTGGACAGTGTGTTAACTTTCTGTAGTCAAGTTAGCTGGAGAGGTCAGTAGAAGTAAATGTAGAAAGGTGTGGGAGAAGTCTGTACCCAACATATGGGGCAGTAGTGTGGCACCTCCAAACTGCAGGCCTGACAGGGGCCCTAATTTGACTTGTAAGGCAATTCCCCCAAGCCATGCACACCCACCTCACACCTGATATCATCAGATACCGTATATGTCATGGATTATTACTACTACATCTTCATCATTTATATTCCACCTTTCCTTCAAGGAGCTAAAGGTGGCATACAATATAGGTAAATATATAGTTGCAAAGAAACATTCAGGAACTTTAAAATGAGCTCCTGATTGCTCCTCAGCAAATAGTGTTCCTGATTGTTCATTTCAAATTGGGTGCCAAATGTAAGCCCTGCTGGGATTGGTTCCACTTGGAAGCTTCTAAACAGAGCTTTTGAGTGGAGCAGTTCCCTTCCAAAAGCATTTCTTGAAGTCAGTGCTAGTCAGTTCATTGGCACTGACTCAAAGCCCTACTCGGATCAGCTGATATTTTTCTTTGCAGTGTGGCCTGCAAAGGGGGAATGGGTCACATGACACCAGGTGGTGTCAACATATTAGCTCCACCCACCTGTTAGAGTGGTTTGCCAGAACAACAAATGTTATGGGACTTGCAGAACCGAGAAGTGAAAATGGATTGACCTGTTATACTCATCATTTAGACAGTATTGAAAGATTGTGGACATTTGTCAGAGATTGCAGAATCAACTGATGAATTTCTCTGTGTTACTTCTTTCTTGACTACATAGCTCTTTTTATATAGCAGATGGAAACATTGCTGGAATAGCGTTCTTTGGAATGGCCTTAAATGCAAACAATCTGGTAGTTAAAATTATGTTCTCTGTTGGACAAGTGCTTGAAGGGTGGTGGTGGTCTGTTTGAGGCACTGTTGGATGAACGTGAATATTTTATTCTGGGTTCAGATCTGGTTTGGGGAGCAAAACTGCCTTGGTTGGTTTGCTGAACAATTTCACTGGGAAAGAGAAAACAATTGTGACTAGGGGTGCCATATGTCCGGAAGTGTAGATTTCCTTAAAAATAGCTCAAAAAACTTCATTTTTTCTTTAGATTTTGCAAAAATAGCTCAACAACTTTTGTGTCAGGGTTGCCGTGTTTCAAAAAGTGAAAATCCAAATTGTGACTTTTTAAAAAAATGTATTCTTATTAAAGATTTCTTGGTTTACAAAAGTACGTGCAATGTCTCTTTTTTGAAGTTACATTTTCTACAGATCAGTTTCATCCTAATTGTGACTCTTGACTGTGAGGGCAGTTCAAACAGCTTCTTCAACACTAGTTTGTGGGGGAAATAATCAGGAATTGGGTGTGTGGTGCCAACAGTATACTGATCACCTTTTCATTGTTATCAGAATTGGGAGAGTCTGTGCAGGTGCTGGACCAATTCATAAATGCAGTAGTGGGTTGGTTGGGTGAGGAAGGAAATGGTTCTTATTTACCTTTCTCTCTGTTCACAATTTGTTCTATTAATAGCAGTTTTAATAAATGCAGATGATTCTCACAGCTAGTAATATACTAGTAACTCTCCCCATCTTCTGAAACCTTAGTTCACATGTAGTTTTGTCAAGGGAGTTCAGTACATATCTTCCTGTAACTCAAATTGGGTGGTGGATGTGCATAGCCAATGGTAATAATAAACTACCGTATTTATTTTATTGTTTTCTACAACCCTCACTCAACCTCTTTGCTTCTGTAAACTTCACTGACGTAGGATTATGACTAATATAATCCCATGTGGGCTATAGTTGGGAAAGGGTGTGGAGAGTTACATATTGTTCAAAGTCATATTTGCAATCCTTTTCTGTACTACTCTACATAGGAACATGTAGCTGCCTTATTCCAAGTCAGATCATTGGTCCATCTAGCTCAGTATTGCTTACACTTGCTGGTGGTAGCTCTCTAGAATTTCCCAGCCCTACCTGGAAATGCTGGAGATTGAATTTGGAACCTTCTGCATGCAAAGCAAATGTTCTGCCACTGAGCTACAGTGGCCACAAGAGCATATTTCTAGGAGATATTAGAATCTATATAATGGAAATGTTTTTCTAGTGCTATGTGTAAACCTGCCATGCAGAAGTTTTATGTCTGCTTACTTACACATGCTTACACTAGGAATTTGTGGTATTATACATTGATAACTTAAAAGGTAAAAAATCCAACAAACTAGGTTATAGCTTAAAAACTTCCTTACTTGCTCACCTGGAAGTTTGTTTGTTTTTTACTTGCCACAGGAGATCTGAGAAATGGTGATTTACATAATGTGAAACCTGTCAGGGTTTGCAGGAATCAGGCGCTGGCTGTTCTTGCTTTATGGGAATCAGGTACAGGCCGGCAAGCGCAGTCAGGTGATGAGATGCGCTGCAGCTGGGAGCGAGCTCAGGAGGACTATATAAGGCCTGCATTTCCCCCTTGGCCTTTGCCATACCAGCGCAGTCTTCTGCCAAGGTCCAGGTCCTGCGGTCCAGTTATGCTGCATGCTGATCTCCTCTTGTCCATGACCTCTGTTGGACTTGTTCCTGACCGCAGACCTGCCAGTTGGACTGCCTCTGCTACCAGCACCACAGCCCATACCCTTCTTCTGGCGTACTGGCCCTGGACTCTTGCTGCTCACTCCCTGGATCATGACAATTTATAAGTCTGGTACAAATGCTAGTTTTTTGCTTATACGGCTTTCAGAGAAAGTATCGGAATTCATTTTGAAGTTCTGCAGACTCTAACATCATCAGTGGTCCAGTTAGCACATAACGGTCAGGGATGGACTTTTGTCTTCCAAATTTCTGTGGCACTTTGTGTGAGGTCAAAATTCAGTGCCCCCCTGCCTCTTGCCTTCTGTTCTGCTCAATTCACTACGTCATAGTTGCGGTGCCCTGTAGCGCCTCCCTAAGCTTGGCGCCCAGTGCCCTAAATCAACCTCTGTAATGGTAAGCCATGGTCTAAAACAAACCATGACTTGAACCAGCCCTGTGTAGAATTGATAGGGTCTGCTGTTGCTCATGGCACACGCCTCCCCGCAATTCTATTCCTGTTTGCCTGCCTGAACCATCACTTTGATTTGTGTATTCCTGGCCAAGAGATATGAATGTTAAAGCAACTCAGATAATTAAGTGTTGGCTTACTGGTCATCTTCTCCAAGTCAGGGGAGGATATCTTCTGCTTGCTCACAGAGCTGTTTGACCTTGCTGATAGTCTTTGAGGTATTTCAAAGCATCCCAAAAAGTACCAGAGTCAGATTAACTGTAAAAAAACTTATCTGACTGAAGACTAAAAACTACCGTAGCTAAACAAAAGACAAAAAACTAGCCCTGTGCTGGATCATGCTCCTTTATTGTACCTGCCCATGATTTCATTTCTTTTCAGGCAAACCACAAGTAGTAGTCAAGGTTTGTTCTTGGCTTGCCACTTGTGGTTTGTTTAGGGAGAAATCACAAGCACTGGTTTGCTTGTAATGCTAAGCTAGTGATCTGGTTTGTTTCCTCATGGCACAGGGAGAAAAGGGGTGAACGCAATAAAGGAGCTCGCATTAGCGCATTGCTTGTTCATAGGAAACCATGGTTTTGACTTGCCATTACATATAAACCAGGCCGGTGTTGCTTAAGAGTACAGTGGTACCATGGTGACTTTATAGACTGAAGAGCTTAATAGAAAAACCCTCCTTTGGGAATCATATCTGAAAGCAGCATTTGTTGTTGATGGAGGGTTAGTGTGTGATGCTTAGGAGCTCAGGTGTTTGGCAGTGTGGAAATATTGTGTTACTCACACTATACTCTCCAAATCTCTCTCCATTGTTCTGGTATTTCCTCCTCTTGCAAGTAAAATAGATTAGCTTACTTATCTTGCGGCAGTGAGGTTAACAGAACAATCTCTCTTTGGGAATGAACATAGCTCTGCCAAGTGATGAATAACATGGGCATCACCTGTTATTATCTTAAGTTGAGAACAATATAGATCTGGCTTTCAGAGAACAGGTTGAGACTAGACAAGAGTAGCTGTTGGGGTAACTAGCCCTGAGTATGTGTTGTTAGTGGTGCATACCTTTCCCCCCCTTCTGGCTGATCTTTTTCTGTTTAAGAGAACTTGAGAATATTGATGTTTAGAAACAAGGTTTTGAGGGAATTAAAATAAATATTATTTTGCTTTATATCCCACTTTTTGAGTAGAGTCCTCGAAGTGGCTCACAACATTTATAAAACAAATACATTTAAAGCCATACCATTAAAAGAAAAAGCAGTCCAGTTGGAGCAGAAGCATGCTGATAGTTCTGTCTTTGCTTGTCTACCTCTCCCTCCTGGAATCCTCATCACAGACAGAATCCGTCTTGTATTTGTCAAGACAGCTTGAGTAAGCTGGATACTGTAACTATTAATGTACCAATTTGCAAGTTTAGCAAAACGCTATTGTTGTTCAGCAGAAAACTATCAAAATAAGGTGAAGCAACTCTTTATCGTAATTGGGGCCAGCCATTTAAATTGTCACCTTTACATTCTGTCCCCATCAGACCATAAGATATCTTGCATTTCTTGTGGTGAATATTTTTGATAGAATGGTGCATCTTTTATAAGTTACAAAAAAAGTATTTAAAGTTCTTAAAACTTCTCTATACAAGACAATTTTCCTGTATGGTTTTCTCTTTCCCGTAGGAAACAGCATGAACATACCATCATGTTTGATTTTTCTAAATTTATTTTTATTGGCTTTTATTTGCAAATTATATGAACTTAGTTGCATAACAACATAACTTACAACAACAAACAGAGAAAAATTAAAATAAAACTAAATTCTCAAGTTTTGTAAACTGGATCATGAGAAAGTGTTGGAGCAGTTACGATATGATGTGCTGTAGCATATTACATTTAGATTGGTGACCACAGGTAAGCAGTAGTTTAAGCCTTCAGTAATTTGGTTTTACATATTTTAATTTCCATCCTTTAATGTTGACTGCACATAGTTGAACTAAACAGAAATAAAGAAGTGATAGAAAAAAAAGGAAAAGCAGGGAAGAGTAGGATGACTTATACATACCATCAAATATTATATACTGCAGGTAATGCCATGCCATATGCTTCATTGTTTACATAATTAATAAAATTGTATCAAACAGCATAGAAATTGTCAGGTTTCTTTTGTCCTTTTGCCACTTTTTGTTTTTGTGTCATAAGTTATTAGGGGTTTGAATGGGTAATCCCATCAGTACCTTATGCCTGTGAGTGCTGGGATGTTAATTTTAAGTTCACGTCTGTGTTGTAGCGTTCTTGCACAGAGCTCTTGGTGGAGGTTTATCACACTGAATTTTCTATGACTTTTTCTGTTATTCTGAACTTTAGAAATATGTCATTTTTAACTACCTTTTGAAATTCTTGTAGAGAAGGTGAAAACTTCTGCTGATACTTTTTAGATGTTTCTTGCTATTTAACATTTGTTTGCTGTTACATTATGCTGGTTGGTTAAAAATTTACCTTGAACATTGGGCTAAAGAAGACCTACAAGATGTTTTTCCCCAATTCTATTTCAGCTTACAGCAACAAAGTGCTTCAGGCTGCCCTTCATTGTACCTCACTTTAAGCGGCCTCATTAGAGGAGTGTTGTGCATGTGTGTTGTTCTGTGCAGCTGGTTTAGATTATTTAACTCAGCCATTGTTTCTCTCCTGGCCTGACTTTGGTAGCAGGGAAAGAAGAACTGGAGAATACAATTACTTATTTTGGAACTCAAAAGAACCATTTATTGTTTCTGGAGTATCCTGAAACAAGTGTATAAAATGGACTAATCATTCCAGCAGTCCAGAAATGAGAATTTGTCAGTCTCATCTTAAGAGAGAGGAATTATATTGGGGTGTAAAAGGAGTTCTCTGCCATCTTCTAGGCTTCTCTTATTACCCTGGTGGCAAGGGAAGATATGACATTGCAGTACATCCCTCATTGCCAAGATAACTTTCAGGTCAGTTAATGGAACTGATCAGTGATTAATAAAGACACAATTCTATTGGTGAAATCGCTGAGTAATTTTTTTAGGAACACTACTATGGGCTAGTCAGTCCTTAAAAGCCTAACAGAATTAGTGTGAAAGAGGCTCACTTGTCACATCTAGGTGAATTTGCAATAATAACTTGCCTACATAGTATTGTGATACTGTGTACTGTTTGGGTGGTTCCTGCCTTTTCCATAGGTCTTTCTTGAATCTTTACCACTTTTGACTCCTTGCTTTACCTTGAGAACAGCCCAGCTTTTGCAAAAGGCTCTGAGAGTCTTCTAAATAAAAATAGTAGTTATAAGCTGGGAACACAATGAGGCAGTTATGTGACTTCTTCACCCATTGACCCATGCTTCTGGGTCCCACTCAATGCACATTCTCAAAATGCCAGTTGATCAAGTGATTTGGGTGCTGGTTGAGGGTTTTACTTCAGTTTTGTATCCGAATCCTGCTAGTAGAATATCAACAGAGTTGCATGAAAATTGTTTATAGGGCTTGGAAACCAGATCAGTAGGTTTCATAGAATCATAGAATTGGAAGAGACCACAAGGGCCATCGAGTCCAACCCCCTGCCAAGCAGGAAACACTATCAGAGCACTCCTGACATATGGTTGCCAAGCCTCTGCTTAAAGACCTCCAAAGAAGGAGACTCCACCACACTCCTTGGCAGCAAATTCCACTGTCGAACAGTTTCAATCCTATGCCCTTTTAAAATGTGGTTTTTGGGGGGGGGGCGGTTATTGGGTTGCTGTTTTTATTTTGATTATATATTTTGTGGTTTTATATTCTGATTTTGTTCTGTGAACTGCCCTGAGATCTTCAGGTATAGGACGTTATATGAATTCAATCAACAAACAAACAAACAGACAAACAAACTTCATATGAAATAGCAGACAGGTTTTCTACTAAGAACAGAAATCTATCTATTCATAAATAGAAATCCACAGCGAAAAGCTAGATCACCTTCAATATAACTTATTTGTTCTTATAACTGAAGGCTGTGGTTGGGGAAGATACCCCCATGCTATTTCTGTCTCTGTTAATAATGAAAATGGTATGAATTTTACAAAATATATTCCTGTAATTATTTTAAGGTGGCTACCAACAGAATCTAAGTCAGGGTAAAAATATTAATCTTCATTCTTCCAACTCCTTGTCCAGCACTCTTTCTGCTAAACCACAGTGATGCAGCTCTTTCTCATAAGAGTATGTTGTAGAAGGGAAATAAGAGTTGAGAACTAAATATTGTGAGAAATAAACAGAATCATATAATTGTAGAGTTGGAAGGGAGCCTGAGGATCATCTAATTCAAACCCCTGCAATACAGGAATATGCAGCTGTCCCATATGGGGAGTGATCTTGCAACCTTGGCATTATCAGCACCACATTCTAACCAACTGAGCTAGCCCGTGAATTCTGTATGTCAAATGCTGATGGACGAGATTGGATGGAATTACTGATCCAAGAAATATTTCTGTTTGTAGTGATGGAAAGTCTTTTATCGTTCTGAGGGGGGGGAGGAGAGAACCCTTTAAGCCTAATATCTCTCACAAATGCACCAGTTAAAATTGAATTATTCTGTATTTTTATATCTAAAAAGTAATAGGGAGGGATTGTATGTGAGTGAAAGATAACAAAACTTCACTTCAGCACTTGCTGGAATGGAGGCATAATCACAATGCTCTAATATAGCCTTATACAGGTGGTTTTACTCAGCTGCCAGGTTGAGCACACACCTTATTGCTGTCTTTAGAGTGAAGGGATATTTTTCTTAATAATTTCTACTTTCTTTGATACAGAATTCTTAAAGAGCTATTACATGATTTGTAAACTGTTTATGGTTCCACATGTTCATTCCCTGTCACTTCCTTTTGGTTTATCTAACAAACTGAAGACAGAGTAACAATCATGGACTCCTGAAGGCATTTTTGGCTGGTGGGATTTCCATTTGCTGGGCAAGGCTCTTCCAACTGATTGTATCTAGTTTGGCTTGGATAGTGACAATGTCTGAATAGGCATGAATAGAGCCATTCAAGTTGATGGACAAGAGCTGAAAGCTGCACACAAAAGCCACTGGGCAGTCACTAGAACTAGCAGCTTCAGCATTAGGCCTTAGCAAGGCAAGGATGATAAACAACAAAGAACAGTGAACAAGCTTTACTGGGGCTTTGAGTTGATGCCATTTCCCCACACCCAGAAAAGGCAATGGACATGGCAGGTAGCTGATGATGTAATCAGTTGTGGATGCAGAAGCTGAGAGGTGTGTGTTTGTGTTTGTGTGTGCTCGCACAGGACGCGGAGGGGGACAGAATGGGCAAACTTGATGTCTTGTAAAGTGGCTGATAATATTTAATAAAAGCAGCTGCCAGTAGCATTCTGTGGCTAATGCTGATTAGTGTTTGCCTGACATATCACTAAAAAGTGATTTAAAAGAGATTTGATTTTTGATGAGAGATGATTCTCACATGCCTGAAAGTCTAAATGTGGACTTGTCTGAGTGTACAAATAACTCTAAAATTTGTACCCTCTCACAAGGGTACACAGTTTAAGTATGATAGTATATAGTTGCTTGTTTTGCTGTCTGGCTGTCTCACCATCTGACATTCCTTAATCTGTTTTCTGTAGTTTGCAGGAATGAAGCTATTTATAATCTGCCTCCCTGAGGAAAGGGAGTTGAAGTCTCTCTCCGCCCCCCCCCGCCATAATATTTTACTGAGTTTTCAGAACGTAATTATGCTGTAACAATTTATTCAAGATAGAAGATCGCTTGTTCTTACTTGTCAAGCATGTTACTACAGAAAGGAACAAAATTCTTCATTGGACATGCAAAATTGACACTGTTGCCCAGTTCATACAAGAATAATCCATGTGTCTGGATGCTTCCATCTCCTCATTCCTTCCCTTCCTTGCTTGTACATCCAGCTTTGGTTGAGATTTCCTAAGCTATACTTTCTTGTAAAAGCCAAATTGAGAAACTGTTGTTTAAATTTCCCTCCAAATCAGAATTTGATTGTTTGGATGTCATTAGAAACTGCAGTTTAACTTTGATTAGTTTTTTTCTTGAAACATAAAATGCTTTTTGCGCTGCCCGGGAATTGAACCCAGGTCCCAAGAATGGGAATCTTGCATGATACCACTACACCAGCAGCGCTGATGGAAACTGCAGTTTAAAAAGTCAGGACATCTTTGCCAAAACCAGGCACAGAAGCAGAGAAGAGAAGGGACAGAGCAAATGGAGATCCAACAAGCACATGACTTGCTCCTAATAAAACTCTTTTTTTAGGCCAAGGCTGCTGCAGCTGAAGCAGGTGTTTGTGCCCTTATTACTTTGTTGTTCTTGTTCTATATATTTATCTGAATTACATTAGTTTGCCATTCACAATGTGTGAGGAGGGAAAAGAAAACCACACTATATGCCTGTATTTCAGCCTGATGTTCAACCTGGTATGTTTGCACATACAGTGGTACCTTGTTTTACATACGCTTCAGGTTACAGACTCCACTAACCCAGAAATAGTACCTCGGGTTAAGAACTCTGCTTCAGGATAAGAACAGAAATTGTGCTCCGGCAACGCGACAGCAGCAGGAGGCCCCATTGGCTAAATTGGTGCTTCAGGTTAAGAACAAACCTCTGGAACGAATTAAGTACTTAACCCAAGGTACCACTGTACTATAGTTCAGAGTTGCTGAACATTTTTCAGCGGACAGTGGCAATAGTAGGTGGACCAACAGATGTAACTTTTGTACAATAAACTACATTACAACTATGCAAAAGTCAAGTACCCCACTGTGTGTGTGTGTGTGTGTGTGTGTGTGTGTTTGTGTGTGTGAAGCAAGAAGTGTTCAAAAATGCATTCCACTGAGCAAAAGGCACGCAATGAAGGTGTAGAGTGAGGGCGAGTAAGAGATGTGGTCTATGGAAAGTCCACAGAGATGCCTGGAGGGCTGCATTTGGCCCTCTAGATTTGATGTTTCCCAACCCTGCCATAGTTTCCATAAGTATGCAGAAGAAAACTATTTTAGTCCTCCCCTAGTGCTGATGAGAGCAACAAACAGCAATCCCTGGTTTGAACACAATACTAAGCTATGTTTGGGGTTTGCTGATCCTGTTAATTCTGGGATAGGAGCAAACTAGGAGTGATCTCCATGTTTATTGTTGTTGTTTAGTCGTTTAGTCGTGTTGGACTCTTTGTGACCCCATGGACCAGAGCACGCCAGGCACTTCTGTCTTCCACTGCCTCTCGCATGCCTCCCGCATGCCTCCTCCATGTTTATGGAAAGCCATTAATTATAGGTTGGTTACTGACGTGAGATGTACAAACTGGGCAATAGGTGAACTCAGGTAGACATTCTTGAAGGAGTTCATATATTAGTTCCTTGTTATCAAGGGCTATGTAATAGTAGAAAATTAACATTTGAAATTTAATGCTCTGAGTAAATGTTTGAGTTTTACCTTTTCTTTTTTAACTGAAAAACTTGCATGTATCGGCCAATGTAACCTTGCATGTAACCTTCAGTAATTCTGCAACAGAAGCACCTTTCAAGCTTCTGTAGAACCTGTTGGTCCTTAAAACCTATTTCTCTGCCTAGACTGATGGAATGCAAGGCTTTTCTTCAAAGAAATATGAAACGGGTGCTTGAACATGTAGGTGGGTGCTTGAAAAAAAATGTAGGTTTCATACTAACAGTTATTTCACATTTTTTCTCATACTCTGTACTATTACTTCAGCAAATGTTTAAATGTCTGGATTTCCCTGAAACACGGGAACACAGTTCCGATCATTTTCTGATTGCTACAACCCTATTTATGTAGGGAAGCACAGCAACTTGCAATTTACATGTGTATGTATATCTGAAGTAAATTATGGATTAGCTGCCTTGCGTCTGCTGCATGCCTGTGAGTCCTTTTAGCTTTTAGATGGTAAACAGATTCTCTAAATCTACAGAACTGCCTGCAAGCCAAAGGAAATTGTTGATGTAAATTCTTGAGGAAGCAGGAGCAAAGGATTATTTCACTATATGACAAGATACCATTGTCTCGTTTTTTCCTTGAGATAGGATCACACTGGAGCAGCTTCCCTGTCACCAGAGAGGAGTTTTACCAAATACAGTGGTACCTCGGATTACATACGCTTCAGGTTACATACGCTTCAGGTTACATACGCTTCAGGTTACACACTCCGCTAACCCAGAAATAGTACCTCGGGTTAAGAACTTTGCTTCAGGATGAGAATAGAAATCGTGCTTTGGTGGTGCGGCAGCAGCGGGAGGCCCCATTAGCTAAAGTGGTGCTTCAGGTTAAAAACAGTTTCAGGTTAAGAACGGACCTCCGGAATGAATTAAGTACTTAACCCGAGGTACCACTGTACGTTGTAAGTTAGCAGCTATGAGCCCCAGTCTCAAGGTTGATGCTTGTTTGGAGACCTTGAACATTCTTGCATTCTTGCCTATTCTCTTTTCCTGCCCCAATCTGTACCTCCAAGTGTAGCATTTTCAGTTTGGGTGTAATTTAAAAATAAAGTACTATGAAAGAGAAAGAAGAGTGAGGGGGCAGAGGAGGCTTCAAACTAGGAAAATAGCAAGTACAAGAAAGGAAGAACAGCAGAGCATAGATTGACCCTGGACCCAGACTGCTTCCTTATCAATTAGGAGTTTCCTTTCACATCACACACAAGCAGTGAATTTCTTTCTAATCATAGCTGAGCCTTTCCCATTGTGTTTTGGCAAAGAGAGACAGTGGATTGTGAATGGCTATGGATTTCTTATGCACCTGATTGTGAGAGACCAATGAGACTTACCTACTTAATTCATTTTTTATTTTGCTAATTGGTCAGTCTTAAAGTAGTTTAGATCTCCCAAAATGTAATATTGTGCAAATTCAAGATTGAGTGTCACACAACTTTCCCCCAAAATTACTTTAGAACATTGGATGAGCTGTAGCTTATATTTTAGACTATGTGTGAGATCAGCTTTTTCTGGGCTAAGGGTCATAACCCTCCAAGAGCTGAATGTAAAAGTGGGTGTGGCTGGAGTGTAAAAGTAAGTATGGCCAATATTAATCTTTTGAATCACAGTGGGATTCCTATGAGAGCAGTACGTTTTTTTAAAAAGTAAAAATTTGGGGGTCAGGGAGCAAGCTATAGAAAGCCTCTTGAGAAGCCTCTTATATATCTATATCCAGCAGTTATCTTTTATATTTTCAGAAAGAGAAACAGTCTTTTGTTTGCTTTGAGTGCAAAATAGATTATATATTGCACTATGGAGGTATGCAACCTATTAAGGACAGGGTTACATTCCTTCTAAAGAACCAAGTATGCAGTTTGGGGATTCTCCTGGATCTTGCCCAGGGGTCAGCAACCTTTTTCAGTCATGGACCGGTCCACCGTCCCTCAGACCATGTGGGGGGCCGGACTATATATTTTTTTGGGGGGGATTAACAAATCCCTATGCCCCACAAATAACCCAGAGATGCATTTTAAATAAAAACACACATTCTACTCATGTAAAAACATCCTGATTCCCGGACGATCCACAGGCCGGATTGAGAAGGTGATTGGGCTGCATCCGGCCCATAGTCCTTAGGTTGCCTACCCCTGGCCTAAGCCAATACCACTCACATTCTGCAACCAATAAAGTTGTGGCCTTTTTTTTGCCCATTAACCTAAAATACTGTTTCATGTGTCTTTATTCCACTTCCTACCCCTGATCTTGCCCATCTCTGGATGCACAGGTGCCAGAGCTTTGACTTCAAACCATGGATTGTGAAGTTGTCTTGTTTCAATGAACCGTAGCTAAGATCAAACTCATTTTAGGGTTGGGGTGCCCTGATAAAATGAAGACAATCTGAAATGGAAGTGGAAGCTTATGGTTTTCATTATTATGGCCATGCTGGGATGTGGAAAGAGAAGAACATGAATACCTAAGGCTGCTTGTGGCTTATCCTCATAATGCTTAAACTTGATTTAATGCACAGACACAGCCTATTGGATATGTGGTGAATAAAGAAGAAATAGACTGTAGTATATGAACTTTAGAGGCCTCTAAACAGACTCTGAAAGAGCCTGGGAAAATCCAGTAGCTTTTCTGGATTTGTGGTCACTTTTCTCCCACAGTGTTCTTCCATTAGGTTGGAATCAGTCATTTTATAAGTGGAAGAGGCTTTTGTTAGTGGAAGGGTACTTGGTCTTATTTATTTACATTACTATTTGTACCCCACACCTTCAGTCAAAAATGAATAAATCCCAGGAATAATAACAATGCAATAGTCAAATAATAATAGTTAAATAGCAAATGAAGACATTTAATAGGATCATCAGTTTCAGTAAATTTTTTCTTGTCCAGTTTTTCTTTTTTTTAAAAGATATTTATTAAAATTTTCAAGATATTACAAAATGAAAAAAGAAAAAAGAAAAATACAAAATAAAAGTAGTTAAAAACAACTCAATCTTTCCGTTACTTATCTTTCATTAGCTTGTTTGATTAGCAAATCCTTCCCCTCTTTGTTTATCCTAGTCTTTAATCTTAAAATATTGTAACATTAAATTTTTACCTATTAGTAATCCATTTTTCATATTCCCTTATAGTATTACAGCTAAAAAATACTTAATTTCTATCCAACATCATTCTAACATTCATTAATTTTGCAATATTTCTGTAAATAGTCTTTAAACTTTTTCCAATCTTCTTCCACCGACTCTTCTCCCTGGTCTCGGATTCTGCCAGTCATTTCCGCCAATTCCATATAGTCCATCACCTTCATCTGCCATTCTTCCAGTTTTTCTTGTCACCCTGATAGTATTAAAACAAATGTGTAGAGTTAATGAACACATTTTACCATTTAAATATTTCAGTGAAGTTCATTATTGGATTACAATTGGACATAAACACATAGCAGCACAATTAGTTCCATAGAAGTTAGTGGAACTACGCAGATATTTTTGGGACCACTTGTGATATTTTGAATGTGATCTGTGATTTCTTTTTTGTTCTGAGGTTAGGGATTTATGTACTGTACATGTTTTCAAACTTCATAACAGTTCTAGTAAGTAAATTAATTCACCTACCAGCTTTCTAAAATGACATTACCGTTTGTTTTTGTTTTTTTTAAAAAAAACCTATACTATAGTAGTCTTAAAGGTGTTTTTCTCTGTGTGCCTAGACTCAACTTGCCTATTCTATAAATATGTCAGCTCTTTTAATGACTCAGTTATATGGTGTAAAAAGTTATGTTTGGAATGTACTTAGTAGTGTGAGGTTGAGAGCTGTTTTAAGTGCCCAAAGCTGACATTCTGATAAATTGAGGCCCTGATAATTTGAGGCAATTAAAATATTCTATTGAGCCAAATTTTATATCTGTGCAATCTGCTATCTCTACAAGTTAAAGTCTGCTTCACCTGGACACAGTGGCATAATTTCCTCATTGCATTCAGTGTAACAGTTACATTATTGATGTTGTAAAACAGTCATTTGCTAGTCATTTTTGTTTAAATGGTTGCCACTGTAGCAAGAGCTGTCTTGACAGTAGAGCACTGCTTGGTGGGTTGATAGGCTTTGTTTCAGGAGAGGTATTGTAGCAGAGACTGGACAACCATATGTGAGGGATGCTGTACGTGCATCTTCCACTGAAAAAGGTAGTTGGACTAGAGGACCTCTGTGATACTGTCAGCTGTGATTCTTCAAAATATTTGGTTACTTTATATTGGTGCCTATTTTTTGTATAGACTGTATAAAATGTGGATTTCACATCTATGTAAATAGTTTTATTGCTAGAGAATATGCAACTATGTGAAATGATAGACAAACTCTCAATGAAAGAAAATATAAAATACATGTCCCACTTAATCCAGTTTGCAAGTGTCATTAGTGTAAGTTACCTGATACTCAGGAAGCAGAGACAATATATTCAGCAAAAGCCTTGCATTTAAGGTGCAGATGTTGTTGTTTTTGAAATGCAAATTGCATCACCTTGGGGGGGGGGCCCTTGGCTGATAATTCACTGGATCAGAAGAGTCATGGAGATGGAAAGCAGGCTTGGATAGGAAATTTAACTCTTACTTTGTCTTATGAGACCTAACTTTCTGGCCAAGCTACACATTAGTGCAAGTTTCCTTCCAATGCAAATACTAGCTTCAGAATAGGGTTTTCAATCTTTTCAGAAGATTTTCAGTCTTGATATAAGAATGATATGTAATGGAGATTTTTTTTAAAAAAAGCAATCAATGTTTGTTTATTTGGAGCCATTTATGTTTTGCTTTATTTATATTCTGTTCCATAGTTCATTTTATTGGCATTTCTGTTGGTAAGGTACATGTTGTCTGAATTTTAATTTGCTTTTAATGTGATTATTTAAAACATAATATTGGTATATTAAAATGGTAAATACTTTGACTGTCCCTTTCCACTGCTTTATTGAAATCATGAGAGAGTGTATAGCTTTATGAGCAAAGCTTGGACAAATCTTTGTACTATGATTTTATATTGTTTTCTTTATTATACCCCTGATGAAAAACAACTGTTAAAAATGCATTGGGCTTTCAATAAATAAACCTTTCTCCTGTCCTCCTGAAGGCTTCTCCTATCCTTTCTTTCCCTGCGGTTGTTGCCTCCTCTCTTTTTTCTTTGGCCCCCCCATCATCAGGTGTATAAGAAATTCATAGATATTCAGCCTCCATCATTTGGGTTTGCCAACCTCATTGGAGACAATGGCCTCGGCTAGAATTAGAAAGGAATTCATTGCTTCTGACTGATAGGAAAAGAATATCCTGATGTTTAAGAAAGTAGTCTAAGGTCAATATCTAGCTCTGCCATTAAATCTGATACTGGAGAACAGAGGCCATAATTGTGACTGCTCACAATAACCCTCTTTCTGGCCTCCTTCTGTTCGCCTCATTCATATACTCTATGCTGTTCTTCATTTCACAGGCCCAATACCTCCTCTGCCCCCTCCCCCCAGCCTCAATGTATCTGGCTTCAAGTTTTGTCCCTTGAATCCCATTCACATGCACCATCTTCCTGCTTTGTCAGGAAGGAGAGTATGGAATGAAACAATCACATGTATAAGGCTAATAATGTAATTTTTTTTCTACCCAGTTGTGGTTAACTGCACAGCTGCTGAGTGGGAAAGACCCACTTCATTGACACTGCCCACATGATTGCTACCCCACCCCAGAAAGCATTCCCCCCCATACGTGTCATGTATTAATGGTGTGTTAAAAGTGTCTCTGGGTTCCCCAACCCCAAGTTTCTTTCTCACTTTGCCCATCCACCAAAAGAAGTTCCCCTTTTAATACAAAAAGTTGTCTTAAGGAAGTCATTTAAAGAGCTGTGTTAACTACAACACCCAACGTCTTGTTTTCCCCCCAAAACTATGACAAAATTTTGAGCTGTTTTTTCTGCTTCAAGTCTCTGGTTTTGTGCCACAACAAACAAGTGTGTAGAGACAGATCAAATTGAGGCTTGTAATTAATGCAATCCCCCAAAACAACATTGTCAAATTGCCTCCAAATCTGTGCTCACGTTTTGTGCTAGTTTTGAGCCACAACCCGCAGGTTTCTGACAGCACTCACAACCATGCAACAGACAAAGCTTGCGCTGCCTCCAAAACCCCCAACCTTGTCATATCTTCCAAACCTTTGGACGTTTTGTGCTGCAAATATTGGGTATATGGTGGTATTAAAGGTAAAGGGACCCCTGACCATTAGGTCCACTCGTGTCCGACTCTGGGGTTGCGGTGCTCATCTCGCTTTATTGGCCAAGGGAGCTGGCATACAGCTTCCGGGTCATGTGGCCAGCATGACTAAGCCGCTTCTGGTGAACCAGAGCAGTGCATGGAAACGCCATTTACCTTCCCGCCGGAGCGGTACCTATTTATCTACTTGCACTTTGACGTGCTTTCGAACTGCTAGGTTGGCAGGAGCAGGGACTGAGCAACGGGACCGAGCAACAGGAACTCACCGCCGACCTTCTGATCAGCAAGTCCTAGGCTCTGTGGTTTAACCCATAAATCAATGATTCCGAAACACCTCCGGCTTTGTTCCGTAAATTCCTCTCCAGTGCCCCCTTACACTATAAAAAGGATTATTCAGAATAGCAGTTTGCACGATCCGCCAAGGAAGATAATAAAACAATAAAATTCAAAACAGTTACAATTAATTGCACATTTATCAAATTAAAACTATTTAGCTTAATTAAGTCAACAAAAATTATGAACTTGATCTGGTGATACCAGCTTTTCAAAGGGATAGCCATTTACACTTCCAGTGATCCCTGCCACTTCCTTGCCTCTTAGCACCACCCAAGTTAATCCTGATGCCCCTCAGGGGCTGGTACCACCCACTTTGAGAATTATTGAGTTAAGCGAACAGAGGAGTAGCAAACGGTTAGCTTTTATATTATTTATATTAATTATTATTATTATTATTATTAGCAGGAGGAGGAGCATTATATCACCATCAATTTTACTTTTACGGCCAGGGAGGAGGAAATTTGTGGTATTATTTAATGGTGCTTATTGGAAGCACTCATTGCTTTGCGGGTGTTAGTGTTTTGATAATACTTTACTACCTGATAACACCTTAAGGGCAGCTTTTTAGTTGTTGGTTGCAGAATTAGTGAAATTTTAAGTATCTAGCTGAGAGACTGGCAGGACATGCTGACTAAGTGCAAACTATTGAATGACTAAAGACTAAAGTTCATTTGGAATTAGGTGGTGTTTAGGACCTTTGTATTAATGGACTAGCTTGAGCTATAAAGGGCTTGACTATAGGCAGATACTTGCATATGCTGTGATTTCACAGGAACAGGAAAAAATGCAGAATGTGATACTGGGTCCAGAGTTTACCTTTTGGAGCATCAATTGTTCTTTTTTCAACTGCTTTTAATGTTTTTTAAAGAAAATACTGTTTTTTTAAAAAAATGTCTTAACATGTTGATGTTTGCTGCCCTCTGCTCCTTTGAGAGGAAGGGTAGGATAGAAATTTAATTATTATAATTAAAAGAACCTCATAAATGTAATTATTATAATTAAAAGAACCTCATAAATTTATACACCGCTTGTAGAAAACCTCAAAGCAGTTTACAAAAAGAATAAAACAGTAAGATCATTAGTTGGAACAATTAAAACATTCATATAAAATTAAAACTAGCAATACATCAGCATTCTAAATATCTGAGTAGGCTTGTCCAAACAACAGTGTTTTCAGGAGGCGCCAAAGAGTGCAATGAAGGTGCCTCCCTGTAGCGGCGGAGCAAGTCGATCGGGCGCCTGGGGCTGCGCACAGGGCCAGCCGCCCACGGGGATGGGGCCAGCTGAGGCAGGACACTCCGCGGGGCGTCCGAGGAGTCTGCCTGCCTCCTCCCACTCAGCCGCCCTACAGCTAAGGGGGAGGCAGCGGGTGGACCGTTTGGGGCATCATGGAGCCTGCGGGTGCCCAAGTTACCACGTCACTCCCAGGAGAGACATGTGGCTCGGGCACACTGCAGGCTCCATGGTGAGTGCCGCCTGGTGTTTTGTCACCCCCTCTCAGTGGTGACACCCGGGGCTGCCTGCCCCCACCGAAGCCCCCTTCATCCGCCTCTGCCTCCCGGATGTCAGTAGACAGGGAGTTCCAAAGTGTTGGTGCCACCACACTAAAACATTGACTTTTTATAAATGCAAAACGGATATTTTGTGGCACTTGTAACAGTGTCAGTTCTGTAGATTGACGCGCTCAAGAGGGTATTTATGGATGAGGTAAGGTGATCTTGCAGGTAGACTGGAAAGGGGTTACAGAATAAGATCTCCAGTGTCTGGGAATGTGGCTTCAGTGTGCTACATATTCTTACAGCTTCTCATGACTAGCAAAATCAGAAGAAATGTGCAAAATGAATCAAGAAATTAGTAAGAAATTGCTTGCATAAATTGCTACAAAATTCTGATTTCTTGGGTCAGAAATCGGATTTCTAGATTCAGATTTTTTTTTTAAAAAAAAGCCCTGGTTTTTTTTAGAGCCCTGGTTGTATCCATTGATTGAAGGATTAGCACAATTGAATAGTTTTTGAAGAGGCTATAGGAGCATTCTTTACAGCAGGGACTAGTTACATTATGTTACTTGAGAATCGAAAACATAACTAAGTTTCCTTTCCGCCATGCTGATAAGTATTCGATCATCGCCACATGTTGTAGCTGATGACTTCAGGCTTAGAAAACCTTGTCTCCTTATATGAAGCTCTTGTGCTTCAGTCCTTGACATTTTACAGAGAAAATCAGTCTTACTGATTAACAATATACCACACATTTAGACAGCTGTAGCTAAACATCTGGATGAGATTATTTGGTTTGGGAAGGAGGGGGGGGACTGGGGCAGTGATTTATAGAATGTTTCTTTGGCTGTAAATCCCAGCTGTAATTGGGACTTCTCGGTCCTTAATTGTTTGCAGCAAAGAGTGAAACTCAATGGTTCCCAATTCATAGCAGGGTCCAGAAACCCAGCCGGTAGGGAGCAGGCTCAGGCTTGTTGCTAGGTTACTGTTGCCTTTTGTTTTGGTCCCAGCTCAATCGTGTATTTAAGGCCATGTATACATTTCTCTGCATTGTTAATGTAATTTGTTCAGGCAGTAAACCGCCAAGTGCAGTTGAAGGAATCTGATATTCAGAAACACCAGAGGCCAGGTTTTTGTGGGCAGGTTGTGGTTTGAGGCCTAGAAAAGGATGAAAGATTTGAGGTAGGTCATTGTGATCATATGCTGTATATATCAGCAAGCAGGCCTCCATACATTGTGATGGTGTCTCAGTTATTGTGAAACTCTGCAAAATGGTTTGGCAACCTTGATGTATTGTTTTGGCCTTGGAAGGATTTCAGACCTGCTCTAGGGGCTATAATACAGGCTTTTCTTACTAGGAGAGAAAATATTTTCTCTGTATTAAAAAGGGTGGAACTTCAATAGAAGTCCCGCACTGATTCTTACAAATGCTGAAGTTGTACAAAAAAATCTTGGAAATTCTGGTCTGGTCTGAGCTGTTTCTTTCTTAGTGCAAAAACACTTGGAATATTCCTTAGAATATTCAAAAGTTTTTAAAATAGAATTGTAGGCTCTGAAGGGAAGTTATCAAGCACAACCCACTTCTTAGTGCAGGAATGCATAGGGCTATCCACCCTCTGTTTAAGTACCTATAGCAATGTTTTCTTTTAATTTATAAATGAACATGCTGCTTCTTACTTAGGGAGTCCCCAGAGTATTAAAAAACAATTATCTTGTTTTTAGATTGCACCATTTTGATAGGCACAGGATCATCCAAATTTGCATTTTTAGGTAATAATTGTGCTATCTAGATGCTCTTAATCAGATTGATCAAGTTTTCCTCTGTGGGAAGGAAAGCACAGAGAGTTAGTCCAGTAAAAATAATGTTAAATTTAAATAAAATTGCAGAAGAAAATGTTTTAAAATGTATTAAAAGTTATAATATACAGCTTGATGCATTCACCTGAGTTATTTTGGAAATAATTGAAAAGTAAGACATGGCATTGGCCTGGCTTGTGCTTTACTTTTATGTCACAGTTAAACTAAATTGTGATTTGAACATGATTGTTCAGTGTGCTCCATAAAATTATACAGTGGTACCTCTGGTTACAAATGCCCCGGCTTACATTTTTTTTTGGGTTACGAACGTTTTTAACCTGGAAGTGAGTGTTCCGAGCTCTTGGAGGCCTCGCCGCTGACCGGAGCCAAACCCGGACATCCGCAGGGTCTACAGAGGCTCCGCAACTGGGCTCCAGCAGCAGGAGCACTCCAAGGCCTCTGCAAATGCCGGAAGCCAGGCCCCGACATCCGCAGGATGCCCAGCAGGTCGCGTCCAAGCCCCAAAGTTAGGTAAGGAACACTTACCTAATGAAGACCAAGAGCAGTGAAGTTGTTAAGAAAACAAAGATGAGCCTGGGCCGAAAAGCCCTTTACCAACCCTTGCCCCTCCCCCAGCTGTAGCAAGATGGGTGGCACCTAGCCAGGTAGGTCCACCTCCCCTTTGGGAGGGTGTGTGTGGAAAATTTTGGGATTCTGCAAGGGATTTGTTTATGTGAGTCTGCCCTGTGTCTTTGCCTCTGCTTTGCTTCTTCGTTTGGGGGACTTCTGGGGGACTGTGCCTTCTGCCATTGTTTTTGGGGTCCTGTGGAGCCCAGTTCAGCTACTGGTTGACTGTGTGACTGCAGAAATGGATAAAAGCCCCCCATCCAAACAATGACTATCATCAGTGCATGTAAGAAATAAAATAAATGTTAATTTTTTTCATCTACAATACTGTGTTATTTATTTTATAGTAAAGTACATTGTTTATTGCCTTCATTTTATGGATCAATGGTCTCGTTAGACAGTAAAATTCATGTTAAATTGCAGTTTTAGGGGTATTTTTCATCATCTGGAATGGATCAATCCACTTTTCCATTACTTTCAATGGGAAAGTACGCGTCAGGTTAAGAACGGACTTCTGGAACCAATTAAGTACTTAACCTGAGGTACCACTATACATGGTGTGGTGAAAGCAGATAGAGAGAAGCTTTTCTCCCTCTCAGTCATCAGTGAAGCTGAATGTGAAAAGGTTCAGAACAGACAAAAGTACTTTTTCACAGTGCGTGGTTAAATCATAGAGTTCCCTATCACAAGATGTAGCATTGGCTACCAATGTGGATAGTTTTAGATGGGGCTTAGACAAATTAATGGAGGATGAGGCTATCAGTGACTACTAGTTACTATGGCTGTGAGCTACCTGCAGTAGGATGCCTCAGTATACCAGTTGTTGATGTACATCAGATGGGACAGTGCTGTTGTGCTCAAGACCTGTGTGCTAGCTTCCCATTGGCATTTGGTTGACTGCTATGAGAACAGGATACTGAAGTAGAGGGCCTTTTGTCTGATCCAACAGGGCTTATGTTCTTAGAACAGGCTGCAAGGGAGTCCATTTTGTTAGCATCTTTACAATGATAACAACACATTGATAATTGGATAGATCTGTCAATTTCTGCTAGAATAATAGCCCTTTTAGATTTGGTTATTAGTGCAATAGATTGTGGGTCTACTATGGAGTATCTTTCTTTTTGAAAAACATTTTACAGGGTTATATGTTTTATTCTTTCAGATGGATTCACATATGGCTGGAAAACCATGTTCAAATAGTGCTCATCACTGGTTTCTCATTAAACAGGAGAGGTGGTTTTTTTTAATTGGGGTGATTCAGGACTCTCTATTAGCAGTTTAGACCAAGAGTGGGAAAACTTTTTTCGGCCCAGGAGGCCACATTCCTTCATAGGGACCCTTCCAGGAACTATATACCTATGGAGAGTGGGTCCAGAGGCAAAAGTGGGTGGAGAAATGGAAGATATGCTTATCTTTGTAAAGTAGGCCACATTCCAGCTACACAAAAGTCAGATTTCTCCATTCTCCACCCAGACAAACAAGAGGCATTATAATTCACCCATTTAAGCTACTGAAGGAGGTTGTGGAACAGAGCTGGCGAGGGGTGTGGCCTAGGGAGAGTTCCAAGGGTCAGTTAGATTTTGTTCCTGGGCCTGTGGTTCCCCACCACAGGTTAGATCAGAGCACAAAGGGAATCCTTAGCACATTTTCAAATAACACAAAACTAGGAGGGATAGCTAGAAGTAAGTAGAAGTAAGGAATATTAGAAGTAAGTAATAACATTTAAAATGAACTTGATAGAATGGACTACTGTGCGGAAACTAATAAAACAGAATTCAGCTGAGATAAGTGTGAAGTTCTGCATTTTAGTGCAGGTGGCAGGGGGAAGCACTGCTATAAGATGGAGAATACCTGGGTTATTATATTTTTTTGCTATGCCTAATAAAGGATAGCTATTATTATATTTATATTTATACCCTGCCATTTCCTCTGACCAGACTAAATGCAGCTTACAGATAAAAACAAGAATCTCTAAAAACATAGAAAAACTATAACTAAAACAATTAAACATTAATAGAATAAAAACTATATACATATGTAATGTCTGTTTAGTCTGTTTAGGTGTAAAGGTTTTTTGGGATTCTAGTTGATCATAAGCTGAGTATGATTCAGTAGTGCGATGTGGCTGAAAAAAAGGCTAATGCAACAACAGCAACAACAATTTATTAATACCCCGCCCATCTGGCTGGGTTTCCTCAACCACTCTAGGCGGCTTATAGCATATATAAAAACATAATTTTAGGCTAAAGGCTGCCTTCATAGAACCACATTTTTCATGCCATGAGATGCAACCTTTCCATTTCATTCTGCACTACTTAAACCTAATGTGGAATACTGTCGAAACAAAATAAAAAAATTCCTTCCAGTAGCACCTTGGAGACCAACTAAGTTTGTTACTGGTATGAGCTTTTGTGTGCGTGCAAACTTCTTCAGATACACTGAAACAGAAGTCACCAGACCCTTATACTGTGTTTTGTTTTGGGTGCTGTGCTTTAAGAATGTAAATTTGGAAAGGGTTTAGGTGGGGAAGGCAACGGTGGTCAGCAATATTGAAAACAAATCTTATTAAAAAATGATTAAAAGAGCTAGATATGTATGGTTAGTCTGAATAAGGAAATACAGATGTGAGATGTGGTGGCATTCTTCAGATACAAAAAGAGCTGTCACATAAAGAAGGCAAAGACTTGTTTCTCTGCTGTTCCAGGGGACAGGGCTTGATCTAATGGGCTTTAGGGAGAAATGTCTTCATGGTAAAAGCAGCACAGCAATGAAATCAATTAGCTGGAGGCAGGCAGACCCTTTTGGGAGGTCCTGAAGTAGAGGACAACTCTTCTCTTGGAGATATTCTAGCCCTGGATTTTAAGGGGTTAGGGCTCAATGGCCTACAAGACCCCTTCCAGCTCTGTGTGGTTGATTCTGTGATCTGGCTGCAAAAATATTTTATGTAAAACTGAAATAATTTTACTTGGATTAAATAATGTTACCCTTCAAGATGAGGAACTATCAATAGCTAAAGAAACTTAGAACATGATTTTGTGGCATTAGTGTTCACATAAACGAAACCTTGATTTGTGTTCTTTTCCTATATACATAAAAATGTAAAATGTTGTCATGCTCTGCAGCTCATGTGGCCACCAATAGTTGGCCATGCCAACTGCAGCTTGAGGAATAGCAGGTCAGCCCATCCAAGTTGTTTAATGGAGGGGTTGTAAAGCACCCTCTCTTCTTTTAAATGTGTCTGCAGCAAGGTTCAAGGAAGGGTGAAGAGCCCAGCGGTTTAGAAAGTTGTTGTATGAAACACCTCCCCTCCTGTTAAACGCTGCTGCAGGAAGGTTTAACTGGGCAGGGGAAACAGCTTAGCAAGCTGTTCTGTGAAGCTTACCCCCCAAAACATTGCTGCAGCCAAGTTTAATGGAAGAAGGAGAGGTGAGGTGTTAATGGAGTGGGGTTTGGTCATATTTTTGGGGAGTAATACACTCACCCACTCCCCACACCCCTACAGCTCTCTGGATCTGAGAAAAATAAGCTTTTCAAGAAAGTGGCAAGCTGTCAAGAACTGCCTGTACTTGAATATGGAACTTATAGATCTGTATTCTAATGCCCTGTGTAGTCAGCCACTACATAGGTTGAATAGTTCTTGTGGGGTGAAGTGGTTTTATAGCAGAGGTGGCTAGCCTATGGCTTTCCAGATGTTGCTGAACTACAACTCCCACAGGGCCCAGCCAGCATGGCCTGTGGTCAGATCATAGGTTTTGTAGTTCAGAAACAATCAACCCTGTTTTATAAGGTCTGCAGTGCATCTCCTCTGACCTGGAAGAAATGGAAAGGCTTCCAAGGAGCCTGGGTCTTCACATGTGCAAAGTAATACCTACGGTGCCTGGTTCCTGGCTCTCACCTAGCTGCTGCCTAAGGCCCAGCACTGGTATGTATTTATTTCTGCTTGTGTACCATGATGCCTTTTCTTCATAAAACAAAAGGGAATCATGCAAAACGCAGTCCCTCTTTATGTGAATGACATTTCCCCAGGCTTTGAATGAGGAGGTGGGGCAATCTATATCTTGGACGGGAGGGGTGTACTCTCATTGTCCCCTTATCTCAGGAGGATCTTGTGACTGGAATGGCAAGAATCCTACTGCCTAAAACCGACTACAGGATTGGAAATGGTGGTTTATTGAAGCTGCCCACAGTACTGTACATTCTCTCAGCTGGGGTGAAGTGGAGGGAGGCTCTTTCTGTTGCTCCTGTTTCACTGGTAGTAAATGTCATTTGCTTCTCGAGAGGTTGCAGAGAGCTTAACAGTGTCATGGGATCATGAAGTCTTACTGGGTCTATGATACTGGCATGAATGTTTCTCTGCAAAATCCTCTGAAAGGAAATAATAGAGTTTCCCTACTGCCGGTGCTGTCTGTGAAATTGTGAATTTCACAGACAACTACAAGCTCTCCTCTTTTGAGGAGAGAGGATAAGGATTATTAAAGGCTTTGGAAGGGGGGCAATGTAGACATATGTATGGTCTAAAATAGGGAAGAGGGGGAGATAAGTAAAGGACATGAAGGGGGGTAAATTTTAATTGCTGCTTACGATTTGTTTCCTGATTAATCAAGGAAAGTGACAGCTTTGCTAAAGTCTAGCAAATATTTTAGGACTTGGCACTTCTAAAGAGCTTTGTATTTTGCAGGCTGCAAAGGCATACTAGGTAAACATGCACCAGTAGCTTGTTAAAGTATATGTTACATTTTTTTCAGAAGTCTTAAACTCTTTCATTGGGTTTTACAGTATATGTGTGTGTTTAATTTTAATTGTTTTAATGTCTTAAATACAAACATATGATTAAAAACGTGATCCATGGTCCCTGGGAGAAAGCTTTGTGTAGGCTTAAAAAATGTTGACATTTGAAGCTTTGGACCTAATCTCTGGAGTACTGTACTGTAGTCTCTTGAATATCTGCATGAAACCTGAACTGAAAATGCTGCTTTTTGGAAGTCTGATCCAAAAATCCAGAGTGCTATCTTTAATGGCTCAAATCAAGAGTAGGAAACATGTGGCCTTCTAAATGTTGCTGGACTGCAACTCCCAACACCCTTGGTTGTTGGGCAAGCTGTCTGAGGGTGATGGCCATCAGTGGGCCACTGGTTCCCCATTCCTAGATGGTATGGGCCCAGGATATTAAAAGGAATATATAATTTCATATAGGTTCTTCCCCTACTCCTCTGCAGGAGACATGTTTTGCGTGCAATCATTGTTTGGAGTTGAAGAACTCGGTATGGCACCGGTGGACACCACAGAATTCTCAGACATTCTTCATGGCATGTGCCAAAGCACCCTTCCCTTCCCAATTAATTTTTTAAAAATTGAGGCTTTTGCTTTTTACTGGTTGTTTGAATGTGGGCTTCCTGGTTTTCTTTTGATTTGGGGGTTTGCCTGCTCTCTCTTTTTGTCTGTTTTACTTCCTTTGGTGTGTATGTGTAGGTGTTCTGCCTGTTGTGTGTGTGTGTGTTGGGGCTGTTCTTAGTATCACCAGTTTTTCTTTTGTGAAATAGGTATTTTGTGGTGCCCACAAGCATTTCTTAGATTTTCAAATGGGCCACAAGGCCTAAGAGGGTTCTAGAACCCTGGTTTGGAAGATAAGTTTCACATCTAATAGAAAAATAGCTTCCCCCAGCTACTGCACCTTCATTGTGTAATTCCCTCCCCATGGAAATTTCCTGAGTTTGCTGTAAACACATTTTTATTCTCCCAAGATTTCTTAAAACTAAGATTCTTTTTGTTTCAATATGAACTAAAATGTTGGAAATGTTTTTGTATTGTATATTAGAATCAATATTTTATCACTCTTCATACTTCCTTTGTGAGATGTTTTAGATGTTTGTAAAACAGCCTAAAAATTTAAATATTTTTTTTTCCATTTTTAAGAAAGCTTTTCTCAAGGCACAAAAAATGCTTTCTACCAGGGTCTAGGGTCCCACAAACACTTATTGCTATTGATGATACCAGGTTTGGTTTTAACACATAACATGGATGACACGCAGGTAATATCATACCAGAGTAAAATCTTCAGATTATTCCGTCCACGCTACACTGGCATTCTCCTGTGATGAGACAATTCTGACAGTGTCTCTGTAGTTCTCTAGGACTAGTTCAGTGCTAATTCTCTGCTTTAATTGACTCCATTAAACTTTACCATCTAATGTGCTGTGCTACCAAGACGAGGCCTGCAGAGCTTGGAGTAGAAGCTCAGTTGTGTGTAAGTGGCTGTGAAGAGCCCTCTGTGCACTGTATGAATAGGCCACATATCCATGGAAACCAGAGCAGGCTGGCTGGTTGACCTTTGACCCACTTGTTGCCACCATCCTGTTCAACCTTGGTATGCCTGGATTTGAAGCTCCAGTGTTCTGCCTCTTCACTTTTCCCATGGGTTGAGAGGCCCTGTTGCCTTTCAGAGGCTTCCTGCAGCTCTGCCTATGGCCACAACATCAGTTTTTTCAGTCCTTCCCCCAGTGAGTGTATCTTCTCCTCATAGGTCATACAGCCCTTTCATTGCACATAAGAGACAAGCTTTTCACTTCACCCAGCGGATTTGATATTAAATTTAATAGCTGACCTAATTTTGACATGCAGCAGGGATAGTTGCTGTGAAACCTTTGGAGGGTTTTTGTTTTGCCTTAGAAGTTAACAGTCATTTGCAGGGAGGGCAAACATTTTCTCTCATTTGAGGCAAGTGCAATTGAGCATGGTATACTGTCTTGTGAGGTGGGGAGGAAAATCTAAAAACAAGGGTCTATGCTGTCCATAATGGAAAACTGAGAGAGAGGCACACACACTTATTTTCTTCAGGGTCTAAATATGAATAACCACAGAGGCCCAAGGATTCAGTCTATTTGCTGTTGTTAAGGAATGTAAGCGACTCTGCGGGTTTATAACCTGGAATTTTGCATTTCCTCACACATAACCCAATTTGGAAAAGTTTTTCTTTTGTTGTTATGCTTTTGGAATTCACAGCTCTAAAACATTTTCATTCCTAGGGTTAATAGTCCCGAGGCAGAGTGTCCTGCTAGAACTCTTGCAGCTGTTAGGATGCAGACCTGTGATCTGTCACGTTACATCAACAAACAAACTGCAGTTTAAACTTTAGCTTGTATCCCTCAAGGAGCAAATATGCTCTGCTGAATTACGCCACCCTCTCCAAATGCTTTATTTAATTGTTAAGGGTGGGGGTGAAAACCTGGTGACCCAGCAGCTAATACTGTAGCTATGTAAACAGGCAAAGAAAGTGCCTCTTGTGGGTGTGGGGGGTTGGGTGGTGTAAAGGCACTGAGGACACGTTTTAGGCTAGCTGCTTAAAAACATAATAGCTTAATTTGCAAAGCTATTGAATTCCTAATCACTTCTTTGTCCCTACTAGTGCACTGGAAATTTATAGGAATTTGGTTGCAAAATTATGGCTGTTATTTTAGAAAATAGTGTACCAACTTTGCTTTTTCTGAAACTGTTTGTGTAATATTGGTTGCATCCAGCTAACTTGCATTTGTGATAGACCCATTGAAATTAATAGACCCAAGTTAGACGCATCTATTAATGTCAGCAGATCTATTGACCGTTGTGTGACCATTGTTGAATACAACCCAGTATCTTTTGCCATGTCTTGATAGTACTGTTGGTTTGCATTTGTCCTTTGTTTTTGGTGTTAGGAAGGAGAATGATTTTAACTTGAAACCATACTGTTTTATTGCAACATGCTCTATGTAGACCATTTAAAAACTTCTATCAGAGCAGAATGATGCTGTGAAAATTTAGACTGGTGCCAAGCATTGAGATCATGTGACCCATTTATTATTATATCAGCAGTACTGGCTGCCTGTTCATTTTCAAGTGCAATTCAAAGTTCTACTTAACAACCTTTTAAAGTACTTAACAACCTAGAACCAGGCTACTTGAAGGACCACTTCCTTCTATGTGAACATGCCCACCTTCGTAAGATTGATGATGATGACATCATGTGCTTGCCACTGCTCTCCAAGGCATAGTTGATGGTATTGCAGAAAAGGGCTTTCACTGTGGTAGCACCTCATATGTAAAACACCTTGACTTTTCTCTTTGTGTTCTGCTGGCATTTGAAGACATTTCTTTTCCAGTTCAGTTCAAGTTTATTGTTGTTTAATTGTGATTTATTGATTTATTTAGCTCTGGCTTTCTGGGTTTATATTAAAAATCATTTTTCGGTGCGAGTGCATGCATTTGTATTTTAATTGACTGGATTTGCTTTTTATATGTTGTGTTTTTAGCTGTTTTGAATGCTCCATTTGGAGAAGAAAATGCTGGTTATAAATTTTATTATAAAGAGTGTTAATACTCACTTTTTCTGCTGTTGGCTTGTTAAAGACTTGGGTACTTCTACACAAGACTTTTGGCATGGAATTGCCAAGGTTTGTTCACTCATTTTTAATGGGGCTTCCACATAACACCACCATCCAGTCATTGTCCTTCTGTGTTTCCTGTGGTTTTCCCATCTTTTCTTGGACTGCATAAACTCTGGGTTTTTGTTTAGAAGACTGGAAGCTGGCGTGATTTCTCTTGGTGTCTATAGCCTTAGTGTGATTTTGTTTAATTGTTATAAAAGGTTGGGATTTCAACATACGTATTTGACATTATCAAGAAATGAACCTATTGCCACTCAGCACATCTTCACACTTACTGGTTCTTAGTTTGAAAGAGTTAGCTTTCCTGTTGGTGCCATGTCATCAGTAATAATTTTTACCAATTTTTTAAATTACATGCTTCCCTGGCAATATTTAAAATATATTGAAACATTTATGTAATATCCCTTGAAAGAGTGTGTTAGTGCTAATTTGAAAGATGATTTTAAAAAACCATTAGCAGTGGTGAATCTCTTTCCTCTGCCGGGTCAAATAAATAGAAACCATGATGTATAGAAAAGATGTATCCATAAATGAATGGTGAGGCTAAAACGCCAAGGACATTTGGACAAGTGGTAGGCCTTTCTCCCCCAACAGCCATTTTTGGAGATGCAACCTCTCCCCCCCACCCCAATTCATCCCCCCAGCAACCAATTGAGATATTTTAGCAACCAGTGATGTTGTTTTCTCTAGTGAATTAAACCAGTCCTATCTACACTTCTGATTTGAGGGCAGTTCTCACAGAAATACCTTGCTTGGTGAAATTTGTTATATTAACTTCCACTGAATTGGTTTTCAGCCCTTCCCTCTAAACAATTACATCTGGAAAAGTGATTCCATATTTCACTCATGTACAGGGATGTTGGGCAACTAAATCAAACAAATCTGGCAAGAATTTGGGCAGATTAATTTAGTATTCCTGAAAAAAAAAGCTCAGCTTCCTCCAAAGTCTTCAAGCATTATTGTTGCTGTTTGTTTTTTCATACAGCGCTTCATAGATGTGCATCTAAGTTAGGACTTGCAATCTAGATTTGATTTGGGCAAGGGGGACAGTGGGGGGAGGGGAAGCAGGGGTAAACAGGGAAACCTAATGTAATTATTTCTATTATACATACATATTTCTTAGATTATATCAGCCAGGTTACATCACTTGATCTTACTCTGCAGCAAAAATGGCTATTATAATTTAGAATAGCACTAAAAATAGATGAGGCGTGGAAACTGGGAAGACCCAGCAAGACCCCATAGGAACTGCCACCATCTTCACTCACTAAGGGGAGTCAGTAGCAATTTAGTAATCCAGTTATCCTCATCAGCCAACATTCAGAATACTGTAAGCCCCAGGCACATCTTATCCTGAAAACAGTGTAATTGAGTACATATTTCTTTCAGGAGACTGGCAGTGCAGGTTTCTGCCCTGCTTTCTAAATATTTCATTGTTCCCCCTACTTCCAAACAGAACACTGTCTATAGGCCCTGGAGAGCCTGTAAGTATCACTCGTGATATATAGGAAACCGTATTTGGGATGGGAATGGGGGAAAACAATGATAAACTATCTGAAATAGTTTGCCTCCCTATGCAACTCCCTGCAGTTACCCTGAAGGATGGACAATCCTCTTCCCCAGTGATTTTTGTTGAAGCTGCCAGTAGGAGGTTTTTCTCTGCCCCCACTACTCAAGCGAAGTACATTTATTTTCACAGAGAACTGGCTTTTATAGAGAGGTTTTTTTTCAACAATTCCAAAATCTATAGTATTGCCCAACTGTGAAGACAGATATGAGAGAAATATTAAAATTGTTTGCAAAAAATAATAATACTAAATGTCACACAATATGAGATGTGTGAATGGTGCTTGTGAGTGCCTGGTCTACACAGAGAGGAACATATATAATCAGATCCGAATACCCTAGATTAGGGTGTTTAAAACTAGAGTAAAATTTGTTCATGTCCAGATAACCTCTACGCCATGTGCGTAGCAAGGGCAGGAAATCTGGTCATTAACGTTTGTAATTGGTTGTAGCAACTCTTCTTTTGTTTTTCCTTTCCTCCGCCTCCTGGTTTGCTGCAGGCTTCTTCCCCAAGAGAAGAGACTGCTGACATGCAGTGACTACAGCAGTCCTGGGCAAGCCAAGGCCTGTTGTCTGCACCCCATTGTTCCTGCCTAGGATTGCAGGACCACTGGATTGTTGTTTGAATTGATGAATGTTAATCCCCAGCTGAGGGGAAGCTATTTGGCAAATGGCAGGTTAATGTGCAGACAGCAGGGTGCATTGTACTGTGTGTGTGGCACAACAGCATGTGGGAGAGAAATGGTTAAAATCCTTTTCATTCCCCCACTTGCAGAGGAGGAGGGAAGGTAACAAGCAACCAGGGCTTGTTCTAATCTCTCTGGAATGTAACCATTTTGAAACTTTTATAGCTTCAATATGCCATTAACTCTTCTTTTTTTTTTTATACACACATGGCTGTACAGTGAACGTCTGTTTGAGGCACAGTCTTGCACTTAGAGGGGTGCTCAGTTTTCCACACTGCCCCTGTACCATTAGCTTAGTCTCTTTCCTTGTATATTTTTCGGAGTGTTTCCCCACCCCCACATGCTGCCCTCTTAAATTGTTTAAAATGAGAAGGAGCCTTTATACAACCTTCATAGAGGCACCCCCGCCTCATTCGCCAGCAGCTTCTCTGCTTACCAAATGGATTAGAAAGCCCCCTTTGTGACCAAGAGTGTTGAAGGGTGGAGCATAAAATAAACCAGCTGGAAAACGACAACACAGAGAACTTTTAATTGGGTAGAACTTTCTGCACGTCTTCTGTGGGTATTTTGGGTTTCATGGCTTCTCAGCTCTTGCCAGTGCTTCCTAGAAAGCTGACTCACCAAATGGGGTGGTGCACACTGTGTCCTAGTAGTTATGGGTGGTGTGAGTGTCTTTGAAAATGACTCTGCAGTAAACTGCAAGTGAGCTCACATCACCACTCAATGTTTGGAAACAGATTGGAGCTGTACAGCAGCCAGATCCAGGGACTTCCCCAATCTAACCAGATGCTTTGATCTTCAGGCTTGGAGAGCAGATCAAAGGCAGTCATTTAGGAAACTACTTCTACTGTACTCAGAGCCCAGAGTGTACTGTAGGTCATTGCGCTAGCTAGTTGGGGGTCATGGGGCCAGCTGCATACCAAACATACTCCTTGTACAGATGACAGCCCTGGCTCCCTGCCTTTTCCACAATTGGCTGTTATTGGAGCCTTGAAGAATAAGATCTGATTACAGATCCTCAGCCCAGTTTTATGTAAAGGGCAAGAATTCAACACTAGCTGTATGAATCTCGCAGTAACATTTTATTATCACAGTTTTCCAGTGGGCAAATGCATCGTTTCCTTCTCTCACTTCATTGTCCTCCTAATGCAGGAGTGGGGAACTTGACCCTCCAGATGTAGCTGGACTTCAGCTCACATCAGCCCCAGCTGGCACGGCCGTGGCCAGGGATGATGGGAATTTTAGTCCAGCAAACATATGTAGGGCTACAGATTCTCCACTCTGTCATAAAGTAATGGCCTAAAGTATTTGCTCCTTTCATTCTGCCTAACTGTTATGGACTGTACTCTCTTTTTAAAAAGAGCATTAAGATGATTTAACAATAGACAAAAATGCAATAAAAGCATATAAATCAAACTTAAACAATTGAAAAACCATTTCCAGAAATACCAAATTAGTAGTAGGAGAAGGGCAACTTGGAAAATATACTCTGTAATACTAACAATAATAGTATGTGATTTGAGCCACCGTGTATTGAGAACTTTCTTTAACCACACACATCTTGAGGTAGGGATTCGGTTGCATGGATACATTCCACAGTTTGTGCTTTTGTGTGCAGAGAATTATATATATACAAAAACTGCTGGAACAACTGGGTTAAAGCATAAGATGTACAAGTAGTGTCTGTGCCCATGTTGAATTTCCATACTCTACATGGGAATGTATGTAGGATTAAAATTGAGTTATGGTTTAACATTCACAATATACCTTCTTAAGGCGAGTGAGTGAGTAAACAGCACATAGCAAGTAAGCTTTTGAAGGACTATGGGATAATATTTGGAGGCTGCCAGATTATATGTATTTACTTTTTATGATTGTACAGCCAGACATCTAGCTTCTGTAAATCACTGCAGTGAGTGAATTAGGAGAACACACATACAGTTGTGGAGACTATCTCCTTAAACCAGAGCTTTCCAAATTTTCATGTTGGTGACACACTTTTTAGACATGCATCATTTCGCGACACAGTAATTCAGTTTTACCAGCAAACCGGAGATTAAACTAACCCCTTTTCAGCCCCAAGAGGAGTGAGGGGAGCGTTCATGCAACACACTTACACACTGCAGCCGACACACTAATGTGTCACGACACACAGTTTGGAAAGCTCTGCCTTAAACTTTTGCAAACCAGTGCTTACAAGTGTCAATGGTGCCAATTTTATATGAATAAGGTCTAATTAATGCAGTAGCCTGCATTGTCTTTTTCCTGAGGGAAGACAGGTTTTGTAAAATGTGAACAGTACTCTTTAAATATTTTCCAGAGTTTTCTGTCTCGGGAAACGTTCCTCTTGGCTCACAGGTGGCAGCGGCTGCTGTTACAGTTGTCTTTTCCTTCTTTCAGGGCAAGGGCCCTCGCTTGTATGTTTCATTCACTTGTGCTATGGAGTTGTTAGTTTTGGCTATATTCTGCTTTGAGTTTGGAGGCTCAGTTTTACAGTTAAAATGTAAAAGGTTGAAGGGAAACAGTTCTGCATTGTGGGCAAGACTGGTCTGTCACAGTGGACTGTTTGTATGTTTTATAGGAATGAGATAAGCTCTCTTCCTGTTCCATGTCAAACGTACACAAATCCTGCTTCCTTTGTCCAAAGGTGCTTGGTATATTGGTTGCCTTCCAATTTTTTGTTCTCAATCTCCAAAGCGGGGGGGGGGGGGGGGAGAGAATCCAGAATCTTCTGTGTTCGGAAACCTTTGGCAATTGCTCTTTATTTTAAAATGTTTGCTCTGTTCCTGCAGAGGAATGTGAATCTGGCCTGGATACGGTGCAAATGTTAGCAAATAAAGCAGCCTTCCATAGGAGCTCAACGCTGCTGTGGAGGTGTTAACTATATCTTTACTACATCTCAGAAGTACAGAGAAGTCTTTGTCCACTACAAACCTTAGAAAAGCCCAATATTCACCTTTCTGGTAGGCTGCGTTAAATCAGAAAAACAGGAAGTTCCAACACATCATGCCTCCTATTAATCAGTCAGCGTAGCTGTACCATTCTTTTCACGCTCAAGCACCATAACAGTCATCAAGCTTCTCAGTACACACAATAGCATTTATGGAGTAATATTGGTTGTATAATTTTGCTTGGGCTGGAGTTGAACATTGTGCATGTTCTCTCTTGACGTTATGTCACAGCCAGATCATTGCCTGAAGATGGCAGGGATGCATACATTGTAAGGACAATGTCAGGAGCATTCATATGTCTTATGCGCTATAACTCAACCCAAACCAGATGTTTTTGTCAAACTCCATGGCATGTGTAATGTTGTTTGGGTCTTGGGAACATTTTACAGCCATGCATATTTGGCCTTGGACTCGCTTCCTTTTTGCAGAGGAAAATGCATATTTCTGCATCTTCTTCCAAATTTCAGATTACAGGAACAGGGTGTATGGATAAATATTTCACCCTGCAATGTTTTTCAGTGTTTCTCCTTCTACTAAGTAATAGACATCACAGAATACAGTAGAAGAGAAGAAGAGTTTGGATTTGATATCCCGCTTTATCACTAGCTGAAGGAGTCTCAAAGCAGCTAACATTCTCCTTTCCCTTCCTCCCCCACAACAAACACTCTGTGAGGTGAGTGGGGCTGAGAGACTTCAAAGAAGTGTGACTAGCCCAAGGTCACCCAGCAGCTGCATGTGGAGGAGCGGAGACTTGAACCTGGTTCACTAGATTACGAATCTACCACTCTTAACCACTACACCACACTGGCGGAGTGATGTAAAGAACAAATGGAGAGTGTATCAACGTCTCTCTGGTGACCCTAATCAGAGTGTAAAGGAATGGGTTCCCTTTGTCTGTAGCAGTTGCAAAATAATCATCCTCCCATTGCTTTCAGTAGATGGCCGTTTAATACGGGAGATCCACTTTGACATAATTGAACTTCCACTTGCCCTCCTAAATATCAGATCACTCGGGGTCTGAAGTTTGAAGCTTTACTTAAGCCTTTACCTAGTTGACCTTTGCTCCAAGGGAAGCCACATTTGTCCCTCTCCCAGTCTAGGCCACTTCATTCTTCATGGTACATTTTGGAGTTTTATTTTAGGTTAAGGTAAGTGGAATAAGAATATATGGGGGAAATACTGAGAAATAACTAGAAACACACCTAGGCTACAATTAAAACTTCCCCCATCTGATTGTGGAGAGATGGAACGTCTGTTACAGCCTCTTCCACCTATGCCCTGTGCTGATTCAAGATGGGAAGCCCTTGCTTCAACTCCCAGATAATCTCCTGTCCAGCCACCTGATTTTCTGGACTTTTTTCATGGGTCAGCCCAAAGGTTATTTGTTCACCCTTTCAGTAAGTTTCTGATTCTAGGCTTGTTGCATCATTACAACTCTTGTCTTTTTCCTGCTTTTGTCCCAATACACAGAGTGAAACCAGATGGATCATTAGCTTGGCCTCTGGACTTTTTATGCCTTTCCTGGCACAGTGCAGTGTGTGGAGGGTTCTTGCAAGAGGGTGAAAACTATTTTTGTTTTTTTTGAGTGCTAGCTATCCTTTGTATAACCCTAGATGTCTCCTAAAGCATTGTGCATATACAAGGATGTGCTGATATGTTTGTCTTTTGCAGCCCTCTCTCATTTTCCACATAGTTTCTTGCATGAAGGTGGGTACTGTTAGGGAAGAGGGGTTCAAAAGGGGTCAGAGCCACATCAAAAATTTGCTCTACCTCATTTTTCTTCTGCTAGAAAGGCCTGTATATTTTTAATTAATTAAAAGCATTGATAAAAGGCTTAATATTTCAAAAATCTCTAAGCAGTGTATAGCCTAAAACTCAATAAAGCGGCAGTGTAAAACACATAAAAGCAACTAAAGCAAATTCAGAGGAATAGTCTAGGGTGAGCTGCAGTTGTGGTGGGTGGCAGCATTGGCACAACAGCAGTGATCCCTTTACTGCATTTCAAGCAAAAAGTGTCTCCACAACCAAAAAAGGATAACTTGTACGGATTGTAAAATATTGCTGTTATTGATTCAACTTCTTGTTACTTGTTTCATTTCATTTTTTATCTCATGAGCCAAGCATCTCAATGGGAGAAATGATTTTATTGGAGGAAACTAGATCTAGTTCCCCATACCTGGCCTATTTAGTCCATCCTCCTGCTCTCATTGTGGCCAGATTCCTATGGGAAACCTGCAAGCAGGACACAAACACATCAGCGTTATCTCCACTTGTGATTCCCAGCAACTGATACTGAAAGGCATACTGTCTCTGGCACTACAAAAGTCAGCGTATATTACAAGCACAATTTGTTGTACAGGAGCACTATAAGGTATGATGATGATGAAGAAGAAGATGATGAAGTTCTATGGGCAGTTCACATCATAAAAGCCCTATTCCCCATAGAGCTAGAATTTCAGAGTGGTTTAACAGTCCTTTGACGGGATACTCTGGGAATTGTATCCCTATGAGGGGAATATTGGTCTATGCACAACTCTCAGTGCCCTTAACAATCTACAGCTTCTTTTGTGTTTGGGGAAAGCCCTGACTGCTTAAAATGATATAGCGATTTAAATGTATAGTGCGAGTGGTCTTTTGGATGGGCTAGGTGGCAGGACAAATGCAGCCCATCTGATGAAGCAAAACAGCTTTTGCTTCTCTTGTATTGTTCTGTGATTGCCAAACTTAAGCTTTTCAGAAGATAGTGGCCTTCTTAGGATTGAATCTGTTCCGATGGCCTGTTGTAACAGATCAGCACTTATTCATCACGTTCTACTTGCAACAGATAGTAGAAATATATGTTGGAGGAAATGTGAAGGTTTGTTTTAAGTTGAAGGGTTAATCTTCCATTTAAATTATTGGTTGTTCTGCCTCTAAATAGAGCATGCTGGGATTTCCTTCCAGCTGTTTTACATCATGAAGATTTGTGTGCTAGGGAAATTCCAGAGCACAGCTGCAACTCATCCACTCCACATTCCCAAATCTCCACATTTCACAGGACATACTGCGTTCAGCTATAGGGCATGGAATAATTTTCTTCCTCTGCTAAAAACACAAAATACCTAGTAATTCTAAGATGCATTATGTCTTACAGTTAGAGGAACTGCTTGTGTGAGAGATCCAACGGTGCAAGTTAATTTAAATTGCTTTAGTATTCTTGCTAGCAAAGTGTCGGGAAAATAAAATAAAAATTCCATGTTAGCACTACATTGAATCTGGTCTAAATTAAATTTAGTGCTATGCTGTATTAAATGTCAGTGTTTTAAAAAACAAAACTGGCAGATTGTTTTACATAGTTTGTGTTAAAAAATAATCAACTAAATACTTTCTGGAAAATCACGTTTATTGTCTTTGAGATACGGAGTTCCCTAATCTTAAATTCTGTGGAAGCGCCAACATACACAAGAATTTGCTGGATCATTGTGTTACACTCACAATACTTGTGCACATTCACAAGACACTGTGCCTGTACTCAGAAGCCCTGTTGAGTTAAATGGGACGGTATTATTATCAAGTTAGTGTCAGTAGCTCATCTACACCAATATTGCTGGGAATAAGTTTGGTTATATGCTCCCCCTTCTTTCTTCCTTTACACTTCCATCCTTATCTTGCAAATCTCTCTGTGTATATTTGTGTATGTGTGTGTTAGTCAGCATTGCTGATCAATAAATCACAGATGAGCAAGAAGGTAAAAAACAAACAAACATCAGCGGCATTTTAATTGTGAAATTGCCTTAATGTCATTGCATGTGGATTACATATTTTAGACACAGTGTTATCTGCAACATTTTAGACCTTCTTAATATATGGAGTTGGGCCAGTCACATTTTTTCTTTCCAATCCAGTGTCCGTAGCTTGTGTTGGAAGAAGAAACCATATGATCTGAGCTTCCATATGCTACCAAGGTGATCTGGGAGGCAACCATAAGAGATTTCCCATTACTATGATGCCATCTTTGTGACCTGTGAGATGGACTAAAAGTGCATCATAACTAGTGAGGAGGTTTTTGATATGAAAAACATAATCCTGCGCTTCAAGCCTTTTTGTATCTGAACAATGCTGAAAGTTGCATTTGTTTGGTTTCTTGGGCCATGAAGTTATTGTGAAATCTGTTGTCAATTTGATTTTTTGTGGCTTTATCTTCTTTATTTCAATATCTTTCAGTATCTGCAGGTAAAGTGGCCACTTCTAGATGTACCAGCTGGAGCTACACTAAAGGATGCAAGGTCGCCCTCTCCTGCACACTTGGTAAGTGTTTGTTGCTTGGTTTTGCGTTAACCCTTCCTGGTCAGACAGTATCTATAGGAATACTCTTATGCAAACTAAAAAAAGTTGGAGGAGTTTCTGCCTAAAGGAGAGAAAAAGAAGACTGTTGAAAATCAGAAGGTTTGTCAGATTAGAATCACTATCGTTGTTGGATCTTGACAGTATTAGGAGCTTGCACAAAGATACAGATACAACAGAAAAGCTGAAAACACTCTTCTTCAGCGTCTGCTTTTGTTGAGGGAGCACCCAAATCCTGATTCTTTAGGGATAAAAGAGAATGTCAGTCTATAGAAAAGCTATTTTAAATTAAATTGTTAAGTTCTGCCACCAAATAATAATTCAAGAAATTAGAAGAAACAAAAAAGTTGTTGTTGAACTAGACATTTGGGTGAATATTCAGGGTTCTTTTGCAGTCTTTAGCTGTTTTTTTCAAGAGCCTGTATAGTACAAGGTACCAATGCTTAGTAAAAGTCATTGAAAACTTATAATAAGTTGCTAAGCATTCAGGTTCCTCTTTTGTGATAATCATTTCAGTCTCTCTCTCTCTCCCCCCCCCCGCCCCCCGCACTTACCACAGAGTAAGGTAGAATAGACAGAACCTGAGTTTCCCATGTGAAAATAATTGATGACCATTTCTCAGCAATAGTTAACTTCATGGGCTACTTTTAAAGTTAGCACAAGTATTCAAAAAGAGTGAAAACTGAGGCACTTCATTCCCAAGCCGTGATACCTTGACTTAGGCTTTGGGAATTCATGAGGCAAAAACATCACTGGAAGCTTTGTTTGAATGAACGATAAAAGCCACCCCTCTATTCTCAATATAAGTGATATAAAGTACCTTTTAGTTCTCCCGCAGCCCTCTTGCGCCAATCCTCACAGACATTATTTGCTTGCTTGTTGTATCCACTACAGTTGCAAACCTGTTGACAAATGCAGTCCATGCATTTATGTTGAGAGAGGTGTTCCCAGCTGTAGTCCATTGCCAATTAATCTAAAATCAATATAAAAAAGTAAGCGAAACTTTTTGAGAAAATTAATATTACTGATGTTTTACTGTGGAGAAAGGATGGGTACAAAACTTTCAAATTCTGCCTTTAAAAAGAGGGGTTTGAAAAGTTGATGGCTTGATCCAACCAAAACAACAACATCAACACCCTTCTTGAAGGGTGAAAAGAGGCATACTCCCCATTCAGGCAACCCATAAGCTTCGCTAGTGAAGCAGTTTATTTCAAAATTCTCCAAGTCCACATTCATTGGCCTGAGTTTGTCTTGAAAGACTACTTTATCATCTTCTGCATAAATGCAATTTATATTGCAACCTGTGCCTATGTGCTATTCTCCTCCTGATCCAATAAATGATATAGATGGGGAGGCATGCAACTACTTGCTTGGTTGATTTTTTTTATCACTGTTTCCCTTTTCCCTTTTTCTGGGAAAGTGGGATTGAACCATTTTCACACCTTCAACTCCCTATTTACTTCAAAATGTTGTATTTGTTTTATGCACACGTCTACCACCACTGTAGCAGACAGAACCGATAATTAATTAATTAATTAATATTGTATACCACCCTTCGTCCGAGGATCACAACGCAGTTGTGAAAACACAAAAATTGCATACTATAGTAACAAACAAAAACAATGCCTCCCCCCAATACAATTTAAAAAGCCATAGGAGATAGTGGCTTCTGCACTTATAATGGGCATCTGAAGCACTGGCAATGAAGATAGGCTTACTCAGGTCACCTTACAGTCCCTTTTTAGTGTCAAGTGGTGGCAGTTATTGTGAGCAAGACAACCACAGCAGACTGATGACCAAAACGGTACATGAATTTAATGCAGTATCAATAATTTCCTTATAAATAAGCTGATTAGATCAAAGTTTTCATTCATACCATTTAAATTTATTTTTTGTAACATGGAAATCTAAACATGGTTTTTGCTGACAAGCTGAGCTTCCTCTTTATGAGTACATATGTGGATCTGTTCGGAAGCTATGAACTTCATATATTCTGTTAATGGGGTCTCCAATATTCTTGGTTCTAATTCTACTTTTATATTCACACTGATTTGTAATCCTGGTGCTCTGCTCGTTTGTTCTACATATACCAAGGAGCAAGGGCACACAATCTCATATTTTACATTAATGGGTTGGCACGTGGTAGAATTTCTAAGTGTAAAGACCTTTCCATATTTAGGATTGTGGATTGTTTTAGTTACTGAGATTGTGCACAGCCGGAACACTTTCCACACCTAAAATCACCACTTGTAATAGGTCCAATCCCGCCATGAACTAAATCTTAATGTAAAGTTTTACCTTTTACATTGGGTGATCTACGATAGCTTATGATAGGTAAAGCTTGAGAAATGTGGAACCATGTTGGCTGAGTGGGTTTCAAAAAGAGAGTTCAGAGTGGGAGTGGAGGAAGAGGAGTGTTTGTATGAAGGGGAAGAACATGTAAGTATGAAAGTTCAATATGCATGTAAACAGAAATGTTTTCAGGAGGTTTATTCCTTGATCATATAATGGCATATTATTGGCAGTTTGAGGATAATGTAGCTTGCTTTCTTGAGTGATTTGGTCTGAAAGAGTTTTGAGGTTTTTGCTGTGGGTTTGCTTTATTGGCTCACTCGCTTGAGGATTCTACTTTGCATTGGTTTTGAGGTTTCTGCTATGCCAGTGGTTTTCAACCAGTGTGCCGTGGCACCTTGGGTTGCCTTGAATGATCGTCAGGGGTGCTGCAGGGCAACACTGGCCTCTATCCCTCTTTCCTTCCCTCCCTCCTCTTTTGCCCTCTTGCGTCTCTGCCTTCCAAAGGCTTGCACAGCTGTTTGTTGCAACAGCCCTGGCTACATGCTCCCCAGGTGAATGGTGCCTCTGGTGTTGGCCAAGGGGTGCTGGTTGCCAGGAGCTGAGGTGGCCTTTGGAGTAAGCAAGCAGATGAGTGAGGGAGCCCAGCCAGCCTGCCAACCCTTGCTGTTGGTAACGGACAAACAAGTCCCAGGCCCCTGTGGGGCAGTGTGAGGAGGCACCTCTCTTTGGGACGGGGAGCATCTCAGAGACCAGGGGCGGCAGCTGTGGCTGCCCAGAGGACTCCCAAGGAGATGGGAGAGGAGGCTGATGAAACACTCCCAAAGGGAGGGTGTTCGAAAAAGGGTGAGAGGCTGACAGCTCTGCAAGCAAGCGGTGACATAATGGGGCTCCTGAGCCCCACAGGGGTGCCGCAGAAAAATGTAGTTGATCAAGGGAGCTGTGGACTCAAAAAGGTTGAAAACCTCTGTGCTATGCAGTTAACAGATTGTCTTTTGAACTAGGAACGCTCAACTAGGCACTTTCCCATCTTTAAAATTGGTAAATTGTTGACCCAGTATCAGGAATCCATGTTTGCTTGGTGATAGGAAAGTTGGAAGCATATAGATAAATGCCACATGGCATATATGTGTGGACAAACTATTTTCATTGGCTTTGCTGGCTCCCTCGGCCAACAAAGCAAGATGAGCGCTGCAACCCCAGAGTCGGCCACGACTCGACCTAATGGTCAGGGGTCCCTTTACCTTTACCTTTACCATTACTGTCATATAGGGATTGTTTGTCTCCTTGAAAATCATATTGTTGCCTTATGCAACCTTCTTGAGAAAGCACAAGTATTGACTACATTGTATTGAAACTGAAATTGCACAAATTCATGCTGCATACTTGCACTTGTTGTTGGCATCTGTCTGTCTTGAGACAGCGGAGTGTGCCTCTGGGTGTGAAGTCAAACCACTGTGTTAGCAGCACCAAAGTGACCTCTCTGGGGGGCAAGCCTGGGCAGGGTGTATGGAGGTCCTGGGCTGCCCAGATGACAATACCCCACTTTCAGCCTTCCTGATGTGGTCCAAAGGAAAGCAGAGCAATATGTTTGGCACCAGCTTGGCTGCAGGAGTTTAGAAGGAAGCATACAAGGTGCCATCTAGCTGTCTTAGGGACTTCACTCCAGATTTTTATAGGGTTCACTCCTTAGCCTTTTCTTCTCCTGAAGATGTCCCACAAGGTAGCAGGTGCAGATTTTTCCTCAGGGTTCCTGAAGGCTTTTTCATGAATGAGTAATAGCTGCAAGGCAGCAGAAGTTTTCCTTCTACCAGATGGGCTACCTTCCCAGGTTGATGAGCCCGATCTGCCCCTCATTTTTCACTACAGCATGTGCAGTTACCTCCTTCTTGACCGTTGGGCCCACTATTGGTCTTGTCTGCTCAATCCACTGGAGCCTGTCTTCGCATACAGGGGAAGTCCCTAACTCACCAAGGGTTTGAGACCCACAGACTACCCTCACCTGGTTTAGTAGGCCAGTCAAAGATGTTTCCCAGGGTGTGGCTGCTGTTGCAGGCTGACAGTTTCTAGGAGACACAGGTGAGAGCTGAGTGCAGGGTGGGGACCAAAGGTGGACAAACTACTCCAGAAGGAGCACAGTGTGCCCCCTAACAGAGGTACTACCCCTCCCCTAAAACCCTTTGCACCCTTTGTCATTAGTAAAGTTGTAATAATAAAATAATCATTAGGAAATTTGTAATAGTATGGAGAAACCCCCATCACAGGGAGATTTCGCAGTAGTTGTTACAGTCATGGCAGTCACCTTGAGCGGCACAATTCTGGAGTTGTGCATGTCTTTTGGCATGGATCCCGTTTCGGAGTACTGCAAGAGAATAGTTACTGAGGGATATTCATTTTGTTTTATTACAATTACTTGATTAGATTACCCTCTCTTCACTCAAAGAGCTTTAGAAACAGCTTTTAAAAATTAAAATGATAATAAACAATGTCAGTAAAATGATTGAAATTGTTAAAACAAAACAAACGAAACCTACTGCATAAAAGAAAAGTGAAACTAAATATTTAAAAACATTTGCAAATAAAAGGGCCTTTACTCAGCATTGTAAGGGCATTGTACCAGGACTGTCTTCCTGGACAGAAACTTCCAAATCAAGATACCACCACTGAAAAGGTCCTAACTTTGGTCACCACCTGCCTTGCCTCCAAAGACAGATGAATATGGTACAGAGCCTGCAAAAACCATCTCAAAACCTAGGCATGTTCATGCAGTAGAAGGTGTCTTTTAAAGTCCTGAGCTACTTTGGATTTTGAGAACCAGTACTGAACTGTGCTCAGAAGTGGACAGAGTTGTTTCAAGACTGGTATATTGTGTGCTGTTCAACCCTTGCTGGTCATTGACCGTATTAAAGATATTTGAATTTTTGCTGTTCAACCAGTTTTACAGTGTGCTAGTAACTGGAAAGCAAAAGTTCTTCCATCATATTCTATACAGTTTTTGTCAAATGACCCAAATTTTACCAGGAGCAGGTTGATTTAAAGAGAATGAGTATTGCAGGTTATGATCCTCATTTTCTTTTGTAGGTGGAACATTAAAAAAATTATACTTCAGTTCATCTCCAGTTGTAAGGAACCTGTATAAAGTTCTTCCCAATTTTTTGTGTCTGGTTTCATGATTTTCTCATGAAGTGATTTTAAGGTCTCATTTTGAGTTCTACTCCTGGATTGTGCAGGAGAATTAGGGGATAATCTCCAGAGCAGGCCTGGTACAGATTAGGAAAGGTATGGACAAGTTCAAGAGGATGCCAGTGAGGTTCATGAGCAAAGTAGAGGAGACACTGAAAGCCAAGAAGGCTTGCACCTTTAAAAAGTGGAAGTCTTGTCCAAGCAAGGAGAATAAACAGGAACACAAACTATGGCAAAGTAAATTTGAATTAATAAGACAAGTGGAAAAAGAATGTATGCAGTTGAACCACTAGATGACAAAGGAGTGAAAGAATTGCCAGAGGAGACTAGCCAACATAACAAATTTTAAAAGGGAGTTGGGGGAAGCCAGGATATTACAGACTAGTGAGCATAATGTCTGCTTGAAGTACATTGTTGGAAAACATTAAAACTAGAATTATTAAGCACACAGGAGGACAAATGTTACTGTGGAAGAATCAGCATGACTTCTACAAAACCCGGCTCATCAAACTTTTGGAATTCTTTGAGAGTATGAAGCAAATAAATAGGGCTGATCTGGGATCTGGTAGACGTTATATGACTGTGTCCCTTGTCAAAGCTCCTGAATAAATTTAGCAGTCATGGGATAATGGATTTGTAATTGGCTAAACAGGAAGCAGAGGACAAGAGTAAATGGACAGCTCTCACAATGGAGGGAAGTAAGCAGTGGAGTTCTCCAAGGATATATGTGGGGACTGGTAGTATTTAACTTGTTCATAAATTATCTGGAGTTGGTGGCAAGATTCAGGATTGTGAAAACCTTAGTGGATTGCAAGAGGTCCAGAAGGATCTCTCCAAACTGGGTAATTTTGTCCTTTAGAAAAGAATTAGATTACTGATTTTAGCTGAATAAAACCATTCTTTGCCATTTTGAAAACTTAAACATTTACTTTATATTTAATACATGACAAAATACTTTGAAATGATATAGCCCATTTTAATAGTGCACACATCCCTGCCAAGGCTGATAATGGACATTCTACCTGAGAAAAGTTCTTCTATATTATTACAGGAAGTGTGGTATGAATAAAAGTTACTTATTTCTCTTCTCAGCTGACTAAGGTAACAGAAGATTTTGAAACGCAACTAAATTGTGCATTAAAGTCCTGCTTTTCTCTTGTAGTCAAACAAAGTTCCTGTAGTGCAGCATCCACATCATATGCACCCGCTGACGCCACTCATCACCTACAGTAATGACCACTTCTCGCCAGGTTCACCACCTTCCCATCTCTCCCCTGAAATTGACCCTAAGACAGGTGAGTTTTAAGAACGTGTGGAAACACCTCCGCCCCAGAAAAACCCCACCCAGCATGTGGTAAATTGCCAGATAATTGTTAACTAGATAGTTATGAGAATCGAAGCAGAACAAAGTCAAAAGACGCATGCAAGTTTATTGAACGGTACAGTGTGAAATTCCTGGGGGAAAACATGTTTATATTTTCTAAATTCAGGTAAGGTAGGATTCCAGTTAGAAACTGAAAGTTGGACTGGGGGCATCACAACTGTGTTAACATCCATTGGTTTTTTTTCCATCACCAGGAATTCCACGACCACCTCACCCTTCAGAGCTGTCTCCGTATTACCCATTGTCTCCTGGTGCCATTGGGCAAATTCCTCATCCCTTGGGGTGGCTCGTACCACAGTAAGAACCACCAGTTTAAATCTATTCATTTCTTGCTCCCCTGCCCAGTAGGAACGGTTCCTCTCTGGTCTTGTGGAAATCCCCCCCCTTTTTTTTAAATGATCAGCGAGCATCTGAAATAACTTTCTGTTGCAGTTCCATAAAACCACAATCTCTGGTTCTTAGCTCTTCATCTGCTCAAGGGACCTCTATGGTTTTTGCTTTGTTAGGATGAGTCACATGCATAAGGTACTAAACCTTATAGATTAGTATGATGAGCTAGATTTTATTTATTTACTTATCACATTTGTATCCTATGCTTTCTTCACCCAATTGAGTAATTGAAGATTTGAAGGTTCCAAAATTCCCTAGAGCTTTGGAACAGCACAGACTAGGCCAGCCCAGTCCCTTATTCATGGGAAAAAATGATTTCTGATCAAGAGCATTTAGAGACAAAGACTACTTTGCTATATTTTCACATGGCTAGTGGTCTTTCTATTGCCTTCTACAGGTGTTAATTTTCAAATTACTTATCTGTCAAAAAAGTCATTATTTTCCTGTCAATAAAAATGTCAGAAGTTCATGTTGGGTGAGGAGGAAGTCACTAGTTTTGTTGAATTAGAATATAATTGTTGAGTAACAAATGTAACTTTCTATATGGAAAAAAGAATAAAATATTATTATAAAAATGTTAGAAGTGACCATTAAGTGGTGGTGTTTTTTTTAAAAAAAATAATGGTAAGTTTTGAGTCTGTTGCATCATTTCTTTTGTTTTCGATTCAAGCTTTCCCGTGCTCATCCACATGTAACAAAAATGGTACTACTCATGGAGAAGAGGGAGGTATTGGCAGTCTCAGGGTTACTCTGAGGTTTGCAGGAATATTAAGAAAAATCTTCAGTGAGGAAAAAATAATCAAGGGAAGGACTCATTGGCCATGGGATACTAACTGACTAAAAGGGAAACAACCCGAAAGCTTGGGAACCAGGGAGAAGGTGGAATTAAATGGAATGGAGTAACTAGAAAGGGAGAAAGAGGCATAGCTTTATGAAAAAGGACAGAATAAACAATTTAATATGGATATTTCCTCGTTCACAGTGAGAAACTATTTTTAAATGCCTCCAAGAAAGGATGTGAGACATGTTCACTTTAAATCAGTGGAGAAATCCAATATTTTGATGTATCTGTAACTGAGTGTGTTGCTCAATGGGGAGACACCATAAAGTGTTAAAAGACAGTGCCCTTATTCAGAGTTCCATGAGTATTCTGTGCATGTATTCCTTTGCATGTAGGGAATGACCCCCTTCACTGAAGTGAATAGAGTATGTATCTGTGGAAGCTCTGTATGTGTATTGGGCTTCTCATATTTTCAAGGAGTCCTTGCCTGGATCTGATAGTTGTTTTAGCAAGTGTTTGGAATAAATTACGTAAGTGTATATATGTGTCAATGTATATGTTCACTTACTTGGTATAATAAGTTTTGTTTCCAAAATTCAGGTTTTCAGTTAGCTTGTCATTTCGGCCATGGAATGTGGTTGTGGAGAGGATTGAAGTTGGGGTGGGGGCCAAAATGTGTGGTTTGGAGTCTGATGATGGATCAGCAACACTAACTATATTGAGTATATGGAGAGCTATTTATTTTATTTTATTAAATTTATTAGTCACTGTTTTACCCAAGTAACTCTAAGCAACTTACAATATATAAACAAACAGTTAATGTATATAAAAGCCTTCCCTGGCCATTAATACTATATTTTCCAAGTCAAAACAACTTCCACATTATTTGCAAAAATTATAAGAAAAACTGTTGCCTGATAGGAGATTCCATGCATATTCAGTGGTTCCATGGCTGAGTAGAATCTTGACAGGCCTCTTGGGCTTGCCGATCAGAAGGTCGGCGGTTCAAACCCCCGCGATGGGGTGAGCTCCCTTTGCTCAGTCCCAGCTACTGCCAACCTAGAAGTTTGAAAGCACGCCAAAAAGTACAAGTAGATTAACAGGTACCGCTCCGGTGGGAAGGTAAACGCTGTTTCTGTGCGCTGCTCTGGTTTCGGTGTTCCGTTGCACCAAAAGCGGCTTAGTCATGCTGGCCACATGACCCGGAAAAATTGTCTGTGGACAAACGCCGGTTCCCTCGGCCTGTAAAGCAAGATGAGCACCGCAACCCCAGAGTCGTCTGCGACTGGACTTAACTTTACCTTTACCTTTTTAATCTTAGTTTAACACACAAACATTTTCTAGATTGATACTTAAATTCCTAGACAGTGATAAAAAATTGTAATTTTGGGTCGTTTTGGATTATAAATGTATTTGGATCTGTGGCTGGCAATTGCATTGAAGAACCTGCTCTTGATTTTGTTTTTCTTGTTTGTTTTAGGCAAGGACAGCCAGTGTATTCCATTCCTCCAGGTGGGTTCAGACATCCATACCCTGCCTTGGCTATGAATGCCTCAATGTCCAGGTGGGTTCAAGCAGGAGAAAGAGGCCTAATTCTCACTGAGGTGGTGAACTTATGTCTGGCACCTACCACTTTAGATGGCAGGGAAGAGCTCACATGGGGACATGCTTTCTCATGAAAAAGAGTTCAGCACATAGAAAAACTGTGTGTCTCTTGCCTTGCATCTTGTTTTCTCTGTGAAGGGTGTCCCCCCCCCCCCCCACGGAGGAGCATTCAGACATGTGAGCTCCCACCTACAGAAATGGTTGCTGTTCCATGTGTGTGTAAATCATCCATTTTCTCTAGTAGATGCTACTGTCTGTTAGATTGCATGGGGTTGTCATGTCAGCAAAAGGACTGCATGCTGAATGGGAAATAAAGCCACAGGGATAGAGAAACTGGAACACTTTTCAGCCCATGATTCTGTGTTTATACTCAATGGCAATTTTGTACTTGTGGCATGCTGAGCACTGCATGCATTTACAGATAGATGTCTTGACTAACAGTGAGTGAGGCTTGTAAAGGAAAATGAACACATTTTTCTAAGAATGAACAGAGATCAACAGAACAGATATAAATTAGCATTCAAATATATTCAGTATAAGAAATGTATGGAGTTGCTTCAAAATAAAGGCAAAAAGATAGAATGTACAGGTGTATATTCATTCCCCCCCCCCCTTGTAGTTCAAGTGTTAGCTCTGATGAAAGTTGTCTGTGATTCAGTAGGGGCAGTAATAAGTTGATTGTTTATAGTATTGCCTCCTATTTCTGCCGTTGACCTTCTGCATAATCCTTGGGTCATCTGCTTCACTGTTCTCTAGTAGCTTGGCAAGGTACCGCGAAAAAGAGAGATAGGAAATGTTTAGGACACTCAATATTTTTGGAAAGCAGGGCATGAGGAAATAGGAGCATGAGGATGATGTTTAGAGTCTGAGATGGTTAAGCTTAGAGGTATTTGCTTTCAGCATCTCACTTGCAATTGTGCTCCAGTTTGATGTCTAGCAGGTTTTCTCCTCATATGGTTCCTCCTCCTGGTCATGGACTTCATCCCTCAGGAATCCCACATCCCACCATTGTGTCACCCATTGTAAAACAAGAGCCTACACAACCCAGCTTGAGTCCTGAAGGAAGCTCGTAAGTAATAGACTAGCCAGGTGCTGCCTGGATACTTTATTTTGTCAGGAGATATAATGGGAAAGGGGCCACTATCACTGTAGTGTAATTATTATTTCTCAATGTACCTTATTTTTTTGAATTTCCACCCCTTCTCATAAGGTCACTACAACTTAGTCTAGCTGTGGAAGGCTGCTATCACTGCCATTTTTTATGCTACACTGTGGGTTTTCCCTCAAAAAAATAATATAATAATTCAGTAGTAACAGGGTCAAATTGTACAGGTCAGGGAAAGCCAGGGCAAAAAAGATCTGTCTATACAACTGACACATGGCAGAGGCATTCACATTCCAGAACACATATCCTCTTTGGAGGCCCTAATCAAGCAAAGTAGGATGGGTGACCTGTAAAGTGATTGCACCCCAGTCATGGAATAGCCTCCCTAGAGGCTTGCCTTCTCTCTGTTATTTTTGGCAGTAGGTGAAGAGATTTTTGTTCATCCAGGCTGCTTGTTCAGTTAGTTTATATCACAGGATAGCAACCAGCAGGGTTTTGGTCTACATATGTTGCAAGAAGGAGTGTGCATGAACTGGAGCACAAGTTACTCTTCCCATGGAGGTATTGCAAAAGAACTGCATCCTTGCGACAAGTTCTGCCCACATGCACAACCTCTCTGCCCAACTCCAGCTGTAACACTTATTAAATCTTACATATGATTACAGCCATTATGCAGCATGTATTTTTCTTTTGCACCCAAGAGCAAGAATTCTCAAAACATGACTGCTATACTTCACACAGCTAGAGCTCCTAAATGTTACACTTAAGGGATAGGCGACTTGCTGCAAGGGTGCCATTTCCATTGCTAGCGTGCTGTCTTAATTCACAGATATGGAATAAATGGAAAGAGCATTACAATATGCATGTGATCTAACCAACTGACTGGTTTTTAGTAGAGGTATAGTCATACCTCTTGTTACGTTCGGTTCAGGTTACATCTTTTCAGGTTGCGTCCCGCAGCGACCCAGAAGTACTGGAAAAGGTTACTTCCGGGTTTCGCCGCTCGCACATGCGCAGATGCTCAAAATGATGTCATGCACAGAAGTGGCAAATCACGACCCACAGACGCAGTTTGCGTTCTGCTCATGTTGCGAACGGGGCTCCGGAACGGATCCTGTTCGCAACCAGAGGTGCCCACTGTACTTTGCCTGTTAGAAAGAGCATTCTTCACTCCGAACATCTTATTCTTTGTTGCCTGCACATGGTTGTTAGGAGAGAACCTGTGGGTTATGATTGGGACTATGGGACAGTAATGAAAGATATTATTATTGCAGAAAAACACCTGTTATTGTGAAGAAGGAGGAGGAGAAGAAACCCCATATAAAAAAACCATTGAATGCATTCATGTTGTACATGAAGGAGATGCGGGCCAAGGTGGTGGCAGAGTGTACACTGAAAGAGAGTGCAGCTATCAACCAGATTCTAGGAAGAAGGGTACAAAACAAATTATTGGCTTCTTCACTCGACAGCTAGGCTACTGGGCTGCATGCGCAGAGTTGGCTTGTAGTTTCATCCATATTCTATTGTTCTTGTGACAATGGATTCTCATGTACCGATTTGCTGAGCTCCTGAATTGGTTTAGGATGTCCAGGAACTGTTCAGGGAACCAAGCTGTTAGAATGTTCGAAGTCCACCTTGTGGGGAAAGGCAGATTTTTGTCAGTTTGGCCGAGATGAAGACTTTGCATATAAGCCTTAGAGGTTTTGTGGAACAGGCCAGGACAGAGTCCCCAGGGGCAGGGAATCCATCGCAACATGACTGAAGGAAGGGTGTGGAGGAGGCAGTGGACCAAAGAGAGAACCCGAAGGAAAACTAGGTGTGGGGGGGGGGGAGGGGGGAGAAACCTGAGGAAAATGGCAGAGGATGCTTGGAACTGGGGCAAATGGAAGCCCTGGAGAAACTTCACAGTATGGAAAGTCTAGAGGTCCTGTAGGCTATGGGTGGAGGGATAGGGGTGCTGTGGAAAATGTTAAGATGGGACAATGCAGGCAGGATTCTGAAAAGTAGGGACCTGTTACAGAGACCACATCGAAGAAAAGAGAGATCAAAGAGAATATATGACTGAAGCAATATTTCACAGAGGCCCTAGAGGCATGAGGTGTGCATTGTCAGCAGGAAATATGTGGACAAACTAGGAAGGCTGGGCACTGAGTTCCAGGGAGGCATGTAGCTTCTGTAGGGCTCCTGTACCTTTAAGAGTTGCACAGAGCAGTCATTCTACCAGTTGTTGCTGCACTGTTGTGATCTGATGATCCAGATGGAAAAGGGAACAAAAAAGCAGGGCGGAGGATGGCTTTCGTATATATATATATTTTGGCTACAAGCTTCTAGTTAAAGATGGTTGCTCATATGTAGGCCTTGAGCCAAACATAGCATATTGTTTCAAACTGTGTAGCTATGTAGAAAGGAAAGGAAAGTTTTCAGTCGTGTTTTTAGAGAGGGGAGGTGGTACCCCAAATTTCATTAGATGACTTTCTACAGTATCTTTTCTGCTAACATCATACTTTAGTGGCATTCGCTGTCCCGTGAGGAGCAAGCCAAGTACTATGAGCTAGCCCGGAAGGAGCGACAACTTCATTCTCAGCTCTACCCAACTTGGTCTGCACGAGATAACTATGTAAGTTTATAATCAGGGATGTATGTATTCTGTTACAAAAAAATAAATAATTGGCTCCAGGAAATCTATGTGCCTTTGTGATCATACAAATTAAGCTGCATTTCATGGATTTTGTCACTGTTGCTGCTGCTGCTGCTGCTGTTATTGGAGAGATTTTAAAAAATGGGGAGAGAGAAGTAGAACAAGGAGAAAGCAGAGGAATGATGACAATGTTAAAATAAGGAAATGGAAGTATGGGATTAGATGGCCAATTACGGGATGGAATAGTAGCAGAGGGGGAAGATAACCCTTGTAGCCAGTGCTATTTTTCTAGAAAAAGAGGTGGTGGAACTCACCATGAACGACTCTCTTGTCCTCTTATAATGGCAATGGTGCCCACCTGAGATGTGCCGGAACTGAATTCCAGTGAGTTCCAGCTGGAAACAAAGCCTTGCTGGTAACCATCACCTCTAAGTGTTTGCTGAACACTTGCACATACGTTTCCAAGGGTTTTTGTAAAGGGATTAAGCTAACTACTTTCTAAGCATTTGCTTAATGCTTCCTTGGAACTCCACATTGACGACTGCTATGACAAAGAACCGTTATCCAACTGGCAGCATGCATCTTGAAGAAATTGTCCTTGTGAAGAGACAGTTTCTTCAAGATGTATGCTGCCAGTTGGATGGCGGTTCTTTGTCATAGCAGTCTTCTTCCTATTTAAGCAAAAAACAGCTGGATTTCCAAGCATAATTATAACCAAAATAAATGTAGTTATGATAGTATGTAGACCTTCTTAATGGCCTAGTATTTCTCTCTGCTATCTTTCTTTACCTATACTCCACAGTTGTTGTTTTTAAAATTCAAGTTTACAACTCAGAGAAACTCTGTAGTAGTCTTATATATTCTTGACTTCCTTTCCTTTCCTTTCACAACTTTTTGTAAATTTATCCCTTTCAGGGTAAGAAAAAGAAGAGAAAAAGAGAGAAACAACCTCAGCAACAAATCCAAGAAACAGGGAGTAAGTACCAATGCCTTGCCCTTCTGTAGTCTGGCCCCAGTCCATAATGGGCGTGACAATTCTAATTTTTCCCTCACTGTGAAGGGAAACTGAGAGTCTGGAATTCCTAATATTTGCTACTGCTTGTCAGTCCCCTCTCCAATCCTTGTAAAATAGAAAATGAAGTGTAAATTACTCCCATCCTAGGACAAACACTTAAGAACAAGCATTATATAGCTTCCTTCTACACACAGGGATAGCAAGATGCCAACTAGGATTATTAGAGAAGCAGATGGAGGAGGCAGGTGGAGAGGAGAAAAGAGTTAGCCACTGATCAAGTCCGCGCCCCCCCTTTGAATAATGAACAAGATATGCACTTAATATCAAATGGCTACATTTGAACTTTTGAACAGTTGCTCTCATTTTATCAGTAAGGGCTGCCACTTCCAAATAACTGAGAATCCAAGAAACCAGATTTGAATGTGGTGCAGAAGCCAGTAATTCCAAACCTTTTAGAGTTCGTGCAAGAACTTCCAGGATCTGTACATTTTAAATTGTAGACCAGTTTTAGCTTTTGTGAGAGCAAAAACTTGTGATGCAAGCTTGCTTTCTCCTGCTCCAGAAGGTAGAACCCAAACCAATAAAATGAAGTTACAAGAAAGGAGCTTCCGACTAAACACTGGGAATAACTCTCTGACTTTACGAGCTGTTCAACAGTGGAATGGACTCCCTCGGAAAGTGGTGGATTCTCCTTCCTTGGAGATATTTAAACAGAGGATGGATGGCCATCTGTCATGGATGCTTTAGCTGAGATTACTTCATTGCAGGGGGTTGGACTCGATGACCCTGACGGATCGCTTCCAACTCTACAATTCTATGAGATAAAGCTAAGGAAACTCACAAAATCCCTAAAACTGTCTAGCATCCTTGAAGTTGAATTCAAGGGGCTTTCAGTGTGGCCTTCTAGAGAGTCTTCCAGAGAATAATATTTCTGGTGTTGTGGAAAGACTGCTCTGATGCAAGCCAGTCCGTACACCAGTTTGCAACACTGCCTGGGTATACCTTCTTTCAAATACAGGCGAAATAGGCTTTTGTAGCAAAGGAACTTTCCCTCGTCTAACCATTTGGCTACTTTTACTACCTGGCCATAGAAGTGGCATTTATCTGCCGCTTAATCTAGCATTGTCAACACAGTAATGCATTTGGAATTGAACAGCCATATGTCGCTCATGGGGCAGCCGTGAGCAAGTCACTGGGCGTGTAGGATAGAAATTAACCGATAAATAACTTTCTTTTTTGTCACTAACAGATTCTGTGGTGTCAAAGAGCAAGAAGCCTTGTGTGCCATACCTGCCAGCTGACAAATCCTGTGACAGCCCTGCATCCTCTCATGGCAGCATGTTGGATTCTCCAGCCACTCCCTCCACAGCCTTGGCATCACCTGCAGCTCCTGCTGCCACCCATTCTGAACAGGCTCAGCCTCTCTCCCTGACTACCAAGCCTGAAGCCAGAGCCCAGCTGTCTCTGCACTCTGCTTCTTTCCTGTCAAGCAAGGCTGCCTCCTCCTCTTCCTCCTCTAGCCTGACAAGCCAATCGTCACTCCTCTCGAGGCCCCTTCCCTTTGCCTCCATGCCCCACACCGCCCTCCTGACATCGCCTCCTTCCTTTGCAGCCATTCCATCTCCTCAAGCTGCCTTGGCTATGTTGCAGGCCCAGCCGCTCTCGTTGGTAACCAAACCGGCTGAATGAGGAAGAATTTCCATCCCGCCTCCCTGCTGAAGCCGCAATTGAGATTACAAAGCAGACAAGCCATTATTGGTCAATATTTGACCCTTTCTGAACTCTTCCAGAAGGTGACTCTTGAGGAAGAAAGTGCTCTACTCTCAGAGTTGTTTTCAGTAGTCTATCTAAAGACCATTTTTTTATTTTTATAAAAAACAGAAACAAAAAAAACCCCACAATTTTTTTTTTTATGAAACCCTGAACAGGATGAAAAAGAAAGAAAGCCAAGCCTTATGTTCCTGTCAGAGCCCCCTGGGCACATGGACTTGTACAGATGGATCATCTCTCAACGGTGTTTGCATGTTTTGTTATATTGCTTTTACTATTCCCCGTTCCCTTGGCCAGGCGAAGTGTTGATTTTACCTACTTGCTCCAGCCACCCTGCAGTGCCATCATTTTTATAAAAGACTTCCAACATTTACTAGAAGACACAATACCAGATAAATACAGTGCCTCGCTGTCATGTTGAGATCTGCCCAGCCTTGGGGAGGCCCCTATATTTTTCTGGAGTGATCCATGAAAATGGCAGGACAATCCACCCTGTTTCCTTACAGAATTATTTTGTGTAGCAGGAAGTAGGGGAAAAGGCTTTGGGGAATCGCCTGTTATTTTAACGAAGGAAAATAAATCTGCATCTTAATTTGCTGTGTGCGAGTGTTCAATGAGAAAGTGACATGAACTTGGAAGAATTTCCATCCTGTACTCCATTTGCATTCTAGGTGTAGCCTTGATTATTTTTATCCTGTGGACCACTGGCATTTTTTCCTTCTTATTTGCTCTTCCTCTTCTAATATTCCACAACAGTTTTCTCTCCAGCATCTGCATTAGTCATGTCGTAGAGAGATAATGGGTATTTGTCATATCCCTTTCCAGAAGTGATGAACCCCTTTCCCCTCATTCTCAAGAACCACAACTAGGTTACATCCTTCGCCCTGTTTGCTTTGGGCACCACTGTAAATCTCCCTTTCAAAGGCTACATGAAAGGAGAAAGAATTAGTAGAGAATAGGTGCAGTACCCAGGCATGTTTTGGAAAGGTTAGGCTTACCCTTCTCAAGGGTCACTGAATTGATTTTGCCTCCTGGTATTCTTGCAGTTTTTTTAAGGAAGCACTAATGAGCCATAAAAAAAAAGCTACAGCCAGGTTTGAACCAGTATGAACAGCACTAATAGGTATTTGCATTAGTTTACATTTTATTTATGTAAATAGGAAGATAATGAGCCTGAGCGGTCACCAAGCATTTGAAAGATAATGAGGCTCCAGTAACTGCCTACCTGGCAAGGCAGCCTTCTACTGCAAAGCCATAATAGTTTACCATATATGAACTATAAATAAGCCTTAAATAATATGTGCCACATTAGGGAATTTCTCATTTCACCCCGTTTTGCTTTAACTTGCATTATGCCACACAGATTAGTTGCCCCTTAACATTCTTTAGACAACAACTTTCACCATACAGACCAGTATTAAGCACAAAAAAGAGGATTTCCCTCATGCACACATATGCTGTTTCATTGGGTATTGGTAGATGTGATTTATTCTAGATTGTGACTACTCTTCTATCTTATTAATCACTAAATATGGTTACTCGGTTTATGTAATGTAAAACTGTTCTCTTCAAAGAAAGAAAAAATGACTTCAATTTGAATTCCCACTCTTCTCCAACCCTAATAGTACGATCAAGTGAGTAATATATTGCATGTAAGTGCCCCTTTGTAAAATGACACATGCACACCCCACAGCCTAAAATGTATCTCAGTTGACTACAGAAAGTGTGGGTAATTGCATCTAGCCTGGAACTGGCCCAGTTTCTGCAGGCCCTTTTAACAAGCACCTATCCATTAATTACCATTCAAAGTTTGATCCATGGAAGTCTACAGAGGCTTATCTCTGATCTTAACAATGTAGTCCCGCAACTACAGTGCTGTAGTCTCACAACTGGACAAAAATTACTACTTGAATTCTTTAAATTAAAAAGTCATGTAGCTCTGTACCAAAGATGAATATAATTGATTGACTAGCATATAATAGTTTGTTTGCTTTAAAAGCTAGGCTGGGTTAGTTCAGTGTAGCTCTCTCTTTCTCCTTTCAGCAATGTCAAGAAGTGCTTTCTGCGAGGTTCCCAGTGGCCTTCCATCCCAATACTCCTCTGGTCCGCAGCTGCTTAACTGAAGGGCTAAAAGAAGGCTAGAGAAATGAAACTTAAGATTTGGATTCAGTCTGCACAGCATTTTAATTGCAGGCTGGGCCATGAAGAATTGCAAAGCAGGAGCATTTCATATGGTGTGACTTCCTTGTGCAGAAAGCACTTCCGTTTAGAAACAGCATGTGGAAAATGTATGTAGATTGCAAGATGGGGTGACTGCACATGTGTCTTTTGCAGAGTTATTGTACATGGGAAAATTGTAATTGGTCTTAGTGTGTGACACCTAGGGTCTTGAAATAGGGAGTCTGATAAGCAGACTCCAGTGCCTTGTTCTGCCATCAGAAGGCAAAGCTATTAGCCAGCTATCCATTTACACCTGGGTATCACCAGTGCAGCTGGCCAGGTGATAGTGCTTCTACAGAGAGCGTTTGCCCAGTGGAAATCTACCTCATAGACTCTGTTTTGGCTCCTTTAAGCGTGAAAGCAAACTGCTATCAGAACGTTCAAGGCTGCTTGCCAGCTCTTCCGGGTTAACGGCTTACCCACTCCTTATACTCAGTACTTGCTGCATTCCGCTACCCTCAATCTCTCTGTCCAGTAACGATCCACTCTTGGACCATCAGGAAACACATAGCTCCTTGCTGTATTTGTATGTAGCAAAATATGTGTGCTTGTTATGCATGGGGAATCTGCTGACATAGTACTAGAAAGTTGTACTAGAAAGCGCTTTCCATTTGGAAAATGTGCAGTGTTTTTGAAGGCTGTAGCAAGGTGAAAATCTACAATTGTGACATCCGGTAGTAAAAGTATCACCTCTTCTACAGGCATTCCTGGCCAAAAGTGAGTACAGGTTTTGCAGGGAAGGGAGTAACCTTGTGGTCATTTTGCTCAAGTTTACCTGTTGTGGGGGGGAGATTTGCAGTCTTCGTGGCAGTTTTAACCCTCTGAAAATGAGCCTCACTTTTCACAACAGCCAGTTTCCTACTTGTCTGCTGTGTGTGTCCCAGTAGATACCTGTTACCTAGATAGAGGGCACATGCTGGACACACACGAGACCTGATTGGCCATGGCATGAATCCCTCCCATGTTTGCAGGTATGGTTCCACTTCTTTAATGTTACAAGATTTTGCAGGATTGCATTCTTGGCCATGTCGGGTGAATTGGCCTTACCACTTTTAATGAAATACTTTATTAGCCTGGCACTTTGGAAGGGCTGCAAATGGGCAAATATGATACTATAGCTACTTCTTTTATAAGGATATTTTTCCAAATTGCATTTCAGTGGCTTCTGCCAAGAATTTCGGTGTGCAAGCTTATGGCTGCGAGACTCTGAAACTCATTCTGTGCCAAAAGAAAGCCACTCCTGAAAGCTCTTCATGCTCCTAGAGCAAGATGAGACTTACCCAAGCCAGGATTTTGAGGTTGAAAAAGATGAGTGCTCCTTGCCAGTTACACCAGGGGGAGAAAGCAGAGAGCACACTTGCATGTCAGGGCTTGTGATTTATTGCCTCAGAAAAGTACCTGATAGAAGAAAGAGCTGAAAGAGAGAGAGAAGGAAGGAAGCAGAATAACTTCGTATATCAGTAATTTGATCTTCAGTAAAAGAAGAAGAAACAAGCCAGGTCCAGAGGCAAAGGAACAAATTATCTGAATTTTCTACAGTGTCTCGGGATGCAGCTTTAAGAAGGAATCAAAACCTTGGCAAGAAGATCATCCAGCAAGCGCTACTGAAACTGTGTGTGTGTGTCTCCATCATTTTTATTTTTCCACAGAAAACAGGATTCGAGGGTTCAGTGTTGTTAACCGTTCAACAATGGCCTTATTTCTGAGAAGCACAAGTTGATTTTTATAAAGAAAAGAAAAGAAGAAGTCTTGTCTCAAGAAAACATTGGCTGTTTGGCAAGGAGCACCTGGGTCATGTGCAACCTCGCTCTGAGAACCCCAAGAGCTGCCTGCAGACAAGCAGCCTCTTGAATCAGATTTCATGGAAAATTAAGGGCATGAAGCGACCTGTCAGAATAATTAAAGTCTGACCCAGGGCCAGACAGCTTCAAACAGATGTTGGGCTTCAGCAGGAGAATATTTCTTTGTTTTACACTGCATTTTCCCATACGGAAAAGAACATCTGTTTGGATGATTTTTGCACAGCCCCTCTGCTCTCTTGGGTCTGGATTCTCCACCAGCTAAAGGGGTGCAACAGGCAAAATAGCCCCACAGCTCTGCTTTGTGCCAAGGAGCACATTGTCTGCTTCCGGAGCGGCTGGAGTAGGAAGCATGGCATGAAGTCACTTAGTTGTTAAGTTTCTCTAGTCTCACACCCTCAGAAAAGCTGCTTGGCCCACAGAGTCCCTGCATTCTTCCTCTCTTTGCTCCTCGCACTTAGAGCAGCCCGATGCTCCACCTTTGGACTGGTATTTTTCCTTCAGAAGAGGAAGTGGAAGAAAACAAATTTCCAGTCTACCAGGTACAAATGTCTTTGGGTACGTGTCCACATATCAGATTTCCATCCAGTGCATCAGTAATAAAACATCTTTTAATTGCCCCAGTTAATTTAAGAAGATAGTCAGGCTCGTGTTTGTCACTCCAAAATATCTGGAGGACAGCAGATTGGGGGAAGCTGTTCTAGGCACTCCCTTGCCTTTAAGCTGATCACGAAAGTGGCATAGTATGGTTGCCATTTTTTTCAACCAGGCAACCCAAACAAGTCTGTCTTACTATTTAGTAAGCTGGGAACCTACAGAGATGAATACTAAAAATGGCAGGCTGGTTATTTTTCAAAAGCTCAGAAGCAGCATCTCAATCTTAGCAGTACTGCACTTTTCTCATGTTAACTCTATGAATCCTGGATTTTTCCTGATGATGCTGTCCACAGCTCTCATTGGAAAGAGCATCTGTAGAGTTTAACTGCAACCTAACTGGTTACCATTTGAGTTGAGTTACCTCCAAGTTCTGGAGCCTTTTTCATACCACATCCCAAGCAGGGAGCGTCCTGCCCCACCCCCCAAATGAAGACAAATTAAGATCTACCTAAATCCTTTGCTATTTCTCTGCAGCTTCTCATATCCCAGTTGTTGCTGAATAACAAGATTTCATTCATGACTGGCTTTGCAGCTTGGGCACTGCCCCTATGAGAGTAGTCCTTCAGGCACTTTCCCTATGTTTCTGAACTGAATAGAATTCAATTCTCAGGTGAGTTGCGAGGAAACACAACACTTCATTGTTTTCATAGAGGACGAAAAAAACCAGCCAGAGCTCTGATGTCACAGCTCAGGAAGTGAATTACTAGCCAGATCCAACACACAGTAAGGAGCCTGTCTCAACAGCAGCAACCAAGAGAGAGAGAGGCCTGCGGGCCCCAGAAAACTAGTAGCAGCTGTAGCAGCCGCACATAAAATGTTCTCTTGCAAAGCCTCCTCCAAGAAGCGTCTGCTAATCTCCAACAAGGGTTTTCTAAAGCTCATACCATTTCTGTGTTTTGGTGATAACAGTCCTGTGTTCTTGCTTTTGGAATGATTGTTCTCATTAGCTTGTATTATTTATCTGATGCCTATTGCTTTTAGTATTCCTGCATTCTGCTTGTGTGTAGAACAGCCTTCGTCAGATGTTTCGGACTACAACTCCCATTAGTCCCAGCCAGGGTTGGCTTGGGCTGTTGGGAGTTGTAGTCCAAGACATCAGGAGGGCACCTGATTGGTGAAAGCTGGTGCAGAACCTCAGGGTGTATGTGCACTAGGAACTGTCTGTGTGTGATATCTCCATGAAAGCAAATTAGGCAGGTTATGTGGCATTGAAGAGACATCCCGGATGAAGCTGTAGGATACTCTTCCTGGTGATCCACTTAGGAATCTGCCTTGTATTGAGTCAGACCATTGGGACATCTAGCTTTGAATTGTCTACACTTGACTGCCATCAGCTCCCCTGGTTTTCAGGTAGGGGACTGATGGGGATTGAGCCTGGGACTTTCTCTACAGACCTATGGCTCTTCTTCAGCATTTAATGGCATTGATGGGGGGAAAAGACAGCACACAATGGTTTTAGACTTGTAGCGTTTGTGAAACTGGCCCTGAAATTTAGCTCTTTTAATATGTTTACCATAGGCATCATTGTCTCTTGGCATCATAGGTTGTGTCTGTTGGCTCTCTAACAGCACAGTCCTATGTGCATGGCAACTCATAAGCATGTCCCATTGACTTCAGCGGGATCTACTCATTAGTAAACATGCATAGGATTGCTGCCTAAACCTCCCAAGAAGTTTGCTATTCTCTTAGGCATGCTAAAACATCAAGAGCAGATTAACAACATTAGTCCTCCCAAGAGGAGCCTGTGGCACTGATTGTGCTATTTATAGCATTTGAGAAGTGTGAACTACCAACCCAGTGTTTGTGAACTTGTTCATGCAGAGGATGGGATGGTTAAAAAGAGAAAGAGTGTACCCCTCTGCATACAGAAGGTGCTTCCTGGTTGTGGAAGGGCTGTTTTTACACCTTGCACTACATAAGAATTGCTCAAAGAAAAAGTGAAACTAAATTCTAGGATGTGCCTTTGATAGTACAGATTCTTGCCTGTCAAATGCTCGCACAAGTGGATGTGTAAGAAATACCATTACAACATTGAGTATATGCTTGTGAAAATTCTTGCTCAGGCATTTGCAGCACATTTCTGGGGCTGCGTCCTTTCTGAAAACTGTTCTTTAGATCCATCCCATTGGCTCAGTTCAGTTGTAACAATCCTGGTCTGAAACGTCATGGTTAAGTCAGCCCAGGAACGACCCTCTTAGTTTCTTAAGCCACTGTTTCCCATGAACCAGGAAACTGTGGTTTAAGGGCTCCCTCCAAACCAGGGCATGGTTTTCCAGAATTCCTTATGAAGAGGGCTTGATTGTTAAACCGCTCTGGGAATTGTAGCTCTGGGAGGGGAATAGAGATCACCGATCAACACCCTTAACAAACTACAACTCCCAGAATTGTTGGGGGGGGGGAGAGCCAAGACTGTTTAAAGTGACATCACAGTGCTTTCAATGTATGCTGTGAATGTGACCTTTGTTTGACAATTGGGAAAGTACAAGATTGTCCCTATTTTCACCTGTGAAATGTGTGCATAACTATTTGCTCTTCCTGCTCTCCATCCGACCCCCCCCCCCCGAAATAAGCCTCTAAAAGCACTGGTCAGTTATGCGGGTTATGGTAGGTAATGTCTGCATCCTGCCGTTGGTACCGCCAGTGCCGGTCTGCTTCTTGTTGGTATCTTTGTGGTTTGCCTGTCTCTGGTAGCCCCAAGCGGCATCAATGCTGGCAAGAGCAGGGGCGAGGGCTGGAGCATTAGGCCAGCACAGCAATTTGGAGGAACAGTCTGCTGGAGCTGGGGGGTGGGGAATAATAAGAAACTGAAATGGTAAGTCTCTAGCTTACCTCCAGCAGCTGTGCAGACATAACAGAAGAGGTAGTTCTCAAGTTACTTCCCCAAGCCTCCTAGAAACCCAATGGACTTCCCTTGGGAGTTTAATAGTCTTCGTCTGGGCTGTCAAAAGGCACACAGGCCTGCGTGGCAGTTTATTGCTCTTCTCTTCCACCCCCTCCAAGCCTTTGTTTGCGGGGGTGGGGGGAGTTGTTTTGTTTCCCTCCCTACCCCCCTTTCCCCTGCCATAATGAGCTTGTGTAGGCAGGTCCTAAAACTATTGTTGTACCTCTTTGGGGATCTACTGGACATCTCATTAAGCGGCTGAGGGTAGGTGAAGCACTTTTTCAAGAGCTTGTTATCGGCCCTCTTGAGTGTGGGTAGCATCTGTGGTTCGTGCTCCTAGCTTTGTGCATCTTTCTTTTGGAACAGAGGTTTGCTTCTGCCACTTTTGCTTGCATAACTAATTGTGGTCAGTGCCGGAGATGCGCCCACCCACCTCCTAAGTCTCTCTTCAAATCAAAATCTTTCTCTCTCTCCCCCCCTCCTCCACTAACTGAGATGCTTAATGAGGTCCCAGGGGGACCCTGCAGAGAGAGAACTAATTAGGGACTTGGATGCAAAACCATCGAACGGCACAAGACGAAACGAGGGCTTCCTTGAACCCACCTTTTGTGACAGACCATGGGGGAGGAATGCCAGATGTCCTCCTTCCTAGTTCTGCTCGTCGGGGTGAGGCTGAAGCCTCCCCCCAGCCTCCGCTGGCCTGCCCAAGCAGCTGGTGCAGAGGCAGAGGCGACGCTTAATACATTTTAATTAGCATCATTAAACTCTTTCAATTTGCTAATTGTTTCTCCTTTTGATCTTCTCTTCTGACCAAATTAACCCTCCAGGGAAGGAAAGGGATGATATGTGTGTGCTTTAGAACCGCTTCCAGCCAGGTGAAGACTTCATTATCCATTGTGATGGAGACCCCTATGGGCAAAGCTGGCTGCCAAGATGGGGTGGGGTGCGGAAATGACCATGGCGGAGGATGCAATCTGAGAGGTAGACCGCAAGATGCTTTGCACTGTTGCAGGGACACTGGGGCACACCTCGGATTGGACATGGTAGCCCCTGGAGGCAACAAAACGAATATGCTGTGCTTGTATGATGCTGCAGAATAGATTTTTCCTCCTTGATAGGTCTAGCTAAGATGACTTAATGTTACTTGCATCTAGCTCGGTTGGTTAGAGCACCGTGATGATAACGCCAAGGTTGCAGGTTCAAACCCTGCATGGGGCAGCTGCATATTCTTGAATTGCAGGCGGTTGCGCTAGATCGGCATTTCCCAAACTTTTTAATGTCTAATGTTTTACAGTTTTTTAGGTGTTGTAAGCAACCCAGAGTGGCTGGGGCAGGGGTCGGCAACCCGCGGCTCTGGAGCCGCATGTGGCTCTTTTACACCTTTGCCGCGACTCCGGGGCGGATACTAGCGAGGGGAGGAGGCGCATTGTGCGCCCCAACACTCCCCACTGTGGCGGGTGCTGTATTGGCTGTGACGTCGCATGGGGGCGGTGCGTGCGTTAGTCACGCACCGTCCCGACGTCACCTTCCCGCCCACCCGCCCGCTACATTGTAAGGGGCATGTACGCTGGTCACTGCATTGAAAGGAGGCATGTACGCTGGTCACTGTTTTGAAGGGGAGTGAAGAACACACACACACACAAAAAAGGTAACTTGTTAATTTAACGTTTATTTCTATGAGGAGGAGTAATTCTGAGGGGTCAAACAAAGAAATAATAAAAGAGTAAGTTATTTTTATAATGACGAGTTTTGCGGCTCCCAGCTTTTTGTTTCCTTTGGAAACGGGTCCAAGTGGCTCTTTTTGTCTTAAAGGTTGCAGACCCCTGGGCTGGGGAAACCCAGCCAGATGGGTGGGGTATTATTGTTATTATCATTATTATTATTATTAACAGGAATGGAGGTATATTTAACTAGTGTGGCATTCACATGGGACTGCATCTCTCTCCTAGCCTTTAAAAAAGTCATTTAAACTAGTTCATGAACTTCCTGCCGTGATGGCCTCCCAGAGTAGTTTGATACTGGAATGCCTGTATGAATGGGTTCCGCAGGAGGAACCAATTAATCCAGCTTCCCTGGGCAGAAATTTATAGCTTAAAGAGCTTCCAATTGTAGTCACATGGCTGCCAGGGCAGCAGGAGGAGAGGAATCTGCAAGAGGATATAGGACGGCTTCCTTGTATTCAGTGTAGTTATGGAGAAAAGCAAGAGGAAGCCAGGACAAATCAGTTCTATATAAGGAATGCATGCAGCCCTGCAGTTTGGTGCCGAAATTAGTTAGGAGAGTTGGTTCAGCATATGCTAGTTAAACATGGCGGGGAGAGAATCATGTGAATCAGTGCTATTTCTCTAGAAAAAGAGGCGCTGGAACTCGCCATGAATGCCTCCCTTGTTCTCTTGTGAGGGCAATGGCACCCACCTGAGAGGTGCTGGAACTGGGTGTCAGTGAGTTCCGGCTCCCAAAAAGCTCTGATGTGAATCCATCCACTAATGCACTCATATTTGTTTGGCAGGTGTCAAATTGCCATGCTTCCTTGACTTCTTTTCCTCCCCTGGGACATCCACTCAAGGCCATCATCCAATTATTGAGATCCTGGTTTTTTCCCAGTCTGCAGAAACTTATATGTACACTTACACACACACACACACACACACACACACACACACACACACAGCAGCCGGCAACATTCTGCAAACCCTCCCACCCCTGGCAGAAGCACCAAAGAGTCAGCTTGCTGCTTAAAAATAGCGGAGGTCATATCCGTTACGTATATGTGAGTTTTGTACATGCATATGTGAGTTTTGTAGAATAAACTACTGTACTAAACTCATTGTTTGTTTCAATTAATTTGCACAAGGGTGTGTGTGTGTGTGTGTGTGTGTGTGTGTATATATATGTATATGTGTGTATATGTGTATATATATATGTATATATATATATGTGTGTGTGTGTGTATATATATGTATATATATGTGTGTGTGTGTGTGTGTGTGTGTGTGTATATATATGTATGTATATGTGTGTGTGTGTGTATATATATGTATGTATATGTATATATGTATGTTTCTAGTGAAATTGAGTATAGCACTATAACATCATTCCATAACTTTTTCTCCAAATTAGTTTTTAAACCATTTCTGGTTGCTGCCATTAACCATGTTTCTAAAATGTTGGAGACTGGCAAGTATTTATTTCTTTTTGAAAAATAAAACAAAATACAGTGGTGCCCCGCAAGACGAATGCCTCGCAAGACGAAAAACTCGCTAGACGAAAGAGTTTTCCTTTTGTTGAGTCGTTCCGCAAGACGAATTTCCCTATGGGCTTGCTTCACAAGATGAAACGTCTTGCGAGTTCTTGCGAGTTTGTTTCCTTTTTCTTAAAGCCGCTAAGCCGTTAATAGCCGCTAAGCCGCTAATAGCCGTGCTTCACAAGACGAAAAAACCGCAAGACGAAGAGACTCGCGGAACGGATTAATTTCGTCTTGCGAGGCACCACTGTAGCACTTTGGGATTGTACTGCTCCAGCACCCACCCACAGCATCTATGCCATGCCCACTGGTGTGGACAGAATATTGTGGGGTAATGCTACATACAGTTTGGAAGCAAACTGCCACAGAGTTCCACATGTGTTAAGACCTATCATTCCTGCTGGGAAACAGATTGTGCCTGCTGTTGCATTGTTAGTCTTTATTTTATGATGGCCTAGAGAGAGAAAAAGAAAGTTGTCGGCAACTAAATCTCTGTCTCTCTACACACTCTGATTTCAAAGCACCTTCTTTCCCTCAAAGAATGCTGGGCGCTATAGTTAGCTAAGAATCATAATTCTGTGGGTGGTAACCCACAGTGCCCATAACTCTTCTAGGGAAAGAAGGTCCTTTCAAAGATGCTTTTTTAAAGGCGCCGTGAGTGCACAGCCTGGTTTTTGTGTTGGTTAGACCTAAAATTGTTTCCTGGGAGGGCAGCTTTGCTGTAGCATTTGTGTGAGCATTGCAGTGCTAGCAGAGATAAAAATGAGCTTGTGTGTTTATTTTTCTGACTGCTCAGGACAATTTACCGTACTTTTCTGTGTATAAGACTAGGTTTTCTTTTTTACTAAAAAATTATGTTAAAAAAGGGGGGTAGTCTTATACATGGGGGCACTCCCCCCCCATTTTCTTAATTTTGAGTCCCCCAATATAGAGGGTGTCTTATACATGGGGGCGTCTTATAGGCGGAAAAATACGGTACATAAGCAGCGCATAGGGGTGTGTATTTCTTCTCCTCTGAAAAGCCAGCCTCCTCACTGCTGAGCGGCTTCTAACTGTTACAGAAAAGTTAAAATCTTATTCATGCTAAGAGTTAGCACACTCAGAGCTAAATTATTGTATAAATCTTAAGGATAAGGTAAAGGTAAAGGGACCCCTGACCATTAGGTCCAGTCGTGACCGACTCTAGGGTTGCGGTGCTCATCTCGCTTTATTGCCGCGGGAGCCGGCGTACAGCTTCGGGGTCATGTGGCCAGCATGACTAAGCCGCTTCTGGCGAATCAGAGCAGGTCACGGAAATGCCGATTACCTTCCCGCCGGAGCGGTCCCTATTTATCTACTTGCACTTTGATGTGCTTTCGAACTGCTGGGTTGGCAGGAGCAGAGACGGAGCAACGGGAGCTCACCCCGTCGCAGGGATTTGAACCGCCGACCTTCTGATTGGCAAGTCCTAGGCTCAGTGGTTTAACCCACAGCACCACCCGCGTCCCTAAATTCTTGTATAAATGCCCAAATAAAGAGAAACTGAGGAGCAAGGGGATTCCGAGGATTTCTGAAACATTTACTTAGAGCCATGGGTGCCCCAAGGATTTTCAGGTTTCTATTTTGAAGGCATCCCGCCCACCCAGACCACTGATTTACAAAGCAGACCTTGCAAAAAGTTGCTGCTCCTAAGTTTACAACATGATGATGATGATGCCTGGGACCCTTATAAGAAAGAGCAGCTGCCCAGGTGGTGTTGTTTTTTAACTTTTGCCCTCTCTCAACACTTTTGTGGGGAATGCTTTTTGCCCTTTTTTCAGGCACAGGAATGTACATTTTTAAGGTACTTTTTCAATACCTTAAAAATGTTAAATACATTGTTTTTGAATTTTTATCCTTTACATTTGTGTGTTTATCAGTCATGCATGCTTTAGTTGAGATTCCTGCATGGGGGGGGGGGGGGTTTGGACTAGATGGTCCTTCGCACTCTTACAGTTATGTTTTTCTATTCTTTGTGAGCTGCCTTGAGGGGCTATTTTGGCTGAAAGGCAGCATTTAAATAAATGATAAGATCTTAAGAAGATAGGATATAAGATAATGGATTGTTAATCCTGCCTCCGCCTAGGCTCTTGACAATTGCCTATACAGTCATACCTCGGGTTACAGACTTTGGGTTGGGGCCGAAACCCGGAAATACCGGAATGGGTTACTTCCGGGTTTTGGCAGTCGTGCATGCACAGAAGCGCTGAATCGCTCTTTGCGCATGCGCAGAAGTGCTGAATCGCAACCCGCTTGTGCGCAGACGTGCTGCTGTGGGTTGCGGACGTGCATCCTGCACGGATCACGTTCGCAACCCGAGCGTCCACTGTACTGACATTGACAAGACTATGGCTCAGCCGCACAAGCATCAATGGCTCATATCATTTAATGTAATATCAGTCATGCCGCCTGAGCTTACATGTATGTATACTCTGAAACAGCACCTTCATCGTTCACCTATTCCCGGTAAAGTCTGCATGGGATCACAATCATGCAGTGTAATTCTATATTTATGCAGAAGTTAAGGGTTCAGTGGGGCTTACTTCCTGGTAAGTGTGCACAGGATTCAAGCATTAATAGTTTGTGATGCGTCTCTCTTACTGGTCTGGTGGACCCAAGAAAAACAACAACTGATTCTTGGTAGTTCAGCATAAACCTCTAGGTGAGTCATTCAGTGTCCTAGATTCTGGTTTACAACATCATCATGCACAGTAGCCGAACAAATTGAAACTCAGCAGCGCCAAATTAGCTTCCTCTGGCTAACCAATTTCTTCCTACAGTATAAACTCACCTGCTCTGGCTCAGTTTTCTCTATGTGGGAGCATATTCAGCAGTGTTTGCATGGAGGGAACTATTCCAAGCTCTTCATCTTTTCTGGATGAGTTCATTAGGCACAGCTGCAAAATATAATGCTAATTCTCTACATTTTATTTCCAGATGAAAAAACGGTCTCCCTTGCATACACAAAAGAAACGTGCTGATCGTAAAGGAAAAGCTGGCTTCGAAAGGAGTGTTCCCATAGCCCATAGCCACGTTCACGGAAATGAATATTTTTGGTAACCGGTTGTGGCAAACCCATTTAAAAAGTGTGGCGAAACCAAAGACAAGGCCATTTAGGTATCATTTGTGGGGCTGTTGGAGCCGTCCCATCCCGGCTGCTGCTCCGTGCAGAAAAATCTTGGCAAAGGTTTCGGTTTGGGGGAAATCAGGATTCGCATAGCAGGCTTAAAAATCCCTGGCTGTTCAGAGACTTAGCAGAGACCGTGACATTTCACAAAACCACAAAGTCATGAGTGAAATCCTAGCAGTCTCCTGTGGCTCAAATAAGATGCGGTGGTGATTCTCTCCCTCCCTCCTTCCCTTTCCCCCTTCCCTCAACTCATGTGGGTATGTCCTCCAAAGTATGGGAAGAGCTCCAGACGTTCTTTTCTAAAGATTAAAAATGCCAAGGCTCCAATTCTGGCCAGTGCCTTTAAATCAAGCGAGGGCAACCCGCAATCCAAAGGAGTAACATTCAGCCTAATTTCATGTGTGTATCATGTATGAGTGAGGTGGGGGTGGCAGAAAGAAAGGAAAGGCAGCCTGCTAATTTTTGGCTCTGCCAGCTGCTGACTTTGGCCATGAACTCCAATGGTGTACATCTTGCCAACATATTACCCGCAAGGAAACTAGGCCCTCAATGGGGGAAAAAATGGTTCTGCATTCCTGTTACAAATTCTCTGCGGCAGCAAGAAAAGCTACATACCCCAGTCATGGTGACAGCTTCCTTTTTTCTCCCCCTTTCACTCAGACAATAAAACTTTTCCAATTTAATAGAATATCTCTGTGATTCCACAGGTGAAGGTGACCCAACCTGTCACTAGGTTATGGCCTATATTAAACGTCTCAACTGTTTTCTAGGTTGCGTTCGAGCCATTTCCTTCATTATGGTCCAACTCTGCTCTCTAGGAATCCACTCGTAAGCCTACCCTATCCGAAAGGCATTGCCTTCATGCTGAATTTGTGTGTGTGTCCTGACATTAAATTGTAGCTTGAGTGTGGAGTAATCGTGATCCAAAGTAAATGGGGGGGGGTATTTAAACTTCTCATCACAAACTGTGGTCCCAATGCAGATCACCCCGATTCCAACATTTGGGGCTCACTAGACTACACATTGTTAGACATTTTGCAACTGAGTTGCTATTCTCTTTCCATCTTAAAGCCATGACGTGGTGCTGCTAAAATGTCCACGTCTGGAAGCACCCCAAAGTTTGGGCCATAATTTTATGTGTTGAATTGGCCTTAATCCATGAAGAAAGGGCAAAAATATGTGTGTGTGAATCATATAAACATGCTTTTATTATTATGACACACTACACCAGCTGTAATAATTGTTAAATTGAGACAAAGTATAAATATGCCCACATTTATATTGATTATTTGTAATTAAGATAGTATATGAGAGGATTAACAACATCTGGAGGGTTATGGTCTGCCCACCCATTCCCAGCATTATTCACTCAAACAGAGGCTCAGGAGACTACATTGTTTCATCTTAGTACAATGATGCTAGTATTTAATGACTCTCCGTCTAGTTATTTTCCCTTCTCTATTTTCCGCCTTAGAATAAAACCGTGAACCTTTACTATAACCAAAGAAGGGTAAATGCCCGATCCAAATGAGTTTGCAATTATTATTTTTGAATCCACTTTTAAAAACCATGTAATGTGAATTGTCTCTCTTCTTTCTAAGTTGATATCTTGTGTTAATTCCCCCGCCCCACCCCCAGAATACCATAGAATTGGGGGGAGGGGGCACCAGGACAAACTTCTCAAAGATCTGACAACTCTCTGTCTCAAAAAAAGAACCCCGCCAGTTTATGGTAAAATCTAAGCTTTTCACTCATTCCCTGATTTTTAAGAACTCAGGAAGCATATAGGCCACAAGATGGCGCTCCATTACCATTGTCAGAGTAATTTTTTAGACCTTCTAACAAGCTTTGATGTACATGTAGCAGACGTGTATGTGCTTTAAATCTGGTACCTTCCCCGATGACTGCAGTGGACTCCAGTTGGCAAAAGCTTACACCAACAGAAACCTGTTAAGTCTTAAAAGGTCTTCTTCACATGCATTGCTGTAAGAGATTATCAGAACATTTACCCCTTTGGAAGAGCTTCTCTAAGCCCCTTGATCCATAGTAAAGGTAAAGGGACCTCTGACCATAAGTCCAGTCGTGACCGACTCTGGGGTTGCACTCATCTCGCTTTATTGGCCGAGGGAGGTAAACAGCTTCTGGGTCATGTGGCCAGCATGACTAAGCCGCTTCTGGCGAACTAGCGCAGCGCACGGAAACGCCGTTCACCTTCCCGCCAGAGAGGTACCTATTTATCTACATGCACTTTGATGTGCTTTTGAGCTGCTAGGTTGGCAGGAGCAGGGACCGAGCAATGGGAGCTCACCCCGTCGTGGGGATTCGAACCGCTGACCTTCTGATTGGCAAGTCCTAGGCTCTGTGGTTTAACCCACAGCACCACCCCTTTGATCCATAGTTAACTGCTCCTTTCAACACTGAGGATGCTAAAAAGCACACACTGCGATTTAGCCCATTCAGGGGCAGCCAACGTGGTGCCCTCCATTATGTTGCGAACGAGAACTTCCATCACCCATGACCATTGGCCACGCTTGTCGCTTCCACTTTGTCCAGGTATCCAACTTCGTCTAAAAAAAATTGCTTCCATTCATCTTTTCAGTAGGAACCTATTCAATGGTGTTAGTATACCTTTTGGTTCTCGGGAGCAAAATTTCCAATAGCTCAGCCAGGAATTCGTAGTTACACCATCAGGATTGTCCCTCACCATATCATATTCCAAGGGGGGTTGAGTTTGCAGCACTGCATCTATACACTTAAAAGATCCTCTGGTAGCTCTCTTCTTAGCTATAAATTTTGGAGAAACAGCTTGTGGGCAAAAAGTTTGATTGGCCATTGGCCATGCTAGCTTGGGGTTGATGGAAGTACATCACACTGGGCTAGCCTTTTAACAAATTTCCACGCTGCGATCTTTTTTGATCGACATCCGTTGTCCCTCTCTAAGTGGAGGCAAAGGAAAAAGCACTGTTGCCACAAAAAAGCGCTGCAGCCATTCAGACCATATAAGAGAGCAAATGTGTGTGGGGGGGAGGGTGCTCATCAGACAAGAAGCCATCGCTTGTGTTCTTTAAATGACAGCATGCCCTGAAATTTTTTACGGATTATCATGGTACATGGTCATGCATTGCAAGCCGCCCATTTTAATTTCCTGAAACCAAATTCACTGCAAGTTGTAGAAGCTGAGTCCGCTCCATTCTCCGCATCCTCTCACGACGCTTGCCCTAGGCCATAGGTAGGCAACCTAAGGCCCGGGGGCCGGATCTGGCCCAATCAGCTTCTAAATCTGGCCCGCGGACGGTCCGGGAATCTGCATGTTTTTACATGAGTGGAATGTGTCCTTTTATTTAAAATGCATCGCTGGGTTATTTGTGGAGAATAGGAATTCACTCATTTAAAAAAAAAAAATTCAAAATATAGTCTGGCCCCCCACAAGGTCTGAGGGACAGTGGACTGGCCCCCTGCTGAAAAAGTTTGCTGACCCCTGCCCTAGGCGCTGCTTTGGAAAAAGGCCAAGGCCAACAACTGCTGGGGGATCCCACACGCTCGCCCTCCCCTTTCCAATCCATTTCAAGGGCAGCTTTTGAGGGGGTTGTTGTTTTTAATTCAAAAAATCCGGGCTGCGTGTCACTCTACCCTTTTTTCTTTTCGTAGCTCTACTATCGGCCCGCTCCTTCGCTCCTCCTCCCAAGCGTTCGCGGCGGAGAGTCGGGGCCCCGCCCCGCCCCGATCTCGCGAGAGCAGCGGCTTCAAGAACGCGGACAATGGGGAGGCGTACCGGAAGTAGACGTCTCTCTTCCGTTTCCTTGGCCAGAAGCGGAAGGAACCCCTTTAGGCCGGCATGGCGGCGGCGTGGCTGGGCTTCCTGATCCTATGCGGCCTGGTTGCCTTCGGCGCTTCGGCGCCGGCGGGCACAGAGGAGGATGCCTCGGAGAAGGAAGGGACTGCTGACGCAGGTAGGTGGGGAGTTTGTTTCCCGCAAGCGTCCCTCCCAGCCCCCCCCCTTTTGAGAGGCGCTGAGGGAGAGCCGCGCTCTGCACGCGCTCTTGGGCGCTCTTATCCGAGTTATTTTGCCTCCTGCGTTTGACGGCGTTTCCACCTCTTTCTCCTCCGCCCCATTGGCCGTTCCGTGGGGAATAGGTTCAGGGTCTGAACTCTGAACCCGCATTTCCCTGGAGTTAAGGCCAAGTGAAGGTGTTATGGGGGGGCGTTACTGGTTGTGGAGGCGGCGGCGTAGTATGGTCAGAGCAGGCCTTTTGCGGGGTGGGAGCAGTGCCGGATTTACGTATAAGCTAAACAAGCTATAGCTTAGGGCCCCACTTTCTTGGGGCCCCCCAAAAAACTAAAGAAAAAAACTGGATGTACATTTCCAAAATATAAGATAAAAAAACAAATAAAATAAAACCTACGTACAGCAACAGTGTTTTGTGTTGTGTAGGCTCCTATTTGTTATGTGCAAATGGCTTTAGATACCTATTGGGTCCATAAGTTACTATATAGCATATAGTAAAGGTAAAGGGACCCCTGACCATTAGGTCCAGTCATGACCGACTCTGGGGTTGCGGTGCTCATCTCGCTTTATTGCCGTGGGAGCCGGCATACAACTTCTGGGTCATGTGGCCAGCATGACTAAGCCGCTTCTGGCGAACCAGAGCAGCGCACGGAAATGCCATTTACCTTCCCGCCAGAGCGGTACCTATTTATCTACTTGCACTTTGACGTGCTTTCAAACTGCTAGGTTGGCAGGAGCAGGGACTGAGCAACGGGAGCTCACCCTGTCGCGGGGATTCAAACCACCGACCTTCTGATCAGCAAGTCCTAGGCTCTGTGGTTTAACCCACAGCGCCACCCATGTCCCATATAGCATATATTCAACACAAAAAAGAGTGACAATTTGTTGTTGACAAAGGACAGCTGGACATATAAAGGGCCCCATTACCCTTAGTAGCTTAGGGCCTCATCAAACCTAAATCTGGCCTGGGGTGGGGGTAGAAGTGGGGCCAAAACAGTGGGAGGCCCCTGACCACAGCAGAGCTCTCCAACCATGTCTAGCGACAAGCGAGGCCATCCAGGATCAGCCATGAAGTCCATTGCCTAAAATTGCTTGTTAGTCAGTAGTTACTCCTTAAAGTTGGCTACCTGGACCCTCTCTGGGAAAGTGGCTCCTTTCATTTGGGAAGATGGTGAGGTGCAAGTCGGTTAATGGGAGACACAGGGCATATTAGCGATGGGGGATAATGGGCGCTGTGAAGATGAGATGAGCTTTGATGAATGCACAATTGAACTGCAGTATAGAACACTGCACTGCTCATTTCTGTAGTAGATATGCTTCAAAACATGCTTGGCAGAATGGAAAAAGACAACAGAGGCACACCTCAAGAGATTTAGAAAGTGGAGGTTTGAGCACCAGGTGGCCTACCAGTTCAACTGGCGCACAGCACAGCAGTATATTTACATTTGTGTGCAAACTACATGGTGTGACATACTAAATGTTCTTTCTTTTTTTCATTTCAGGGACTCCCATTGGGAATACAGTTCATGAACAACCCCAAGGTGATGAGTCTCCTCCCAAAGAGCTAAAACCTGTTGATCCCAAGCAACTCCTCCAACAGGCAGGTGCCCCTGGAAGCTCCCACGGTGTTGAGTCTCATGCACAGTCTTCTCCCGATAAAGCAAAATCTGTTGATTCCGATCGACCTCCCCAACAGCCAGGTGCCTCTGGAAGCTCCAAAGGTGATGAGTCTCAAGCACAGTCTTCTCCCGATAAGGCAAAAACTGTTGATTCCGATCGACCTCCCCAACAGCCAGGTGCCCCTGGAAGCTCCAAAGGTGATGAGTCTCAAGCACAGTCTTCTCCCGATAAGGCAAAACCTGTTGATTCCGATCGACCTCCCCAACAGCCAGGTGCCCCTGGAAGCTCCAAAGGTGATGAGGCTCAAGCACAGTCTTCTCCCGATAAGGCAAAACCTGTTGATTCCGATCGACCTTCCCAACAGCCAGGTGTCCCTGGAAGCACCCACGGTGTTGAGTCTCATGCACAGTCTTCTCCCGATAAGGCAAAACCTCTTGATTCCGATCGACCTCCCCAACAGCCAGGTGCCCCTGGAAGCTCCAAAGGTGATGAGGCTCAAGCACAGTCTTCTCCCGATAAGGCAAAACCTGTTGATTCCGATCGACCTCCCCAACAGCCAGGTGCCCCTGGAAGCTCCAAAGGTGATGAGTCTCATGCACAGTCTTCTCCCGGTAAGACAAAACCTGTTGATTCCGATCGACCTCCCCAGCAGCCAGGTGCCCGTGGAAACTTTCAAGATGAGCAGTCTGAAGAAGATCAAGAGGACGACAAAGAGGGTGGAGAGGGAGAGGGGACTCTTGAAGACACCCAGCCTAAGCATGATATGGGGAACTCCCGGGCTAGTCCAACGCCCAAGAATGGACCTGAAAACAGCCACTTCTTTGCCTATTTGGTGACCACAGCCATTGTTGTTGCTGCCTTATATATTGCTTACCACAATAAACGAAAGGTGGGTGTTTTAACTTTTGTGAGTGTGAGCCAGTCTTGGTGCTTGGCAGAATATGTGCAGTAGTGACAGAAGTTTGGCTAGACATAATAGTGCTGTGGTCATTAAAAGAAGGATCATTATATTTCCTCAGTCAAACTTACCGTATTTTTCGCCCCATAGGACGCACTTTTTCCCCTCCAAAAATGAAGGGGAAATCTGTGTGCGTCCTATGGGGCGAATGCAGGCTTTCGCTGAAGCTGGGAGAGCGAGAGGGGTCAGTGCGCACTGACCCCTCTCACTCTCCAGGCTTCAGGAAGCTATCAGCAAGCCTGGGGAGCACGCGGGAGTTCCCGCAGGGCTCCCTAGGCTGCGGATAGCTGCCTGGAGCACGGGGCGCCCTCCGGAGGGCACCCCGTGCTTCGTGCAGGTGTCCGCAAGCCTTGAGAGCCCGGCGGGAGTTGCCGCTGGGCTCGCAAGGCTTGCGGATAGCAGCCTGTTCTGGGGTCGGGGGAAGCTCGGGCGTCCCCCACCCCAGCCCGGCGGCTGGGGGGGGAAATAATTTTTTTTTATTCATTCCCCCCCCCAAAAGGGGGTGCGTCCTATAGGCCAGTGCGTCCTATAGGGCGAAAAATACGGTATTTTCAAGTGAAGGCTGGGACAAGAAGCATTCATTGACATTAGTGTGATAAGTGGGCTTTTCTAATTAAAGCACATTTAATCTACCCCCCTGCTCTCTCTGCAGGATTATGCTCCTTGGTCTGACTTTCTCCCATCTTCCTGAGTGGTGCAGAATATAAGAGTTTCCATTAAATTAGTGGGATGTGTAGGGATGGATTGCCTTCTCTTACTTTGTTTTAGAATTTGTAGCTCGTTGCGCATTTCCAGGGAGGTCCTTTGGAGATGTGTTTCCGTATACTAAACTTAGCCATCACCAGTCCCAATATGCGTCATGGGTGTGTAGTGGGACCACTTTCTTGGACCAATCAGAGGTGTGCTTTAGGCCTGTATGATACATCGGCGAGGACCAGGGCCAGGAAACATTGGTTTGTGTATCAGCACTGTATCTTGAGTGAAACTGCCAGTGTTAGAAAGGGGATAGAAAAGCTAGAAGCCAAATGGCTCCGGGGACCTGGGTTGTGGGTGCCAAAACAGAATGTGTAGTTGCCACTGCGGGGGTGTGTGTGCGTCAGCAACACTTTTTATTTATTAGTTTGATAAGCATGAATTAATATGGATTCACATAAGTGACACATTGTTAATATCACACTTTTAGCGGAAATTGTTAATATGTGTTTAATTTGGTGTTTACAATACAAATATTGGTACTACGGTTTTCAAAACACACTACTCTTTATTGTTAAACTCCTTAACATATTGTCCATCTTTAACATATACAGTGGTACCTCAGGTTACAGACGCTTCAGGTTACAGACTCCGCTAACCCAGAAATAGTACCTCGGGTTAAGAACTTTGCGTCAGGATGAGAACAGAAATTGTTCAGTGGCGGCAGCGGGAAGCCCCATTAGCTAAAGCGGTACCTCAGGTTAAGAACAGTTCCAGGTTAAGAACAGACCTCCAGAACGAATTAAGTTCTTAACCCGAGGTACCACTGTACTTGGAGGCTTCAGTCATCCTTGTTTCAGTCATCCTTGAGTGTCACCCAGGCGAAAGAAAATGGCACCGAGACTTTTTGAGGTGCTTGTAAATAGAGAATCTTTAGGCGCAAAATGTGTCTGGCTCCCTGCTAATTTCGAACCCTGGAAACCGCTGCTGCTATTTGTTGAAACTTTGATTCAGAAACTGTGTAGTGGTATAATTGCATCAATTCATATGATTTCCTGAGGTTTGTGGTAATGCAGTACCTCTTACTTTGAGCAACAAGCACCTTGCAGTCCTCTTGTTCCAGCTACATGCTTGTAATGTTTAAGAAAAGTCACAGGAAATTTTGAGGGGCGTAGTAAAGTCAAGTGTAAGCAGGGGTGTGTTTTGAAGTGAAACCAGAAGAATGCTTAATGTTTCTAACTTTCTGGGGTTGCTTTGTAACTTCAAATGAGATATTTTTTTTTGGTCAGGGATATAGAAGTCTGGAAAAAATAAAAGGGAATGAAGTGGGAAGAGAGGGAAATCATTATGAAAGCCATATGCAGTCATAAATGTGTACAGTGGTACCTCAGGTTAAGAACTTAATTTGTTCTGGAGGTCCGTTCTTGACCTGAAACTGTTCTTAACCTGAAGCACCACTTTAGCTAATGGGGCCTCCTGCTGCTGCTGCACCGCCGGAGCCCGATTTCTGTTCTTATCCTGAAGCAAAGTTCTTAACCTGAAGCACTATTTCTGGGTTAGTGGAGTGTCTAACCTGAAGCGTACGTAACCCGAGGTACCACTGTACTAGGGAGTAAGCCTGAATGTTGTTGAACTGTATTTCTCATAGCTCTGTGGGCCGTACTGGCTTGGAATGATTGGAATTGTTGTCCAAGGACACCCAGAGGACATCCCATTGGCTTTCCCTGCTGTTGGCTATCTTCTGACCTCTTTCCTTTTCATCTTGTTTTATGCTGTGTTTTCTGTTTTAATTGTAGGTCTGCACATTTTAATGAAACACTGGGATATAAATGTTGATAAATCAACTCTAGCTGCTGTCAATTTATCTACTTGTTTGTTCTTCCACCCATAGATTATTGCCTTTGCTCTCGAAGGGAAAAAATCAAAGTTAACCCGAAGACCCAAATCCAGTGACTATCAGCTACTGGAACCAAAGGTATGTTCTTGCCTTATAGCTTCTTAAGCAACTCCTCTGAAGTTATTGACCAGATTGGATTGGATTGTATGTCTGAGCAACTGCAGTTAAAATCTGTACAAAGGTACAATATAAGTCAGGGATGGGGAGCCTCAGACTTGGGGACCACATTCAGCCCCAGGCCACACCCCTCATTGGCTTGGCTTTGCACCATCTTTGAGTATTTTTGCCTGGCTGGAGTGTTTCTTTGAACTGGTGTGTGAACAAAGCTAAAATCCCCAGTTTTTGCTGTGCCCTTATTTGCCTCTGGCCTCACCCACCACTGACATCTGCTTCCTGAAAGCTTGCTCAGATGGGAATGCAACCCTTGGGCTGAAAAAGGTTGCCCATCCCTGATACAAGCCAGACTTTTCTCTCCAAAGACAGCTGCAGGTGAATTTAAGGGTAAAGGAGCCAACTTATTAAAAATCTGTAGTTTCCTTTTGTTCTCTCTGTTCTTAAACAGCGTGTCTCTTTTGCTGATTACCAACTGAGAATGATAGGCGCATGGATATAGTTGCATGAGATACATATTGTGTTTGTGCGGTAATTCCTAATCAACACTGAAAGGACCAAACCAGAGGCAGGAGTTGAATGCTTATTGTGCAAGTTTGGCAAAAGCTTTATGGTGGAAGCATAGAACTGCACTTCAGCTAGAGTGGGAAGAAGTCGGGTCTTGGAATAAAGGATATGCCAGGTCAAAGCATTCCATATTGAGTAAATTACAACAAATGCAACAGGCCAAAAAAGATGCAGCATTAATCTGTAGCTTATTAAGATTTACAAGTTTATCCTTGTTCATAGATGAATGAGTCGTTTGTGCTGTAATGTTAATGTGTTTAACAACCTGTGGAGGGTTGCAGGTTAGCCATCCCAGGTCTTCAGGGCATTCCTTCAAACTTGTAAGAAATCTGTTAACTTAACTTTACATACCCAACATTGTGTAATATTAAATGTCTATCTCTCTCTCTCTTTAATCTGGTGTAGAGTACCATCAGTACATTTGTAAATTGATTTAAATCTGTTTTTTCTTTCTTTTTTCTTTCTCTCTGTGCAGATCTAAAGTAAACCCAGAAATTCTTACATGATGCTGTGTTGAATAAAAAAAACCTTGTTCCCAGTATGGGCACACACAAAACATGGAGGAAGTCTTGCCTTCCGTCATGAATGAGTACAGCCCTGAAGCCTATCAGCTCTGCTGTTGTGCCCCGGGGGAGGGAAGAGCAAGAAGTGCTTTTTCTTGTGCACGTGCACTTTGGAAATGATTATGCCTCAGTCTTTCTATCCAGTGTTTGTACACCTTTTGGCTACTTGAAGTTGAACTGTGTCCCGTCCCCCCCCCCATACTGCAACAGAAGAACCCAAAGGGGATAGCGTGTGTGTGAGTGAGTGTACATCTCTCCAAATGATGTGGTATATGATTTCTACTGTGTCAAAGGGCTGGATTTAGGAGGCACTTTGTCTATTGAATTCACAGCTTGGCTTCCTCGCCTCCTGGCTTCCTGGCATTTTCATAAGAATTGACCTGGTGAGTTTGTAGTTGACTTTGATGAAGGCTGTCGACTGCTGTCCATGGTATTGACCCAGAAGTTCCCTTTGTGCTCCATTGCAGTAGCTGAGGCATGTTTTGCCACACAGACCATTTGGACGTCTTCTGTTTGTAGATGGCAATTTTGAGAAATAATTATTCAACAACAAAACTGCTAGAGATGTCAGAATACGTGAAAAGGCAGGATCATCATACTCGGCTTGTGACTTCCTAATTCTTGATAGATTTGGCATATTTCTGATTCACTAGAGACTAAATGTCAAATGATCAGGAGGCTGCTGGTGTAAAAGACTTTGGGTTGGGGGTGTTTGAATCCCTTTCCTCCCCTCACTCTGTGCCAAACTTCTTAGAGAAGAATCTTGATTGATTTGTAAATCGATAGTGCCATATCCCCATTCCAAAATGTCACAGGAGGATGGCAGTTGTGTCCGGGGCTGTTCCAATCCACCGAAGGCCACAAATAATTTAAAGATTATATACCCTTGGCCGATCATTTTCAAGGAAAATAAAACTGTAAATATTTGCTGTTTGATGTCACAAATGCACTGTCTTAGCACTTAAAGAGACCCTCGCTTCTAAAAACCAAGAATTTAATTGCTTGTTACATAAGTCTAAAAGTGTTTCTTCACTTCAGAAACCTAATTTGAGGCACCGCTTCTTAATTGTGAAGGGCACTTGTGTAAAATAGATCACCAATGCACCACTGAAAATGGTAGTTCATGAGTGTGTGTATGTGTAATTGCATAGCAGTGCTGTTTTCTTTCCTAAATCTGAATTTCTGGTAATTCCACAGAGCAGGTTGTAATGCACAACAGCCTGTTCTATATAATGTGAGTTTAGGTTTGGTGGCTTTCACCACACTGCAAGTGTTCTTTTAGGCTGGTTTTATTTTTATTCACCACGAGGAAGTGGAAATGAAATGTGAATGAGAAAGTAGTTTTGATGTTTGCCTGAGGTTGCATTTTGTCTTGTGTATTTCCTCTCAAAATCCTTTGCTTTCTCAAATGGAATGAAACCTGTTAAGCCACAAGTTGTCCCTCTCCGAAGGACAGTGGGGGCCCCCATCCTTTCTGCAGTTCCTTTCAACCGATTCCGCCTGCGGAAATGAAGCCAGTTTGTGGCATGGAGTCCACTTCAGATGGAGCAATTGCATTTTTGAATGCTCTTCTGCGGGAAACTTGCTTATCTGGTTGTCTACTGTGCAATTATAAATTTGCAGGCCATTATGAGCACAGGGGAGCCTTCAAACCCGATTCTCTCCTTGCAACCCCCCAGCAGTTCAATTCTACCACATCATTCTGCCGCATGGGTAGACTAGACCCAAGACACTTTGCCCATGAATCTTTGCTATCTCATGGAAGTCCATGGGCCAGCTATAGACCATTTGGTTTTTAAGTAGCCATACAGATAAGAAACACGCAACAAATGGAGAGGATGGGTATTGCGTGTCCCCACCGCCAACTGGCCAGTAAATGACCTCTTGGTTTGCAACTATCAGATGAAGTTCCTCTTCTGGCACATAGTGTAAATTTCTGGAGTGCAGTAGGATTTCTGGCTCCGAGCTGTTGGTGAATAAGCACTGGTGGGTGGATTCTGTCATCGTGCTTGTTTCTCTAATTCTAAAAGAAAACTGGGAATGTCCCCTCCACCTTTCATATATTTTGTGGTATTTTTACCTCAGGCAAAAGGCTAAAGTTTTAAGCAGGTAAAAGCTTGCCTGCTATTTCTGCGTTCAATTTTTAAAAAAGCTGAACATCACTTGAATTGAGTTCCGTTGCTGGATCACATTCCTGTCGTGGGGGTGGGAGAGGGGCTTTCTCTCATTTTTTTTTAAGGTCACCTCCATTCCCTATTTGATCCCGTAAGTGTGCTTCTGGTTTTTGCAGCTTTAAAAAAAAGACACTTTAGGAAAAAAAAGTTCAGGCTTGTTTTTAATCAATTTGTATTTTCCCTTCTGTGTGGTGAATTAAATAAATGAATACATGAAACCTTTTGTTTTCTTGAAACATCAATTTCTAAACTGTCATAGCTAGGTAGAGAGATTATAATGAGATCTTTTCTCCGGGCCTCTGCACTCTGTTCCAACTATCCAATTTCCCCTTCCTATTTTTCTAAACTGGAAAGCCCTGGGTGTTGTAACCCTTTTTCACAGGGGAGTTCCTCCAGCCCTGTGATTAATTTGGTTGCAAGGTTACAAGATCTAAGCGTCTTTGTTCTGAAAACACATCTCACACTCCTAAGTCACCCCACCTCAAATCATCCCTATGGAACCATATAATGCTATTTACTTTTAGTCATGTGAATGCAATCTCCATTAACTGTAGGGTGAAGAAAGCAGTTTCCTTAGCAGGTGGTTCATCGGTTTGGCGTTCACCTGCTAACAAACACAAAAGCAAATGTACAAGTCTAACAAAGCGAAAGCTGCTGACTTCCTGGTGCCATTTAGCGCATTGACACTGTGTACATGTTAGTAGTCAGGATATTCGCTTCTTGGAGGGAGATCAATCTGATAATGGTCTGAAACAGGTGTAGGTTACATGGTGCTCTCCAGATATTTTGGACTACAATCCCCATTCTAGTCAGTGTGGCTAATGGTCAGGGATGATGGGAATTGTAGTCTGCAATGTCTGGCAGGCACTTGGTTTGCTGCTCCTACTCTAGGGCAAACAGCCAGGCCACAGCAGGTCTAGATTCCACTGTAAGGAATGAATTTGGCATCTTCTGCATGCAGAGCTTGTGCTCGCTCGCTCCCCTAAGGGAAGTGCTGGTTTGTTGACAACACGTCATCGTTGGAAAGTCAGATGATGAGGTGGATCACACATGGCCCAAGTGATAGAGGTTATGTTAGCTTTCAGTCAACAAGAGTACAGTAATTGCAACCCAGTCGGGTCCTGGGAAATTCCAATACAACCTAGGAAATCACATGCAGGATGATGAGTGGTCGAGGCCCCTGCTCCTAACAGCTAGGATCCTTTGATTTTATTTTAAAATAAAATAGTTCCAGTGCTGCCTCATAAAGGGGGGGTAGGGTAGAATCAAAATTGTAGTGTTGGATGGGACCCTGAAGGTCATCCAGTCCAACCCCCTGCAATACAGGAATCCTGCCCACAGCCATCCCTGGGTGGGCCTGAACCACCTGGTTAGCAGCCAGACACACTGACTCCTTGTGCCACAGGAGGGCTATCACTTTGCAAGAAGGAGTTGCACTGGCTTGGGATGCCTAGCCCTCAAAGTTGGTATGGATGTCCTGTATGTTCACCTCAAACGTATTTTAAGCTTTCAAGGTGTCTAGGGGCACAGAAAGAGGCAGCCTGCAACGGAAATTTGAGATAACTGATCATGGTCACTGACTGCATTACCTGGCCAGTTTGGGCCATTCCTTTGAGATGATAAATACCTTAGTTAATTGAATCCAGGTCACAGGCCTACCCTGTTCATACACAAAATAATGCCCTTAAGATTGGATCTGAAAGATTTTTAAGTCAAAAGAACCATTGGGAGATGTTTCCCCAAGATACTTCCTTTGGCAGAGGAAATATTTGGGTCAATAAGAGTCAAGATTGCTTCAGGATTGCTCTCCTGTCTATTTCAGACGTGGTTTATGTACTTATTTATGTGTGCTTACCTTGTGCACTTAGGAACTTTCATTTTATTTATGGCACCTTAGAATTCTTGTCACACAGGTCTTCTGCCCATTTCAAATCTTTCTAGCCATTTTATTTTAAGGGTGTTAGCTTTGGTTTGGCCTAGTGCTTTCTCTGCTGCTCCCATTATGTGTGCATTTTCTTATTCATCCTTGCTAATGTTCCTTCTGTTGAAGCAAAGAGGAGCCTTCCATGCTCCGAATAAACCTGTCCTTAAATGCTTAATTTCTGCTGCCTTTTGCAGTGCAAGATTTGAGGGGACTGGCAGACTCTCTGCCACTTTCCCACCCTCTGCCATTGTGAGTCTTGCCCTGTGCTCCAGAGCTGCCTGCAACGTGAAATGGATAAAAGTTGCTACTTGTGCTTTTATTTTTTAAATAATCTTTATTAATTTAAATTACACACATATACAAAGAATTTACAATCTCATACTACAAAAAGAAAAAGAAAAAACAATTAAGAAAAATGAAAAGAAAATACAGAAAGAAGAAAAAGCAGATTTATGTGCATAAAAACAACTTAATCTTCCTAATTAATACTTAAATAGACACTTAAATAAAAAAGACTTCTGACAAAACAAGTCTTCCAATCATTTTCATTGTACTGTTTATACTGTTGTTTTCCCCGCACAGTTTTATATACTTTAATATTGTTCCCCATCTATTCCACAAATGGTATTTGTTGTGTTTATAAGTATCACTCAAGTTCTGCTAATATGGTGTGGTTGGTACAATGTGATCTTATATAATCCTTAAATATTCTCCATTCTCCAAATATTTTCTGGTTCAATACTTCTCTAACTCTTCCCGTCAGTTTTGCTAGTTGTCATAGCTGTCAACTTTCAGATTTGAAAATAAGGGATCAGCAGCCTCACCTGTCCCGGGGATAGTCTACGGGATATCTAACAATCTGGGATAGCAGCGGGAAACGGCGCTGGAATAAGGGATTTTCCTGCAAAAAAAGGGAAGGTTGACAGCTATGCTAGTTGTAAATATTCTAACATGAGTATCTGCCAATCTGCGATTGTCGGTATTGTTTTGTTTTTCCACTTCCTCACCACAAGAATTCTTGCTGCTGTGGTGGCATACATGAACAGTGGCCATGTCTTTTTAAATTTCTAATGGTAAAATTACCACTGCTACTTGTGCTTTTAATTGACTTATGTTTCTCTCTCTCTAATCTCGATCAATGTCAGCCAGATAACTTTTCACTACTGCTTCTGCTGAACTTTGGCTTATTTTGGAAAGAAAAATAGCTTTAAATAACTTCCAGAGGGCTCTCAGGGCAAGCAGTCATCTTGATTCAGCATTGCTCCACTCCTCAAAGGGCACCGGTTCCTCACCCCTATTTTAGGCCTGTGCCAACATCACCTACTTGCCATTGTGCAATTTGTTTTAAAGCACAGTTTCACTTTAAACGAAGAGCCAGGGTCCATTTTATCAACTTGCTTGAAGATAAGCAAACCAGGCCACCCGCAGGTTGATCTGATTAGCTGGAGCCGATTAGCAAAGCTCAGACAGACTTTGTTAGGAGGGTGCAAAGTTTAGGGCACTAAAACCTGGGTGACACTGGTGCCTGCCTCCTGTTGTTGGTATAGTGGCACCATCACCTAGATGTTATTCCTGGAAACACAAGGCAGAGCAGGAAACGGCAGCTTTAGTTGCCAACTGCTGGTTTTATTTTCCCCGTAAATAGCAGGGAGAGGAAATTTGTTCTTGTAATTGTTTATGGCAACCTTACAGAATGAAGTCTGTAGTGGATTGCAGGCATCTAGCGTTTGGAGCCCAGATAATTCTTGGATAATTTCAGCATGATCCTAGCTAGAAGTGCGATGTCTTGACCTGATCACTGCAGAAGCTTGACCTGATCACTGCAGAAGCTTGACCTGATCACTGCAGAAGCTTGACCTGATCACTGCAGAAGCTTTATAACTGCAAAAAAAGGGGAAGTGCCTTTCTTACCATAGGATTAAAGGACATTTGGGTAGCAGCAGCTCTCTTGACTCGTAGCATCGAAAACAAGCCTTGACAACTACTGCAATTAAGGGCTGGCTGAACGTGTGATGTGGGGAGAGGAGATATTGGGGGCGCGAGGCATAGTTTGTGCCTCGTGTCCAAAGTGTGCACAAGTTGTATGTGCATAAGATCTCTCCATGTTCTCTGGGACACTGCAGAATCTTTAGGAATTTTTAGGAGAGCCAAGATGGCTTTTGGATTGCTCTCCTGTACTATTTTAGGTCCGTATAGTTAAAGCTATGGTTTTCCCAGTAGTGGTGTATGGAAGTGAGAACTGGACCATAAAGAAGGCTGATCGCCGAAGAATTGATGCTTTTGAATTATGGTGCTGGAGGAGACTCTTGAGAGTCCCATGGACTGCAAGAAGATGAAACCTCTCCATTCTTAAGGAAATCAGCCCTGATAATAATAATAATATATTAATAATGATAATTTATTATTTATACCCCGCCCATCTGGCTGGGTTTCCCCAGCCACTCTGGGCGGCTTCCAACAAAACACTAAAATACAATAACCTATTAAACATTAAAAGCTTCCCTAAAAAGGGCTGCTTTCAGATGTCTTCTAAAAGTTTGTTAGTTATTTTTCTCTTTGACATCTGATGAGAGGGCGTTCCACAGGGCGGGTGCCACTACTAAGAAGGCCCTCTGCCTGGTTCCCTGTAACTGAGTGCTCACTGGAAGGACAGATCGTGAAGCTGAGGCTCCAATACTTTGGCCACCTCATGAGAAGAGAAGACTCCCTGGATAAGACCCTGATGTTGGGAAAGATGGAGGGCACAAGGAGAAGGGGACGACAGAGGACGAGATGGTTGGACAGTGTTCTCGAAGCTACCAACATGAGTTTGACCAAACTGCGGGAGGCAGTGGAAGACAGAAGTGCCTGGCGTGCTCTGGTCCATGGGGTCACAAAGAGTCACACACGACTAAACAACAACAACAACAACTATTTTAGATATGTGGTCTATATACTCATGTATGTGTGTTTACCTTGCACAGTTATCTACAGTTATTCTGTATTTGAGTCCTTAGAATTCCTATAGCAAGCATCTGGATGACCAACCATGAAATTCACTGGGTGACCTTGGGACATTTCACTGTCTCTCAGGTGAAGAATAAGATAACCAGATACACAGTGCTATTTTTCTAGAAAAAGAGGTGCCAGAACTCACCATGAACACCTCCCTTGTTCTCATAAAAGCAGTGGCGCCCACCTGAGAGGTGCCAGAACTGGCTCCAAAAAAAAAGCCCTGCACATATTCTTCCTTGAAGGAAAGTTAGAATATAAACAAACAAACAAAAAATGTAGTTATTTTCTTAAAAAACAAAAACAAAAATCCTTTTCGACATTGAAATAAGGATGTAGAAACTGGAGGTCCCTCTCTGTCATCATCACTAGTTCTTGCTATTTTAAAAAATGCCACTGTTTTTATTGTAAACTGCTTTGAGCTCAACATCGCTGTTGGAAAAGTGGAATACAAATACTATCGAATCACATTATCAAATCAAATCACAAGCTTTGAACTTCATCCTGGTTGCAAAAGGGGCTAGTGAATTTGAGAGCAGCGTTCGAAACTCCCGTTGTTCTGGGCGCGTTTTGCGACAGGGAATTCCATTAATGCGAGCAGTTTCTGAGCCTAAGATTACAGATTAAAACTGCCACTGCTGGAAGAAAAGGAGGACTCTTTTCTGACTCCCCACTTCCAGCCACTCTCTGAAGACTGGAGAAGGGATCTTCACAAGAATATTAGGGGGGCGGGCAGGGGAAGTGTGGGTTTGTTTTTTGCAGTCTTCAGATGAGGACTAGACCATGTGAAAAATGAACATAAGATTTTAGCTGCAGTTTATTCATTTTCAGCTTTGTATTTTTATTTTAAAAAGCATGCCTAGACTTTGCAGTGCCCGTAACCTAGGTTTAAGGTGCCATTTAGCTCCTAGCTTTCATATCCCAGTTTTTAACCCTGCTTGAGAGATGATTAGCTACCCTTCGTGAATTTTGCCTATCTTCCCAGAGAGGGCTACCTGGTGTGATGGCCTGGGATTCGGACTCAGAGGCTGAACCTGAGGGATCCCAGTCTGCGCAGGATTCCCTGCCTCCAGAACCAGCTGAGCCGGGGCTGGGGCATGAGCCTGAAGGGTCTTCACCTGTGCTGGGTCCTCAGGTGCAGGCATCAGCTGAGTCTGCTCTGACTCCTGAGGTGATGGAGGACCCATTGCCTGCAGGTGCTCCACTCTCAGCCCCGTCAGAGGAAGCTGAGGTCGCCTCTGGGTCCGGTAACCCTCCAGCCTCTCCTGAGCTGCAGAGGCTCAGGGCAGAGAGGCGGAGGGAACTAAGTTCCCACAGGAGGAGTCCCTGCCTCCAGGCCAGGAGAGGTGAGTCACCTGTGGACCAGGACCGCCCTATGCCTTGGGGCAGATAAAAGCCAGCCAGCCCCAGTCCCAGGTTGCGGGAGCAACATTGTTGGTAGCCTGTTCCTGCCTGCACCCTGTCCTGCTCTTCTGTCGGAGCTCCTGACCTCACCTGACTTGCTGCCTTGGACCCAGCTTCAGCTTTGACAGACAGCCTCCATACCGCACCCTTGATCTCGGACCGGACTCGGACCTCGCCGCACGGATAACCCTCGGGACCAGCACACCTACTCTATTTATCCTTTAGGCAAAAACTGTTTTTATTTTACCAAGCCTTTAGGTTTTCTAGATCTCAGCCTGCTATTTCCATAAGGGGTTTTATGCTATTATATTTTATGGTTTTATTGATTTGTGTGTGTAAAACAACCTTGGAATCATTTGTGATGAAGGGTAGCATAGAAATAGACTCATTCACTCTCCGATCCATCCATCTCACTCATTTTTTATCTATGGAAGATCGATAGACACGGCTCTTTATAAGCAAAAACCAAGTCTTTATCCTAAGGAGTTTATATTAAAATTTAGATTTGGAGACGCCAAGCCAGGGTAGCACAAGTGATGAATATGAACACATCCATTCTTGCAATGTTCTTGCAATGTTGTGGCTCAAGAACAACATTATGTATCCTGCATTTTAGAATAATCAATTATCTATTTCCATCTCACTTCACCCCTAGGGCTTCGGCAGGTTGTAGCAGTTTAAAATATACAACACAATAAAACCAGCTTACGATAATGCTCCACACCCAATAAAACTACACTCGGACTGTTCTCTTAGTAAGCACATGACAAGTCTCTTAATTTTCTTGACTGGTGGCAGAGAGCCGAGTGTAATTCAGAATCTAATTGCTAGGGCAACTAGCCAGGGGAGCTGAGTTTTCTTTCTGGTAGAGAGAGGGGCAAGGATGCAAACTCCCTGCAACTGCCCCTTCCCTTGGTGGTGGTTGACGTCAGGATCATTTCCCCCTTGCTGTAATGTTCTTCCTGGAAGGCTAGAGTGCAACCTTACTGTTTCCAGTAAGTAAGTATAGTATAGTAAATATAGTATAGTACAGTAATAGTATGGTATACTTCCCTGGTGGATGGGGGTTTTTTTTTGGAAATCGTTTTTATTTGATTTTACAAATATAAATTTATAACATTCCAAATGCATATCCATATATAGAGATTACTCTGAATCTCGAGACTTCTCCCCATTCCGTCCATGGGTCTTATTGTCAATGTTTACAACTGCATATTATCCCATATTCTATATTTTTCAATCCATATCATCCATAGTATTACATTGCAAGTGGGTTTCAAATCCCGCTAATGTTTCCATTTGCTTGCAGTGGTCTCCTAGATGAATTATAAATTTCCCCCCATTCTTTTTAGAAGTTTTTGACGTCTTGGTTCCTGAGTTTTCCAGTCAACTTTGCCATTTCAGCGCAGTCCATCGGCTTAACTTGCCATTCTTCTCTGGTACGGACTCTGTCTTCTTTCCATGGTGAATGGTTAAAGATTTATTGAAAAACCAAAAATCTCCTACCATGGCTTATTATCAACTGTTGGAAATGAACACCACCCTTCATTACATGCTAAACAGAAGGCTGTGCTTGGAGTCTTAGTGCTCATGCACACACAGCCCACATTAAGTAGGTGCGGGAAACTGGGGGTCTTCCAGGTGTTGCTGAACTGCAACTCCCATCAGCCCTGACCATTGGGCTGCACCTGCTAGGGCTGATGGGAGTTGCAGTTCATCAACATCTGGAGGACCAACAGTTCCTCACAGCTGCATTAGAGACATGCAGTAACCCAGACTGGGTGCCTAGTGTGGCTGCCCCTGTTCTATAGAATAGCATTCCTTTCAAGATACAACAGGTGCTCACTATCTGCTTTCTGGAAACAACTGGAGACATTTTTGTTCTGTCGGGCTTCCCCAACTGGATAAAATGGGTGTTTATCACAAGTATCTACCATATTATTCCATCTATAAGATGCCCCCATGTATAAGATGCCCCCTATTTTTGGGGATTCATATTTAAGAAAATGGGGGGAGATGTACCCATGTATAAAACACCCCCTAATTTTTGACATTTATTTTTTAGGGGGAAAACCTAGTCTTACACATGGAAAAATGCGGTACTTTGCTATGGTTTCAGTCTTGCTTAAAATATATTTGCTGCTATTGTGTTTTTAACTGGTTTTAATCATTTCATGTGCAAATTGCCTCTGGAGGATTGTTCAGAAGGCAGTAATAAATCAAGGATTATTAAGAGGTGTCCATCTCTCTCCTCTTTGGAGACTGTGCAGAAGAAGCTGAACCCTGAAGAACGACAGTTGTGGCAAGATGATTTTAACAAGGCGTCTCCAAAGGGAAAAACAGGGACGAGAATAAGAAACAGCTGAACAAGAATAGAGGCCGCCCCTGGCAAACAGGATAAGTTGAGGCCAGGTGAGCTGTATACCTGCTCAGTCTGCTGTCCAGGTACTCATTGTTGATGGACAACTTCAAGGTTCACTCCTGATCTCTGTTCTTACACTTCTCTTTAAACCAGACTGGGACTGGACAGCCTTTCCGGCAGAGGACTGTCCCATGGCAATATTTCATGGACAGAATTGTCTCAGTAGCACATGGGGCCACCTTGTTCTATACACTGACCATGAAGTCTTTTTCTAAGTGTGGATCTTTTAAGTATGCAACATAGCACCCCAGTAGGGTGGTATCAATAGGGAGAGGGAAATAGATTCTGCTGAGATATATTTTCTTTTTCTAGTAGAAGCCCTAGAGGTAGGGAACCTCAAAGCAGCCCAGTGCATGGAGTATAGAATGTTGGGATGGTGGAAAGGAATGGAGTAGCCTTGAAGAAGGCATGGAACCCTGAACAGGAGCACTCCATGCTGTAATGTTTTGCTGCAGGTTCCGCAGGTCTTCATCGAAGCAGAGGGAGCAGGAATTCCCTTTTCTTAGTTCTGGGACAAGTTGGGTGTTTAGGCCACCTCAGATGTTAGGCAACAGGTTCATTAAATTTTGAAGACTGAGGGAAGAGCAGAAGGCACACATACTATAAACCTCCATCCTATCAGATGTGCTTGTGTTATTCACTCTTCATTGGAGAGCAAAAAGGCCATTATTGCCCAGTTTGCAACAATCGCACGTTTCTCATGGTGGAGCTGCTTCCTGGCTTCACAGGAGTCCTTGTCCAGACAAGAAATGCGGCTGATTCCTTACGCTTCGTTGCTGCTACACTCCCTGGTGGAATTGGAGAGATCACCTGAGGCCTGTCTTCCTTGTGAGAAGGGGTAAACCTCTCTCACCATCTTGGTGACGAAGCAGGGCATTTCTTTACCTCCTCTGTATTTCCCTTTCGCTTCCTGCAAGGCGACTGTCCCGCTAATTCGGGTCATCAAACTGGCAACTTCAAGATGGCATTCCTCTCCTTCTAGCAGGTCCAGCAAGGCCTTGAGGAACATGGATTCCCACCGATTGATGAACGAAGCGTAGCCTGAAAACACCAGGAAAAAAGAAATTGAAGAGCACTGGTCTCCTTCAGCAAGGTGGTGCCTTGAAAACAAATTTCTTGGCAGCAATCATGCTTCTTCTATTAGAGCTACTCTAGTACGTTTCAGCCACAACCCCACAAATCTACCCATACATATGCACACTTCAAAATCGGAAGAATCTTTATTTGCATCGGCCACTAGCCATAGCAATGAAATAAAATGTACTGAAGATAGAGGTAAAAACTTAACTATAGAAAATCCATTCTGGGGTTTTGCATCAATAATCAAATTGTAGATCTTATTCTAATTGCCCCCGCTAAAAACCTTGCAGTTTTTGCTGTTACCTGATCATCTTGATCTGCTAAAAGAAAGGACACAGTAGCAATGGTTGAGCGACCCAACATGGACAGTAATAGAGGGGTAAGGTAAAGGACCCCTGGACGGTTAAGTCCAGTCAAAGGCAACTATGGGGTTGCAGCGTTCATCTCGCTTTCAGGCCGAGGGAGCCGGCGTTTGTCCATAGACAGCTTTCCAGGTCATGTGGCCAGTTGACTAAGCCGCTTCTGGTGCAATGGGACACTGTGACGGAAACCAGAGCACACGGGAACGCCGTTTACCTTCCCGCCACAATGGTACCTATTTATCTATTTGCACTGATGTGCTTTCGAACTGCTAGGTTGGCAGGAGCTGGGACAAAGCAACGGGAGCTCACCCCATCACGGGGATTTGAACCGCTGACCTTCTGAGTGGCAAGCCCAAGAGGCTCAGTGGTTTAGACCACAACGCCACCCGCGTTAGAGGGGTAATAGAGGGGTAGTAACCTCACTCCTCCAATCTTTATAAAGAGTGCACACTTACTTGGGCATACTTGGGTGAAATTTGCTTCGATCTTGTACAGCGCTGGGTTGCTAGGCATACATAAAGAAGAGTCCTGCTGGGTCAAGCCAGTCCGGCATTCTTTACTCACAGCAGCCAATCAGATGCCTTTGGGACGCTCTCAGGCAGGACCTGAGTGCAACAGCCCTCTCCATAGCTCAGTCGGTAGAGCATGAGACTCTTCATCACAGGGTCTTGGGTTCGAGCCCCATGTTGGGCAAAAGATTCCTGCATTGCAAGGGGTTGGAATAGTTGACCCTCATGGTCCCTTCCAACTCTACAACTCTGTGATCCCAGCAGTTTGGTATCCTGAGGCATACCTTTAAAGCCGTATGCGGCCTAGGACCCACGTACCTACAGGACCGCCTCTCCCTGTATGCCCCACGGAGGACCTTAAGGTCCATAAACAGCAACACTCTAGAGGTCCCGGGCCCTAAGGAAGTCAGATTAGCCTCAACCAGGGCCAGGGCCTTTTTAACATTGGCTCCAGCCTGGTGGAACACTTTGTCTCATGAGACCAGGGCCCTGCGGGATCTGATTTCTTTCCACAGGGCCTGTAAGACAGAGCTGTTCCACCTGGCCTTTGGTTTGGACTCAGTCTGACCCTTATGTTTCCCTCCCTTTATGTGATCTATGGGTTACTTTTTAAATGAGGCTGCATTTTAAATTGCACTTTAACCTGCATTTTAAATAGGGTTCCCCTCCTATTATGTTTTCACTAATTTTTACTGGTATTATCCACCCTGAACCTGGCTCTGGCCGGGGAGGGCGGGGTATAAATAAAATTATTTATTATTATTATTATTATTATTAAACCCCCTCCGACACTGCAGGCAGACGAGAAACTAGGCTTTATTTCACCCGCGTCAAAGACCCAGTTTGGCACACCCCCCAACATGCATTTGCGTATGGGGGGGGGGATGAGCCTCAATGGCGCCCCTCTGATGGTTTCATCAGGGGCAAAGAAACCCAGCTACCCCCCTCCATAGCTAGGGTTGGAGCTTTGAAGCTAGTAGCAACAGACAGCCTTCCCGTCCCCCTATTTTTTCCTCTCTTTTTTAGTTTTTTATTGTTATTTTTCAATTTTATACATTTCATTAGTTTGACAATGCATTTAACATTTCAAAATTTGACTCCCCCCTCTTTCTGCAGTTCCTTAAATTAATTTTTTAAAATATCTTCTGCATATCCAAATTCATTTAACTTGTTCATTTAATTATCTACTGTAAATATATACACTTATAAAACTGCAGGTTATTACAATAAGCTTGCTAATGAGCAATGGACAGCCTTAATCTACCTGAACATGTCTAATAACTCTTTAAAGTCATTGAGGTTGATGGTCATCCTGACGTATTGTGGGAATGAATTTCATAGCTTATGCGTGGGGAAAAGGAATTGTTTCTTTGGCTGTCCCGAGCCTTTCAACATTCCATACAGGACTTACATACCTGGACAGCAAGAATACATCACTGCAGTGTCTTGAGGAATGGAGAGATAGTGTGAGAAACACTCAGTCTGTGCTTCACCGCTGTCTGTCTGCAGCCAAACACCTTGATCAATTTCCACTCCACGGCAGGCCTAGAAAGCACAGCAAATGCAACCGCTGTATGGCTGGAACCTGAACAGGAGTTTTCTACGCTGCAACATTTTGTTGCAGCAGGTCCAACATCCTAGCTAGCGCTTAACAAACAATACTGGACAATCTGTTATTGATAAAAAAAAATACAACAAGCAATGGAGCTTTTTGCAATGTGTGTCATTTTGGGTGTGTGCCCTGGGTGGTGGTAAGAGAACTGGGGTCTGTGAATATGCCCCTATTTTCATTTCTGAAATGTTTATGGCTGTGCTTTCCCCACCAGAGTTATATTTCTATTCAGTGTTTCTGTGTGTGCTTCTAAAAGCATCCTTCATCCATGTGCCTAACCCAGAGAATAAAGCCTAGATCCTCTGTATTCTGCCTTCATTTGTTGCTTTGAGGTTTTTTTTCCCTGTCCCAGAACACATTTATCAGAAGCATGATCCCTTTGCTGTGCAATTTTGCTGCCTACCCATTTGTTTCCAGGCTCAGTTCAGGGCTCAAACTACAAATGCCTATAAGATGTGCTGCTTCATTTAACATGCAGGTTCTTGTTTTTTTAAAGTGCAAATAGCATCACTCCAGAGGGGATAATTATTGGGAGAAGGGGAAATGTAACTCTTTCCTCCCTGCTGTGGTCTTGAGAAGGATGCCACTTCTGAAGCTGGTACAGTGGTACCTTGGTTCCCAAACTTAATCCGTTCCGGAAGTCTGTTCCAAAACCAAAGTGTTCTAAAACCAAGCCATGCTTTCCCATAGAAAGTAATGCAAAATGGATTAATTTGTTCCAGACTTTTAAAAACAACCCCTAAAACAGCAATTTAACATGGATTTTATTATCTAACAAGACCATTGATTCATAAAATGAAAGCAATAATCAATGTACTGTACTATAAAATAAATAAGACAGAATTGTAGGTGATAAAAATTAAAATTATTATTTTTTCTTATGTGCACTGATGATAGTCATTGTTTGGTTGTGGGGCTTTTATCCATTTCTGCAGTCACACAATCAATCAATCAATCAATCAATCAATCAGTAGCTGAACTGGGTTCCACACAGTCACAAAAACAAGTCACAAAAATGAAGTCACAAGCCACAGTCACAAGTCAGTCCCATAAAACAAAGAACAAGTCACAGTCAAAAAAATGAAAAAGCCACACAAACAAAAATGCAAAAAAATAGCAAAAACAAAAGCTCCAAATATCACCTCTGTGTTGCGTAGGTGCTTAGGACTCAACAGCTGACAGACTCAACAGGAAGCCTCTGAATAGCAGCGGGGACTTACCGTATTTTTTGCTCTATAAGACTCACTTTTCCCCTCCTTAAAAGTAAGGGGAAATGTGTGTGCGTCTTATGGAGCGAATGCAGGCTGCGCAGCTATCCCAGAAGCCAGAACAGCAAGAGGGATTGCTGCTTTCACTGCGCAGCGATCCCTCTTGCTGTTCTGGCTTCTGAGATTCAGAATATTTTTTTCTTGTTTTCCTCCTCCAAAAACTAGGTGCGTCTTGTGGTCTGGTGCATCTTATAGAGCGAAAAATACAGTAATTTAAAAATGGAACACACTCAACAGGAAGCGGAACATGTTCAGCTTCCAAAGCAAAGTTCACAAAGACCTACTTCCTGGTTTGCAGCATTCTATTTCCAAGTTCTTCATAAACTAAGCTGTTCTAAAACTAAGGTACCACTGTATTTGCCTTTGGGAGGAAATCCCCCATGTTGACACCAGCCACGATGAGTCAAACATCCGGGAAGGTTCAGAGAATATAGGTTACACTGATACTATGAGTCTAGGAAATGCAATAAAGTTAATGCAGATAATTCCTTGATGAACAAAATGAGTTAGTCCCTGATGACAAATGGGCAAGAAAATAAACCTTTTCCTCTTCCTTTTGGCATTTGAGTCATACACTCTAGAACTGAAACCAAGCACATTCTGAGTAGCTTTTTTTTTCCAGAATGCAAGGTTTTACATGGGTTAAGGAAGCATTTCATGTATTTTTTTAATGTGTCTCGATATACAGTGGTACCTCGGGTTAAGTACTTAATTCGTTCCGGAGGTCTGTTCTTAACCTGAAACTGTTCTTAACCTGAAGCACCACTTTAGCTAATGGGGCCTCCTGCTGCCACTGCGCCGCCGGAGCACAATTTCTGTTCTCATCCTGAAGCAAAGTTCTTAACCTGAAGCACTATTTCTGGGTTAGTGGAGTCTGTAACCTGAAGCGTATGTAACTCGAGGAACCACTGTAAGTGGAAAACACTGCTTTGCTGGAAGTGAGTGCATGGAAAGGGTGGAAAACCAAGGAAGGAGAGGAGGAACAGAATGGAGTGGCTGGAAACGTGAACAAGAGCCTTGAACACCGCAACATTTTGCTGTAGCAGGTCCAACATCCTAGGTAGCTTATGGTTGCTAAAATGAATACAACATTTGGTAGAGCTTTTAGCAACATGTGGCATTTCTCTGTGTGTGCCCCAGGCAGTGATTTTTGGTCAGAGATCTGGGGTTTCTGAATATATCCCTAGTTTCATTTTTAAAAGGTTGAAGACTGTGCTTTCCCCACCACCGTTATGTTTCGATACACCATGCTGCGGAAAAGCTGGCAAGCTTACAAGACAGAGAAGACTTTCCCCTGCTCATAATCACTGTGACCGTTTAAGCAGTGAAGTCACAAGCCTGCAGCTACAGAGATTGTCTGAATTTCCCCATCATCCTCACAGACGGTTTACACACAAGTCAACAAGCTTGCAGCTCCAGATGTTACCTGAATGAAGAAGATTTTGGGTTTCCCAGCCAGTTTGTGACACCTTTCAGGTTCTAATATCTGGAAAATACGCTTGAGCTGAACTGGCTGTCCTTCGCAGTCATAGATAATCCCTTCTTCTCCGTGACTGGACAGAATGCTTACAAAAAACTCCCCGTGATCTGCGTGACATTCTGCAAAAGATACAGCACACAGTAATACACTGCCACCATTCATATTATCTTATGATCCAAACTGATACCCCACCTTTCCAGGCTAATAATAATAATAATAATTGTTAAGTTATGGGTGAACATATCAGTCAACCCAGCGATTCTTCAAACAGCTCTTGTTTATTCACAGGCCAGAACAGAACTGAACTGAAGGGTTCAGCCAGCCTGCTTATATAGAGCTCCACTAGAACGCAACAGTAACCATTTTCTGTAACTAGCCAATCACTGAACGTCACTTTCGACCCCCTATTTGCATATGTGGACCTGAACTATCTATAGTATCCCCCTGCTGGCCCAGGGTGAGAACTTCAGTACACAACAACAACAACAACAATTTATTTATACCCTGCCCTCCCCAGCCAGAACCAGGCTCAGGGCGGCTAACACCAATAAAATTACAATAAAACATAATAGGGGGGAAAAACCAGTTAATTAAAATATGGGTTAAAATACAATTTAAAATGCAGCCTCATTTTAGTAGTAGCCCATAAATCATGAGCGCTGCAACCCCATAGTCACCTTTGGACTTAACCGTTCAGGGGTCCTTTACCTATTTACCTTTACTATGGGGTCATGCATTTATATTAAAGGGTCTCTAAACCAGCTGGATAGCTATCTATTAAATTTTCATTTTCAGTACAAAATTAATGCATGGAAATAAAAGACCTGCTCTCACTCTCTTTTTAAAAAGTCATCAGTTTACATAATGTTTTCCCTTCATAAGAAAGTTACCGACCCTTTGCAACTACGCATTATTTGCATTCACATGGGCAGGCGAAGCAGGGTGGCTGGTTATGCCCACGATTTTGGCAGCTTTTGCACACAGCTCAGCTACTGACGCTGGATGAAAAGGTAAGAGGTGGGGCATCATGTGCGAAGCGAAGCAGGGATCCAAAGTTCAAATTGATCTGCTTGACGACGAGTCTCTCGTATGAAGTTCTAAGTGCAAAAGGGGTTTTGTGCACAGACAGGCGATGGCGAGGGGCTTAATCTTTACTATGGTCAATTACTAGCGATTCATTTAGTTGTTTTAGATATTTGTAATCCACCCTTCACCAAAAAGGTCCCAGGGCGGCAGACATTAAATTTTAAAGTATCAAAGTTGGCTCACGATCCGGATTAAAACACACAGTAATTTAAAACAACAAGTTCAAAAGATGGGTCTTGCTATCTTGACGATCTGCGTTTGTGACAAACCTCTCAGATGTGTTGTTTGCAAAGATTAGCAATTGGCACACAAATATATTTTTGCTGAATCTGGCAGACCAAGAAGCAGATCCTGTATTGGCATGCTATTCTATTTCCCAAACACAATATAGGCTACACACTCCTGTTTACTCTGCATCGGTGTGCACCAATTGCTGGTTTAGGAAGTGCTGTATCGAAGACATCAGTCGCGATCCACTATCTATCCTGTTGTGTCTTATGAAATACTGTGTTTTGATGCCTCCCCTCCCACCCCCACCCCCAAACTGGCTTCAATCTGAATTGAGGAAAAGGCTTGATGTAGCTGCATATTAAGCTGGTAATGCGTGCACAGCCATAGAATCACAGCACTGGAAAGGGCATCCCTGACCCCTGCTGGGTGCAAGATCTGCAATGCAAGGTGCAACTGCAGCACCCCTGACAGGTAGCCCTGAAGCCTGTGCCTCAATACATGCAGCAAAAGAAGAGCCTGCCATCTCCCACGGCTGCTGAACAGCACTTGCTGTTAGGACGTTTCTCCTAAAGTGAAATCTTGCTCCACTCATTTATTCCAGCTCTGGAACCGCAGAGGATAAAATCTGCTGTGTATTCTGAATGACAGCCCTTCAGATATTTGAAGACCACTATTAAAGGTAAAGGGACCCCTGACCATTAGGTCCAGTCGTGGCCGACTCTGGGGTTGCGGCGCTCATCTCGCTTTATTGGCCGAGGGAGCCGGCGTACAGCTTCCGGGTCATGTGGCCAGCATGGCTAAGCCGCTTCTGGCGAACCAGAGCAGCACACGAAACACTGTTTACCTTCAAGCCGGAGCGGTACCTATTTATCTACTTGCACTTCATGCTTTCGAACTGCTAGGTTGGCAGGAGCAGGGACTGAGCAACGGGAGCTCACCCTGTCATGGGGATTTGAATTGTCACTTCTTCAGAGTAAACATACAGAGCTCTAAGAACCCAAGAAAAGCCTTGCTGGATGAGGCCAGTGGCCCATTAGATCAGATCCTCCAAGTGTCCCTATTTTTCAGAATTCTGGATTAACAGAAGCCATCCTGGTTTCTGATTTGATCCCAGAATGTCCTTAGGACATCTCTATTTTCATCAGAGAAATGTAGGAGGGTATAGAGTTATCCAACCCCCCAAGCCATCTGAAGGTAGCTCTGAATAGGGAAGTTTTTAAAAAATGTTTAGCGTTTTATTATGCTTTTATATATGCTGGAAGCTGGTCCGAGTGGCTGGGGCAACCCAGACAGATGGGTGGGGTACAAAGAGTACAATTATTCATATAATTATGATGAAATAGGACGTCACTATTGGAGAAATGTTGGAGGGTATGTCATCAGGACCGGCACCCTGTTCTTACACCAGCCAACCAGATACCTATGGGAAGCTCATAATCAAGACCCGAGTGCAAGAGCTTTTCCCCCTCCTGTGGTTTCCAGAAACTGAAGCCCTGTTCTTAGGACATGTTCCAGGCTGTCAAACACGACAGAAGCCAAGCCGTACACATACCTTCCTCATAAAGTTCTTCTATTTTTTTAGCTGTCAAGTCAAGGTGAATTTTCACGGCATAATGGCACTTGGATAATGCTTTGAAAATCCTGTCTGCTTCCTTCCTGGCTCCCGGTCTTGGGGTGAGTTCGCTTCCCGCATTTCTTCCATGGAAATTGTAATTGACAATGATTAGAGCCCTGTTCTTCGTTTGGCTCGCCATCCTAGGAATCACCTCTGCTGTCACCAAACAGAAAGTGTGCACACCTGTAGATATATAGGGTATATATAATCTTTGCTCAGCTGAGCTGTACTATGACTCAGCTTGAGGGTGGGGTTATGAAAGAAAAACCACAGTGAGTTTGATTAGGCAGGCTTGGTTGCGTGATATGAAGTGCCAACTAGACACATAAGGACATATGAACACAGGCCACAAATGCACTGTACATTTAAAACAGTAACATGTCACTTTAAACTGCCAGTGACTTCCCCCAAAGAATCCTGGAAGCTCTAATGTGCTCTAATATAGCAGGGGTGACTGGCGTCTTTTGGCCTGAGGGCTGCATTGTCAACCGTCCCTCCAAGGGCTACATGCCAACGGTGGGCAATGCCCAAGTATACATGTGTGGGCACGCCTATTGGCCACACTTGCGCATTCATGCACACAGAGCACACCCATTCGCCAGACACGCAAGGGCACAGCCCTCTCTTCCTCTCTTTGCCTCAGACTGGAAGATAAAGCAGGCAGGGTGGGCAGGGGCACCTTCTGGCAGGTGAAATTTGACCTGCAGCCCACAAGTCGGCTCCCTTTCGCAATACAATCACAGAATGGCACTGTGGGAAGGCACCTTGGAAGAGCTTGTGCTTGCTGCTCCTGGGCCCCAGTCTGAAGTTTGGCTTCTCCGATTTACCTTTTCTATTGTTTCCTTTTAAAATCTAGTACATCCACTGCGTGCTGAATATATCACCGCCAAAGAAGACTGTGCAGACAATTGCTTAGGAAGTAGAATCAGTGTCTGATTTCTCTTGCTTTTATTTTTATTGTTTCCAATTCCTTTCCTCTTTTGTAACATGGGCATTAGACTGAGAGCCTGTGGGCAGACACTTATCTTTTATTTTATTTTTTAATAAGATTTTTATTAAATTTTCTGTTTTACAATTTCAAATAAACATTTTACATACTTAAGATAGCAATGATTTCCCTTCTTCTCTTTTCAGGGTTCATTTTACATATCTTATAACCCTGCACATTTTACGAAAACTATACCAATCGGTTTTCCATTATTACATCCATCAAAACTTATTTACATTCTCAAAGAATTATGGGCCTTGTAGTTTGTTAAGGGTTGCTGGGAACTATAACTCTGTGAGGGGCAAACTGCAGCAACCAGAATTCTTTGAGAGGGGAAAATGTGCTTTGAATGTGGTTTAAAGGTGCATACTCCATCTCAGACCTTTTTCCAGGTATGCGCAAGTTCTTCCTTTAAGTTCAGCCACACTGCATAGCTGCTAAGACCCCCTTAGATCTATTTGCTGAATTTATGCTCCAACAGAACTCAAAGCAGCACAGACAGAGTTCCCAGGCCAGTGTTCCATCCAGGCTCTGATGGCTACTTGGCTTCAGTGAGGTTGCTGCCCTAGGGCTGTATGCCCATTTAGGATCTTGCCAGGAACTCCTAAGATGCCTTAGTCCAGCGTTCATCAACAATTCAGTTCAGAGCTATTTCTACAGTGTGCCACACCACCCAAGACTCCTTTTGTGATGCAGGCCATTGGAAGAGGAGACTCTTGCTAACTTTCTGAATTGGGGACTATTAAGAGGCCACAACTGCTGCGAAGGAGTGAAATCCTAAGGTGGTAGGAATGGAGTAAATCCAAAGGTTTGGATAGAAGACACAAGTCCCTTACAGACACAATAAGTTCAGCAACTCTTGTGTAAATACTTACATGTGCCCAGCTTAGCTAAAGATGCTATTTTAAACCAATTTAGCTAAGCTGTTGCAATAGCCAACATAGATACTCTTAACTCCATCTGGTGTGTATTGATTTACTTTACTTCAATAAGAAATTGAGCTAAGTATAGTCATGGGCACTTAAAACTGTTAGCAGGGGAATGTTGAGAGCCAAATGAGATTAGGTTCTGCCTGCTAAGGAACTTTAGGAGCAGTTGGTAAGGAGATCAAGACATCCAGTCCAAATGGAGTCTTTCACAGCCCAGAGATGAGCAGAAATCTTGTTGCAAGAAAGATGGGTGCAGGACAATTGGCCAACTTTTAAGTCTTGGCCTAACTAAGAACCAGGCATGGAGGTATAGGCTCAGTTCTAAGCTCTAAGCCAAATTAGGGCTTAGTGAGAATTTGTGGACTCCTGAAGAGACTGTTGACTGCGTTGTTCCTCCTCTGGCCCTGCTGCTGGGAGCCATGGCTCAGCTTATGTGTGCTGCTTGAATACAGGCTCATGGTTTGTCTCTTCCAGAGATACCATTAGCAGTAAGCCATTGAACAATGATTGGCTGCAGCTCATGGTTTGTGCAGAGTGAGGCAAACCATAAATCAGGATTTGGACAACGCATTGGATGGGATGGAAACACTCCTGTCACTGGTATCACTGCCACTTACCTGGACTGGATGCTGGTGACACTGTGGTCTAAACCACTGAGCCTTTTGGGCGTGCTGATTGGAAGGTCGGCGGTTCGAATCCCTGCAACAGGGGATCTCCCGTTGCTCTGTTCCAGCTCCTGCCTACCTAACAGTTTGAAAGCATGCCAGTGCAAGTAGATAAATAGGTACCGCTGTGGCGGGAAGGTAAATGGCGTTTCTGTGCGCTCTGGCTTCCGTCACGGTGATCCGTTGTACCAGAAGCGCTTTAGTCCTGCTGGCCACATGACCCGGAAAGCTGTCTGTGGACAAACGCTGGCTCCCTCGGCTTGAAAGCGAGATGAGGACCGCAACCCCATAGTTGCCTTTGATTGGACTTAACCGTCCAGGGGTCCTTGACCTTTATTGTTCCTATCTGAACTGGGCTGGGGCAGGGGAGCAACGAAGTTGGGGATGCATGGACACAATCGTGCAGAGGGACCCGACTTGGGGTCCAGACCGTGGGTGCCCAGCAGCGTGCACAACGTGATGCCATGATGTGCCATCATGTCATCGCGCGCTGCTTCTGTGCTTCCACAGAGGCAACCAGGTGTGTGTGTGGGGGGGGAATAGCAGACCATTGGTGCATGTCTGTGGCCCCAGCAGAGGCCCAACAGTGGAGGCAGAGGCCCTAGCCGGTTGCTGCCATGGCACTGGAGGTAAGGTAGTGGACGGCCACGGGCAGAGGCCAGGCACCCACAGTGAAAATTTTGTGATGCTCAGGCACCTAGGGTCCCCTGGAGTTGGCACTGTGTCAGATGAGTTCTGCCAGGGCATGTGCCCTGCCTTGCCCCCATCCAAGTCAGCTGTGGCAGTGTTGGGCAGGCAGCAAAGGCAATAGACCCAGTTATGTTACAAATGCTGATATTGTCTTGCTTACCTTGAGCAAGAACCAACAAACGCAATAGAAATGAATATACCGTATTATTCTCCCTATAGGGCACATCGGCCCATAGGGTGCACCTAGTTTTTTTTGGTGGGGGGAATAAAGAAAACATTTTTTATTTCCCCCCCAGGCGCGGGGCTGGGGAAGCCCGAGCTTCCCCCAACCCCAGCCCCGAGAACAGGCTGCTGTCCACAAGCCTTGGGAGCCCGGTGGGAACTCCCGCGGGCTCCCAAGGCTTGCGGATGCTTCCTGAAGCCTGGAGAGCGAGAGGGTCGGTGCGCACCGACCCTCTCGCTCTCAAGCTTCAGCGAAGCCTGCATTCGCCCCATAGGACGCATACACATTTCCCCTTCATTTTTGGAGGGGAAAAAGTGCGTCCTATAGGGCGAAAAATATGGTAGTTTATTTACACAATATCGTTGAAAGCAATTAAAATGGCTTTTCCGGTTGAAGCACCAGTACAGAAGTGCAGAAGAACAAAACAATGCCCGGTTGCCTTGACCAGCCACTTCAGGAGCACAGAGAGAGAGATGTGGGGAGATTGTCTTCTGTGGAATGAAGGCAAATGCTATGGGACCATGAGCAGATTTCACCTCTCCCATATCCAAGAATCTGCTGATATTCTCTGCTGATTCTCCAGAGAGGAGGGGCGGTTTCTGCTCTCTACTTATTCCGCTCCAGCCTCACATAAAAGTGTTGGAGAGAGAGAGACTGAGTGTTAGAGAGAGATCGTGTGTATAGATAACGTTGCTGCTAAGAGCAGCTGCAGACACTCAGTGCAGTTCAGCATTTTTGTTTAGACCTCATTTAGCTCTGTATATAGTTGTGTATTATAGTTGTAGATAGAATAAAGAAGATATTCTACAGAGCTGCTCTCCGAGTCGTTTATGCTCTGCTGTACTCTGCTATACTCTGCTGTGCGACGACTGTCTTCTTGTGGAAGTGAATCCGGTGCTCACAACTCTAAGCTGTGAGTCCACAGCACTTTGACCTGTTCCTGTGCACAAGGTGGTCTCTGGAAGTGCTACCCAGCTCGCCTAGCCCAGTCGAGGCTGAAGTGGATGAGTCCAATTGGTGGCACTGGCTCAAGGGCGGTGCTGACAGACCAGGCAGCATGCAGTGGAGGCCTGAACTGAATGCAAGCCTGGGGCGAGAAAGCTTCAGTGTGTATGACTGAGATCTGGACTACTGCAAAAGTTCAGAGACCTTAATACAGGGGTCAGCTAGGTTTATCTTGCCTTGGCTGGATGGGTCCCATGGAGATCCCTCCGTGGGCTGGATCACGCCCATCTGCCTGCGGTTTATGGCGTCTGTGCATGCGCAGACACGATTTTCGGCGTCTGTGCATGTGCAGACATGATTTTTGGTGCCGCGGAAGCGAGTCCCTGTGCCACACTGCTTATGGGCTGGTCAAACGACCTCCGCAGGCCACTTTCGACCCATGGGCCTTAGGTTACTGACCCCTGCCTTAATACTAGGGTAATCAGAAAGGTACAGGAAGCATGGGCAAGGTGCTTATCCATCTCAAGGAATGGAGACAGAGATTGGATGGTGTGTGTGGAAAGGGAAGACTAAATGCTCCGGTTCAACTGGTCCTTCAGACCAGCCTACATTTTCTGGTCCTTGCACTTTTATACTGCAAGCAACACCTTAGGAAAGGTGTTTCTAAGGCGAAGGTGACTGTGTCAAAACCGTTACTTTGCTATTGCCGGGAAGTGTAAGGTTGTTAATGCTATATTTACAGGACTGAAACATTGCGTTTTTAAATGTTATGTCTGCTATTATGTTGTTGGTTTATTATATTACAGTGGTACCGCGGGTTACATACACTTCAAGTTACATACACTTCAGGTTACACACTCTGCTAACCCAGAAACAGTGCTTCAGGTTAAGAACTTTGCTTCAGGATGAGAACAGAAATCGTGCTCCGGAGGTGCGGTGGCAGCGGGAGGCCCCATTAGCTAAAGTGGTGCTTCAGGTTAAGAACGGACCTCCAGAACGAATTAAGTACGTAACCAGAGGTACCACTGTATTATGAAATTGTTCTAGCACTGGTTGGTTTTGAGATGTATTCCTGTTCTCTTTGATGTAAGCTGCTTTTGAGCCTGATTCTTTTTGTGGAAAAGCGGCATACAAATAAAACGATGATGATAGTGTTACAAGACACTCTGGCCTCCCTTATAATGTAATCCATTGAAAACAACCCATTCTTCATTATTAAGCCTGTTTATCTTCTTCTCTCTGTTGTGGACATAGGTCTTCAAGAGCGTCAAAAAGCACAAACATGAGCCAGGTGAAACATGGAGACAGTTGCACCTATTTCTATAACTTGGCAGCTGGAGAAAGTACAGTTGTGATTGCAGAAGTGTATGTATGTTATCTAAATGTGCCATCCAGTTTGTGCCTCTTTTCGGTACACATGCGGTTTGCATGGGTGAAGCAGCTCATTTTCTCCATACCAATACAAAAACTCAAGCACTGGAAAGGAGCACAATAAAGTGTGTTCTCCTTCATGGAGAGCACGAATTGCGGTGGGGTTAACAAGACACCTCTCTGTTGCTGGGCGGGTTAGTTTGGATGGCCACCATTGTGACTGGGCTCCTCTGGTTGTTGGGGAGAGTTTGATGTTGCCAATTATTGATTGACAGCCTTAGGTTATATATTCCCTGCGTGCAGCGTTGAACTTCTTGGTTGCTGGAGGGGTATGGATTGGCTGTGCCTGCCCCTCCAATGCTGCTGCAGCAAGGGTATTCTGTTAAAGGAATCCAGGGGCTCACCATGCTTTTGTCTGCACCCCTGTCAAGGGGGCTAGGGCCACGCAGGAGCCCCTGGGAGCATTTGGGGAGAGGTGAGGGTCTGGTACCCAGCTCCATTTACTCCCCATAAAATGTTTTCCCTTACTGACTTCGCAGGCTTGCGGATGTCAGTTCTGTCCCTGGGCAGGGACAGATAGTCGCAACCAATGCCTAAGCAACCACTCACATTTTTTGTATTTTAATAAAGTTGTGGCCAAAATTATGCCAAAAACGTTAAACAAAATTCCTGTGTGAAATTATTTAAGGGTGGCTTGGGACCTTGACACGCAAAAGCACCAAAGCATATAGTTTTGGCACCAGTTAGCATCCCCTGCTGGAGACATGAAGAACCCAGAAAAGAAGGCAGCTTTCAGATCACCAATAAGGCAGGAGGCAGGAGCAACTCTCATTTGTGTGGTAGAGACCGAAGGCTTAGTTTTTCTTTTCGGCATCGCTGGCTTTGATTTTCTTGCCTAGGAATATCAAGTCGATGTAGAGATTACGTCCCAGGACAGCAGAAGCGCAGAGAATGGCTCCGTGAAGGGCTCCTGCGAAACCAGCTAAAAGCACATCCTGGCCTAGGAGAAAACAAAGACATCACTGCCACTTGTCAGTCTCTGCTCGGTCTGTCCTCTTGTTCATCACATCCCCTTGTCAACAGCCTGGAATGTACATACTTTCCGCTTGGGAGAGCATCACGGGGCTAAAAAAAGGCGCTTGTGTAGCCAGATGTCAGGGACTGGCTAGACGCTGACTCAGGAGAGGGTTGGGCAGTGGTTTGCAGGGACCTGTACCAGCCAGCTGGCAAGAATCAGAGGCAGAGGAAGATTCAGAGCTGGAGGGTGGAGCCCAGGATGGGTCAGAAGAAGAGGGATCAGGCAAGTGAAGGGCCAAGGGCTTCCCCAGCCTCTCCTGAATGACTGTCCCCTATGGGTAGGCAAACTAAGGCCAGATCCAGCCCAACCACCTTCCAAATCTGGCCCACGGGCGGTCTGGGGATCAGTGTGTTTTTACATGAGTAGAATGTGTGCTTTTATTTAAAATGCATCTCTGGGTTATTTGTGGGGCATAGGAATTCGTCCCCCCCAGTATAGTCAGGCCCCCCAAAATGTCTGAGGGACAGTGGACCGGCCCCCTGCTGAAAACCCCTGCCCTAGACTGGCCCCCAGAATGCTCTCCTGAATGACTGTCCCCTATTGAAAAGGAAGCAGCCAAGGAAGTTTCCACACAAATGCAGTCTCTGGCTGTGTGCCCACAACCCACTGGGGGAAGGTACATAAACTAGTGGAGGGCAGGGGTGCCCACTTGAATAAAATATTGGGTAGGCCCAATAAAATTATATAACGGAGGAAAAACTGGAGGAGAAAGAATAAGGAACAATTAGAATATGCAGCAGTAAAGGAAAACTGAAATGAACCAGGGAAAGGGGCAGGGAGGGAAGTCGCTGTGCAATGTATCATTTGTTTTCTTGATTTGTGCAGATATTGTAAAATTGAAAATGATAAGAAATAATAATAAAGTTATCTGTGTCCACTTGTCCAACCAAACCCCAAAGGCCTCAGGAATTGGGGCAAATGTAAGGAACTGGAAAGAGAATGTTCAAATGCCAAGACCCACTCAGGAAACTATTCCTCCTCTGCTGGCCCACTCCCTCCCTAATGCCTGCCCCACTAATGTAGTTTTTGTGCTCCTGTGTCGTGTTCACGCCACTGAAAAAACCAGCAACACCCAACTCTGCTCTTGTTTTAGAATTTCACTTTTGCTGCCTTATTTTCCTCACTAATCAGCAACAAGATCCCCAAATCTTCAACACAGGCCTAGTGCGGAAAAGTTATCTATTCTATGCCCTTGAGATGAGGCAGGTTGATAATAATAATAATAATTTATTATTTGTACCCCGCCCATCTGGCTGGGTTTCCCCAGCCACTCTGGGCAGCTTCCAACAAAACACTAAAATACAATTACCTATTAAACATTAAAAGCTTCCCTAAACAGGGCTGCCTTCAGATGTCTTCTAAAAGTTTGGTAGTTGTTTTTCTCTTTGACATCTGGTGGGAGGGCATTCCAAAGGGTGGGTGCCACTACCGAGAAGGCCCTCTGCCTGGTTCCCTGTAACTTGGCTTCTCGCAGCAAGGGAACCGCCAGAAGGCCCTCGGCACTGGACCTCAGTGTCCGGGCAGAACGATGGAGGTGGAGACGCTCCTTCAGGTATACTGGACCGAAGCCATTTAGGGCTTTAAAGGTCAGCACCAACACTTTGAATTGTGCTCGAAAACGTACTGGGAGCCAATGTAGGTCTTTCACGACTGGTGTTGTGTGGTCTTGGCGGCCACTCCCAGTCACCAGTCTAGCTGCCGCATTCTGGATTAGTTGTAGCCCCACATGGAGCGCATTGCAGTAGTTGAAAGTAGTTGAAAGAGTCCTTATAACGGCCAACAGTTGCGGTACACTGGAAAAAGTGAGGAGGTAGCATTTACCTGTAAGGTAGAGGTTTGGGACAGGGGTCTGAGGTCGTACTGTTGCCATGAAGTCCGGCTGGAAGCGAGCCATACTGTGGTTTATGCCATACATCTCTCCTCGCGGAGAAGCTATGTAGTGCTTATTGGTGAGCGGAGTTCCTGCAGAGACACACGCAATCTGAACAGAGAAAGATCAAATGTCCAGGGAGCATTATTACTGTTAATTCATTTTCACCTCATCAGACAAAAAATAGAAAAGGTACTCCTCCATCTCCATTGGACTACAAGAACTATTTGCCCTGTGGAAGGAGAAGAAACCAACGCCATGTTTCTGGAAGAGTCCTAATCTACATAGTAGGGACAGAGAACCTTTGACCGTGTGGATGTTGCTGGATGCCAACTCTCGCATTATTGCTGGCCATTGGCCGTAGCTGATGGAGGGCAGAGATTCTTCATTCCTGATCCATACTACAGTGGTACCTCGGGTTAGAGACGCTTCAGACTACAGAGGCTTCAGGTTACAGACTCCGCTAACCCAGAAATAGTACCTCGGGTTAAGAACTTTGCTTCAGGATGAGAACAGAAATTGTGCTCCGGTGCTGTGGCGGCAGCGGGAGACCCCATTAGCAAAAGTGGTACCTCAGGTTAAGAACAGTTTCAGGTTAAGAACGGCCCTCCGGAACAAATTAAGTTCTTAACCCGAGGTACCACTAAACCCATTCTCTGAACATTGACCCTTACATAGCCAAAACGGCACCATCACCGTACAAGAGCAGGTGACAGCAGGTTTGGGGCAACTCTGTGTGGATAAATACGATAACATTTGGAATGAATTTATACGAAATGTAGTAGGCTGTTAACATTTACATAAGCACTAGGACAATGACACTATGCCAATTTATACAAGAATGTATGGGAATATCGTATATTGCTTTTTGTGTGTGTTTATTTTCATTTTTATATGTATCTTTGTTGTAGTTTTTCTCCCTCTCACTTTTCTTTGTTTTCTGTATCACTTTATTTCTTTTAACTGAAATCACCTTAATAAAATATTTAAAATTATTTTTTAAAAGGTTTGCAGGAGGACAAAAAAAAAGTTATTAAAAAAGAAGGCAGCATTAGGAGGGAGGAATGAGTGATCAGGGCCTGTAGAATGCAAACTGAATACTGGGGTGGGGAAATGGAACGGAGCAGCCAGCCAAAGCTTGTTGGCCAGCGCCCTGACTTTGAACACTCTACATGGCTACTCTTTGTTGCAGGTCCCACTTGCCTTTCATAATGTTCATTTATTTATTTAGTATATTCAACTACGATTGCCTTGGCAGAAGGGCTGTACAGAAAATGGATGACAAAATAAAATAAAAGCTGCTTTGCATAAAAACCAGGATTATATGAAGCAAAAGTCAGCCTAAAGACAAGCAAGCTAGCAAAACTAACATCTGTTTAAAACCAGTAACGGAATACGCAATAAAACCAAGATTCTGAAAAAAGCCACTTAAACCAAACTTTCACTCTCTGCCTAAAAGCAGGAAGCAAAGGGGCCGGGTGTACTTCTCTCGAGATCCTGGGTACCACAACTGCTAAGGCCCTCTCCTTTATCTCAGGCAGTGGTGGACCTGAACTCCTAGGTGGAACGAAGGTCCTAGGCAGGCTGGTCTCCGACTGTTTTAAGGCTTTAAAGGGGTTATTTGGACCTGAAGGAACACGTAACCAGCGAAACATCAAATAAGTGGTCAGCAGGACTGAAGCAGAGTTCAGTTTACTGCTTGCTTATTAAAAGAATGTGCAGTGGTGGTTGGAGAGGAGGAAAGTCAAACCAACGCCGCTGGTTGCAACATGGGTTAGTTTCCTTTTTTGACCACGAAATGCCCACAGAAAATGTTCCAGACAATAACGAGAACTCTCGTAACCACAAGGCAGTGGAAGAAGCTGTGGTTAAGCTATGTGTGAAGCAAAGTTCATACCAAGGATGAGAAACAGCATCAAAGTAAGGTAATAGGTAAGATAAAAGACCCCATAATGGTTAAGTCCAGTCAAAGGCGACTATGGGGTGCGGAGCTCATTTCACTTCAGGCTGAGGGAGCTGGCGTTTGTCCACAGACAGCTTTCCGGGTTATGTGGCCAGTAGGACTAAACTGCTTCTGGCACAACAGAAGTCCGTGACGGAAGCCAGAGCGCACGGAAATGCCATTTACCTTCCTGCTGCAGTGATACCTATTTATCTACTTGGGCTGGCGTGCTTTCGAACTGCTAGGTTGGCAGGAGCTGGGACAGAGCAACAGGAGCTCACTCCGTTGCGAGGATTTGAACCGCCGACCCAAGAGGCTCAGTGGTTTAGACCACAGTGGCACCTGCGTCCTAACATCAAAGTAGAGCTTGCTAACTGTAAGATAAAAAGAAGGCTTACGGGAATGGAAACCACAAAGAAATGAAGTACGAGGTTGCTTATCAAACATTATGACCGGGATATAACTTCTGCATAAAAGGCGGGGCAAGCTGGGAGGGAACGGGGTTTTGAGCGGCTTATGTGAAATTATAAAAGCTGATGTTTAAGGGGACATGGGTGGCGCTGTGGGTTAAACCACACAGCCTAGGACTTGCCGATCAGAAGGTCGGCGGTTTGAATCCCTGCGACGGGGTCAGCTCCCGTTGCTCGGTCCCTGCTCCCGCCCACCAAGCAGTTCGAAAGCACGTCAAAATGCAAGTTGATAAATAGGTACCGCTCTGGCGGGAAGGTAAATGGCGTTTCCATGCGCTGCTCTGGTTCGCCAGAAGCGGCTTAGTCATGCTGACCACATGACCCGGAAGCTGTACGCCGGCTCCCTCGGCCAATAAAGCGAGATGAGCGCCGCAACCCCTGAGTCGGTCACAACTGGACCTAATGGTCAGGGGTCCCTTTACCTTAAAGGCTGATGTTGGCATTGGATTAGGGTCTCTCTCTTCTACATCAAGAAGTAGAGAAGACACCATTCTTGTACAAGAATAAGAATCATTTGCTGACACACTAAAAGTGCTCTTACCTGATCTTTTATTTGAGGGTAAACCTTCAAAACCGTGTCCATTATGTTGTCCACAAAACTGTTTTTAAAGGCCTCATACACGGCTCCCCTCTTAGAAACCTTTTCTTCCTTCCATTCCTCAAACCATTCATACTTTGCAGCTGTCAGGACAATTAGAGTGGACTTGCCTATAATGAAAGGGATATGAAGACATTCATTAGCGATGTAGTTGTCACAAAGCGGCATCTCACAATCCTATATGCACAGATTTGTAAGGTGTCAAGTGAGGATATGACTCATGCTGGGGTTTCCTGAGGCATCACGCCTCTTCTACCACAGGCACAGCCAGGCTGCGTACAGCAAGGCTGCCCTCTAGGCTGCAGAACTGGCCTGAATGCTCTCAGCAGCTGTTACAGCTCTTTGAAGAGGAAACAGTTCTTGGAATCCATCCGTCTTGAGAAACAACAGAGTTTTCATGCAGTCACAAAGCTGCCTCAGCAGCACCAAAGTGATTTTCCCAGGGTGTATATGGAGCTCCTGGGCTGCCCAGAGGATAAGACCCCCTTTCTCACTGATGTGGTCCAAAGGAAAGCAGAGCTTCACACAAAAACATCTTGGTGGTCCCGGGCCACAGGGAGGTTAGGCTGGCCTCAACCAGAGCCAGGGCTTTTTCGGCTGTGGCCCCGATCTGGTGGAACGCTCTGTCACAAGAGACTAGGGCCCTGCGGGACTTGACATCTTTCCGCAGGGCCTGCAAGACAGAGCTGTTCCACCAGGCCTTTGGCCAAGGCACAGTCTGACCCCCTCCTTTGGCAATCCTCACAGAACTCTAGCCCAATGGTTGCCATTAATTTGATTCTGAATTGATTTTAGAATGAATTGATTTTAGAATGCTATGTTATTTTTATTGTTGTTAGCCGCTCTGAGCCCGGCTTCAGCTGGGGAGGGCGGGATATAAATTAAATTTTATTATTATTTATTTATTAATATGTTTGGCACCAGCTTAAGGAGACATACAAGGCGCCATCCAACCGCCTTAGGGACTCGACTCTGAATTTGTATAGGGTTTACTCCTTAGCCTTTTCTTCTTCCACAAGGCAACGGAAGTTCAGGATCAGAGTCTTCCTTCTCTTAGATGGGTTACCTTCCCAGGCTGAGGCCCATCTGCCCCTCACTTCCTCTACAGCACGTGCAGAAACTTCCTTCTTGACTGTTGGAAGCAGGCCCTACAAAAACCTTTCTTCTAGGCTGGTAGTTTGTTTTTTTGTTTTAAATTTTTTTAATTATAAATTTTATTAGTATTTCCCACACAACAACAGCACAAAAAATATCAAAAAATAACAGTACACAAAACACAAAAACCAACATTCAAAAACAAAACAAAAACAAATCCATATCTTACAAGTTAGTAATATAAACACTAAAAGGAAAAACAAACATTGACTTCCACCAATCCCACAGCAGCTCCTTTACCTCTCATTGTGTCTTCCTGTTTTCCTTATCATCTCTATCCTAGCATCCAGATATAAATCCCTCTTTCTTATCCTTTCACTTCACAAGGTTATTCCAGACTCAGCCAGATTTCTGTCCTCGAACCTTGACTTTTAAGGTATTCATTTAGACACCCCCATTCCTTTTTCACTTCACTTTTTGCTTTTTGTCTTATTATATCTGTCAATTTGGCTAATTCTAAATATTCTGAAAGCTTACAAAGCCACTCTCCTCTAGGCTGGTAGTTTGAGTAATTTCCCCCTTTGAGTAATAACGCAGACTCTGTCTCTTTATGCTGCTGCAGTGATCCAGTCCAGCATCATAGCTGTCAACTTTCAGATTTGAAAATAAGGGATCAGCAGCCTCACCTGTCCCAGGGACAGTCTACGGGATATCTAACAATCCGGGATAGCAGTGGGAAGCAGAGGGAAACGGCGCTGGAATACGGGAATTTCCCGCAAAAAAAAGGTAAGGTTGACAGCTATGTCCAGTATCTGTCTGATCTCCAGCCAGAGGTGGAGCTAGCTGCTCCGGCACCTGGAGCGGTGCACAGGGGTGGGGCTAGCCCATAGCTGTCAACTGTCCCTTATTAGGCGGGAAACTCCCTTATCCCAGCGCTGTGTCCTGCTGCTGTCCCTTATTGATGATGTCCGTTAAATTTCCCGGGTTTCAAAGGAAGCAGCTCCTCTCCCTCCCTCCCTGCTGGCCAGGGAGGAGGGAGGCTCCAACTGTGTTGCTTGGCTGTGTTGCTCACCCAATAAGGAGTCTAAGAACGACTGGGGGGTGGAGCTTGCATGCCTTGTGCTGATCAAATCGGCCGCGTTGCCTGGGGACTCGCCTTTGCTCAGCGCTTCCCAGCAGAGAGGTGACAGTGGTTTTCCTTGCTGCATCTCCTTTTCTGGGTTGCTGCACTGTGGGAACCATCGCTTGAGGCTTCGTTTGGCTGCTGGCTGGGCTTTCTGCCTTTGGCCCGGAGGGGCTCAGAAGCTGAACATACCTGTGCCCTGAAAATCCCTTATTTTGGCTGCTGATACCTTATTTTCGAGGCTGATGGTCCCTTATTTTCAAATCTGTAAGTTGACAGCTATGGGCTAGCCACCCGCGGGGGCGGAGCTAGCATCCCAGGCAGTGGGGCAGCGATGTCACCCCCCTTCAGGGATGACACCCAGGGCAAACCGCACCCACCACCCACCCCTTCCTCCGCCAGTGCCTCCAGCCTGTCCTTGAGCAGGCCTCCTGCTATCAGCTCTCGTTTCCTTGATCTGATAATCTGATCTCCAGCTCGTTCATGACCATGTCTCTGGCTCATACGCCCACCATCCTGGATCAAACCCAGACTGAAGCAAAACAGGATGGATAAAAAGAAAGTCATGCAGGGCACAGTTAAACGATGCAAATCCCTCCCACAGGAAGCAGCGATGGCTACCAACTTGGACGGCTTTAAATGAGGTTCAGACAAATTCATCGAGGAGAAGGCCAGCCACAGCTGCTAGCCACAATGGCTGTGCTCTACCTCCGTGGCTAAGAGGCACGATAATAATAATAATAAATTTTTATTTATACCGCACCCTTCCCAGTTCAGAAAACCGGGCTCAAGGCGGCTAACAACAGATTTAAAACACTTAATTGATGCAACAAAAAACAGCATAAAATACAGTATAAAAAGGGAATAACAATAAATTCAGAATTCAAAAATCAATTTGGGGGGAAATCCATTCAATTAACATTAGATGATCACCAGGGCTAGCTGGCTAAATTAGTCCTATTTGGGCCAGCGAGGAGACCAGGGGAGAATTAGCTGTGGGATCCCAGAGTGGGTAATCTCCATAAAAGGGGAGTGGGAGGGAAGGAAGGGGAATAAAAGATCAGGCTAAGTTCAAATTGAATGCCAGACGGAATAGGTCCGTCTTAGGCCCTGTGGAAGGAAGTTAAGTCCTGCAGGGCCCTGGTCTCATGGAACAGAGCATTCCACCAGGTCAGAGCCATCACTGAGAAGGCCCTGGCCCTGGTGGAGGATAATCTGACTTCCTTAGGGCCCAGGACCTCTACACTATGATTATTCATGGACCTTAAGGTCCTCTGCGGGGCATACCAGGAGAGGTGGTCCTGTAAATGCCCCCAAATGCCAATTGCTGGGAATACCAGATGGGAAGAGCACTCTTGTGCTCATGTCCCGCTTGCAAGCTTCCCATGGGCATCTGACTGGTCACTGTGAGAAGAGGATGCTGGGACTAGATGGACCATTGGCCTGATATCCAGCAGGCCGGTCTTCTATTAGGGGCCGGAAACTGTTTTTATGCTGAGGTCCACATTCCCCCAGGGCCACAGCGGTGAAACAACTATCTGACTTTTAGAAGACATCTGAAGGCAGCCCTGTTTAGGGAAGTTTTTAATGTTTGATGTTTTGTCGTGTTTTTAATATTCTGTTGGGAGCTGCCCAGAGTGGCTGGGGAGGCCCAGCCAGATGGGCGGGGTATAAGTAATAGATTATTACTGTTATTACCTTTTCCTCCCTCCTGGTCACATGCATGAAATTAAGCCAAGGGCTACAACTTGCCTTCCTGGAGCCCCAAATTCCCAAATCTTCTCTCTCCCCCGCCATCCCTTTTAAAAAAGAAGAAAGTTCATACCTGGGAATCTCTTTTCCCACAGGGGGTCCTTTGCTGACGAGGATCCAATATACAGGAAAGGAATCTTTTCTGGAGCAGTTTCTCTTGAAGAATTAATGTAAGAAGTGAACCTATCAAGAAGGAAAACTTTGCCTGAGCTTTGATTCATAAAACTTTAATTAAAGTGTCACTTTTGTATTATAGTAAATATATATATATTAAAAATTATTTCTGCATTTTCCCATTACATACATTCATTTTTTTCGCTGTGTTATTCCAGTTTTTCTTACCATCTCTTTTAAGGCTGGAGGCATATATATATATATATATATATATATATATATATATATGGACAGTTAAAGGTGGCATAGTTTCTAATATCTATGATTTTTGGCTAGCTAGGCCAAAACTTTTAGTTGCCAGTGTCTCTTTTCAAGCACTGACCACAATCTTTCCTGAGGTAAAGGCCATATCCATTGTGCTGATCTGAGCCACGTTCTGCACCAAGATCCAAAACGTTCACCTGTGAACAGATTGTAGTTCTCAATACAGTGGTACCTCAGGTTACATACGCTTCAGGTTACATACGCTTCAGGTTACAGACTCCGCTAACCCAGAAATAGTGCTTCAGGTTAAGAACTTTGCTTCAGGATAAGAACAGAAATTGGGCTCCAGCGGCACGGCAGCAGCAGGAGGCCCCATTAGCTAAAGTGGTGCTTCAGGTTAAGAACAGTTTCAGGTTAAGTACGGACCTCCGGAACGAATTAAGTACTTAACCCGAGGTACCACTGTATTCCTGGTCAGTTTTTTTTCTTTTTTAAGTTTTTTAAGAAAAAGAAAAAAGTTTGGTTGAGCCAGTAGAAAAAGATGTGAACATTAAATTCATATGCACCCAACCCAAATACACTCATGTGTATTTTGCACGCTTGAGTTCAGGGCCAATGTACAAGATTGTTTGCGGCGCTTTATCTACATACAAGAACAAAGAGAAGGGGCTGTGGGTACAGCAGCTAAAGAAACTAAATGGACATGGCGCTGTGGTTTAAACCACAGAGCCTAGGGCTTGCCAATCAGAAGCTTGGCGGTTAGAATCCCCATGATGGGGTGAGCTCCCATTGTTCGGTCCCTGCTCCTGCCAGCCTAGCCGTTCAAAAGCATGTCAAGTGCAAGTAGATAAACAGGTACCGCTCCAGCGGGAAGGTAAATAGTGTTTCCGTGTGCTGCTCTGGTTCACCAGAAGCAGCTTAGTCATGCTGGCCATATGACCTGGAAGTTGTCTGCAGACAAACGCCGGCTCCCTCGGCCGCGACTCCAGAGTCATCCGCGACTGGACCTAACGGTCAGGGGTCCCTTTACCTTTACCGACAAGCTCTAATTTGAAGTGGTGCACTAAGATTTCATGCCTTGAACTTCTGGCTGCATTCTTCACCGATTTGCCCTCTGAACACAACTTACTTTAAGAAGAGCCCTGCTGGATTAACTTGTATTGCTGTTTTTAAAAAACAAAACCAAACCACCGCAAACCAATGGAGTTCCCAGCTGCTGCCACTTACGCTTCATTGAGGTTGTTGTGTGGGTAGATGTAGTAGTTTTTGGCTTCCAATCCCAGTTCTTCCTTGGAACCTTTCAGTCCTATGAAGACACAGAATCCTCCGACGCCATGATCTATCATAGAGATCTGGTTCTGAACACCTGCCCAAAGAGGAACAGAGGGATGTAAGGAGGGAGGAAGTGGGACAAGGGAAGCAGAGTTAAGAATCCAAGCAACAGCTGTTTTAGACAGGAAAACTGGAGGAAAACAACAGTCTTAAGTCAAGCAACCCCTAGGCTTACAGTATAGTGGTACCTTGGGTTACGTACTTAATTCGTTCCAGAGGTCTGTTCTTAACCTGAAACTGTTCTTAACCTGAAGCACCACTTTAGCTAATGGGGCCTCCCGCTGTCGCCACGCGATTTCTGTTCTTATCCTGAAGCAAAGTTCTTAACCCCAGGTATTATTTCTGGGTTAGCAGAGTCTGTAACTTGAAGCATATATAACCTGAGGCACCACTGTATAGTATAAAAGAGGACGGAAGAAACAAAAGGCTTGAGAAGACAGACAAGAATGTCTTATTGTTTTAAGAGCGGCCCTCCAGATGGTAAATCACTACTCCCATTATCCCTAGCTGTCTGGGGCTGATACGAGCCCAACGACAACAAAAGTCTACTATGGGAAAGCTTAGGGAAAGCAACATTTACCAGCTATGCTACATTCAGTGCTAAGAACACACACACACACACACACACACACACACACACACACACAAATGCAAGCTCCTCCTAGCAGTTGAATCATAGGACACAATTAGTTGAGGGTTGTATATTTTGATCTCTTACGTCTTTAGGATATGTAGTCTTTCTAAAAAACGAAACAAAACCCACAAAGGCAAACTGTAGTTACTGGCAGTATAATACTGGAATTACAAAACTCTCTTTGTGTGTGTGTGTGTGTGTGTGTGTGTGTGTGTGCACCCACCCACCCTGTGGTATGAAAACTGGCAAAGAAGTCTACATTTTATGGTCTCTCTCTCTCTCTCTCTCTCTCTCTCTCTCACACACACACACACACACACACACAATTACAAGTCCACCATACATCTACAATAGTGGAAGCACAAATTGTTCTGTGTCCTCTTACCTGGCAAAGCTCGCAATTCCTTTGGCAGGAGCTGCTCATAGGTGTTAAAGATGCCAGCATCAGAAATCACAACAGGAGCATAGACATTAACAAGATCTTGACCTTGCTTTACGCTTACACCTGAAAGAGGCAAAAGTGTATATAGTCCATAAAACATTTCTTTTAGATTTCTCTAAGCAAGAAAAAAGGAGGAATCATTTTCTGCTGGTTGCAGGGAAGTCTCAACAAATGACCATTTCTAGGTAGAAGCTAGAAACTGATGGGTAACGAGGTACTTTTTAAAAAGGTTTTTTTGGGGGCTGGCCCTCAATGTTGCAAGGGTTTCCATTAATTCTTACAGCAACCTTGCAAGGCAAGTCATGTTATCAGCCATATTTTGTAGATGTATTGCACGCTGGAGGATATTTATAAAAAATACAGATATTATTTCCACCAGCACGGGAGGGTCAGTGTAATTAAAAGGGAGGGTTTAAGCAGGTAAGCAGCTTATATGTCTTTAAGGAAGTTTAATGTGGGTGGGAAGAGCTTTGGCAGGATCCTTTATCCCCTTAGTTCTTAGGAAGCTAAGAGTCTCCTCTTCCCCTTTCCCCATTTACTGAGTTTTCTTGGCACTAAAATAAATGGTGTGGAATAACGCAATCCATACGAAATTAATTTTGCAATTAATTACGTAAAATTTCACCGTATCACACTGCGAGATGAATAATTTGTTGTTGTTGTTGGAAGCTGAACTGCAGCAGAAGAGAAACAGCTCTGCATTGGAGGAATATGGGGCTTAGTGTTTCTTGCAAAGTGGGTCTATCTATGCCAAGCGCTTGGAGAGAACAGATAACATTATTAAGACTTAAACGCATATTTATATAGCACATTAGCATTCATATTATAATATCACCTTGTTATAATCCTTACAATAATAACCTTGTAGGACAGATCAGTATTATCCTCATGTCGGAAATGGGGAGGGTACAAGGCTGAGAAGCTTACCTGAGATAATTGAGCTAATTCATGGCAGAGTCTATATTTGAACCAGGAGCTTGACTTATAAGCCTGGTACCTTAGCCACATATCACGATGACTCTTACAGAGAGCTCTATCCAGTCCGCAACTCACCACAGGCTGTTCCTTGCGAGTTCACCAAGATGCTCTGCACAGGTGCTTTGGTGAGGACAGCCCCTCCGGCACGTTCAATGATGGGGATGGAGTGAAATGCGATTTCACTGGAACCTCCCTGAGGGTACCAGGCACCTTCCAAAAAGTGATCGACAAGGATGGCGTGCAAAGGGAAGCTGCAATCTGCAGGAATCACCCCTGTAAGACAAAGCAAAAGAACTGAAACTGTGTAAACAAAAGGTGAAAAAAAATTCTTTGCACACAGCTTTCCCGCACATATATATACTCTGAATGCCAGAAGAGGTCTCATATCAGAAACTTAATTCCTATCAGCATCTTTCTCAAAATGAAACCAAGCATGTTATGGCTTCAACAGCTATTGTGCTCTTCGTAGATTCCATTAATCACAATGTTTTGCTCATCTTTGCATATGTCAAGGTCTTAAGCTGGTTACTATTCCATCTCAGCAATAAATTGCAAGTAACTTGCATGAACATTTTTATAATCCATTTCGTCTCATCCTGTCTGCTAAATCAAACACTTGCAATCAAACAAACAAACAAACAAACAAACAAACAAACAAACAGTTGCAACCAAACAATCAAACCTGCAGTTGTCAGGATCTCCCAGAATAAACTGTTTTCCATTCATCTCATCCTGTGTAAGCTAAATCCAGTGGTTCTTTGAATCTATCAAGAGTGGATTGACAGAGCACATGCTTTGCATGCATGCAGAAGGTCCTAAGTTTAACCCCCAGCCTGCACCCTGGTTAAAATAAGGATCAGACAGAAGGTGAAGTCAAAGACCTTTGCCTGAGATCTTGGAGAGGCACCAACAGTGAGACAATACTGAGCTTGATGAACTAGCTTCCCATGTTCATTACACACGGCTGCCACTGAAAGCAGCAGTGTTGTGTCTCTTTGTTCCATCTCTGCTGGTGACATAGGGTCAATTTCAACATATGACAGGAGGTTATCATGCTAAGCTTCTCCCCCTCTTCTACACTTCATAGGCTGTCATTTGTAGGCCCAGGGAAACTCAACACAACGACAAGTAATACTTTTGATTTTTACTGGACGGTACAAGGGCAAGGAGGAGACCCTAGACTCTTGATATCAGCGGCTGCTGTGTTGATATTCTCTTCATTGTCTAATTCCACCCACACACAGAAGAGGCTCCTTTATCATCATCTTCAAACCTTTTATTGGCATCACATCCAAACATCCAAACCAAATCAATACAGAATTACCACTTCCCCAGTGGCACAAAACATTTGCTAAAAGAAAGGAGGCAGAGCAGTCTATTGTCACATCTCTAGGTCTCCAGGGAGATCAGACGTCTGCAGGGTATTTCGACGGCAAAAAACCAAATAGAGATATTTAGCCACTAACTTGGTGAGCTCCTGATCATTCCCCAGTAATAGAAAATGTATGACCTCCAACTCTGGTTTCCATTTGGGGATGCAGAGTTGATCTAGAAATTGCTGACGGAGATCAGCATATAGTTTACAATTAAGAACCATATGTGTGAGGGTTTCCACCAGGTGGTCTTCACATGGGCAAGTTCTTTCTCCTTCCACCCTGCCTGAGAACCTTTGATGACTGTATCCCACATAATAGTCAGGATCATGCCACTTTTACTCTCTCAGATGAGTAGCCTCCTGTCTCCATTAAAAGGTAAAGGGACCCCTGACCATTAGGTCCAGTTGTGACCGACTCTGGGGTTGTGGCACTCATCTCGCTTTATTGGCCGAGGGAGCCGGCGTACAGCTTCCAGGTAATGTGGCCAGCATGACTAAGCTGCTTCTGGTGAACCAGAGCAGCACATGGAAACACCGTTTACCTTCCCGCTGAAGCAGTACCTATTTATCTACTTGCACTTTGATGTGCTTTTGAACTGCTAGGTTGGCAGGAGCAGGGACCGAGCAATGGGAGCTCACCTCGTCGCAGGGATTCAAACCGCCAACCTTCTGATCGGCAAGTCCTAGGCTCTGTGGTTTAACCCACAGCGCCACCTGCGTCCCCCTGTCTCTATTACCAAAGTTATAAGTTTAATCAACCAGATGAAACTAGGAAAGGCTCCTTTATGCCTCCTTAGAAAGGGCAAAGGGACTGTCCTTATGTAACGTATGCTCCTTTCAGATGGCAGGGGAGGGTATCGCTTACCGTAGGTAGGGAAGATATAACTGAAGACTGCTCTCAGGTCTGCATTTGTTGTCAACTCAGCCACCACTTCTGAAAGGCTTCTGACTGACATTCTAAAGAAAGGAGAGATCCAGGCCAGCAGGCCAGTGCGGTTCACAAACCAGACCAAGGGCATCGGGAGCATTTTCAGAATCCCCATGTGGATGCTCCCTCTGGCAGTTTTCTGCAAGGTGGAGGGGCAGAGAAAGAAGGAAAAACAGTGAGGCACAAATCTCAGAGGCAGCAGAAGACCTCCGTCTTAATGCTAATGAACATACATAAGAAATGTTGTCTGATTTTCAACAAACAGATCCTTCATCTCTCTTCTTGTTTTTCCCCTTCCCTGCTCTCCCTTCCCTGCTTTCTCTCTCTTTTGTTTTCTTTTCTTGATGTTAACTAATAGCTATACAGTGGCACCTCGGTTTTTGAACGTCTCCGTTGACGAACATTTCGGTTTACGAACGCTGTAAACCAAGAGTAAATGCTTCAGTTTATAAAGATGCCTTTTTTACAAAAAAAAATTATTGATACAGCAAGAAAAGAAAAAAGAGAAAACACAAACACCAAATTACCGTATTTTTCGCTCTCTAGGACGCACCGGACCATAGGAGGTGGAGAACAGGAAAAAAAAATTCTCCCCCTCTCTGCTCAGTGAAGCGGCAGGAGAAACGGAGCCCCTAAGGGGCGCTGCGCAGAGAGGGAAAACTGTGCAGCGCCTCTCCAGCGAAGCGAAGCCTGGAGAGCAAGAGGGATCGGTGTGCACCGACCCCTCTCGCTCTCCAGGCGGCTATCTGCAAGCCTTCAGAGCGCAGCGGGAACTCCTACTGCGCTCCGAAGGCTTGCGGATAGCCACCTGAAGCCCCCGGAGCGCAGTGGGAGTTTGCGCTGCGCTCCAGGGGCTTCAGGCGGCTTCAGCGAAAGCAACACGAAGCCTCCGGAGCGCAGGGGGAGCTCTCCCTCTGCACTTAGGAGGCTTCGCGTTGCTATTGCTGAAGCCAAGGAGCCTGCATTCGCTCCATAAGACGCACACACATTTCCTCTTAATTTTTGAAGGGGAAAATGTGCGTCTTATAGAGTGAAAAATACGGTACACACAGAAATAGCAATAGACACAGAATTTTCTTATCAAACAATAAGATATAAATTGGTCTTAACACTAAAGACCCAACCTCCCGTCTATTCCGTATTTTGATTTCATATAACTTCTTGCCAATACAAAGACGCCTTGGATGTCTAACATGCCACAGGGCTTCTGCTGAGTGCAAGATTCTGAGGTCTAGCTGCCAGCTGCTGAGTTTTTGGTTTTTGAACGTTTCAGAACTCGAACGGTCTTCCGGAATGGATTACAGTAGTACCTCTAGATACGAACGGGATCCGTTCCGGAGCCCCGTTTACATCTAGAGGTAAACATAACTAGCGATGGCATGTCTGCGCACGTGCGCATCACTTTTCGCCGCTTCTGCGCATGACGTCATTTTGAGCGTCTGCACATGCGCAAGCGGCGAAACCCGGAAGTAATGCGCTCCGTTACTTCCGGGTTGCCGAGGAGCGCAACTCGAACGCGCTCAACTAGAAGCATATTTAACCTGAGGTATGACTGTACATTTGAAAACTGAAGTACCACTGTACTATTATAGAATATTTCCATCAGAAATGTTTCTTATTTGTTTCTGTGTTATCTAGATCGAGAATGTATAAGCGTTACACACTGTTAAATTGTTAAAAAACTGAACAAAATTTAAAAGATGACGACATCAGTGTTACAAGCACAAGGACTGAGAATTTTAGCATTTTGTTCTGCTAAGCACAAGGAAGTAGCTGGAGAGCAAAACTGCAAAGCACATGAAGCTTACTGGGTGATTTTAGGTACACTCACTGTCTTTCAGCTCAGCCTACCAAACAGGGTTGTTCTGAGGATAAAATGGGGAGGGAAGAACCGTATGTGCACTGCCTTGAGCAACTTGGAAGAAATGTACTACATTTATATAGTATATAATGTAATTACAATTTATCATTGATTTGTAGGAGAAAATTGAACTCGATAGGGCTTAATCTAACTGACTTTGAAAATTCTGACCCCAAAGATATTTGGGAAATTATCAGGAAGAATCTTACAGAAAAAAAGTGTTCTCTCCACTCTCGAGGTTGCAAAGCAGAGCACTTGCTCTCCTCTCTGTTTCAATCTCCCTTTGTGTAGAGATTTTCAAAAGGGATACACGACAAATCTGAAGAATCATGAATTGTGCAGGCTGTTTATGTTAGCCAGATTTAATGTTTCCCTCGAAGATAGTAAGAGGAAGATATTTAGCTCTCCCAGAATCAGAGCGTCTCTGCAAATGTAGTAAACAGGAACCTGATACTTTGGAGCACATTTTCTTTTCTTGTGATTTTGGCATTTGTGCCAGAAGAAAATTATTAGAGGCCTTACAACACAATAGGCTCAATTCTATGCTACCAATGGTTCAGGACCTGATCTCGGACAGGAATGATCAAATTACTTTAATAGTGGCTGAATTTTTTAGTGCTGTCCATGTAGAAAGACCGGGCCATTATAAAGAGATCTAGTGGTTCTTAATTGATTGGTGATGTGGTAATGTTGTATTGTATTATTTATGCAAATTGGTTTTTTTTCTGGAGTTAAAGATCTTACTGGGACAAACCTTGTTATGTTGAGCTCGTATTTTGCACAATTTGTATACGGTGTCTGATAATGTGTGGTTTGCTATGCCTAATAAAGGATAGATTTAATTAATTATATAGTATATACATTTAAACTGGGTTTTTTTTGGTTAAAAAAAACCTTATTAATGTAAACCAATTAAGACTCGATAGCCAGTTTAAGAGGCCTTTCACCAGAACCACTTTTAAAAGGCTTACCTTTATAAGTGTCACAAATCTATCAATATTAGCTTCTTCACCAGGAAATTGTTTCTTTAGGCCTTCGGTATATTTCTTCTTCCCACTGTATAGGTAATACCTCTTGCAGTTGTCAGGATCTCCCAGAATAACCGTATCAAAGGGAGAGTCCATCTGGGCCCATTGGAGCTGCCCATCTGTGAGTTGGTCAATAATCATGCGCTGGGAAGAATTCTCTTGCATTTGCCCTATGTAATGGATCCCTGGAAGAAAACCCACGAAGTGTTATAGTGAAAGAACAATAGCAACAGATTAGCTCCTAAATTTTAGGATCTGGGAAGGGTATACTAAACTGGAACCTGGTATTTGGATGAGATATTTCTCTAAACTAAGAGATTTTATGGCATATACATTTTGTTAAATAAATAAAATGAACCAGCTTAATAAAATACCAGCAAAATATCATGTAGTAATGACTACATTACTACATGAGCACTGTTCCACAGCATTTGATATTTTCGTTTACATACATTCATTCAAAATAAGATGGGTTTATGAAGAAATTCTATATCCTCCCACCACGCTGATGAAGAATTCTACGAAACAGTAGTCAATATCCGGAATCACTGTTCAGTGTTGGACATCATATTTACTGAATACACAAAGCTTCACAGCTTGTCTTTCATCACACAAAGTCTGATACCTCGCTTCATTTAAAGATTTTCAGAGACTTTGAGACTAAAGATTTCATTTTGTACTTGTTATGGTTTGAAGGAATTCTATAAAAGATTGTCTATTGCGTATGTACATGATCATTGTGTTTCCTAGACATTGCTGACGTTCTCTTTGCAACACAGGGGTTTGTTTGGTTACTTATTGTCCGAGTTCAAGCATACATATGCCTGGATAGCTCAGCTGGTTAGAGCACGGCACTGATAAAGCCAAGGTTGCAGGTTTGCATGGGACGGCTGCGAATTCCTGCATTGCAGGGGGTTCAACTAGTATGGGTCAGCAAGGTTTATCTTGCCTGAGCTGGATTGGCCCTGCGGAGATCCCTCCATGGGCTGGATCGTGTGCGTGCCCGAGATTTCCGGCGTCTGCGCAGACATGATTTCCGGCGCCGCAGAAGCGAGTCCCTGTGCCGCGCTGCGCTGGTTTAGCGCAGCACGCAAGTGGTCAGCTTGGTTCAGTGGTGGCTTGTGGGTCGGTCAAACGACCTCCATGGGTCGCTCCTGGCCCATGGGCCTTAGGTTGCTGACCCCTGGACTAGATGATCCTCAGGGTCTCTTCCAACTCTTCCAGCCAAACAAAAACATTTGGGGTGTGAAGCAGGGTCAGTGAGGAACACATGGTCTGGAGAAGGCTCCAAGGGCCATATTTGGCCCTCCAGACCTGAGGTACCCAGCCCTGTGCTAGATATCATGCAAGGCCTGCTTTAGTTTTAATGCTCTCATTTTTAAAAATTTAAATTATTTATGACAGCGTTTTCATTTTCTGCACGATTCCACAAGGAACAGCATTAACGTATAATAAAGCAATTTTTCATTCAAATCACAGAATGCACCTTCAAACATTTAAACTGGATGCTATAGTTACATTGCTAACATATTATCGGTAAAAATAGAAAATATATTAGCAATGCAACCATATCATCCAGCTGAGGCACAGCACTTTTGGGTGAAGAGCTGTGTTCTTACTTTGTTTTGATGGTGCTGCTACTTCTGTGAAGGAAGGGCAGAGTTGGGGTGCCACTACTGAGAATTCCCTCTCATACAGCACTGTGAGAAGGGCAACTGTCAAAGGCCTCAAAGCCTAGGGCGGTATATCAAGGAGGAGGTCTTTCAGGTATCTGGGTCCTGAGCTGCCTTATATGTCAAAACAAGCTCTTTCAATATGGGTCAGTGGCACATTGGAAGCCATTGCAGAGCATTCAGTGCTGTTTTTACCTGTTGCTGGGAAGATGCCCCATAAGTCAAAGTATTCTGCGCTAGCTGCAGTTTCTGAACCAAGACCCAAAGCCAGTCCTACTGTACTCCAAGCTCTGGTAAGCTCCTGATTTGACTGCTGCAATGCATTGTACATGGGGCCGTCCTTGAAGATGATTTGGGAAAGCCAACTGGTGCAAAATGCAGTATACTAGTTCCATTCAGAGGTCATATAAAGCCAATGCTAATAATAATAATAATAATAATAATAATAATAATAATAATAATAATTTATTTATACCCTGCCATCTGGCTGGGTTTCCCCAGCCACTCTGGGTGGCTCCCAACAGAATATTAAAACACAATAAAACATCAAACATTAAAAACTTCCCTAAACAGGGCTGCCTTCATATGTTTTCTAAATGTCAGATAGTTGTTTATTTCCTTAACATCTGATGGGAGGGCGTTCTGCAAGGAGGGGCGCCACTACCGAGAAGGCCCTGCCTGGTTCCCTGTAACCTCACTTCTCGCAGGGAGGGAACCGCCAGAAGGCCCTCAGAGCTGGACCTCAGCGTCCGGGCAGAACAATGGGGCTGGAGATGCTCCTTCAGGTATACTGGGCTGAGGCCGTTTAGGGCTTTAAAGGCCAGCACCAACACTTTGAATTGTGCTCAGAAACGTACTGGGAATACAAGCAAGATTTAGTCCTCATTACAAGTCCAAGGATATATATATAACTGCTCCGGCCCATGCCCAGCCTGACTAGGTCACCTTACCCACGTCAAACTCGAAACCTTTCTCGTTGAAGGTATGGCAGCAGCCCCCTGCCTTCCCATGCTGCTCCAAGACCAGCACGCGCTTCCCAGCTTTAGAGAGCATCACGGCCGCCGCCAGGCCCCCATAGCCGCTTCCAATGACAATGGCATCCAGACTGCCAGGAACTTTGTCCTTGCAGAAGCCTGGAGAGGAAAGAGAAACAAAAGGCATGAACAACTCCTGTTCCCTACGGCATCATTGTAGATAGGCTAGTTCCTATGCTGTAGCAGAAGAGACCCTGCTCAGGTAACTGTTGCAGATGCAGCAGGCGTTTGCAAACAGCTTGGAGGCAGTGAAGAAACCATAAAGAAATCAGAAGCTGTGCTTTGGAAGCTGAATGTTTCGGAAGTTGAAAGGACTTCCGAAATGGATTCTGTTCGACTTCCGAGGTACGACTGTACTGAACTAGATATAGCACTGGTCTGATTCTGCCCATGACAGCTTCCTATTGTTCACATTTTTTTTAAAAAAAGATTTGTTTCAAAGGTAAAAATACCCCAGATGAGCTGGAAATCTTGCAAGATTCCCCCCTCCTGAAAGTTGTACAATGTACAAAATTATCTTAAAAAGAAAGGCACCGAGGACCTCGTAATTTTGTCACCGATCTTGACTTAGGCGAAGGCCTTATGGATCAGCTGACAAAGGGTGAGAACCGATGACTCTGGTAAAGCAGCGTTTAGCTTTTATATATGCATGATTGATCCATATCTGAGTTCCATACGCCTTGCCTGCTGGCTGTATTTCCATTAATTTGAAGCGACAACCGAAAGGTAAAAACCACCTGCGGCACATCATGTCTGTTTTACAAGGCACTAGCTGCAGTTAATTTAACCAGATTATATAAAACCTTCCTCATTCCTGTTTAGGCAGCTGCTTAATAATGGTAGCTAGTCCACTGTTTGGGAGAGAACTACACAGCCATTGATTTCTGATTTCTTGTTGTTTAGTCGTGTCCGACTCTTCGTGACCCCATGGACCAGAGCATGCCAGGTACTCCTGTCTTCCACTGCCTCCTGCAGTTTGGTCAAACTCATGCTGGTAGCTTTGAGAACACTGTCCAACTATCTTGTCCTCTGTCGTCCTCTTCTCCTTGTGCCCTCCATCTTTCCCAACATCAGGGTCTTTACCAGGGAGTCTTCTCTTCTCATGAGGTGGCCAAAGTATTGGAGCCTCAGCTTCAGGATCTGTCCTTCCAGTGAGCACTCAGGGCTGATTTCCTTCAGAATGGATAGGTTTGATCTTCTTGCAGTCCATGGGACTCTCAAGAGTCTCCTCCAGCACCATAATTCAAAAGCATCAATTCTTTGGCGATCAGCCTTCTTGATGGTCCAGCTCTCACTTCCATACATCACTACTGGGAAAACCATAGCTTTTACTATATGGGCCTTTGTTGGTAAGGTGATGTCTCTGCTTTTTAAGATGCTGTCTAGGTTTGTCATTGCTTTCCTCCCAAGAAGCAGGCGTCTTTAAATTTTGTGACTGCTGTCACCATCTGCAGTGATCACGGAGCCCAAGAAAGTAAAATCTCTCAGTGCCTCCATTTCTTCTGATTTCTACATCACACTAATCCAAGGGTGGAGAACATTTTTCAGCCTGAGGGCCACATTTCCTCCTCCCTTTCTCCACCCTCCACCCAGAACAAGCAAGAAGCATTCTAAGACTCCCAGGACATATTCCAGCAAGGCAAAATCCCTTGAGGCGCAAAGCAAGGACAGGGGAGAGTTCTGAGGGCCAGATAAGTGGGGCTTGGAGTTGGGGCCTGATGCCGACATGAGGACTAGACACACATCTGCTGGCTGTGTCATTTGGCAACCATGAAAAGGGCCCTACATATCTTCCACACGAGGCCAACCAGGGTCCCTCATGGCATGAAAGAGCTCAACATGCATATTTAAATATGTGTAAAATGTATATTATAATTACAAATTTAATTATATCCCTCCTTTTCCCCTGACAGGGACACAAGGTACAGATAAAAATACGAACAGCTGAAAGCATAGGAAAAACCCCTCAATAATGAAATACAATAAAATTTTCATAGAGCTAAAAATAAAACTCTATTAAAAACATACAGATAATTACAATAAAAACAGCACAGCATTAAAACACTTTCATTGAAAGCTCTCTGTCTCTCTCTTTGTGCTCACTGAGCACACGGTTGAATGCATGGGATGTTTCATGCTTGGTGTGCATTTTTTTTTGCCTCAGTGAAACAAACTGACAGTAGACTGAACTCTGGGGTCAATGTGATTAGTTCTCTTAAACTGGAGGGCACGGAACAGGGCAGGAGAAGGACCAGATTCAGAGAGCAGGCAAGAGCCTGACCTCCCCCAAACCCCAGGGATTATAGACAGCTAGGCAGGGCTATCCATTTGTCAATCACCTGGCAGCAGTCTGATATCATTCTCCTTTGTGGTATGAACAGGGTTGGGCAAGAGTTCAGCAATCGGCTGACTGGGGTGATGGTTGTATAAGCACAGGGCCTTGGTCACCAGCACCAGCAGGAAATGATGACATTGACTGCAAGGCAGGGGAGCCTGGCCAAATTGGGCCTCCGTTTTTGGTGGTGCTCTGAATGATGAAAGCTGTGGAAATGGCAAGGAGGAGGGGAGCAGGACCACCCACCATTTTAATCCCTGAAGTGCTGCAGAGGTTTGGAGGTTGGCTATTGAAGGCACTAGCAGGGATGCTGGCACTTCCTCCACCCTAAAGGACGGCTCCAGAGTGCTCCCACTCCTGAAGTCGTACCTGAACACCATGGTGGTAATCTGGGAGAGTCCCTGGCACGCTTGGAAGGCCAGGAAACATTTGGAAAGTGGGGGGTGCTGACAAACTGGGAGAGAAAAGGTCCAGGAGCTCATGTAAAGCTGGCCAAGGGAGGCCTGTGACCTGTAGGGACTGGAAACATGTGTGGGATTTGAGACAAGACAGGATGTCAGTCTAAGGATTTAAGGAAGGGTGTCAGATGATAAGAGGAGTGAAGGGGGATGCTTGTGGGAAAAAGTGTTGGGCAGAGTTAAGGTCAAAGTGAGACATGGGGATGCAGGGGCAGCCAAGCGGGGGCAGGGAGGGGCAGCTTCCTCCCATCAACAAAAATCAATAAAAATGCATAGCTAACTGAGGTTCTGCTCTCCTCCCCCCAACAAAAGGCCTGACCCTCGTGACAAAAATTCCTGGCTACGCCTGGAAAAGGGGAGAAGTTTGCAGTAGTCAGAGCCCAGAAGAGCAAGGGGCAGCAGAGAAGGATTTTTTGCACCTCTAACCCAGATCTTTTTCCTGGAATGCCCAGATTGATGAACTTTGGCACGCAAAGCAAGAACTGAACCCAACAGGGCACTAAGCAACAGAAACCGGCAGGAGTCCTTCTCTTAGCCTGCAAGAATTACGCGAGAGTAAACGCGGACTTTACTCTGGAGTAAACATGCATAGGCTGGCACGGCGAGTGCAGTTCAGAACTCCCGCGCTGCCCACCACCACTGGGCATCGTTCACGCGCCACTTGACCCCCCCACCCAGCAGCTCCGTTTCGGGGGGCTCCCTTTGCCAGCCTGGCAGCGACCCCCGCCGAGACTGGCCGGTGGCTACCTTGCTTGAGGACCTTTCTGCGCGCATCTTTGTCGGTCACCAGAGGCGCGGGCGGCCGCCTGGAATCTGCCCGGAAAGGGTTGGAAGAGGCGCTTCGGGTGCCCAGAGCTCTCCAAATGCCCAGGAGGAGGAGCGCGCCCACGAGCGCGTACACCCACATGGCCGCCCCGGCAAGCGCTGCGAGGACGCGAAAGTGAGACGCCGGCTCAAAGAGCGCAAACCTACAGCAGCTTCCTCCTCCTCCCTCTAGTAGGCTGGCCCCGCGCGTTCCTGCCCCTTAAAGGCGCACTTCAGCCTTGCACTTGAACTTGGGAAGAGCGCCACAGACATCCTCCGAGCGCGCGGGAGACCCTGGAGAGCTGAGGGTCGGTGAGCTCTGCGAACGCAGCTTTTCTCCCGATTAAAGCGCAGAGATCAGATACAGTACTGTAGATGGAATCTTTATTTGCATCAGCCACTAGCCATAGCAATAAAATAAGATGTACAGAAGATAGAGGTAAAAAAATATATTTTGGGGGTTTATAGCAACAATCAAATATTAGATCTTATTCTAATTGCCCCTGCTAAAAATTTTGCAGTTTTTGCTGTCACCTGATCATCTTGATCTTCTAAAAGTAAGGACACGGTAGCAATGGTTGGACAATAGTAGAGGGTTAATAACCTCACTCCTCAAATCTTTATAAAGAGTGCAGCCAGAAGCACATGAGCCACTGACTCAATACTGCCATCTCCACAGGGACATAACAGTTTTTTCCAGCGGAATTTTTTGAAATCAACCAGCCGAAGGCAGTATATTCAATCTTGTGAAAGTGAAAGCACACCTGTATTTTGGAATTGTTAAATTTTGCTTGAAGTGCGGAGTGTTTGAGGACCAGGACATTCAGAGGGAATCCAAAATGCTTGTTTACAAAGCTATTGTACTACCAACCTTACTGTATGCTTGTGAAACATGGACCACTTATAAATGCTATCCCCAACGCCTCAGAAGATTCCATCAATGGAGCCTCTGAAAAATTTTATGCATCACTTGGGAAGGCAGGTGAACTAATGCCAGTGTATGGGAAGTTTCAAAGATTACCAGTGTCGAAGCAATGACTCTTCAACATCAACTTCATCATGTTGCGGATGCCTGATTATTGTCTTCCAAAGCAACTACTCTATTCCGAACTATAAAAATGGAAAGCGTAATGCTGGTGGTCAGCTAAAAGAGGTTTAAAGACTCTCTCAAGGCAAATCTTTAAAAATGTAGTATAAACACTGATAACTGGGAAACACTGGCCTGGGAGTGCTCCATTCGGAGAACAGCCTTTACCAAAGGTGTCATGGATTTTGAAGATGCTCGAAATCGGGACCAAAGGGAGAAATGTCTAAGAGGAAGTCATGCTTGGCAAACATTCACCGTGATCAACTCCTGCCCAGAAACCTGTGTCCCCACTGTGGAAGGATGCGTGGATCCAGAACTGGCCTCCACAGTCACTTATGGACTCACTGTTAAGACCCTGTTCATGGAAGCCAATCTAACTTGGCTACGTATGATCACCAAAGAAGGAGGAGGAGGAGGCAGGGTTGGAAGAAGGAAGGCCAGCGAAACAGAGGTTTATCAGGAGACAGAAACAAAAAAGGAAGGGGAGAGCAAGGGAAAGGCTGGAAAAGCTGGTCCAGAGAGGAGAAAAGTCAGCCTGGGGATTTAAGGAGGAGCAGGAGCAATGAGACTTGGACAGCTTGGGCAGCAGAATTCTGCATAGACATGAGATCAGACCAGACACACAATGGAGCACAGGGCAGAGGCCAGAGAAGGTGCTACAAGACTTTTGGGTCTCATTGCGCTACACATTTAAAGCAGGTGTCATGCCACTTTTAGGGGCAGGTGCGGCTTGTCAACCTGGGAAGGAAAACTCTGAGCAGGGATATTGGAAGAAGAGGCTAGGCAGTAAACCTTACACAAATCCTTAAAGGTAAAGGTAAAGGGACCCCTGACCATTAGGTCCAGTCGTGGCCGGCTCTGGGGTTGTGGCGCTCATCTCGCTTTATTGGCCGAGGGAGCCAGCGTACAGCTTCCGGGTCATGTGGCCAGCATGACTAAGCCGCTTCTGGCGAACCAGAGCAGTGCACGGAAATGCCGTTTACCTTCCCGCTGGAGCAGTACCTATTTATCTACTTGACTCTGACGTGCTTTCGAACTGCTAAGTTGGCAGGAGCAGGGACCGAGCAATGGTACCTCACCCCGTCTCAGGGATTCGAACTGCCGACCTTCTGATCGGCAAGTCCTAGGCTCTATGGTCTAACCCACAGCGCCACCCACGTCCCAAATCCTTAGTGGTCCCTAAAATGGTTGGATGATGCCTTGCATGGCTCCTTCCAGCAACTCCTGCAGTGGATTCATTCATACAAACATTCGTATATCACCTTCCAGTGCTTACGCACCACTGCTAACAGCTAACAACAATTCACATAACTACAATGCAATATTTTAATATTATAAAATACAATGTAAAAACAGAGACTATATAATGTAAACAGACAGCTGTGGTAGATAAAACAGGTGTCAGATTTTTTTATTTTAAGCAATTAAAAAAAAGTGTCTCTAAACAAAAAGTGCTTGTTGCTTTTGTTTTTTGCCATATGGCAAAAACACCATCTGTAGAAATAGTTTTGTTTTTAGAGCTTGCATATTTATTTATTTTTTGTACTTCATCTCACTTTTGTCTTCAGGCACTTTGGGCTGTGTAGTAGTTTATAAATACATAAAATAAACAAAATTCAATAAAGATTGGTCCAACAGAGTCTCATGGACCAAGGAGGTCTACTATTTAGGTGGAGTTTATAGATGTCTTAAAAAACAAATCTTTGCCTTTCCTGCAAAGAACTCAATGCAACAAACAGAGTTCTCCACCCACCACGTTATCCTCTGAGGCAGACTAGGCTATGCTTGTGTGTGGGACTGGTCCAAGGTAAATCAGGGAGCTTTATGGCTGAGCTAAGATTTAGAACCTGGATACCCCTTTCCAGCCCATATCTGATACTCTAACTACCACACCACATACCAGGGTGTCTAGAAATCTCTGTAGGATGGATTAATTTTGTCTCTAACGCAGTGGTGCTCTAAGGACAGCGCTTTGTGGCAGACATCCAGGGTTTGCACTCAAGAAAATGTGTGGGGCGACAGGACTGACTGCAGTTCTCACATTTTGCGAATATACGTTTACCACCTAAAGAGCTCTGGCCTCAAGACTGTTAAAGGTTCCAGACTTATATAACTTGATTTATCACTGCTCTAGGGAACACAGAGCAGCTCCTGAACTTCCCCCACCTCTTCCTTCTGAATCAGGCAGATGAAGCATCGCTATTGTTTTGCCCTCCACTCCAAAGCTTACCGTATTTTTGTGTGTATAACACGCCCCTGTGTATTTGGGGGACTCAAATTGAAGAAAATGGGGGGAGATGGCCCAGAGTTGTTGAGCTTTTTTGGGGGGATTGCCCAAGGTTGTTCAGCTTTATTTTGGGGGCGGAATGCAGAAAATCGTTAACCTGAATGCAGGAAGACAAACACCCAATTGCCGCAGCAGCAGCCAATCCACAGCAGCCATTGCTGCAGCAAACCATCAACTACCCAATTAACGCAGGAGCAGCCAATCCAAAGCAGCCCTTCAGGCAGCCAACAATCACCCACCCAATCGCTGCTGAGAAGCTGCAGTTCGTGGCTGCAACCAGTCACTAGTCCCCCCCCCCATGCACTGCCCATGTATAAGACAAGCTCCATTGTTAAACATTATTTTTAAGTAGAAAAACCTCGTCTTTGTTATGTACTGAAGTTCTCACCCTGGGCCAGCAGGGGGATACTGTAGATAGTTTTCACTCAGGTCCACATATGCAAATAAGGAATTGAAAGTGACGTTCAGTGATTGGATAGTTACAGAAAATTGTTACTGTTGTTTTGTAGTTGAGCTCTATATAAGCAGGTTGGCTGAACCCTTCAGCCCAGTTCTGTTCTGGCCTGTGAATAAACAAGAGCTGTTTGAAGAATCGCTGTGTCGTCTGATATGTTCACCCACAACTTTACAGTCTTATACATGGAAAAGTACGGTAATTCTCTCCCCCACCACAGGAGAGCTCATGATCTTCCTACCCCCCCTAGTGTGTGTGTGTGTGCAATGTGAAAGATAAAATAGCTGCTATCCTGCTTTGCAGGACTATGCTGTGCTCAGAGTAAAACTACCTGTGTGGAGTGCAAAGGGATTTAACCACCGGCAGCCAGCTTCAATCCTCAATCTGCACTCCAAATCACCCCAGTTTTTTTATGCTGGGTACATCTTTCCACCAGCAGCATGGTCCTTCTGTGTCTCATTTGACACCCATATGCAGTTCCAGACTCTCATTCTATTCCACCTTCCCTTGCTTTTTTTTTTTTTTGGTAGGGTATGGTCTGAAGACACATGAAGCCACCATCTTGTTGCACCTAAAGTAGGTCAGAGTCCGGTCAGAGTGCCCTGCCTTGTGTTCATTGCCGGATTTAGGTTCAATGATGCCCTAAGCTACTGAAGGAATGGGGCCCTTTATATGTCCAGTTGTCCAGTTGTCTAGTTGTCCTTTGTCAACAACAAATGGTTGCTGTTTTTTGCGTTGAATATATGCTATATGGTAATTTATGGACCTAATAGGTGTCTCAAGCCATTTGCACATAACAAAATATGTATTTCATCAAAGTAATTGTTGAACTGAAATATAATTAAGAAGTCGTATGCGGGTGGCGCTGTGGGTTAAACCACAGAGCCTAGGACTTGCCGATCAGAAGGTCGGTGGTACGAATCCCCGCGACGGGGTGAGCTCCCGTTGCTCGGTCCCTGCTCCTGCCCACCTAGCAGTTCGAAAGCACGTCAAAGTGCAAGTAGATAAATAGGTACCGCTCCGGTGGGAAGGTAAACAGCGTTTCCGTGCACTGCTCTGGTTTGCCAGAAGCGGCTTAGTCATGCTGGCCACATGACTTGGAAGCTGTACGCCGGCTCCCTCGGCCAGTAAAGCGAGATGAGCGCTGCAACCCCAGAGTCGGCCATGACTGGACCTAATGGTCAGGGGTCCCTTTACCTTTACTATATTAACAGTGAAATACAATTAAGAAGAAGTATATTAATAGTGAAATAATTATTAAGCTCTAACTGTATGTAGGATTTATTGTATTTTTTTATCTTATATTTTGGAAATGTACATCCAGTTTTTTCCCTTTAGATTTTTTGGGGGCCCCCAAGAAAGTGGGGCCCTAAGCTATAGCTTGTTTAGCTTATATGTAAATCTGGCACTGCTTGTGTTCCACGATGGAAGAAAAATGCATTTTTAAAAAGAAAAGAAAAGAAAAAGTAGTTCAAAACAATTGCAAGACTGAGACACAGAGCTGGTCCACATGTTATATCTATTTTTCTATAGAAAATACATACTGTAAAACATCAAGTGTATTATTCTACAAAACTAAGAGACAAAACATTTAACACGGTTTTTTGCCAGTGCATCTTGCCCAGTACTGTCCATCTCTGATTGAAAATGGCTTTCTCAAATAGCTGGTGATACGAAATAATTCTTTCTTTCTAGAGATACCAGGGGGCAAACCTGTAATCTTCTGAAGGCAAAACACATTCCCTATCACTGATCTATGGTCCTGCCTTGTGAGTGATGGCCCCTCTCCACAAAAGGACAGCAAGGGGAAAAAAGTACCGATCTAGTTTTCATAAACCAATGAAACCATAAATCAAAGGGGGGGGGGGGAAATACATTTCTATATAAATACATATATCGGGCACCATGTACATTTCCATAAAAGTCTGACATGCATATTCTCTACCTAAACTAACATACAAATTGCATTGACTTTGCCATTGACATCATCTGCCCCAGTTTCTCAAGTCATTTGCTCTTTATGATCAGCAACAGAATTCTTGGTTATGTGCAAGTTATTTTCACAGCCCTGAACATAGATGATGGGCACCATCCAGCTAAACAGATGTGCTAGTGAGAGGACTTTTGATTGTGCAAAGGAACTTCCCTCTGCATCCTTAGCTCTAGCAAAACTGACCAAAAGGAAAGGATGTTAAATGATAAAAGGACAGAAATCACAATACAATTTCCCCACTGGAAAGTGGCTGAGTCATAAGGGTCAGCGGCCAAGCAGACTTCGCTGTCAGGTGACTGAGCTGTCAGTTGTGGGAAAAGGTGGAAACGTTTTCCAGTCAGGAAAATCAAAATTTAGTCCAATTACCAGTGGAATATGTTTGCTGGAGGATGTTTCTTTCTTCGTGTTCATCGATAACTAAATAAGGATGTCTACTTGCATGAGAATTGATGCTTTTGAATTATGGTGCTGGAGGAGACTCTTGAGAGTCCCATGGACTGCAAGAAGATCAAACCTCTCCATTCTGAAGGAAATCAGCCCTGAGTGCTCACTGGAAGGACAGATCCTGAAGCTCCAATACTTTGGCCACCTCATGAGAAGAGAAGACTCCCTGGAAAAGCCCCTGATGTTGGGAAAGATTGAGGGCACAAGGAGAAGGGGACGACAGAGGACAAGATGGTTGCACAGTGTTCTCGAAGTTACCAGCACAAGTTTGACCAAACTGCAGGAGACAGTGGTTCATGGGGTCATGAAGAGTCAGACACAACTAAATGACTCAACAACAACAGCTTGCATGAGATATGGTCAAAATTCCAGGGCGTAATTGGGCTTTTGCACTCATGTCATCCAGGGATGTGCTCATTATGCACACCTGCTTTTGTGGAAAATTCCCCATACAATGCCTGAGAGAGAGAAGGGCATTTGGTGAGAACCACAACAAGGGCTTCCCTTGGTGGGAGGACACTTGGCTTGAATTCTTACAGCTTTATCCGATTCCTTTGCTATAGTGCTGTACTCAATGCTCAGAGAAAAGCTAAAACAAACACATAATTTTGCATATTCAGTGTTTCAGCTGAACCAAGCTTGCTGGCAACAGGCATGGGGCTGGCTGCTGTGGGAAACAATGCTGAAAAGCAGGACTTCCCTTGCATTCTTAAGCAGAGGAACACATACATGGTACCTTGGTTCTCAAACACCTTGGTACTCAAAACAACTTGGAATCCAAACATTGCAAACCCGGAAGTAAGTGATCCGGTTTGCGAACGTTTTTTGGAAGCCGAACGTGCTCCGTTTTGAGTGTTACGCTTCCAATTTGAGTGCCACGCTTCCGTTTTGAGTGTTATGCTTATGTCTGTCTGTTTCTGCTATTTATTTTGAGTTTCTGTTTTTGCAACTCTCTTTTTTGTTTTTGTGACTGTGTGGAACCCAGTTCAGCTACTGAATTCATTGTGTGACTGCAGTACATTGTTTATTGCTTTCATTTTATGGATCAATGGTCTCATTATAGTAAAATTCATGTTAAATTGCTGTTTTAGGGGTTGTTTTTAAAAGGCTGGAATGGATTAATCCATTTTGCATTACTTTCTATGGGAAAGCGCGCCTTGGTTTTGGAACGCTTTGGTTTTGGAACGGACTTCCGGAACAGATTAAGTTTGAGAACCAAGGTACCACTGTATTTGAGTTTAAATTTTCACTTTTCTCGCACAACCCTCTATCCCAAAGCTTAAAAATTGGTGTTTTGTGAGCAGATGGCAACTGCAAGTGGAACAGAACATTTGTACCCACCCTAATTTTAAAAAATAACAAGGTGTTGGGGCGGGGAGAGAGGAAGGAGAGAGGAAACAAAATGCTGTGCTTCATCTCTGCCTGAACACAGCTCTACATTTTCAGGCCCTTACGTGTTTACACTGTGCCGTGCCCCAAGCGCTTTATCCCCTCATAGAAGCAAGTGCACTGAAGCCACCCATTCTTCTCTGTTAAGTCTGTTTATTTTCCTCACGTTGTCATATGTCCACGACATGAAAAAGTGTGAACATGAACCAGATGGAACATGGAGAGAGTTGCATCTACTTCCACTACCATGTGGCAGCTGTGAATGCGGATATTTCTGCAATTGTGGAAACTTCTGCAATTGGTTTACATTTCTATCACCCGTTTTGTATTAACCTTTTCTCTAGGCTTATTTCTCTACAAGTGATCTAGCCTATATTGCTCCCATAAGTAGCATAGAATGCATCAGTACCATTTTGTAAGAGCGCTGCACCCTGGTCTTTAGCACCATGGACATACGAAGCTGCCTTAAAAACAAGTTAGATGTATTGGTCCAGCTGCTCTGACCAAGTAGCAGCAGCATCCTAGGGTCTTAAGAAAATGCTTTTCTTGCTCCCTGAGATCCTTTAACTGAGGATGCCAATAACTCAACCTGGAACCCGCTGCATCTAAAACATGCTTTCTACCACTGCGTTATGGTACTTGATAGGGAAACCCTTCCTTGTAGAGAAAGGGCAATTCAGGTCTACATCACCTGGGACAACAAATTCTCAGACAGTCACCCAAAATATAGGGAATAGTGCCTCTAGTACAGCCTTTCTCAGATGTTGTTGAACTATGAACTGCTGCTCTAGTAAGCTCCAACAATTCTCATTGGCACTGAAGCCCATGTACCTGCCAGTGCCACCCCAATTAGGGTACCACGGTACCACTAAGATGCTTAAAACCGACCCGTGAGGGCTTGGAAGGTAGAGAAGAAGAAGAAGAAGAAGAAGAAGAAGAAGAAGAAGAAGAAGAAGAAAAAGAAGAAGAAGAAGAAGAAGAAGAAGAAGAAGAAGAGGAGTTTGGATTTGATATCCCGCTTTATCACTACCCGAAGGAGTCTCAAAGCGGCTAACAATCTCCTTTCCCTTCCTCCCCCACAACAAACACTCTGTGAGGTGAGCTGCATGTGGAGGAGCGGAGACGCAAACCCGGTTCCCCGGATAACGAGACTACTGCTCTTAACCACTACACCACACTGGCTCTCGGAGTCCTTATTTCTGCCACGACAAAGCTATCAGAACGGCTTAATGGACCTACATACTAAACTGCAACCTGTTCCACAGCGACACTCATGAACCGGAACTTTCTGCAATAATGAACCAAGGTATATGGCTAGTTTTGGTCCCTGCTGACATCCCCTGGAGGGGAAACGGAGAAACCAGGTAGCGGGTAGTCTACATAGCAGGAGGAGCAAATTTTCTTTCTGAGGTGGAGGTTGAAGGCTCAGTTTTTCTTCATGGCACTGTTGGCTTTGATTTTTCCGTATAACCACATGATGTCAATGTAGAGATTACGCTTCAGGACAGCAGAAGCGCAGACAATGGCTCCATGAAGTGCTCCTGGAAAGCCACCAACAAAGACATCCTGACCTGGCAGGGAAAAACAAAAGACAAGGAGGAGTCATAGAATTGTAGAGTTGGAAGGGACCATGAGGGTGATCTAGTCCAACCCCCTGCAATGCAGGAATCTTTTGCCCAACGTGGGGCTCTAACCCACAACCCTGAGATTAAGAGTCTCATGCTCTACGGACAGAGAGCATGGGCACACAGTCATACCTCGGGTTAAAGTAGCTTCAAGTTAAGTATTTTTGGGTTGCGTTCCGCGGTGACCCAGAAGTAACGGAGAGCGTTACTTCCGGGTTTCACCGCTCGTGCATGCGCAGACGCTCAAATGGACATCACACGCATGCGCGGAAGCAGTGAAACGTGACACACGCAGACGTGCAGTTGCGTGTTACGTTTGCTTCAGGATGTGAACGGGGCTCCAGAACGGATCCCATTCGTATCCAGACGTACCACTGTAATTGCCTCTTATCAGTCTTTACTCTTGTCTGTCTTTCTCCTCATCACCACCCCTCTTGTCAATAGCCAGGAATGATGTTTGGGAGAGCACCTCAGTACTCCAAAGTGCTGCTGAGTTATATTATGCAGAAGGTCACTTGCAGAAACCCCTTAAGGCACCTGTGTAGCCGGTAGGAAAAGCTAAGAAAGGGACACACAGAAAGATCAGGCATCTTTAAAAAGAAACCCAGACACCCCAAGACCTAGTTCATTCTATTTTTCTAATCGAGTTTAATGTTAGAACAAGATCTAACCTTTGGGGGTGGCTGCCTGCTATTCCAGGGACTAGGGTGAAATTGTCCCTCCAGACTGAAAGCGTCTTCAAACTTTACAAGAGGGGTTTTAAAAATTGTACTCATGGGGGGTGGAGAGTAATCAATGCATTAGATAAAGTTATAAAGCTGTAACTCTCAAGGTCCCCTGCACTGTAAGTATGAGATATTGACAGTCTGAATCTAAGAAAACAAAGTTGGCTTAACCTCTAAACTAGGTGGCACAGGTGTCAATGGTACTAGCCTGTATCAATATCTTTCAGGATGCGAACACAGCAAACCCGGAAGTATTTTTCTGGGTTTCGCCCCGCACGCATGTGCAGAAGCATTCTACGCGCCACGTGCATGCGCAGAAGCGGCACCTCCGGTTGTGAATTCCTTGGGATGCAGCCGGATCTCCAGAACGGATCCCGTTCGCAACCAGAGGTACCACTGTATACAGATGGCATCGCTACATCTGCAATCATAGAGGAAAGCTACTTGCTTTAAACTCACCAAAGTACTTTTGCTGTGAAGCAAGGACACTGTGAAGCAAGCATACACTGTTTCTACAAAGAAGCAATGGCTTTGGGTACATTATAGATCAGGGGTGGGGGAATTGGATCAAGCCTGGTGGCTGCATCCATAGCTTTCCCACTCTATGAGGGCCACTTTGATAGGTAGGTCAGGCACCAGGTACCAGGTGATTCACATTTAGAGAAATTAAGTTCAGCCCCTACTGCAAGCCCCTCTCTGCACCAGGGTTTGGCTGAACTCAATATTTCTGACTGGCAGCTCCTGAGCAAAACAAATCCCGCAGGCACTTTAAGGCTCCCAGTAGTTCCTTTGCAGTTGCATCTTTACTTGGTCCTTCCCTCATTCACATCATATCATGTGTGGAGCAAGTGGGTGTGGCTTAGGGGAAAAGGTCAACAATATCTGCTTGGGTTAATTCCCATTCTTCCTTTCCCAGTTCATTCACTCATCTGCACCTCTAGGGCAAAAAGGCTGGAGGAAGTGAATGCCCCCAATGTAGTTTTTGTTCCTAAGCTCCAATTAGAGTAGACCTCCCCCTCTCCCGGGAGCCAGACCACACATCAATGAAAACACATGACACATAATTGGGATTAAAATGGACACTACTTTTATTAATTTCAGATGTAGGAAAATCTTGGCTTAGGCATTGGGCGTGTATCCCTCTCAGCCCTCTGGTGGGGGTCTGAGGCAAGACAGGGTTAGTCATGGCGACACTGCGAAATGTGTGTTTACACAGCTGGCCCCCATTCCAAGTTGCTGATGGGAGTTCTGTGACCTAACACCCATGGCCATAGACTCCCCTCACTATCCCCTTTAATGGGGACCCTGTTATCACTGCCACAGGAGGGGTGCATCACCACAACACCCCATTTATTATTGGATGATGGACTAAAGGATTCTGCCCAAGGTCTAAAACCACCACCCAAGACATCGAACTTGTGATCTCACCACCAAGACTACCTACAACTGAAACCACAAAATCAGATGGCCGCCAACCAATCCTGAAGGCCCTGCTTCACAGCCCACAACCAATGTTAATTCCCCAGCCAGTCAGGTGTACTCTGTCAGGCCTGCCTAAGGAGCAGACTGGGGCGAAGTCTGTGCTCGCCCGGTCCGCACCTCTAGCTCCCCCACTGGCCCGCCGCGGATCGGCCGATTTAAAGCACCTGGGTTTGGTGGGAACCCAGAAGCCCCTGCGGCAAGCCCAGGGGATGGAGCAACAGCACAGCTCTCCGTCATGGCTCCAAGATGGCGGGGCTGTGTGCCAGGCCACAAATGTCGCCCACTGTCAGGACCCGGTGAGTGGCCATTAATGAGCCTAGGTTAACCCTGCCCATCAATGGGCCTACTCTGAGTAGACAACCCTTATTTTCCAAAGTCAAGACTAGTGCAGAAACACCATCTATTCTATGCACTCGGGATGGGACAGGCTAAAGAAGTTAAATAAGGGGTTGTGGTAAGGAAGTAGCATTTACCTGTGAGGTAGAGGTTTGGGACAGGGGTCTGAGGGCGTATTGTGGCCATGACTTCCACCTGCAGGCGGGAGATGCTGTGCTCTGCACCATACATCTCTCCTTGGACAGAAGCTATGTAGTGTTTATTGGTGAGAGGAGTTCCTGCAGAGACATACTCAATCTGTTCAGAGAAAGAGACAGACCAAAATGGTTCCTTGTTATTTATTCAGTAGGATCAGGGGAAACCTTTAAAAGGGTTTAAGGATAGCACAGGGAAGACAGGGAGTATGCTCAGTGGGATGGCTGCCTGTCTGTTGGGAAGGGGTTAAGTGGAATAAAATAAAGAATATCATCAAAACCAGCATGGCTGGCTGGTGCTCTGAATGGGAACTTTCCACACTGCAACGTTTTGCTCCAAGTCCATCTTGACTTTTGCAATCTTCTTGCTGCTACAGTATTTTAAACTTGGTCGAGATGTTCTGGTCCCAAACTGTTCACACTTTGGGGCCAGAACATCTCGGGAACTGTACCATCTCCTTAAGAAACCCTGGGGCTTTAAATTAAGAAGGGAAATGGAAACAGAGAGAGCGAAAGCAACAGATAGACAGAAAGTATAATGAATAGTAGAAGGCAGGCCTTGCTTCCAAGAGACTAACAAAAGGACAGAGACACTCATCCTGAGCCCTAGCTGATCTTATGAGCTTGCTGAATAAGCTATCAGTAATGTCTCTAACCTCAGCTGACCTCAAAAGGATGGGAGCAGCACTATCCTTAGGCTATGCCAAATCCAGGACTTTATGTGCAAAAAATTTTTAAAACACCATGCTAGAAATTATTTAAAGAGAGCTGAAAAGCTCCTTCTTTGCTGCTGTTTGCACAACTGATGGTGCAAGACAAGGAGTGCCCTTACCTTATCTTTTATTTGAGGGTAAAATTTCAGAACCGTTTCCATTATGTTGTCCACAAAACAGTTTTTGAAGGCCTCATACTCCGCTCCCCTCTTAGTAACCTTTTCCTCCTTCCATTCCTCAAACCATTCATATTTTGCAACTGCCAGGACAATTAGAGTGGACTTGCCTATAATGAAAAGGGCACAAAGCGTTTCATTAGTGATGTGGTTGCCACAAAGGGACATCTTACCACCCCAGATTATTGCAGAAGATTTGTCAGGTGTCGAGGGCGCACGTTTCACAAACCTGGGCATTCTATGACACCTCATCTCATACAACCATCAGCACTCTAGGGCCTTTGGCCAGCGACCCAAGCTGTATTGACCTGAATACTGTCAGCTGGCCTGAAATTGGCTATCTGACGTTGCAGCCCAATGGAGAGGCATATAAAGTTCTTCCTCCTAGTCTGGTTTGGCTATCTGAACAAACTGTATTGTCCTCACTCAGTGGCCCAACTGTTCAGTCTGGTATCTGGCCTCTGTGACGATGACATCTTGTTTCCCTGATCTGCTATACCAGCCCATTCATGATCACGTCTCAAGCCCATCACCCTACATCAAATCCAAACCCTTTAACAAAGTGAGTCATGGGCCCAGCATGAATCTGGATCCTAAGATTCACTATCCTTTAGATTGCTCTCTGGGTTTCCAAGATTCTGTCATCTATGGTAGTTCGGGGTAGTGGTAGGGTGTCAAGGGAAGAGAACTCCCCCCCCCCACTGGGGATCATCTATTGGGGGCAGTGGGTGAGTTCTTAACCAAGTGGTGGGCAGGACCACAAGCCAAAGCAGGTGGGGACCCTTTCTCTCTTTTCCTTCCCTCCTCCTTTCATTCCAGGCTATTCCAGAATTCCAGGCTAAGATTTGCACATAGATTTAGGGCCACAGGTTGCCCAACTCTGGGCTACAAAGCGCCCCCTGCTGGCTCTTCTCCATTTCCTCCCACCCCTTAAGAAACACGATGTTGCATTGCTGGTTCAAACAACACCCATACCTGGGTATCTCTTCTCCCAGAGGGGGTCCTTAGCCGATGGAGAACCAATGTATAGCAAGGGGATATTCTCTGGAGCGGTTTCTCTCGAACAATTAAAGTAACGAACGAACCTATCAAGAAAGAAGACTTACTCTGAACTTTGACTTCATAATGTGTACAAATTATCAAACTATACTATTAATGCTGGAGACAGGGAAAAGCTTGAGAGAGTTGAAAGTGTCTACAATTTCTGCGGCTTATAACTTTTTGGCTGGCCTAAATTTTTAAGCCTTCTCTCCAGTCTCCCACAAGGGAAAGCCGGGTGGGGGCAGTGTACACTGTTGAATAATAATAATAATAATAATAATAATAATAATAATAATTTATTTATACCCCGCCCACCTGGCTGAGTTTCCCCAGCCACTCTGGGCAGCTCCCAATCAAGTGTTAAAAAACAGTACAGCATTAAATATTAAAAACTTCCCTGAACAGGGCTGCCTTCAGGTGTCTTTTAAAGATAGGATAGCTGCTTATTTCTTTCACATCTGAAGGGAGGGCGTTCCACAGGGTGGGCGCCACTACCGAGAAGGCCCTCTGCCTGGTTCCCTGTAACCTCACTTCTCGCAATGAGGGAACCGCCAGAAGGCCATCAGCGCTGGATCTCAGTGTCCGGGCTGAATGATGGGGGTGGAGACGCTCCTTCAGGTATACAGGACCGAGGCCGGTTAGGGCTTTAAAGGTCAGCACCAACACTTGGAATTGTGCTCGGAAACGTACTGGGAGCCAATGCAGATCTCTCAGAATGCCTTTGGGAAAAAGCATGCTGTGCTGCGATGAAAGCTACATTCCTTTGGAGTGTAAGCATAGAAAAAACGAAACTGTACCAGGCTCCAGGAGGAAACATGTCAGAGCACTTCTGCTTACCAATTCAGATATACCATTTTCACAGCCAGTTAAAAATAAATTAAAAATGTGTTGAACCGGGAGAAAGTTTTGAAAATTCAGTTCAGATCCAACCAATCCAAATACAGTCAAGAGAATTAGAATTTAGAGTGCCAGAGTTTAGTTTTGCATCTCCATAAAGGCCCACTCCATAAAGCCATTGTACAAGATCATTTCAGGTGCTTTTTCTACAGACAAGAACAAAGACAAGGAGCTATGGACAGAGTAGCCAAGGGAGCTAAAATTTGGCTGCTAAGTGAACGTTATTGATCAACTACTGGCAAGTATCTAATTTGCATTTGTATACAGTTATGAGTTGTATATATGAACAAATAAAATAACACTCTCAAAGGCAGCTTTCACAAATGATGGCAAACCATAATGCCAAGTCTGTTCTTGGCTGACCAATCCTGCTGGTCTGAGGGAAGGAGCGAAGCATGATGGATCTCCACATTAATGGCAAACAAACAACTAGCTATGATTTGTCATGATATGGAAAGTGAGCCAGTTAAACTGACATTACCTCCTCCCCAAGAAGTCGAGATAGGGTACAAACAAGCAAGTTTGTAGAAAAATGGCCCTGGTTTATAAATTCTGGGAATGAGACACTTCATAAGATTTGGCTATCTGTTTAGCGTGATTCGGCAATTCTAGTATTATTATTTGGAAACTGAAACTTGATATTGTATCATTAATTTTAGTGCTATTATCATTTATAATCATGCTATTTATTTTATATTATTACCTCCTAGAACAGGCATCCCCAAACTTGGCCCTCCAGATGTTTTGGGACTACAACTCCCCTCATCCCTAGCTAACAGGACCAGTGGTCAGGGATGATGGGAATTGTAGTTCCAAAACATCTGGAGGGCAGAGTTTGGGGATGTCTGTCCTAGAAGATTTAAGGCTCTCAGTACTTTAACCTTAAATTCATATAATTTTGCAAAACCTATGTTAGCCAGCAGTGTGTGGGGGTGGAAAATCAGAGATGAGAAGACCCTTCCTAGATTTTTTTTAAAAGTCCCTCTAGTCCTGCTTTCTGTTTCCCATGGTGGCAGTCAGATACCTCCCAAAAACCAACCAGCAAGGCATGAAGGCAACAGATCTCACTTGCTGTTGCCCTCAAGCAACTGGTATTCACTGCTATAATACCTCTGAAGATGGCGGCTCCCTTTAGCTGCAACAGCCAAAAGCCACTTAGAGGTTATTGAAAAAGATCTATCAGAAAAAACGACCTTCTAAAAAGTTAGCGGCCACACCACCACATTGTTGCCTGATTAATTCCATAGTTTAGCTATCCAATAAATGAAGAAGCATTTTCTTTTGTCTCCTGCTAATCGGTTCAACTGGGTGACGGACAGAGCTGTTCCGCCTGGCCTTTGCATTGGACTTGGTCTGACCCTTATGTTTTCCCTCCCCTTATGGTCTTGATTTATCGGCTATTTTTAAAATGGGGCTACGTTTTAAATTGCATTTTAACCTGTATTTTAAATTGGGTTTCCCCTCCCTCGCTTTCCCCCTTATTATGTTTTTACTGTGATTTTATTGGTGTTAGCCGCCCTGAGCCCGGCTCTGGCCAGGGAGGGCGGGGTATAAATAAAATTTATTATTATTATTATTATTATTATTATTATTATTAGTCCACTGACAGACTTCTCTCACTACCTACCCCTCCTTGGGTCACTTTATTCCTTTGCCCCCCCCTCAAATAAAAAGTCCCCAAATGTTCATTTCCTCATTAGGAAACTCCTAGGTCATTTTGATTTCATGCAGTGCTTTTTTTCCTGGAGGGACGCAGAGGTACGCATACCCCTAAACATTTTGTGATTCTAAGTTTGGCCTCATTGAGGGGCAGCATTTCAATATGAGGAAAATGAGAGTACCCCTAAACATTTTTTTTAAAGAAAAAAAGCACTGGTTTCATGCATACTGAAGGATGAGCCAAGGGTGATGCCATCTTGGATATAACTTCTACAATTTCGGCCATATGACCCAAAAGTTGAGAGAAGGTTCACTCCATATCGCTGTGGTCAAATAAATTTCAAATTTCCCCTAACTCTTAGCTGGTTCGGTAGCAAAGTTACACCTTACGCTTCACTGAAGTCGCTGTGTCGGTAGATGTAGTAGTTCTTAGCTTCAAATCCCAGTTCTTCCTTGGAACCTTTGAGTCCGATGAAGAGGCTGATTCCTGCTATGCCATGATTCATCATGGAGAGCTGGTTCTGAACACCTGCCCAAAGACCAACAGAGGGAAGTAAAATGGGGGAAGACGAGGCAGGTAAGCTCTAGAAGTAAAATTATGAATCAAAACAGCACCATCCATTGGCCCAGAAATGGAAGCAAGAAGAAATCCCGACGAAAGAAGAATGGCAGACAAAATTAATGGACTATGCAGAATTGGACAAAATGACAGGAAGAATTCGAAACCTGCGGGAACAGAGATTTACAGAAGATTGGAAGAAATAGATGAACTATTTGAAGAGCAATTGTAACCAACAAATTACGCTAGTAGGACTATAAGAGGTTTTGTAAGGAGAAATATATGAAACATTACAAAGAATAGAGATATTGGTTATGAGTTTTAAATGTAATAAGGAAAGTAAGAAATGTATACTAAGAGATTAGATTGGAAAATTTTCAGACAGGATTGATGGAAGTCAAAAAATTGTATAAGATGTAAAAGTATGTTTAATTATTGTTGAAAATGGTATGTTAAAAAACTAATAAAAATTGATAAAAAAACAAAAGAAAAGAAAACATCTGGCATCTTAGATTGGGAAATTGGAGCAAAAGCAACTTTTTAAAGCCAACCTCCCTCCCTCATGGACCCCCCTCCAAAAAGGTGCACCTTGTTGGATTTAATGTGCGCACTTATGTGCTAAGCTTTTATAGCTTTGAAAGTCGAGCTCTCCAGCCAATAGGTAGAGGAACTCCTGGAACTGAGCCCAGAAGCATATGGGGTATATCTGAATGAATTTAGTCATACACATTCAAGGTAATATAAGTTGCCTTTCTAGAGTAATTTGTTGCACAAGATATTGGTCCTAAGCAACAGCTGCTATGACCCATTCATCCACATCTCTTTCTTTCCTTCTTCTCTTACACCTCCTTAACTTAACTGGACTGTGAGTTTTTAGGAATCAAATAGCTAACAACTTGAATTTATTTCTATAGGTCTTGATGGTTAAAAATTGCTTCAGTCTGTGTGTGCTGAGGTGATTTCCTAAACCAAACAAGCAACAACACGACGAGATTTTTCTCCTCTGGATAATTGTGTACCACCCACAGAGCTGACATTTTTTATATTGTACGATCACTTTTTCCCATCAACTACTGATTAAAGAGAAGTCTGGCAGCTTGAGAAAGAAGTCAGGATAGAGAGGAAACGGGATACTTCACTCATCAGATGTAGTTGTTTAGCGATCTTGAAATGGCTCTTTGTGAAGCCAGAGGGACAGAGTCAATGCAATGTTATTCACTCACAGAGAAATTGCTATAAGCACATTGTATTCATCAGGAATTAAGCACTGGCTTTGCTTATTACCGCAAAACAACAAGACAGAGGTATACAAGGGATTTGCATATTTACTTTTGTTTCTGGGTAACCACAGAGCCTAGGACTTGCCGATCAGAAGGTCGGTGGTTCGAACACCCGCGACGGGGTGAGCTCCCGTTGCTCGGTCCCTGCTCCTGCCAACCTAGCAGTTCGAAAGCACATCAAAGTGCAAGTAGATAAATAGGTACCACTCTGGTGGGAAGGCATTTCCGTGCACTGCTCTGGTTCGCCAGAAGCGGCTTAGTCATGCTGGCCACATGACCCAGAAGCTGTACGCTGGCTCCCTCAGCCAATAAAACAAGATGAGCACCACAACCCCAGAGTCAGCCATGACTGGACCTAATGGTCAGGGGTCCCTTTACCTTTTAACATGGAAAAACTTGGTCATCTCACTTAAAATGAGATGTGCAAGTTCTTCCTTGGGATGATCCTTTCCCGCCCAAAATATGCTCTTTACCTTAACATCTGCTATTAGGTAGCAGCTATGAAACATCACTAGCTTTTCCTCCTGCCAAACATTAATTTCCATCTCTTACCTTTGCTGTATGACCTGTGCCATGTGAAGGTAACTTTTAACCTCTCCTTAGGATGCAACTGCCCAACTCGTTCTTATTCACAATATTTTTTTTTCTAAAAAAATTATTTACACATTTCAAGTTTATACATTTCACTAGTTTTACAATCAATTTAACGTTTGAAAATTTGACAACAAAATTAAGAGCTTCTGGGACACTGTTTATGAGGAGTTGAGAAAAATATTTAAACAAACTTTTATAAAGAAACCAGAAGCCTTTTTATTGGGCATATTAGACATCCCAATTGAAAATAAGAGAATATACCCTTACGCATCAGCAGCAGCAAGAATATTAATTGCAAAAAATAATAATGGAAAAGTGAAACAGTACCAACACAAAAAGAGTGGCAAGACCGATTATTTGATTATCTTGAATTGGCAAAAATGATGGACACAATTAGGGAACAGTCTAACAAAAAAAATAAAAAAGAGTGGGGAGTGTACAGAAATTACTTTTAAAAAAACAGTGCCCCCAAATCAAAACCTGGACTTGCTTTGAGTAATTTTTGCAAAACAAATTATGGTCTACAAGCATAGTATATGGAGAAGGGTAGAAATGATGAAATGAGAAAGAATCAGTTTATCAAACACGAAACCAGAACCGCTTTGAGGAGGAAGGAAGACTTTCGGATTTATGGCTAAATGTTTGCCATTTGTTTTGTGTTTTTTTAAAAGTTTGTTTCTTAAGTGTCGTATGTGTGCATGTTGTAATGAAAAGTTAATAAAAAGCATTTAAAAAATAACGTTTCAAAGTTTGACCTTCTTTCCCCTCTTTCTGCGGTTCCTTACATTTATTTTTAAATATCTTCTGCATGTCCAAATTCATATAATTTGCTTGTTTAATTATCTACTTTAAATATATACTCTTTCTCTGTTTGCAATTTCACTGTAAATATTCAATAAACCATTTCCATTCTTTTATAAAAAAAGTTTGTTATCTTGATTTTGCCATTTCTGCATATTCCATAAGTTTTTGTATCCATTGTTCCTTTGCTGGGACTTCTGCTTCTTTTCACTTTGGGGCAAGTAGCTTTCTTGCTGCTGTAGTAGCATAGCATACATAAATAAATTTCTATACAATTTAGGTAGTTCTGTCCCTATAATTCCCAAAAGAAAAGCTTCTGGTGTTTTTTTTACACAGGTTATTTTGAACATCCTTTTCAATTCATTGTATATCATTTCCCAATAAGCTTTAACCTTATTACAAGACCACCACATATGATAAAAAGAACCTTCTTTCTCTTTACATTTCCAACACTTGTTTGATTTAGATTTATACATTTTTGCCAGTTTACTCGGTGTTAGGCTCCTTAATTACAATAAGAAAGTTTCCTACCTGCAGAATTCTATGTTAGGTACCTATTAGAAGATTAGATACCCAGCATTATCTCTTGTAATTGCCAACTTTCTTTCTTAGATAAAAGTCTGAAACAAGCCTAGTTTTATTCATTGTCCAAATAGTATGTGTGCTTTTAATGTGTTTTTATCTTATTGGAATCTATTTGTGGGTCTTTGGACCACAATGAAGAATTGATTGATTGATTGATTGAATAAGAAAGTTTCCTTGCTTTATTTCCCCCCAGTATTACTTCACTGTGATAAACTTAACCTAATTTAATTCAATATTCCAACTTTCAGTTCATGGAAACCTCTGAGCTATTGGAATATTAAAGTGGATCTGCAATTCAGAATTGTTCTCCAAGTGTCCTAGAGGAACACTTCATGTCAACGATTGTCTATATCTTGACTCCTATTTGGTCAAAACAATTTTTACTCCTGAAAAAGGGATAATTCCAGGAGTAGCTGTCGGAAAGGGAGGTTGACTGAGGGTAAATGGTTTTGCGTGAGCAGGTGCATAATCTCCTGCTAAAAGTTAATCACAGAATCAGGGTGGCATAGAAGGTCAAGTTAAATCTCCCATTAGCCTTAGACATCTCAAGTTAATTTTTTACAGTTGAAGAACTCGCAGGAGTTCACTAGGACTCCTGTCATCTTGTGTCAACTTTTCACCTCAAGGTCTTTTTGTCAAGGATAAACAACTGCTGCCCCAGGAACTCACATGAAGGAGATTGGAACCCTTTACTGAATTCTGCCCCTGTATGCAAGTATTGCAAAGGGCGTAGCCAAGATGTTACAAGGAGCAGATTTTCAGTGACATTTGGAAGAATATTTATGTTACAACCACCACCACCAGGTAATATGTAGCATACCTATTAATTTGATTCACTGGAGAATAGTGTAAGGTAAAGTTCAGAGTAAGGGCAAATTAATTTACATCAGGGTTGAGGAACCTGCAGCTTTCTGGATGTTGTTAGACTACAACTCCCATCATCCCTGATCATTGACCATGCTGACTGGGGCTATTGGGAGCCGAAGTCCTAACAGCTTCTGAAGAACTGCATGTTCTCCATCCCCTTTTGCACGTTCAGCGTGGTATTGTGTATTTTTCGTAGGCAGGGCCATAGTTGGGATGGATGGGATTGGCCAACACTCACTAAAAACAAAAAGACAAGCAAAGAAAGACAAAAGGAAACACTATTCTTCAACTATTATCAATAAAACAACTTGCAATTACAACAACTGAACCAAAGACGAATGTATGACTTACACAAGATGCTTCAGACACACCCCACAGTGTTTTAGTATTAAAGTTATGGAGTGAAAAAACCTTACTGGGCATAGGTCATTCAATACAAAGGGCATTCTAATTAAGTCGTTCTCACAGATGACCATTAACATTAATGGAATAACTGAAGTTCACTGACATCTGTAGGACTGCTCTAAGCATGACAACATTGGCTGTCACCCAAGCATGTATTTGACTTTGACACTTTTGAGTTTTGTAGTACTACATCTATTGATTGCCTGTAAAATATCTACCATAACAGACCATCTATGAAATGCTCAGGAAGCTTGTGGTATAATATCATACATTGGGATAAATGTGTTTCAAGTTAAGTATTTTCAGGTTGCACTCAGCGGTGACCCAGAAGTAACAGAGCACGTTACTTTAAGGTTTCGCCGTGTGCGCATGCGAAGACGGTCAAAATGACGTCACACGCAGGCGCAGAAGCGGCGAAACACGACCCGTGCATGCGCAGACGTGTGAACGCGGGTTGCATTCACTTCAGGATGCGAACGGGGCTCCGGAACGGATCCCGTTCACATCCCGAGGTATCACTGTCTTTAGTACCCAGTGTTTTCTGGTGTGGCATAGGTTTCTTGGGGGTTCTTTAGATTAATGGTCCTGTCACACAAAGGTCCATTCTTGATTAATGTCCCTCATTTTAACAGCTTAATTTAGGTGGGAAAAGACCTTTGGTCTTCCATGAACTTTTACCTAGTAGGAGCTATTCCATCAGGCTTCCTGAACTGGCTGGTCATTATAAGAACCGGTGCCTCGACTTGCTCTCCCCCCTCTTCCGTCCCCATCACTTTTTCCTCATGTGTCAATTGTAAGCTTATTGTAAGCCATCCTGGGTTTGGGCTGCAGCTTTCTGCCTGCCCCACTTTCGATTACTTAAAAACCTGAAGCTCTACCTGTAACTTTTATATACAGTACTCTGCGCTACCCAACATTGTACAGCTCATGTTAAGTACTTGGCCGCCTTTCCCCCTTTCACTCAGGCTCATTTGTTAAAGGAAATCTTTCTATTCAACACTGTGTTTATATCAAGAGCCTTAGGAGCAACACGTGAGCTTTCTTTCAAAGCTATTAAAATTTGCTTACAATTTGATCCTTCCAGGGCATACTGGTAGTCTGAAAAACTCCCATGAGATTTAGAAGGATTGTGCTAGTGAAACAGAGGACAGGCCGTTTTGAAAGAAAAACCACACGTAGTATTATTAGAGCTGAAAGGAAGTCTTGGAAAAGTTGAATCCTATTAAAGCCAATGCATAAATTCATCTCATGTTTACCACATCTTTATCCCTTATGAATTGGCCCCATAATTTGAATCCTTTGACCTCTAATAGTGGGGACCAGATGGCAATCAGGAACATGGCATTCTAGAACTTCTGTCCCACTTTTCAGTTAAAACATACTATTTTTTTTTTAAAGGGTGCAACACAGTTCTGAACAGCAGCAGATTAAAACAGTTAAAATCAGAAGATAACGGGGGGGGGGGGAAGCTTAGGAAAAATTTGGCGCACCACGGCAAAACATTCTAGTACTCCTTTGTACAATTTTTGCGGTTTATTTTCTTTTACAGGGTTCCGGGTTCCTGGCAATCACCTGTTGAACTGCAGTCAACAGGAATATCAGTAGGGGGTTTCCCCCCCTGAAGTAAATGTGTATTTTGTTTGTTAAATACTGACAGTAATGCCATTTGCAGCAAATGAAAAACCGTTCTTTAGAAAGTCAGCAAGTTCCATAGTGGAGGGTCACAACTCTGAAGGTTGAACTATTTGCAATTTGATGTTAAATTAATTAGTAGCCACCCACCTTACCTCAGAAGGTAGGGACACCCAGAGTCAGGCATCTTTAGATACAGCTCAGCTGTAAGAGGTAGCCCTTTTGATCAAGTATAGGTCCCTAAATGTTTTAGAAAAGGGGTAAGCAGTGCCCAGCGTATGCAATTCCCTCCCTACATATGCTCTTCTTTTAGTAACAAGTTATAAGGAGCCTGCTAAAACCATTTTTGTTTCAGCAAGCTGGTTAGGCATGTAATTTTAGCATGTACATAGTTTCAGTAAGTAGAAATGTTTCGTAATTACTATACAGTGGTACCTCAGGTTACAGACGCTTCAGGTTACATACGCTTCAGGTTACAGACTCCGCTAACCCAGAAATAGTACCTCGGGTTAAGAACTTTGCTTCAGGATGAGAACAGAAATCGTGCTCTGGCAGTGCGGTGACAGCGGGAAGCCCCATTAGCTAAAGTGGTACCTCAGGTTAAGGACAGTTTCAGGTTAAGAACAGAGTTCCGGAACGAATTAAGTTCTTAACCTGAGGTACCACTGTATATGTTTTGGGTTTTTTTTGTTGTTGGAATATTTAATGACTCTCTTAAACCACTCAGAAGCCTTTTGTTCTAGTAAGTGATATATAAATTTGGGAAAATGAAATCTTTTAAAACCCACAGTGTTTAAAATTTTGTCAAGCACTTGGAAAGGGAGGCCTGTGAAGTCTTTTAGATGAACCCTATACTGCCATTTCATTCCAACTTGCAATAGCTTGGTCATTTTATTACTGCATCTTTTATGGTCTTCAGCTATATATTAGGCATTTTGGATACTTTTGGTGACAGAATACACACACAGCCCTGCAAAGCAGACTAGGTGGAGCAACCCAGGGAACACACTGTATCCGAATTAGACCAAGGTCTTACAGAGGTGGCAAAATGTTAGCTATTGAAGAGCCAAATGTTATATATGCAGTAGATCCCAGAACCTGCAGAGAATTCCAGGAGGTTGGTATAACCATTTCAGTTTAGGCACTATCAGGTGAAAGTTGTAGGACCTATGTGTTCTAGCTGTATCAACATGGAAAAACATCCCTGTTTCAATGCTGTGGATGGATAACTAAAAAGGAGGAAATAATGGAACAGAACATATCCGAGCAAAATTTGTCGTAGGCAAAAACAGCACAAAATTGGCTAAGACACAGCTAGGTCTGAAGACTGGTCTGGATTGCACTGAAAGGACCTCTGGACAGTTTTCCAGGAATCTTCCAGGACTCTATACACATGCATAGCTTGATTTGTCATGGTTTACCACTCAAACAAACCACAAGTGGTAAACCAAAAACACAGCAAGTCTTGTTTTTCAAGCTGCCTGCCCTATTCAGCCTTTCCATCACCCTCTTCCACAATGGAAAGCACTGGGGGAAAGGGAAAGGTAAAGGACCCCTGGATGGTTAAGTCCAGTCAAAGGTGACTATGGGGTGCGGCTCTCATCTCTGCTTTCACGCCAAGGGAGCCGGCGTTTGTCCACAGACAGCTTTCCGGGTCACGTGGCCAGCAGGACTAAACCACTTCTGGCACAACGGAACACCGTTATGGAAACCAGAGCATACGGAAATGCTGTTTGCACTGAAGGCTTGGTTTAAGCTAGCCACACAAACATTTTTTAGTACAAACAAGCATTTAATTATTGAGAGAATAGAATTCAGGATAAAGGAATACAGGCCAAAAAATATATGTACCGAGGAATGTACAAAAGAGGAGCTTAGGAGTCATAGCAGACTAAAGTAAGATCTTCCACAATCTTGTAGCTAATAAGGCTAAGTAAGTAAGTAAAATATCAAGTGTGATTAGGAGCTTGTTGCGCTCCCGTTCCAATAAAACTGTAGTATAGAAATTCCTCTGATCCAATCTCCCAGCTTAAAGATTCTTTTTAGAGTAGCAGTGGGGTGCTCAGATTTTGATGTATAATATATTCACACAATCCACATTACAGCCACCTGCATTTCCTCTCCCTTAGTGGTGGTGTTGGAGGAGGACGGGGAAGGAAGGCCAAACATGCTTCTCCCACAGACTTTCCACTGAGTTCCATCATAGCTTAGGAAATCAAAACGATTTCCCACCTTACATGCCCTTTGGTAATAAGATCCTTATTGGAACTCCTCCTCTGCTTTAGAAGAAGAGTGGAGAACTTGTGGCCCTCCAGATGTTGTTGGACTACAACTCCCACCATCCCTGAACGACACTTGCAGGGCTTCCACATCTCTGCTTTCAAAAAAAAAGAACCTACATCACACAGACATATGGAAAGATAGGTAAAGGTAAAGGGACCCCTGACCATGAGGTCCAGTCGTGGCCGATTCTGGGACTGTGGCGCTCATCTTGCTTTATTAGCTGAGGGAGCCGGCGTACAGCTTCCGGGTCATGTGGCCAGCATGACTAAGCCGCTTCTGGCGAACCAGAGCAGCGCACGGAAACGTGTTTACCTTCCCGCTGGAGTGGTACCTATTTATCTACTTGCACTTTGACATGCTTTCAAACTGCTAGGTTGGCAGGAGCAGGGACCGAGCAACGGGAGCTCACCCCGTTGCGGGGATTCGAACCGCCAACCTTCTGATTGGCAAGTCCTAGGCTCTGTGGTTTAACCCACAGCGCCACCCGCGTCCCTTATGGAAAGATAGTTTTGTGTAAATGAGAAATCATTGCATGTTTGAATGGCATTGTGCTTGGAGGGTGAGGTGTGTAGGATGGAGTTTTCATTTTTGATTATGTCTAATACAATAAAAGAAAGAAAAAAAAGAATCTACTACATTGCCATCTGTATAGCTGCAAAAGGTGCATCTGACACAAGAAAACTCTGGGAAAGAAATGTTTACCAGCTGCGCTATATTCAGAGTACTGAAAACGTCATAGACTCTAAACAGTTGAATCACAGGGCAGTATTACCTAAAGGCTTTGTATATGTTGATCACTTACATCTTTAAAACGTGTACCTCTTAAGAAAAGAAAAGAAAAGAAAAGAAAAGAAAAGAAAAGAAAAGAAAAGAAAAGAAATTTACGAAGGTGCACTACAGGCAACTCCCGATTTAGGTCCACCTGAATGACGCGCAATCATGCACATTCACATGGTACAGAACCAGAAAGTAGCCCCAAAATGTCATAAACACAGCATGAAAAGGGATGGAATGGGATGGGGCAGAACGGGCTTATGCCCCGCTCCACCAATGAGCGTGGAGGGAACCTCCACAAAAAACAACGAGTGCCTGTATAGTTTCTGGTGCTATAATCATGGAATAGCAGGACTGTGTGCAGTGCCGGATTTACGTATAAGCTAAACAAGCTATAGCTTAGGGCCCCACTCTTTTGGGGCCCCCCAAAAAATTAAAGGAAAAACAACAACTGGATGTACATTTCCAAAATATAAGATAAACAATAAATAAAATAAAACCTACATACAGTTAGAGCTTAATAATTATTTCGCTATTAATATGCTTCTTAATTGTATTTCAGTTCAACAATTACTTTGATAGAATACATATTTTGTTATGTGCAAATGGCTTTAGATACCTATTAGGTCCATAAATTACCGTATAGCATATATTCAACACAAAAAACAGCAGCAATTTGTTGTTGACAAAGGACAGCTGGACATATAAAGTTACTATTACCTCTAGTAGCTTAGGGCCTCATCAAACCTAAATCTGGCCCTGACTGTGTGCGAATGAGAGAGCTCTAGCATGAAACCTTTGTGTTCCCAGTACTAAAATCTGCGCCCCCCCATGGCTACAAACCCACCATACACCTACACAGTGGAAGCACAAATTGTCCTGTGTCCTCTTACCTGGTAAAGCCCGCAATTCCTTTGGCAGGAGCTGCTCATAGGTGTTAAAGATGCCAGCATCAGAAATCACAACAGGAGCATAGATGTTAACAAGATCTTGACCTTTCTTTACGCTTACACCTGAAAATAAGACCAAAATGTGTTCAGACCGGGTAAAGTTTCTTTTGGATTGCTCTAATCAAAGAGCAGGGAGAAATCCTTTCCTGCTGATCACAGAGAAGATTCAACCAATGACAATTCATAGCTGGAAGCTGGTACGGAGGTGAGGTTTCGTTTTTGTTTTTAATGTTTCTTTTTGGTGGCACCTGCAAATTCCAAGGCTTTCTGTTAGTTTTTACAGCAACCTTGCATTTTGCAATCCTCATTTTGCAGATAGTCTGAGGAAGAAAGGTTGGGGAGGGTGATCAATATTACAGGCAATCCTTGAACTGGCAAAAGAGGCTCAGTGAAATTAAGAGGGAGGGTTTAAGCATGTAAGCAGCTTAAACACCTTCAATGAAGTTTAATGTGGGTGGGAAGAGCTTTGGTAGGATTGTTTATTGCCTTGGTTCACATGAAGGTACAAGCGTCTCCTCTCTTTCCCTGTCCTTCACAAGAGACTCACTGACATAGCTAAATTTCAGGCAAGACAAATGGCAGAGTGATGTTAATTTTTGCAAGTTAAATGCATCCTGGAAAATGCGCTGAAAGCAAGAGCATGCGGAGATTCCTTCTTTAAAGGCTTATGTTATGTACTGAGTTGAATAGGTTCCAAATTGCAGCAGTCTGATTGGTCCTAGAACAATAGGATCCAGAATACAGCAGTCTGATTGGTCCGCAGCAGCCACCCAATCCAACTCCAGGTGGAAGTGAATCCACAACTTGATTGGCCTACAGGAGAATCCCAGAACTGGCCAATCACGCAGGGCCCATTGTGTAAATAATGTATATAAAGCAGACATTTCAGGGGAACTTCCATTCCTCACTACTATGAGCTGAATAAAGAGCATGAAATCCACACTCGACTCCGAGTATATTTCAGCTTCTCTTTCCACACCCAGCAGCCGAGCTCAGAAAATAAGGGAAAGTTCCTATTTCAGTCCTTATACATGATGGTCTCATGCAGATGCCACAGTAAACCATGGTCCGCCTGCTGACTGTGGAACAAATCGCAATTAGAAGCCCAGGTGTGTTCTTGGCCTCCAGATTGTGGTCTGCTTTGGGAGAAAGCAAATGTGATCTAACATTCAGACGTCACAACAAGCTTCATGGCTTGCTACTTCTGCTTGTTCTAGGGGCAAAGCAGAGAGGGAGTGGCTGAGTGACATGCTTCTTCATAGTAAGCCATGAACCATGGTTTACGACCACATTCAAACCAGGCCAATACCTTAAGCCAAGAGAGCTGCAGCCAACCAATGTAGGAATAGAGAACTATTTTCAACCCAAGGGTTGCATTCCCTTCTGGCCAGTCTCCTGAGAGGTACATACCAATGGTAGACAGGGCCCAAGGAAGGAGTAGACAGAGCTACAGAAGTGAACTTGGCCTTTGTACAGTAGACTAGCTTCTACACATAAACACTCCTAAATAAGGTAAAAAGGTAAAGGAGCCCTGGACGGTTAGGTCCAGTCAAAGGCGACAATGGGGTTGTGGCACTCCTCTCGCTTTCGGGCCGAGGGAGCCGGCGTTTGCCCACTGACAGCTTTCTGGGCCATGTGGCCAGCATGACTAAACCGCTTCTGGCGCAATGGAACACCGTTACGGAAACCAGAGTGCACAGAAATGCTGTTTACCTTCCCACCACAGTGGTACCTATTTATCTACTTGCACTGGCTTGCTTTTGAACTGCTAGGTTGACAGGAGCTGGGACAGAGCAACGGGAGCTCACCCCGTCACGGGGATTCAAACCGCTGACCTTCTGATCGACAAGCCCAAGAGGCTCAGTGGTTACGATAAGATACAATAATCTTTATTGTCATTGTCCCATACAGAACAACGAAATTGAAAATCTACATCAGACATTCAGAAACCAACAAGTCTGCTATCCCAGCTATCCCAGCCGGGTTAGCCCCCTAAAAACTCTGATACCCCACAATTAAATACAATATACTCCCATAGAGACTACCTTACACTGCGTTTAAAACCAAAATCGCATTTGAATAGAAACTGTTTCTCAGGTGGCTAGTCCTAGTCTTTATAACCCTGTACCTTCTTTCAGAAGGTAGAAGCTGAAAGAGATCATTTCAGGGTGCGCACTATCCTGCGCTATCTCTGCAGCTTTCTTATGGCACCTGGAAGCATAGATTTGATCCAAGGTGGAAAGAGTGCACCCAATTATTCTCTCCGCAGTCTTTACAACCACAGCACCCTCCATCCAGGCATGCATTAGCTGCTGGACAAAAAACCCTCAAGGGGGTGAACAGGCCCCCAGGCCTGTGGTCCTCTCTCCTGATGTAGCCAATCCTGAGCTTGATGGACCAGTAAAGCAGCTTCCTACAACAGGGGGCTCTTGCATGGAAAAGCAAATAAGGGTAAGAGCCCCAGAATCTCTCGGTTTAGAAATTAAAGCAACGTGATCAAGGGGTTGCACATAAGCCCTGTGGCTTCCCATTTCTTCCCCATCCATGCAGCAATTCCTTGGGCTACATGGGATGCTTAAGGATCCTCTTGCTATAATCCACACAGCAATCCTCTAATACAGATCAGTATTGTCCTCATGTTGCTGGTGGGGAAGGGGAGATGTGGCAAAGGTTACCTGAGTTAGCCAGGTGAGTTCATGGCAGAAACGATAATGCACGGAAACCTGTGGTTTCCATATATTTGTTAGACTACAGCTCCCATCCCCTCTGACCATGAGCCACGCTGGCTGGGGCTGATGGGAGCTGGAGTCCAGCACCATCAGGAGGGCCACAAGTTCCTCTCCCCTGTTACACTGGGACCAGGATGGAATCTGAAATCCAGACTCTCAGCTGCTATACTAAATCAGCTCTGAGAAAGTGCTCACCGCAGGCTTTTCCTTGCGAGTTCACCAAGATGCTCTGCACAGGTGCTTTGGTGAGGACAGCCCCTCCGGCGCGTTCAATGATGGGGATGGAGTGAAATGCGATTTCACTGGAACCTCCCTGAGGGTACCAGGCACCTTCCAAGAAATGATCGACAAGGATGGCGTGCAAAGGGAAGCTTGACTTCTCCGGAATGACTCCTGCAAGACACAGAACAAGGATTATTAAATTAGGAAGCTGAAATCGTAATTGTGGTTTAGGCTCCCCCACCCTCTTGAAGTCCTATCCAAGCAAGGTCTACACAGGAATGGTCCAAGTCTACACACTCCATGTAAGTCAGCTTGGAAATTAAGTCCATTAAAATATTAGCTCACAGTGCACCACGAAATATATAATGCCATGTCTAATCAAAGATAGTCATTTGTGGCCTTAGGGCTGGGGGTATCTGCATAAGAGCTGCCTCTGTTTTATTTCCTAGAGGATATTTTTTACTTCCTTCCCAAACATTACATTCACCCCATGAGGCTCTCCTCTGCCCCCTCCTATCATCTGAAGTTAGGCAAATGGGAACAGGATGGAGGCTTTTTTGATTGTGGTCCTAAGGAGGCTCACCTGGTACCTATTCTGATGCCACTCTCAGGCCAGCCAGGGTTTGCCTAGGATTTTATTTCTTTTGCTGAAGTTTTCTGGCACATTCTGTTCTAGGGGTGGTTCAGATATATGAAGCCAGTTTATTAAGCTGACGAAGAGCATTGATCCAACATGTTTACCTGTCTCCCGCTCCCTCATCAGCTTGCTAACCACTTGCTGCATATATATATATATATGTATATATATATATATATATATATATATTTTTGAAATACACTCACATTTCAAAAGGCTCCTATAGAAAATGGATAGTCTGACTAAGCAGAGATTAAAACAGTTCCTGGTTTCTATGGAACAAGAAAACCTGGTTTCAACTAACACCTGACCCAACACTTGCCCTCAGCTTTCAGTGTGAAAAGAAAAATTAAAAACAGGATGCTACCCTGCTGAGCTTCTCCACTTCTATCACACTTCATTTGTGGCCACTCGTAGGCACAGGGAAATTCAACACAATGACATGTCTCACTTTTGATATTTACTGAATTATACCAGGGTAAGAAGAGACTATGGACCACCACTTTCAATGGCAGCCACGTTGATATACGGTACTTTGCATTGTCTAGTTCCACCCACAGTTACAAGTTTCAGCCCCCTTAAAAGGGGCAAAGGGATTGCGCTTTCATATGATTAATTTACGATGCACATGCCTTTGAGGCAGCAGGGGACCGCATCACCTACCATAGGTAGGGAAGATATAAGTGAACACCGCTCTCAGGTCTGCATTTGTCGTGAACTCAGCCGTCACCTCCGACAGAGTTTTGGATATCATCCTAAAGAAAGGGGAGATCAAAGCCAGCAAGCCGGTGCAGTGCAGAAACCAGACCAAGGGCATCGGGAGCATTTTCAGAATTGCCATGTGGGCGCTCCCTTTGGCGACTCTCTGTGGGAGGGCGGGAAAGCAGGGCGGAGAGGTGGGAAGAGAGAAAAGAGATGACGTTTAATGCACACCTGAAAGACGCAGCACGAGACCTCAGCAGTTACAAGCACAAGAACTGAGGACTTCGGCATTCGCTAGGAAGATAGAAGTGGATGTAGAGCAACCGGCAAAACAGAAGCACAGCCACGGCTGAGAGAAAGAGCACATGCTATGCAGCTAGCAAGTGGATCAGTTAGCAAGTGGTTGGAAAGACTGACCCCCGCCCCCAAGATCCTGGAGAGCTGCTGTTAGACGGAATATTTGATACTTGACTAGAGGGACCAAGAAGGGAACTTCCTTTGTTCAGAAAGCACGGTGGATATTCAGAACCAGCCAACTTAGGGATGGGTGTGGTACAAGTAGTAAATTATTATTATTATTATTATTATTATTATTATTATTAGTGCTCCAGGATTTAGAAGCCTCTACGTTGGGTCCAAGGCTGCTTCCTTTTTTGCTGCAGCTCTTTTGATAACCTCAGTAAATATATGTGTTATTTAAAATTACACATTTTGTGAGGTAGATTCAGCTGAGAAAGCAAAACTGACTTCAGCACTGTCCCGGGACCATCCCAGTCAAGAAGGTATTTGAAACCAAATATTCTCTGTCACATAACTTGTTCTCTGTGATAGGCCATACTCCCCGACGGTCATTTTGTGATGACCCTCCCAGAATATGTCCTCAAATTTCACACAGACTACAGCACCCACAATAAAAATATAAGGCTGCAGTGCTGTTGAAGAAATTTAAGCTGACCTTATATGTTTTAGTTGCTTAATATGTTGAGCTTACTTCAAGGCTAGATTGCATTCTAGATTGCATTTCAAAAGTGTCAAAAATATCAGTTAATCTAACAAATGGGTTTAAGACTTTGCAGCCATAATAAAAAATCAAAGGTCTTTCACCAAGGCGCAATGAAAAAAATGATTACCTTGACAAGCGTCACAAATCTGTCAATATTAGCTTCTTCGCCAGGAAATTGCTTCTTTAGGCCTTTGACATATTCCTTCTCCCCACTGTACAGGTAATACTTCTTGCAGCTGTCAAGATCTCCCAGGATGATGGTATCAAAGGGAGAGTCCATCTGAGCCCATTGGAGCTGCCCATCCGTGAGTTGATCAATCATCACACGTAGGATAGAGTTCTCCTGCATCTGCCCGATGTAATGGATTCCTGGAAGGCAACAGGTCAAGTGTCATAATGGAAAAGTGATAACGAAAGAGATTAGGTCCTAAATTTTAGAACTGGGGTGCATGTGTGTGCTGTGCATCTTTCAGAGTTGGCCTGCTTGGGGAGTCGGGTGGGTGGTGGAACAAGCAACTGATTTCAGTCCACAAATGATACACAACACAGCATAATTGATGACTCCGCCCTGGTAATTTGCATTCTGCTTCCTTTGCATTTAAATTGAAATACTTTATTGTCAATTGTACAACTTGTATACAGTGAGATTACACGGGCACCCCCCTCTCAGCTCTCTTAGTCTTAATTCCCCTTGTTTACTGACGCACACCCACCAAACCCGAAAGTCAGTTGCCCTGTGGTTAGCTTTTCATTCAGCAGCCTAACAGCCCATGGATAGAAGCTGTTTTTTTACCCTGTTGGTGTGACTAATCATGCTTCTATATCTTCTGCCTGAGGGCAAGAGATCAAGAAAGTGCCGGCCAGGGTGTGAATCATCACCAGTTTTGTGTGTGAGTAGGTGAAGTATTAGGATCTCAGAACCGCAGCGTATGAACGCGCTGCCATCTTGGAATATGAAGAATAAATGAAGGATGGGGGACAATGTAGTGATGACATAATTGTGTCCATGTGTAGCAGACAGCGAGAGAAATGTAGTTTTGTCAGGAGTCAAACTGCAGCAGATGGTATTTGCTGGAATCAATTCCTTTCTGGAATGAAGAAGCCAACACTGGCAATTTCTGCGAGAGTTCTCCAACATCCCTACATGTATGCAGGGGCGTAGCAAGGGGGTGCAGTGGGGGAGGTCCGTCCCGGGTGTCACCACTGGGGGGGGGGTGACAAAATGCTGGGCGGCACTCACCATGGGGCCTGCAGCTCGTCCAAGCCACACGTCTCTCCTGGGAGTGACGCGGTGGCTTGGGTGCCCGCAGGCTCCGCGCTGCCCCAAACAGTCTGCCCATTGCCTCCCCCTCAGCTGTAGGGCGACTGAGTTGGAGGAGGAAGGCAGACTCCTTGGAGGCCCCACGGTGTCCCCGTGGGCAGCTGGCCCCACCCTGGGTGCAGGACACACGCGCCGCCCCAGGCGCCCGATCGGTTTGCTCCACCACTGCATGTATGTAGTTGTAACTGCTCAGGCCCACTCCCTGATTGTGCGGGTCACCTTACCTACGTCAAACTCGAAACCTTTCTCATTGAAGGTATGGCAGCAGCCCCCTGCCTTCCCATGCTGCTCCAAGACCAGCACGCGCTTCCCAGCTTTAGAGAGCATCACGGCCGCCGCCAGGCCCCCATAGCCGCTTCCAATGACGACAGCATCCAGGCCATCAGGAACCTTGTCCCTGGAAAAGACTGGGAGACGGGGACAGAAGACATGAGTATCATGTAGCCGGGCTAGCTATTAGGCTATAGCATAAGAATGTAAAAGCCACATAATCTGGCATGTATTATCCCTGCTCTGTTCCCACACCACTCTCCCTGACCCCCCAACCTCCAAAGTAATCCTGTTGCTATAATCCTCGACCTACCTCTCCCACTCACATCTTCCTGCTGGTTATCCTAATTTGCTACATCACAGCCAAAATTAGATTGTGTGTAGGAACTCTCAGATCCGCCACAACGGAGAAGATTGAGATACACACACACCACCACCACCACCACCACCACACAAACACATACATGCACCCCAGCTACCAGCAACTGCAATTTGCTTAGTATAAATGATGGAATTTCGGTGTGTGGAGACACAGAAGTGTTATTTTATCAGATGTGTTTGGAGGTAACTATTTGTAGCTTAGGACAGATATATATCAGGGGTACAACCCACTGGGAATTCTGTGTTGTGCAACTGAATTGTGCATACACATCTGAGCACTCTAGCGCCCTTGCCCAAGTCTAGTTCATTTTGATAAGTAGACCCCCTCACTGTTGGCAAGTTAGGATCAAACAAGATGAAATGCCATTCATGGAATTGTGTGAATGAACTGCAGGTACAGCCCCCCAAATTGATACCCTGGTATGGGGAGGAGGATTTAGCCCTTTGCTCTGCTGCAGCCTCAGATTCCCTGTGTGTTCTATTTTCACAAGGCAAACAACAACAACAACCCCACTTCCATTCATTCCAATGGGAGTTTCCTTCCCAATGCAATAGCGGAAATTCAGTTGATCTTGTTTGGCACTGCAGTTGGGGCTGAATCCTTTGCCCCCCATGCCAGGGTCCTGATTGGCACTGGGACACCCAAAATTTAGTGTAATAATAATAATTATAATAATAATATTGATTTATTATTTATACCCCACCCATCTGGTTGAGTTTCCCCAGCCACTCTGGGCGGCTCCTAATCGAATATTAAAAACACAATACAGCATTAAACATGACAAACTTCCCTAAACAGATGCCTTCAGATGTCTTTTAAAAGTAGGATAGTTGCTTATTTCCTTGACATCTTCCACAGGGTGGGCGCCACTACCGAGAAGGCCCTCTGCCTGGTTCCCTGTAACCTCACTTCTCGCAGGGAGGGAACCGCCAGAAGGCCCTCGGCGCTGGACCTCAGTGATGAACGATGGGGGTGGAGACACTCCTTCAAGTATACTGGACTGAGGCTGTTTCAGGCTTTAAAGGTCAGCACCAACAAATTGTGCTCAGAAATGTACTGGGAGCCAATTTAGATCTCTCAGGACCGGTGTTATATGGTCCTGGAGGCCACTCCCAGTCACCTGTCTAGCTGCCGCATATAGTTGCATATGGATCAGCCTTTAGACACTCTCTTGAGGGTTTCTAGTGGCATTCTCTTTACAACTGTCTGAGCCATATAAAACTTTAGTTAAATAAAATATATTGATCTGTAGAACTGGCACTGCTGCCACTGCCACATAATATTCATTCTCCACCTATAAGAAACCAGTCTTTTAAAGGGGCAGCACCAACACTTTGGAACTCCTTCCCTATTGACATCCGGCAGAAACCTTAGCTGTATTATTTTTGGTACCTGTTTAAAACATTTTTTTGTTTAGGCAAGCCTATCGGAGCATGTAGAAGTTACCTGTGCTTTATTCTCTTTTCAGACACTGTTGATTTTAATCAACTTTTGAATGTTTTCAAATTCCTGATCTTTGGGTTTTTTTGAGAATTTCAATTTTTTTGTAATCTGTTTAAAGGTTCTCTTACAATCAAATGGTTATACACGTTTTGTTGGATAAATGGGGGTTTGCATTTAATCTGGAGGAACAGCTGAAATGAAGCAGGGAGTGACAACTACCTGCAGTGCAACCTGGTCTATTTTCCAAGGCACTAGGTGAAGTTAATTCAATCACATTTTACCAAATGAAGGGTTTTCCTTCCTCATTCTTCCCAGACTAGAATGGTGGCCAGGCCGCTCTTTGGCAAAGAATTTTGCAGCCATTGTCATAAAGGTGGTATAGCCAGCTTTAGGGGACAGCTGGTAGGAGATTTCCTTGAGCAGGGTTCTAAAACATTCAGATGAGGATGGACAGAATGCAGACTAAAGAACATGCACAGTCATACCTTGGTTCTCGAACAGATTAGTTGACGAACAAATTGGCTCCCGAACGCCCAAAACTCGGAGGTAAGCGTTCTGGTTTTTGAACATTTTTTGGAAGCCGAATGCCCAACATGGCTTCTGCGTGAGTGCAGGAAGCTCCTGCAGCCAATCAGAAGCCATGCCTTGGTTTTTGAACAAATGGACTTCTGGAATGGATTAAGTTCAAGAGCCAAGGTACCACTATATTGATAACACTCCATAGAAGAAGGTTCTAAACCCACCTTTAAATAAAGGGTCAACTACCCCCCCACATGGCAGATGAAATGGTAGACTTGGCTTCTATTATTCACCAAATCTTATAGCACATCAATTGTCTTACGATAGGCGTGGCCAGCTCCCAAGAGACTGTGGTCTACTCAGAGTTAAAAACTGGCAGTGATCTACCCCTCCATACTTGTTGAGCTTCTTTGGGGGGGGGGGAGCCAGTAATCTACCAGTGATCTACCACAGATGTCCAGTGATCTACCGTTTGATCACGATCTACCTGTTGGACGTGCCGGTCTTACGATGTTATCCCATTTGCCTTCGCAGCAAGGTAGATCAGCATCATTTTGTAGCGGGGCTGATCTAGCATATTGTTCAAAGTCCATCAAGAAAATCCATTACTATAAGAACTGAAATCCTTATGTCTCCTTAATAGAATCCCTAGTATGTTCAGCTCTCCAATCCAACAAACGCATTAAAGAACAGAAGAGATGAAGTACCTGTGTTTTGTTAATATTCAAAGGAAATGAAATGAATCCAATCTGATTTTCTCCACTGTACTTATGGATACTGGGCGGGGTACCTGTGTGTTCTCCCTCATGTGTTCAACCCAGTCATAAGAGGGTTCTGTGCAGGGTAGCCTTACCCCGCTGCTCATGCAGTTGCCAGGCACACACACATACCCCTGCTGGCAGTGGTGTTGGGCAAACATGAGATGGGTCCCTGCATGTGTCTAAATGTAAAGACAATGTACACCTCCTTCATGTGAGGGGCAATCCTAAGCAGTGGCGTAGCGTGGGGGCATGGGGGGCCGTGGCACCAGGCACAGAATTCTTAGGTACCCCCATGACAGGCTCCCTTATCAAGGCTGCATGGCTGACATCTTCTGGAGCCATGGGGAGGTGAGCAGAGTCTGGGCTGTATCTTTGTGGCTGTGGCGGTACCTCCTTCTCCTCACGGCCGGCAAACAGATGCCTGCCCCTGGGTGGAACTCCTGCCAGCTGGAGCCCAGACTTTTCCTGGCCTGCGCTGGTCCTTCCCTGGGGCCTCCCTCCTGGTGTGTGTCTTTGAGCAAGGTGCATGCCCCATGGCAGGAGAAAAGAGAGGAGAGGAGAACCACCCACTTGCCTGGGACCTGCCAGCAGCCAGCCTTGTGCTGCACAGCCAAGGTGAGGCAGCCAGGGAAGGACTGCGCTTGGTGCCTCAGCCTGCTCTCTACCACCCTCCTCCTAGGCCAGCTGTGGCTGTGGCTCCAGCACTGCTGGGACACCACCAACCCCACCAAGGAAAGCCAGTCGCCGCTCCCGCTGGGAGCTCGCTTAGCTTAGCTGAGAGGGCGAACGCAGTGACCTCCATGAGGGGCACCACAAGGATGCTTCGAAATTCACCTGTTGCCTTCCGCGCGATGTCTGCAAAAAGGTTAGGGGGCACACAATCCTTGCCTTGCCCCGGGTGCTGCCAACACACGCTATGCCACTGATGCTATATCAATCAGCCCCCCCCCTTGTGTGAAGGAGGTCTATGTTTGTATATCATAGGGTCTGCCCTCAAGTTCCCTAAACATATAGCCATCAGGAATGTGACTTGCAAGGGCGAATGCACAAAGCTGGGGGAATGCACAAAGTGGGTTATTTTTGTGCTTCCCTCTTTTGCTTCCCTCTTTCCAACTCACACTTTTGCCAGAGGGAAGAGGGGCTGGCTGTATTGGACGCCTGACTGGAAGGCAACGATGTTCTAGGAAATGACTGTGGAAGCTACCAGAGACATAATATGCTCAAGATCATGTTTAGCTCCCTTACAGTCTTGGCAAATTACACCAGGGGCTGCATTTCAAGTTACAGTCTCAATGTCATTAAAAAATAATAATGTCACTACAGCAACAAGACTAGTTTTAGCAAAATGATGGAGACCAGAAAGCTCTCCAGCCAAAATTAAAAAGTTATCAGAGAAAGAGGGCTGCAGTTAACAGCCTATAAAAGACCTGCTCAAAAGCAAGCTAAACTCCAATGGGACAAGCCAATTGAAGCTAAGCATTTTAACACCCCACTGATTCCAGCTGGAAAGTTAAACATGTGCTGTACAACAGCATCCCATACATACTTACGCAGTGTTCAATGGTATCAACTCCCAGGAAAGTTTGCATAGGGCTAAAGCTCTCTCTTCCATTCAAAGGGCTCAATGCTGGCTGAATTAAACCTCCGTTAGATGGAAAAGTAATCACTTTATTTACATCTATGTAATATACAATATTCAGTATAATGTCAATTTTCTATTACAAGACTCTAATGCAAGTGTGAAATTTGATACATATTTTTGCGATTACATATTGCAAGCTCCTAACCTGAAATTCACCATTTTGTCAAGAAAGGAATATCTAAGGCAGTCTCCTTCATAACACAGCTGAAATGTAATTATTCCCACCTAGCAGGGTTCTATTTATTTAGGGCTCAACTGAGTCCGAGGTACAAGTGTTAGCAGACAGAGCAAAACCAGGAAGATTTTAACAAGTTAGTTTTTAAAGAGGGTGACCTTGGGCCAGTCACCGTCTCTCAACAGCAGCCTGCCTCACGAAGTTGTTGCGAGGATAAAAATGGGGAGGTGAGAACCACGGAAAGCTGCTTGGTGAAAAACTGTATAACTTGCAGTGCTAAGGCAACAAAAAGAAGATTCCTTGTAGCAGGTTAGCCTATTTCCCATCTAGTACTGGCACCTGCAACTTTGATTGGCAGGGTCTCCAACAGAAGTGGCTCTTTCCCATTGCATGTTTTTAAACTGAAAATACCAAAGAGGCAGGATTTGGGGACTTTGGCAAGCAAAAACGAGATAACCATCTTCTATACTAAGCTCGACAGCTCGCTAAGCTCTGAACTAAACAGCGCGCGAAGCAACAAAGGGAGAAGAAAACCTTCTTTTAAGGCTGCAGCCCCGAGCTCTCTTGCCAGCCCGGGAGCCCCACGGAACAGCGCCTTAATCCGCAGTAAACATTCCTAGGAATGCATTGATCCCTTCGCTCTGCCACCACTGGGCATCGTTCACGCGCCACTTGACCCCCCACCCAGCAGCTCCCTTTGCCAGCCTGGCAGCGCCCCACGCCGGCCGGGGCTGGCTAGCTGGGGCTGGCCGGTGGCTACCTTGCTTGAGGACCTTTCTGCGCGCATCTTTGTCGGTCACCAGAGGCGCGGGCGGCCGCCTGGAATCTGCCCGGAAAGGGTTGGAAGAGGGGCTCCGGGTGCCCAGAGCTCTCCAAATGCCCAGGAGGAGGAGCGCGCCCACGAGCGCGTACACCCACATGGCCGCCCCGGCAAGCGCTGCGAGGACGCCAAAGTGAGACCCCGGCTCAAAGAGCGCAGACATAGCACCAGCAGCAGCAGCCGCCTCCTCCTTCTAGTAGGCTGGCCGCAGCGCGCTCCTGCCCCTTAAAGGCGCAGTCCAGCCTCTCCCTGGGACAAGGGAGCATCCTGCCAGGGAGTGCCAGGCATCCTCTGAAAGTGCAGCCAGGAGATCTTTGGAGAGCGGAGGGCGAGGGGTCTGGAAGAGCGGACGATTCATCGATACAAGGAGAGACCTGTCAGGGTTGCGCAAGGCCAGGGGACCTGTGTGACCCTCGAGGTTCTGCTGGCCTTCAACATGGCCATTGCTCAGGGATTATGATTATTTATTAAATTTGTATACCGCACTTTATCTGACAACCACAGGGTCAAAACATCAAAACACGACATTGAAACACAGAATACATATGATGGGAGTTGGTGTCCAACAACACTGAAGAGGCCACGGGTTTCCCTATCTCTGATCTGCAGATTAGCCATGAGAACAGAGCGTTTCAGCCTTTTCATGTTGGTGACCTACTTTTTAGACATGCATGCATCGTTTTGAGATACAGTAATTCAGTTGTACTAGCAAGCTGGAGGTTAAGCTTCTTGGATATTCTCTGCCTGTGCAAGAGAATAATTTGCTCCAGAAAGAGAAGAAGTTTCAAGAAGCAGAAGGCTGTGGTTGTTCTGTCTATGCAGGGACATTTTCTGTGGGTTCTTTGGACATGCACAGTGTGAAGGAATTAATGATAACAACGGTTTTGTGTAACTTGTTGTATAACTTGTTGTGAGTCTCTGCAGAGACAGAGAGAGTCTTGGACTCTTGCTGGACTCTAAGCATGCCTTGACCACAGCAGTGGTGAATGCCTGTATATAGTAAAGGTAAAGGGACCCCGACCATTAGGTCTAGTCGTGACCGACTCTGGGGTTGCGGCGCTCATCTCGCTTTATTGGCCGAGGGAGCCGGCGTACAGCTTTTGGGTCATGTGGCCAGCATGCTCTGGCCAACCAGAGCAGCACACGGAAACACCGTTTACCTTCCCGCTGGAGCAGTACCTATTTATCTACTTGCACTTTGACATGCTTTTGAACTGCTAGGTTGGCAGGAGCAGGGACTGAGCAACAGGAGCTCACCCCGTCGAACCGCCGACCTTCTGATCAGCAAGTCCTAGGCTCTGTGGTTTAACCCACAGTGCCACCCGCGTCCCATGTCTGTATATAGTTGCTACCAATATGCTTTTATACCTGTCAAGTAAACTTCTACACTTGACTGAATCTTAATGGTGTCCATGAGTGTTTATTGCCTACTGTGTGTACCTTCAACCCCAAAGATGCTTCCAAGGTAGGAGCTGCAGTGAGATGTAACTCTGCTGAGTATAGACACTGGCACACACACACACAGCGAAAGTGATGCCAGACCCAATCCTTTCTAAATCATCCATCAGGGGTTGATGGATTGATCTAACGAAACTAACCCCTTTCCATCCCGGAGAAGAGAGCCAGGAACTTTGGGTGACACACCTACACACTGTGGCTAGCACGCTAATATGTCAGGACACACAGTTTGGAAAGCTCTGCACTAGAAGCTTCTTCAGGACCTGGGTCTAGGCAGGAAAACGGTATCAGCAGGGTCATGTTGGCAGTAGAGTGTCAGATAGCCATGAGCAGCTCAAAGTGAGATATTGGGGGTAAGAGGAGAAGTCTGGCTTCAACTAGAGCTCATTGGTAGCTGCTCTTCAAGGTGTTAGTCAGGTAAAGTCCTTTTTAAGTGGAGATGGCAGGGATTGAACCTGGGAACATCTGCGTGTGAAGCATACACAGTCAAACCCTGGTTGTTGAACATAATCCGTTCCAGAAGCCTGTTCGGCCTCTGAAATGTTAGGCAACCGAGGCACAGCTTCTGATTGGCTGCAGGAGTTTCCTGCACTCAAGCAGAAGCTGTGTTGGATGTTCGGCTTCTGAAAAACGTTCGAAAACTGGAACACTTACTGTTGGAGCCGAAAAGTTCCAAAACGGAGGCGTTTGGGAACCGAGGTTTGACTGTACAGTGGTACTTCGGGTTACATACGCTTCAGGTTACATACGCTTCAGGTTACAGCCTCCGTTAACCCAGAAATATTACCTCAGGTTAAGAACTTTGCTTCAGGATGAGAACAGAAATCATGCTCCGGCGGCGCGGCAGCAGCAGGAGGCCCCATTAGCTAAAGTGGTGCTTCAGGTTAAGAACAGTTTCAGGTTAAGAACGGACCTGCGGAACAAATTAAGTACTTAACCTGAGGTACCACTGTACTCTGCTATTGAGCCAGTTGCTCCCCTCAACTGTGCAACACTAAGCAACAGAGGTTGTGGATGGGCACAAATCAAGCTGGTGTGTTGCTGAAGGGATCAGAGAGGGAATTTTGATGTGTACAGGGATTGAGAGACTATGGAGCAGCGCATAAGCTACTAATGACACCATTGCCCAAGAATGAATATTTTTGTTGATGTTTACTGAAAGGTTTTTTTGTGATTTTATAGTAAAAGAATTCCACCCACATAACTATATGGTTGGTGTTACAGGATGTGCTCCAATAAGCTTCCATTTCCCATAGTTAATTTATGTGTCTTACGTATTATACCATGGACAGTTATAGCTGATACAAGTGCTGATTTGCCCATTCTGGGTTGTTTTTTAAATGAAGAAAGATTAAAATTAAAAGGCACATCAAAACAAAACATGATACTGATGCACCTTTTTTAAAAAACAACAACAACACACTATTCTAAAGGTATTTAAGATACATGTAAGGCTTTCAAAGAGGAAGATACTGGTTTGTTTGTTTGTTTGTTTGTTTGTGGGAGATGTATGTGGGGAGGGAAGGAGTAAACCACAGGAAATTTGCATGAGACCTTTGAACTCAAGACACAGCTGCTTTCATCATGACATTTTAAAGTTTGTGCACCTAAGGTGTTTGTGCTAAAACCACAATGGGGTGGATAAAACCTAAAATGTAGCATGCAAATTCTCCATTAGACGAATGATTTTGTGTGTGTATGTCTCTGTGGACTTCAGATGATTTAAACATTTGAATAAACATGGATAGGATATGGCCGAACTATATTTTGTTGGATGCATGCAAGTGCCTGTAGCTATTATGCCTGTTGCAAAAACTTGTTCAGTTTCGACTATGGTTGAACTTACATGCTTGTCAAAGGCTAATACCTGTGACATCAGTGACAAAAAGCAGTACAGTCCCCACTAGAGGCAACATCTAATGAATTTAGGCTCTTCTCCATCACTATTAAAGGGAACCATTTTTTTCAGTATCAAAAGGCTTGTGTCAATTCCTTCAGTGGCCGTTTGGAGGCACCTGTGATATATGGATTTATAGAGAAACTGCGAAGTTATACCTACTCTTCTATAAGCAAATATTGTACACTTCACAAAACAATACTACTTTCTTTCCTCATGCTAGGGTGGGAGGTATATTCTGATCACATGCACCAACTTCTGTGGGATTTAATTTCTAACAGGTACCTACTGTCTGATCCAAATGTATGCACAATCTTTTTTTTATTTACTTTATTTAAAGCGGGTGGCGCTGTGGGTAAAACCTCAGCGCCTAGGACTTGCCGATCGCATGGTCGGCGGTTTGAATCCTCGCGGCGGGGTGCGCTCCCGCTGCTCGGTCCCAGCGCCTGCCAACCTAGCAGTTCGAAAGCACCCCCGGGTGCAAGTAGATAAATAGGGACTGCTTACTAGCGGGAAGGTAAACGGCGTTTCCGTGTGCTGCTCTGGCTCACCAGAGCAGCTTCGTCACACTGGCCACGTGACCCGGAAGTGTCTGCAGACAGCGCTGGCTCCCGGCCTCTAGAGTGAGATGAGCGCACAACCCTAGAGTCTGTCAAGACTGGCCCGTACGGGCAGGGGTACCTTTACCTTTTTTATTTAAAACATTTATATAACACCTTTGATGCTACCTTTGAAGGTGACTCGGAAGCAACAATTATTCCAGAATGTGGCTGCTAGACCATAGCTGTCAACTTTCCCCTTTACTTGTGAGGAATCCTATTCGGAATAAGGGAATTTCCCTTTAAAAAAGGGAAATGCTGACAGCTATGTGCTAGACTGATGACTGGGAGCGGATGCCGGGACCGTATAACCCTAGTCCTAAAAGACCTACATTGCCTTCTAGTGCATTTCAGAGCATAATTGAAAGTGTTGGTACTGACCTTTAAAGCCCTAAACGGCTTTGGCCCTTTATACCTAAAGGAGCGTCTCCACCTCCATCGTTTAGCCCAGACACTGAGGTCCAGTTTCGGAGGCCTTCACTGCGAGAAATAAAGTTACAGAGAACCACAACAACAAACCTATGGCTACGTAAAACATACTCAATAAACACACAAGACGTAACTGGCTGTACTTTTGAATAAATAAGGTATACTATTCATTGTATCAAGTTGTAGATTTCAATGGAAGTCTCATAAAGTTCAATGAAAAAAGCAGAAGACCCAGTGGATCAGTTCATTCTCTAGTCAGTTCATGCTCAAATCAATATTGTGCTTGTCCATATAATCCTGCTTTGTAACAGTCGCTGCTTACTGCAACCACTACTATGCTATAAGATCCACTATCCTGTAGTATTACATATGATATGCACAGTTGTTTATGGTTTTTTATATCAATTTTGCTGTAAAAATGTGGGAGATTACGATATTGTATTTATTTGCATTACCTAGAGCCTGTTCTACTGATGAAGCCTAGGATGGCGAAACAAGGCTAATATTCCTGAAGTCCTTGTCTTAGATTCTGTGAAAGGATTCTGTGGAACTGTAACAACCCTGCATGTGGATTATTGGACTCTCTGAACAGGCAGGTGGAATAGATACTTATACATGTATGGACCTTATACATGAACTGACTAGAGAATGAAGTGATCCACTGGGTCTTCTGCTTTTTTCGCTGAACTTTATGAGACTTCCGTTGAAATCTACAATTTCAACGGAATTATTTATTCAAAAGTACAGCCGGTTACGTACGTCTTGTGTGTTTATTGGTTACAGGGAACCAGGCAGAGGGTCTTCTCGGTAGTGGCGCCTTCCTTGTGGAACACCCTCCCAGTGGATGTTAAAGAGTAAAACAACAACATAAATTTTTGTAAACATCTGAAGGCAACCCTGTTTCAGGAAGCCTTTAATGGTTGTTGTTTTTCCTGTATTTTTGCTAGATCTGCCCGGGGTGGTTGGGGCAACCCAGTCAAATGGGTGTGGTATAAGAAATAAATAAGTTGTTGCTGCTGTTGTTGTTGTTATTCTATAATACCTAAGTGCCAGCTATTGTGGTTAAGAGCCCTCAATTGATTCCCTCCCCCCATCTAAATCTCACTTTAAAATTATCTAATCCTGGGTCCCCATGCCACATCCAGCTGTGTCTGGCTGATGAAGAAAAGGGTGCATGTCGCAAATGCCAGAGGCATGCTCTAATAACCATTCATTCTGATAGTATCTAATGATTCTAAAGAACAATATCACAACAAAAATAATTTTCAAATAATACCAATAATTTCCGGGACAATAATTTCACAAGGCTTGCCTTTTGGCTGATGAACACCAGTACTCTATACAGGGCCGGATTTAGGTTTGATGAGGCCCTTTATATGTCCAGCTTTCCTTCGTCAACAACAAATTGTCACTGTTTTTTGAGTTGAATATATGCTATATGGTAATTTATGAACCTAATAGGTATCTGAAGCCATTTGCACATGCAGAATGTAGGCACCCTATATATAGAAATGAGCAAACCAGTGATATTTTAGGGAGCAGGCTAGCAGGCAGGGCCCATTACTTACATCATAGGAGCCTACACAACACAAAACACTGTTGCTGTATGTAGGTTTTATTTTATTAGTTTTTTATCTGTTATTTTGGAAATGTACATCCAGTTTTTTCTCTTTATTATTATTTTTTAGATATAGCTTGTATATTATAAGGGACGTGGGTGGTGCTGTGGGTTAAACCACAGAGCCTAGGGCTTGCTGATCAGAAGGTCGGCGGTTCGAATCCCTGCGATGGGGTGAGCTCCTGTTGCTCGATCCCTGCTCCTGCCAACGTAGCAGTTCGAAAGCACGTCAAAGTGCAAGTAGATAAATAGGTACCACTCCAGCGGGAAGGTAAACGGTGCTTCCGTGTGCTGCTCTGGTTCGCCAGAAGTGGCTTAGTCATGCTGGCCACAGGACCCGGAAACTTTATGCCGGCTCCCTCGGCCGGTAAAGTGAGATGAGCGCCACAACCCCAGAGTCAGCCACGACTGGACCTAATGGTCAGGGGTCCCTTTACCTTTACTGTTTAGCTTATACGTAAATCCGGCACTGAAATCCTTCTGTACCTTGAGTGTTGGGTTTTTTAAAATTAGCTTTTGCGTGATACAAAACAATCAGGTAAAGAGTGAAAGGTACATCTATGGTCTCTCTCCACTTTTCAACTCGGAGTCTTTTTCACAGTTCGTTTTACATTTCGCGAGAGACGCTTTTGTCGTGGGAGCTCACTCTTGATCATGCACAACAACAACCTTCCGCAGGGCTACCGGACTGAGGAGTCGTGCAAGCTCAATGGTACAGAGCCGAGCCGAGCTGCAAACGCGTCCCCCCGCCACGCAGCTGACTTTACGCGGCGGAATGAAGAAGGAAAGGCTGCTCGGTCCAATCCGAGGCCGCTGGGACTACAACTCCCGGCATGCAAAGGGGCGCGCACGCGCGTTTGCCTGTGTGGGTGTTACAGGAGGGGGGGTTAGCAACAGAGCACAGATTGGAGGAAAAACTGAGGCGGGGGGAGGGGGAAGCCCGTCGTTCGGTCCGGCTTGTCGGGGATGACGCCTCCGTGGGTGCGTTATTTGTGGGGGAGATGTGTGGGGAAGGGCAGGGGGAAACTGAGGGAGGCGGGGGGGGGGCGTGACGCGCGACCGCGAATGTGGGAATGAGTAGACACGTGTCACTACCTATGCAACTATGTCGCTGTATAGGGGGAAGGGGGCGTGTACGGGCTTGTGTGTGTCTGCGTGCGTTACCCTTCCTTCCCAGGTATCTGACCTTAAGGGAAAGAGTAAAAAGGGGACGACGACGACAGGACAACCGTATTGGTTTGGGGGGGCATGGTGGGCGGGGATATATTTTTTGGGGGGTGGCGAGTAAAGGTGGGTAGGACTTATTAGTTTGGGGGCCACAGTGGGAGGGGCTGTTTGAAAGGGGGAGGGGAGTAAAGGGGATCAGGGTTTTTTGGGGGGAGGGGTGGCATGGTGGTGGTGGGGGGGTTGCCCAGTTTTGCTGAATTTATATTGGGCTCATAGCAGCCAACGTCTTTTTCTGAGGAGGCTTGTTGTGTTCACTGTGAGCTTAGTGGGTATATTTTGTGGTTTATTCACAGGGCTATTTTTCTAGGTGGGGGGAAAGGGGTGCTGGAACTCCTTGGGAACACCTCTGTCGTTCTCTTAAGAATGGCAGTGGTGCCCACCTGAGAGGTGCCAGGGCTGAGTTCTGGTTGCAAAAAAAGGAAAAGAAGCCCTGGTATGCATGTCCCTCAGAAAGCCAAAGAAGTGATTGGTAACACTTTTATTTTTCTCTTCCTCCCTTCTACCAGAATTGGCCATCAAAATGGTTGGCATGGATATTCAAGTACAGTGGTACCTCGGGTTACATACGCTTCAGGTTACGGACTTCTGCTAACCCAGAAATATTACCTCAGGTTAAGAACTTTGCTTCAGGACGAGAACAGAAATTGGCACGGCAGCAGCAGGAGTGGTGCTTCAGGTTAAGAACAGTTTCAGATTAAGAACGGGCCTCCGGAACGAATTAAGTACTTAACCCGAGGTACCACTGTAGTACGAAAGGCTTCCCCTAGGCAGCAACCTGAAGGCCACGTGTGCACCTTCAAATTGCCTGATGCAACTGATGCTTCTCTAAGGCTTTTATTTTGCCCCCTATGCCTTCCTCCCGCCTGCTGTGCAGCACATCTTGCTACAACACAGAGGGGAAGAGGGTTGGAGAAATTGCAACTGTTCTTTTCTGTTGTTAAAATAATGGGTGGGTGTGTTTGAAGGTAAGCTGCAGATCTCCAGATGAGAAGCCTGTACCTGCTGGTTTCTGCCTGTGCAGTTGTTAAAAGCATAGGTGCAGTAGGAGTAAAAATGTTTTCCCAAAATGTTGAATATTCATGCAGAAGCTCCTAGGTTGGAGAGTGTAGCTTCCAACTTCATCTGGTGGAATACTACCCTTTTTGCAATGTTGGGAACTGCAAGTTCAGTAGTATGTACTGAACCTTTGGAAAAATTAGAACATCTGTATGTATTAGGGGAAAAAACATGCCATTGTGGTATGAGAGATAGTGGCTAAGAGAATGAGATCTAGGAGGCTGCAGTTCAAATCTCACTTCAGCTGTGAACTGAGCTGGGGGGGGGGCTTAAGATATGCTACCTTCTCTGGACCTTAGTCTTCATATCTGTAATATGGGGATAACAACACTGGGCTAGATGTCTTGCAAGGGCCTACTAAGATAATATACTCAAAATGAGCTTGGCGTTTAGCAAACAAATACCTGAATCAAGAATGGAGAACCTCAGGATTCTCAACTCAACATCATGTGTGGTTGGGGACGAAGAGAGTCTAGGAGCATTGGGCAGGATGCAGGTTGCCTACCCCTGATCTAAACTTAACGATTGTCTAATGTGCTTTATGTTTTGGGGTGGAAACTCTGTATTCATTTTCTTTGATAGAAAAATAGGATGCAAAAGAGCTTAGGGCAGCTTTTGTGTGTTTACCAGCTGGTCCTGTGTGCAGTCATCTGCTTTGGTTTGTGGATGTGGAGATGTTCTCTTTCATTCAGTATAGAGCAGGTACACCTGCTTTCATCTGAGTACTCTTGGAGGGCATTTGCATGAGTGGCATCTCTCATCCACTCATACATAAATATTCCCCCTGCCTTTTGTATTCAACCACCACGCTTTTGCTCTTAGGTTGGTCCCCCAAGACTAGGTGACCAGATAGTGGTTTTTGGCCCTGCACAATTCGCCCTAAATCCAAAGTGTGGTTCCTTGTTCTTTAGTCTCTGTTAAGTTAAACAACTGACAAATGTTCCCTGGTACAGCTCTGCATAAAGCTTAACCATGTTCTCCGTTTCCTCATAGAAACCTGGGTGCCTTTGGGACTCCGAGATGATAATTCATTCTCTGGTGACTCTATGATTTCATTGTTTCCATTAGGGTATGAACCGATGCAGCACTGGCAACTACCAGAATGAAGAACAAGCGGTTTCTTTTCCAGCGTACAAAGCTTTGCATGTAAGCGTAATCTCTTACCAGGCCGAGGCAAAATTTGAACTGGAGACTTCCTGGCCTGCACTGTCTGCCACTATGCTGCACCAGCTGTTCAGACAGCCAATCCCTATATCACCACAGTAGTAGGTGTGGTCAAGTGCCTGTAACCAACATACTTAAATCTGCAGTAATGGAATATTAATAAGGAATTTTGTTTCTGCCAGCATAGTAAGGTGTGGATTTTTCATTGCACTAGTTCTGCCTTCTGTGGTGGCTGGAGCTGATGGGAGTTGTAGTCCAAAGGATCTGGTGGGTGCCATGTTGGGGAATGCTGCGCCAGTGCAACTAATAGTTTCCTTGTAAATATGCAGATGTGGTATTTTTAAGCAGGCACCCTTAGTAAGGTAAAGGTAAAGGGACCCCTGACCATTAGGTCCAGTTGTGACCGACTCTGGGGGTGCGACGCTCATCTCACTTTATTGGCTGAGAGAGCCGGCGTACAGCCAGCCGGTGGCCAGCATGACTAAGCCACTTCTGGCGAACCAGAGCAGCGCACGGAAATGCCATTTACCTTCCCGCCGGAGTGGTACCTATTTATCTACTTGCACTTTAACGTGCTTTTGAACTGCTAGGTTGGCAGGAGCATGGACCGAGCAATGGGAGCTCACCCCGTCACGGGGATTTGAACTGCCGACCTTCTGACTGGCAAGTCCTAGGCTCTGTGGTTTAACCCACAGCGCCACCCACGTCCCTTGCACCCTTAGTAGTTCTTGGGAATTTTAATGGAACGTAGAGTAGGAGGCAGCTTAGATCAGCCTATTTCTATAGGAGGCAGACAGCTATTGCTCCTTGTGGTCAGTCGTACCTTCCCCAAAACCTTGAAGGGAAGCCTCTTATAAAGCACCTGCAGCCTTTGAAATGGCAAAAACATGGATGAATTGATACACAACTGCACTGTTCACAACGTCTATAGCGCTTTTCAATGTAAAGTCCTTTGCAATAATAAAGAAAAGTAACCCAGCTTTCCATCCGTTGGTACTTACAAGACAACTTAGCAGCAGTATAGCATGATGCTGCTGAAAAAAGCCACATTATAAAGATTACTGCTGTGATCACAGCCAAAGACAGCCAAATGATTATCTGGTGTCCTCTGAAATAGTTTCCTGTCACCTGAACCCTATTAATGAGGTAGCCGTGTATGTCTGTCTAGGATGAGAGTTCCACAATTTAGGTGCTACCATTGAAAAGGCCCTGTCTCATGGAACAGCATAATCTTACATTTCATGTGACGGGGAGACGGATGTATGATCTAAGTGAGTGGATAGAATCATGGGAGAAGCTGTCCCAGCCCCAAACCACTTAGGACTTTAAAGGTCAAAATCAGCGCTGTGCATTGGGCGTAAATGCCTACCAGACACCGGTGCAGTTGACATAAAACTGAAATACTACACTTTATGTGGGTGGCTCCAGTTAACACTCTTGCTCCCACAGTCTGAACCAGTTGCTATTTCTAAACACTTTCCAAAGGCAGCCGCATGTGCAGTAGTCTCGTCTGAATTAATGTTATTAGGGTATGAGTGAGAGCAGCCAGAGCTATATCACAGCAACACTTTTGGGGGCAGTTCAGTCTAAGAAATAGTGGTTGGAGTCCTCATTCTCCCACCCAGCCCAGTTAGCTCTTCCATGCTAGTATGATTTCTTAGCTGCTTCCGCCATTGCTTAATTGTCTGCATGGAAATCGGCGGACAGGATGGCACCAATTCCAAAGCTGACTTTAAATTGAAGCTGGCGGTAGCAGTTTGCCAAGTAGCCCCGATCTCAGCCCAAAGGCATTCAGATGCATTAGCCTTGACAATATTTTGCAGAAGTCCATCAACAGGTTAATGTGGCATTTTACATTCTGATGACTTCTCCCTCTTTCAGATTTCTGCCTTGAAGCAGAATGGACTCTTGCAGTCTCTGTCAGCAACACCCAACGGATGCAGAGAAGCAGGTATGGTTCCAGTTAGCTGAATGTTCCGCTGTGAGTTCTGTTTCTTTTCTGATGAAATGGCACACCGACGGAGCTATAGTCATCATCCTGTCAGCAACTGGGTCATATACCTTTGATCCCACTGAGAAGATTGTTTTAATTCTTCGGGTGAGCTTAACCAAACCATCCTTTGCTAATTTAGCTCCTGTGTTAGGAATCTGATGCTCTTAAACAATATTTTAATCCTGGATGCTATTTTGACTGGAGTGCGGGCAGGGTTATGGGCATCATTGTATTATTATTATTATTATTATTATTATTATTATTGGTATTTTATTGTAAGCTGTCATAAGGCATTGTGGAGAGGGGGAATCCAAAATTTCAAAGTAAGTGTTGCCCTTGAGTGAAACCTAGTGAATGTTACTGTTGGAATGTTACTGCCTCTGAACGACAGTTTCCGGGAATTGTTACTGGGGAGAGGCCTGTAGGAATTTGGTCCTGTTTGTGGGACTCTTACATGCTTTCGGTTAGCCACTGTGGGTACAGGATGCTGGACTCGATGGGCGTAATCCAGCAGGTCTCTTTTTATGTTATTATTATTTAATGAGAAGTTGTGTAATTACAGCTTTTGCTCATAACAGATAAGTCAAACAACTTGTTTGCTGTGAGTACAAAGCCTTCATGATAGTAATGGAGAGCAGTCACCATTGGCTGTGGGTGGGTGTGTTTGTGTCCACTGAAATACCCGTGTTTCAGAGTTTGATTTACATAAGATCGAAAACACAGCCTCTGCAGCTTACAGTCTGAAAGACACAACTACGAAAATGAGAGATGGAGAGGTGAGGAAGCCACAAATTCAGGCACCAGTTCTTAAAGTTACAAATGACTAGCTTGAATGGGAACAGCTGTGGAAAAGTGGCAGCTGAATGGAACTGGTCTTCCAGATCCAACGGCATGGACCCCATTTCCCATCTCTCCCTCTGTTGCTGCCTGATGGAATGGAATGGCTGCCCAGTGGAGCTGCCCTCTTGGCCAAGTCACTGGAGTTGGTCCTTGCTTCTCATCTCTTCCTCTCAGTGGCATAGCATGGGTTGCTAGAACCTGAGGCAGTGCAAGTGTTGTGCCTCCCTGGTGGACTGGGCAGCAGGGGGGCACGTAGAGCCCACACAGAGGGGGAAGGGAGCCTGTCTTCAACAGGATTCTCACCCGCTGCCTCTGTTCACCTGCCCACTAGACCAACCCACCTGCCGCTGTGCCTCAGAAGCCGGAGCTCTGTACCTGTCATGGAGGAAAGACATTAGCTGCTATCCAGTGCAAGCAGATTGCCTTAGGAACATAAGGAAGTGTCTTATACAAAGTCTGACCATTGATCCATCTAGTTCATTATTGTCTACACTGACTGACAGCAGCTCAGTCAAGGTTTCAGATGGGGGGTCTTTTCCAGCCCTCTCTGCATATGCCAGGGATTAAACCGGGGATCTTCTGCACTGAGCTGTGGCCTTTTCCTTGGCTTGTGGCACAAAATAGTCAAAATTTATTGTCAGTCAAGGCAAGGGCTAATTTTTTAAAAAAACAGGAGCTGCTTTTCACCTTAAAAATGCTCTTTTGGAAGTGGTTCCATAGTTGACATGGTTCCATGATGTTTTGTCTCATCTCTCTCTTTCTCTTTGTTGCTAGATATTAGTGAGGAGGTTCTGCGAGCCCGAGAAGAATGGGACAGTGTGGCAAACATCCATTCGGAAGGTATGAAAGCAACGGCAATAACATTTCCTTCTATTGGGACCAGTTAAACATGGCAATAGATTAATTTAGATGACTGTAAGAAAAGCAAGTGCTGGAGGTACTGTCAAAGAGCAGGAAACATGTCTAAGAATAGTATGTGGTGGGTGTGAAAATGTTGGATGTGATTCAGTCTGAGAATTATCAAGTTATAGGGTATTAGCTATGTATAAGTTACTAGTGCTTCAAGTATTTTCTTCAGTCAATTAAATAATCTGCTGCTTACTGGTATGTTTAGCGCTATGAGAATGGGGGAAGCTCAGTACTCATGAAAAACCTAGTAGGCAAACTCAGTGGCTGTGTTTGCATGAATAGCTCAGGTGTGATTTTAACCATGTTTGTTGAACAAGCCAGGATCAGTCTCATAAATGAGCAAAGTAACCATGGTTTGCTTTGTATCATTGTCACATGTCCTGGGGCACGGCATCAAAACAAATGGGGATAATGGAATTGGACGTCACAAGAAACCTAACACAGAGACTATAGTTAGTTAGCTGGGGTGGGTTTGGACATACAAACCACAATTAAGCTAAACAAACCATGGATTTAGTGTTCTATACAAACCATGCCTGCATGTGCACTACGCAATCATTTTCCCATCATGGCGTTTCTGAATGTGTGTGTTTGTGTGTGAGTGTGCACACATACACTTACTATATGCTTCATATTTTCAGATATATGCAATTTAATGTGGGGGGCAGGGAGAACTGCATCAGGATTAATGTTGCTTCAACCCTCTCAAATCTACCTTCAAAATTTCTGGATGGCAAAAAAATTAAATGGACCAATAGCATTGTTCTTTATCAATATTTAGGTATAGATTTTTTTATTAAAAAAATAAGACGTACACTTATTAAAGGCAGGCAGAGTCAGACCCTGCGACCATGGAATATGTGAAGAGTGAATTATCCAGAGTTCATACATTGAAATGGGCCAGCGTTAAAGTGATAACAATGGGGTCTTGAGAGAGTAAAGGTAAAGGGAACCATTAGGTTCAGTCGTGGCCGACTCTGGGGTTGCGGCGCTCATCTTGCTTTATTGGTCAAGGGAGCTGGCATACAGCTTCTGGGTCATGTGGCCAGCATGACTAAGCCGCTTCTGGCGAACCAGAGCAGCGCACGGAAACGCCGTTTACCTTCCCGCCTGAGCGGTACCTATTTATCTACTTGCACTTTGACGTGCTTTCGAACTGCTAGGTTGGCAGGACTTGAGAGAGTACATAAGACTATTTAACAGGAAAGCTTAAAATATAATGAACATAGTTGATAAAAGCTATTTTTAAAAAGGTAAACTTCCTGGTCCATGTTGAAAAGAGTGCTGGGTTAGCTGAAATTGTGGCAGACTTTTTTTTGTTATTAAGACCAGAATTTCAGAATGAGATTCTAACCGGACCTGTGGTATGTAAACTGAAGCTCTGCTTTTTATGAAGAAAGGACTGCAGGATTAAAGTGGCTTCATTCTTTAATTGATTGTAGAATTAAAGGTTAAGATTACAGATTGCAGCCTTAATGAGATTGCGGTGAGGCTTCCTGCATAAAATCCTATCGTTTCCATAAAAGAGCAGGATCTGAAATCTGCCTCTGGCCGTATTATAGGCACCATTTCAGGCTGACACTTCTCGGTGGGGGGAAACCAATTGTAGGTAACATAATTTACTTAACAAACACAACCAAGTACATGTTTGAGTCAATCTAGTCCTCTTGCTTAAACATTTATTGTGCTTTCCCCAGCTCTGATCTCAGGCATGCTTGTTAAGAACGTAAGAACCTTGCTGCATCAGACTACAGATCTATGTAGTCCAGTTCCCACATCCCAAATTCCTCTGGGAAGCTCACAAACAGGGCAGGAGGACAGTATCCCCCTCCTGCTGTTGTTTTCCGGCAACTTCTCTGCAGAGAGGCACCCTGCCTCTGATCCTGGAGGCAGCTTTTCGCCTCCTGGCCCTTGATAGACTTATCCATGCATTTGTCTAATCCTCTTTCAAAGCCATCTTAAGTTGATGGCTGTCACCACCAACTTTGTGGCGGCAAACTCCACTGTTAGCTGTGTGAAGAAGCACTTCCTTTTTATCTGTCCTTAATCTTCTACTTTTCGGCTTCCTTGGAGGGCTCCAGGTTCAAATGTTATTAGGAAGGGAGAGAACTTCTCTCTCCACGCCGTGCAGAATTGCAATAATCATAGGTGGGTTCACCCTCGTATGCAAACAGGAAAAAAGTCCAATAGGGCTTAACTTTCAAGTAAATGGGCATGTAATTGGGCTCTTAGATAAGGCAACTAAGTAGAGGTGAAAGAAAGCTCCTAGTGGTGATTTACTTAAGTGATGCTGCACGAATTCACTTTGGATTTTTACCCTCTTAAAGGTCTTTTTTCCTTTCCCCCCCTTTTTGATAGAGGTGTACTTGATAGATGACCTACTATTGAAACCCTTCGCTTAATTTACCTTCACTTACTTTCTGCGAGAAGAGCAGGGAAGATATTTTGAAGAGGGATCACAGAGTGGTTTACAGTATAAAAACACAAAAATGCATACCCAATACCCTGTGGGTTCAGCCTGGTTGGCCTGTTGTCAGTCAAAGAGGACATTTATGAAGGCATTGCAAGGCCAGTGCAAGACAACCCCAACCGCAAGTACTTGAGGGGTAGCACACCAAATATGACAAAAACACAAGCATTTATACATTTGCAAGTAACATACATGTATGGTGACACTTCCTTCTGCTAGCTTCTACTGGTTTAATCACAAGGCACAACATCTTCCTTATATTTCCCACCTTCCTTTGTTCTTAACAGTTAAGGCAATAGCTCCTGCATGTTGTTTTGTGTACCTAGGCTCCCTTGCGCCCTCAGCAAGGAGATGTATCAGTGCTTCCAAAGCTGGGAGAGACCATGGCCAGAAACTCAAAAAGTTTGCTTTTTGTCACCTTTCGCGCTCCGTCAGTGACTTCCTCTGCATCCATTGGGGTTGGGTCTGCTCTGCTCTGTCGGTGCACCTGCCTGCCTGCCTGCCTCCCTTCCCTTTTCCTCCTCCTGCAACTCTTGCCCACTGTCTCCTCTCTCTTCCCTCTGAGCTCTGATGGGAGCTCCACTCGCACTTTTAATAGCGCCACTGGCTAATTGGAGAGGGGGGTCCTGCAAGGGCTGCTGTGATGGCTCACACCAGCAACTGGATTCCTCCGCTGAGGCAGCCAGAAAGAGCCTGTGCACCTCGTCTGGCCTCCCAGAGCAGCAGAGGAATGACCTGGGGAGTTCATGCGGACTGGCAGGCAGACCTTTAAAGCTCTGTGCGGCCTAGGACCCACGTACCTACAGGATCACCTCTCCTGGTATGCCCCGCGGAGGACCTTAAGGTTCACAAATGACAACATTTTGGAGGTCCCAAGTCGCAAGGTGGTTAGGTTGGTCTCAACTAGGGCCAGGGCCTTTTCAGTACCGGCCCCAACTTGGTGGAAGGCTCTGTCACAAGAGACTAGGGCCCTGTGGGACTTGACATCTTGTCGCAGGGCCTGCAAGACAGAGCTGTTCCGCCTGGCCTTTGGTTTGGACTCAGTCTGATTCTTATGTTTCCCTCCCCATATGGTTTTCACTTTTAAAACGAGGCTGCATTTTAACCTATATTTTAAATTGTTTTTTTTCTTTTTCTTTCTTTCTTAGTATGTTTTTACTGAAATTTTGGTGTTAGCTGCCCTGAGCCTGGCTCTGGCCGGGGAGGGCGGGGTATACATAAAATTTATTATTATTATTATTATTATTATTATTATTAGCCATGTCAAGCCAAACTGGAATGGAGCAATTTTTGTGCCTGCACCCTTGGCAGAGGCCAACCTAACTAACCTCTAGGTACGCCCCTGCTCTCATGGTTCTCTTGCAAACTCAGCTGTTCTCGAACACATTTCAATTTTCAGTTTTATTATTTCTATAACAATAACATAATAACAACAAAACAGTAACCCTGCTCCTGTTTGTTTAATCAGCCAGAGGACTGAGAGATGAGGACTATTTTCTCCTGGCTCCTAAAGATCTGTAATGAAGGCACCAGGCGAACCTCCCAGGGGAACTTAGCTCCCTCTCACACACCCTGGCATTAAAATTGTATTGCTTGCCTTTTAAAGAAGAAACATTAAAGTTGCCCGAGACCAAAGCCTTGTTGCTTGCGTCGCTCTCAAAAGTTCTTGCTGCGGAAGTTAGAACTCTGTGGCCTTTCGCAAAGGAGAACACGCAGGCTCAGCCGAAAGCTTCCGCTTGCTGAAAATGGTAAGAGAGCGATCTAAACAACAAGGACTCCTGCTGTACGATGCTTTAGGTTGTCTCTTCTCTGCTTCCACTTTCTCTATGGTTTCAGCTCATGGAGGGTGTGCACTCCTAGTTTCCCTGTCTCTGAACACAAAACGGTGCTGCGTTTGTTTCCATGCTCACTTATGTAACGCTGAGCAAGTTGCACACTGTAATCTACATAAGTGTATTAAGCAGCTTGAACCGGAAATCAAAGTAATTTATCGTTATGTTAAAATTTCTAAAGTTATTTATTTCTTTTTCCTTTGTGAAAAATGAAAGATTTTTTTAAAAAGTTTTTTTAAAAGGCCAGACAAAGGTGGCCTGCAAACATAGAGTAATGTGACCAGCCTACAAGCCTGTGCAGCCCAGATAAGCCTGCTGTGCTAATTCGTCCTGAATTACTCTGAGCATATCTACCAGTTTTGAGGCTTCTAAAAGGTCAAGTGAATGACATCAACTGCATATTTGTGCCAAGATACGTATGCTTGATAACTATCATCTATCCATCCTATCTATCTATCTATCTATCTATCTATCTATCTACCTATCTACCTACCTACCTACCTATCTATCTATCCACATACACACATAACAGTATTTATATAAAACCTGCCTGTAAGATACTTATATATTTATACATAAAACCTGCCTGTTGAAGCAAACGTCGAGATAAACCAAAGCTTGCAGTTTGCATTGTGCTGAATTCTAGGCAGTAGAGTTGATTATCTTCAGGACATTAGCAAATGATTAAATCTGAAATAAGATCATAGATTTGATATGATAGAATATGACCAAAGAACCTTGATGATTGTTTGTGGATTCTTCCACTGTTTCAGAAAGAATCATTATTTTGTAGAGCTGTGCTTCACTCCTATCATTCATATCCCTCGCTAGGGCTGAACTAGACACAATTTTAGCTGTGTGAATGCAATTAAAGTGCACAGTTTCTGTTACATAAATAGTAGTCCTGGGAAGCTTGAGCATCCTTGGAACTATGAAAGTGGGGTTGGGAGACTGTACGGTAACTCTTTCCTTCCCTGCCACAGTCCTACAAAATCTGCCTCTCCCATTGTCAATGGAAGCTTCCCTTGAAATGTAAATAGCAGCTTCGCTTGGACTATGTCAGGGAGAGAGTTAAACTTCCCCCACTACAGTTCCAAGGCTGCTGAAGCTTTCCCACAGCTATTAACATAATAAAAACAACACAGTTAATTGCATTCATGCAATTAACATTACCCTGCCCCTTAGTTCAGCTTTCAAAGTTTTGAGACTAAAGTCCAAACACATTTTTCTCATTTGTAACTGATCCAACCCCCTGATTGCTTTCATTGCCTCATTTTCTATATTTTCCCAATTGACAGTATCCTTTCTGAAATGAGACAACCAGACCTGCACATGCCATTTCAAATGGGGTTGCCCCGTTGATTTATAGAAGGGCATTATGATTCTAGCAGTTGTATTTTTCGTCCCTTTCCTAACGATTCCCAGTTCTGAGCTCGCACTACTACAGTACGAGCTGACATTTTGATTAAGTTATCTGCTTACAACCATAAGACCTTTTCAGACAAATCAGACCCCATCAGCATATGTGTGAATTTTAGATTTTATTTTTCTCTCTGTGTGCATCGCTTTACACTTACATATGTTGAATCTCATCTGCCAATCCGTTGCGTCTTCACTCAACTTGAAGAGATCCTTTGGATGCTCTTGGCTATAACTAGGTGTTATTGGCAGACTTGGCAATGCTATTGTTTCTCCCTGGTTCCAGATCATGTATGCATGAGTAAATAAATATAACACAAATTCCAGTACAATACTTCTTAAAAATAGGTGGCTGTTGTTTTTTAAAATGTTGTTTTAATATTGTAAGGCTCCACTGGGAGGAACAGTGGGATGAACATGAATTAAACAAATGCTCTTCTCTTCTTTGTGACTGTAGGAATTGTGGAGAGGCCTCTAGGGCCAATACCCTTAATCTCTTTCAATGAAGCATTGCAATACTTCCAAACAGCAGATCTCTCAGACTGCAGGGTATGTATGTGCCAACTAGGATTGATTTAACAGCCATACTGCTTAAATATTTTAGGCATTGAAAATGCTGCATTGATGGTTCCTGTTTGGCTCTTAAAGCACTTCCGAGGTACTCTTATTCCTATTTCATTTTGTCAGGGAGAGATAGAGTTACCAGAGCCCAGGAGCTTAAATCTCCATGATTTAGCTAGTTCCCCTCCTTTCCGCCACCTCGTCTCCTTTTTGCTAACAGATACAGGTGAAACTCAGAAAATTAGAATATCGTGGAAAAGTTCATTTATTTATTAATATTAAATGATATCAGCAAAGTGCTCCAAAATCTCCGGGTAGATGGCTGCGTTGACCCTAGACTTAATGCAGCACAGTGGACCAACACCAGCTGATGACATGGCTCCCCAAATCTCTTTTCTGATGAAAGCAGCTTTTGCATCTCATTTGGAAACCAAGGCCCCAGAGTCTGGAGGAAGAATGGGGAGGCACACAATGCCAGATGCTTGAAGTCCAGTGTGACATTTCCACAGTCTGTGTTGATTTGGGGAGCCATGTCATCAGCTGGTGTTAGTCCACTGTGCTTCATTGAGTCTAGGGTCAACACAGCTGTCTACCAGGAGATTTTGGAGCACTTCATGCTTCCTTCCACAGATGAGTTTTATGGGGATGCCAACTTCATTTTCCAGCAGGACTTTGGAATCTGCCCACACTTCCAAAAGTACCAAAACCTGGTTCAATGCCCATGGGATTATTGTGCTTGATTGGCCAGCAAACTCGCCTGACCTGAACCCCATAGAGAATCTATGGGGCATTGCCAAGAGACAGAAGAGAGACATGAGACCGAGCAATGCAGAAGAGCTGAAGGCTGCTATTGAAGCATCCTGGTCTTCCATAACACCTCAGCAGTGCCACAGGCTAATAGCATCCATGCCATGCCGCATTGAGGCAGTAATTGATGCAAAAGGGGCCCAAACCAAGTACTGAGTACATATGCATGCTTCTACTTCTCAGAGGTCCAATACTGGTCTATTTGCAATCCTTGTTTTGCTGATTTCATTTAATATTCTATTTTTCTGAGATTGTTAATTTGGGGTTTTCATCAGCTGTACGCCATGATCACCACAATTATAACAAATAAAGGCTTGACATATCTCGCTTTGCATATCATGAGTCTATCTCATATAGGCTATAGGTATCTGTAACAGGAGAGTTTAGATGCTTTCAAGTTATTTGTGCTTCAGAATCCCTGCCTATTGACATAAAGCAGGTCCTCTAATATAGCTATATAGATATAGATATAGAAATTGTTGCCTATAAGTAAATTAACAGTCATTATTTCCATTAACCTCAACTGAACGAAGCACACTTAAGAGCCAAGTTAAATGGTTGAAGGACTGTATTGTTAGTTGCCTGCATCTAACCAGGCAGAGGGAACCAGGCAGAGGGTCTTCTTGGAAGTGGCACCCGCCCTCTGGGATACCCTCCCGTCAGATGGCAGACAGATAAACAACTATTTGACTTTTAGAAGATGTCTGAAGGCAGCCCTGTTCAGGAAAGTTTTTAATGGTTGATGTCTTATTGGCTTTTAATATTTTGTTGTGAGCCACTCTTGAGTCAGATGGGTGGCCTATTATGATTATTTCTATCTGATATAGGGCACTGTAGTACAATTTACTTTCTCTAAGGGATTTAAAGCACCCACAAGGCACAAAACAAAACCATACAAACTAGTTTTTTTTTTAAAAAAACCCCCACCTATCTGATTCAAAACACCCAGAAACATTACAAAAGATAAAACAGCAAAATGAGCAACAAGATAAAAATAGCTAAAGGCAGTAAAAAGATCTTAGGTATCACCAAACGGTCCATGAAAATAGAATTTGTCTGATGCCTAAAAGATGGCAGTGAGGAAAGCCTAGGCAGGTATGCTTAAGGAAGGAGTTCCAGAGTTTGGTTGTCACCACAGAAAAAACCCCTCTCTTTGGCAGGGAAACAGGAAGAAGGTCTACTAAGGGTAATGTCAATCCACAGCCAGGTTCAAAGTGGTCCTTTTTGTTACCTAGCTCAGGGTATGAGGGAGATCAGGCCAGGATTTTGCCTGTGAGAAAACTATGGTCTGAAATGTCAGCTGCACATAATGCATAGATTGCCTGCCAGGAAAACGCTCCTTGCCAAACTGAGTTTGGAAAAACAACAACCTTGGAAGTGAATGAAGGTCTCTTCATATTGATATGATATGGTCAGTTGCAGCAGTGGTCTGTTTCCCTTTTCTCAGCAGTGTTGTTAGGGAGGACTTTGCCTATGTACCATCACACTTTTAAATTCTTTCTAACTTTCCTTGTTTCAGAAAAAGATTCAGCCAACGGTGCGAAGGAGAGGACTGGCCGCCGTTGCCCATTTCCTTTTCGGCCCTCCCCGTCTCCACCAGCAGCTGCAAAGTGAGAGGGACTTAGCCTTGGCGATAGCCCAGTGTAAGTTTTGCTTCTTGTGGCTGCAGATAGCATCTTCCCAGTAGCCGGTTTTCTGACTGTCCGACTACTTAATATTGCCACGTCTTAAATATCTGGAAAGGGCTGCAGCTCTTGGGAAGAGCACCTGCAGGACACCACGGGTTCAATCCTTGGCATCTCTGGGAAAGATTCCTGTGGAAAACTCTGGACAGCCACTACCAAGTTAGTGTAGACAGTACTGAGCCCTATAGAATGATGGTCTGACCTTTGTATAAAGCTGTTTTATCCAGTCCTGTGAAGTTGGGCTGGGGAACCTCTCGCCCTCCAGGTGGACTCCCAGCTCCCATCATCCCTGACCATAGACCAGGCATAGGCAAACTCAGCCCTCCAGATGTTTTGGGACTACAACTCCCATCATCCCTAGCTAACAGGACCAGTGGTCAGAGATGGTAGGAGTTGTAGTCCCAAAGCATCTGGAGGGCCGAATTTGCCTATGCCTGCTATAGACCATGCTGGCTGGGGTTGATGGATGTTGGAATTTAGCAACACCTGAGAGATTCCAGGTTCTGCGCCCCGATATAAAGTCACAGGAGACTGCTTTTATATGGCCTTTGTTTCCTCTAGCCCAGTATTCCCTGCTTTTATTTGCAATAGCTCTCCCAATGGTTTGGGCAGAGGTCTCTCTCCCTGCTGCCTGAGATACTTTCGTGACCCTGCAGTCCCAACTCCCCATCTCTGGGAGAGGAGGTGGTGTCTGGGTGGGAGAGGCAGTTGTCACCAGAAATGGCTCTGGGTGTTCCCACTGGTCTAGAAGCTGCAGCCCAAGAGGAGTACCTTTGGCCAGCGCCTCTTCAGCCTCTGGAGGTTGTGTTGCTGTCCTCCAACAGCCAGTTCTATTTAAATCTAGGTTGACCTGCTGCTGAAGTACAGTGGTACCTTGGTTCTCAAACTGAATCTGGTCCAAAAGTCCGTTCCAAAACTAAAGCGTTCCAAAACCAAGGTGCGCTTTCCCATAGAAAGTAATGCAAAATGGATTAATCTGTTCCAGACTTTTAAAAACAACCACTAAAACAGCCGTTTGACATGAATTTTACTATGTAATGAGATCATTGATCCATAAAATGAAAGCAATAAACAATGTACTGCAGTCCCACAATCAATCAGTAGCTGAACTGGGTTCCACACAGTCACAAAAAAAAAGAGCTGCCAAAACAAAAACTCAAAATAAGTAGCAAAAACAGACAGACACTCAAAACAGAAGTGTGGCACTCAAATCGGAAGTGTAACACTCAAAACAGAGCACGTTCGGCTTCCAAAAAAAAGTTCGCAAACCTGAGTACTTACTTCCGGGTTTGCAGTGTTTGGGTTCCAAGTTGTTTGAGTACCAAGGTACCACTGTAATGTGATTGGAGCCTGCTGATATGTCTCTTCTGCCTGAACATCACATGGATGCAGGCAGGGTGCTGCCTGCTTTGCCTTGACTTTCCTGTGTTGCAGGGGGTGGCACTGCATGACCCTTGTCCCTTCCAGTTGATTTTGCCTTTTCAGAACCTGAACCTTGCCTTGTTTCAGATGGTCTTGCTGGAGCCTGACCTTGTACTCAGTTGATTTTGCCTTGCTTCCTTTGCTCTTTGCACTCTTCCTCACTTGGGTTAAAAACGCTCAAGGCCACTGCTTGGCAGAGAACAGATCTTTATGCGAAGATGCCAAGGATTAAACTTGGGCCTTATGTATCTAGAGTAGAGACTTGTTTAAGCAGAGAAAATAATCGGCATTTCCCTCAACAGGTGGCTTGGATAACAATGAAAAAGTGCACATGAGGATCCTGCAAACGATTTACAAGAAACTAACGGGGTCCCGTTTTGATTGTGCCCGTTATGGAGCCCATTGGGAAGACCTGGGATTTCAAGGTATGGAGGAAGTACATGAACAATATTCTTCATACGAGCTTGGCATGGCATGACTTTTGCTTCTGCTGTAACATGTGGAAGAGGAACATGCATTTTCCCCAGGAAAGATCTATGGGTCATACATTATTTTGCAGGGGAAGATCGGTGAGTTCCCTGTTTGCAGGATACAACAGAAGCCTTTAAAAAGCTGCTCACACCTCCCTTTTTTGACACTTTATTTGAAATAATCCTCATCCTAAACATCCAGCAAGAACCACTGTAACATTTCAAAAACCCTGAATATTTTGAGTTTGGGCAGTTGTTTTATAGGCCTGCTTCCACAGACATTATATACGTGATTTGTAAGGAGTTTCTTATTTAACCTACTGTTATGGTTTAATACTAACATCACATGACCTTGGAGGGAATGGGAGTTATTTTATTTATTTTAAAATGTATATATCGCTTTATAGATTGCAAATGCAAGTATTCAACAACAGATACAGGACAACAGTAAAAGCAGCTGAAACACTTTGGGGGCTGCTTTGACTGCTGTCCTGTATCAGTTGTTGAATACCACAAGCAGCATCAATAAAGGATGCAGCAACAGGCAATAGAATCATCTAATTAAAAACTTGGGAGAAGAGTGTGGTGCCAGATGAATGTCTCTGGGAGTCATTTCCACAACCAGGGTGCCAATACTTTGTTTCCATGCGCCTTGCCTCAAAAAGTTGGGGCATTTGAAGAAAGACTTCTGAATACCGTATTTTTTGCTCTATAAGACTCACTTTTTTCCTCCTAAAAAGTAAGGGGAAATGTGTGTGCGTGTTATGGAGCAAATGCAGGCTGCGCAGCTATCCCAGAAGCCAGAACAGCAAGAGGGATTGCTGCTGTCACTGTGGAGTGATCCCTCTTGCTGTTCTGGCTTCTGAGATTCAGAATATTTTTTTTCTTGTTTTCCTCCTCCAAAAACTAGGTGCGTCTTGTGGTCTGGTGCCTCTTATAGAGCGAAAAATACGGTAATTTGAGTGGGCGACTTCATTCAGGGAGTAGATGGTCTTTTTTAGATAGCTTGCTCCTCTATTGCATTCGCCTTGGAGATAAGCTGTAACGCACAGGCCAGAACATTTCATTCGGTAATTCAGATCACCGTTTTCCTGTGGCTTTCAATTTGGAGTCATTCAGGTATGGTTACATAACGGAAATGATGTATTGGGTGCTCACGAGAGAGAGCATCAAGCTTTCATCAGGCCACATTAATTTTAGCATTGCCTTTCTGGGTTTGCCTTGGCAATTAACAATCCTCTAATGTAGCTTTATGCATGCAATCATTCACAAATATGGCCTGTGTAAGAGCGTTTATTGCCTTGGCTTAACTGTCTCTCTGTGTGTGTTTTATACTTAAGGGATGGATCCTGGCACAGACCTACGTGGGACTGGAATGCTAGGATTAATGCAAACACTATATTTTGTAATGGATTCTCGGATATTACCCGTAGCTCGAGAGATTTTCAAGTTATCCCATCACGAAACACAGGCACGTTTCCTTTTTCTGAGCTCGGGTTTTTGAAATGTTATTGAAAACCTGTGGGAGAGATAACTTTGCAAGCTTGGTCTCCTACTGGTTATAACGGAAGGCCTTTATTTTTTGACAGCCTAAATCATCAGCTTTAAAGATTCCTAGAGTGTCGACTGCTTTTGTCTGAACTGCTTTTTGTCTGAAATGTCTCAGTCCTTTAACTACATCTCCTCGGACTACATGTTGGGAGAGCTCATGTTCTAATAATTAGGGTATTTTAGTCTCTAAAAATTCCATGCCTGTAATGGCAAAGCGCAGTTGGTCATTAGCTCTGAATTCAGCCATTTAATTTTTTCATCTCTCCTTTCCTTCTACTCTTCCCTCCCCACCCCAATATAATCTTATTCCTGTCTGCCATACTATGCACCCCCAATAATGTTTCCAGTATCCAAATACTCTCTGGCTGAATCTTTCATGAGCCTTTGGCTGTGCTTTAGGAAGACTTGTAGATGAGAGGGATGATGAACCTGCGACGCCCCAGATGTTGTTGGATGCCTCAGCCCCAGCCGGAATGGAGATTACTCAGGGATGGTGGAGATTAAAGTCCAGCAACATCTGGCATGCCACAGGTGTCCCACCATTGTTTTAACTATCCAGTTTAGATTTTACAACCAATACTTAGAATCATAGAATCATAGAGTTGGAATAGACCACAAGGGCCATCGAGTCCAACCCCCTGCCAAGCAGGAAACACCATCAGAGCACTCCTGACATATGGTTGTCAAGCCTCTGCTTAAAGACCTCCAAAGAAGGAGACTCCACCACACTCCTTGGCAGCAAATTCCACTGTCGAACAGCTCTTACTGTCAGGAAGTTCTTCCTAATGTTTAGGTGGAATCTTCTGTCTTGTAGTTTGGATCCATTGCTCCGTGTCCGCTTCTCTGGAGCAGCAGAAAACAACCTTTCTCCCTCCTCTATGTGACATCCTTTTATACTTGAACCTTCAGCCTGAAACCTTGTTGAACTGCTTTCTGATCCAGGATTGAGGGTATTTGCATAACATTTTGATGGGTTGTGCTGCTTTCTTTGAGTGGAAGTTTGGGCATTGGCCTTGAGAATCCAGGCTAGGTCTTGATAGAAATGCAAATGGCCATATGGTATTAGTAGGTATATCTTAGACTGACCAAGGCAGAGATCTTTTTGCAGTAAAGGTGGCATTAGATTTCTTTTTCTGTTTTGAAGAGGCTGGTTGATATTTGTATGTTCAGTACAACAACATTTTGTGCTGAAATGATATTGCTTGTATTTCTCTCTCCTCCCCTTCCCCCAAATAAAAATATCAATAAATTATTGGGGGAGAATAAAAGAAATTTAAGCACCACCTTTCCCATTAGCTCATTGAAAGGCATTTCTGGGAAACAGGGTGGAAACTAATGCATAATAAGATGCTGAAATGTAGCTGATGCTCCCACTGTGTCTGGAGGCCTGTGCTAAAATTGGTCCCACCAGAGGCATTTGGAGGTCCAGAAAAAAGAACCATTAGCATCTCAGCTGGCAGTCTGGTGGAGCCTTTGTGAATCTGGTGCCTTCTAGACCAGCTGTGCTGATGGGAGTTTTACCTCTTTTACCTTTCAAGCCCAAAACTTCTGAAGGTTGTCAGGTCAGGGAAGGGTGGCCTAGCATATCTTTTTATGTTCCTATTTGGCAGGTTAGTCAGCTACGCTCGGTGGGTTTATGATTTGGTACTCCCTGCTCTTAACAGCATTTTCCCAAATTGTCTTACCTGTACTTTTCCTATTGACGTGAGGTTAGTATTCTGCAAACAGCCTAACTGGAACCTTGCTGCTCTTTAATTTACAATAAATTATACCAGGGTACTAGAGTTTTCTTGATTTCTTTTTGGTTATGTGATCTGGGTTTTGTGTGAGGTGTTTTTGTGCATTTTTAATACTTATCCTTCGTTAGGAAAGCAGAATTGGTTCAGGGTCCCCCAGTGGAGGGAAGCAGAAGAACAATGAGGTCCTGGGACCTCTGCTGGATGATCCTGAAATTCCTCTCCCTTTTCCTCCCAAAGGCCCACCCCAGTCCCTTTCCCAGTTTCTAAGCAAGTTGAGAAAGTACCGATAATCAGAAGGGTGAAAACATGATTTTAATCACATATCCACTCTCTTCCAGTATACTACAACTTACTATGTTGTCAATGCAAATAGGCAAAGTCAGTAAGGGATGGCGAGGTAAGGTTTTGGGACTGCAGTGGTATTTGCTTGTCAGTCAGAATGGTCAAGGGCATGCCGTATAGTCCAGGGCAGGCATGATTTGTTCTTGAGGACAGGAGGTGGCGTTGCACACTGTTGTGTCCTTCCAACACCTTGCTGCTGCTCCCCATCATCTGCCGCCTGAAGCCGTTGTCTTAGCATGCCCAATGGTACAGCTGGCCCTAAACACTGGGCAAGAATGACAGAAAGCCAAGCTCTGAAGGGTTTGATCCAGACATAGTTATGCTTAGAGTTAGATACACTGAAAATGTAATAGACAATTTCAATGGGTCTGCCGTGAGGCTGACTATGTCTGGATTCAACTCTTATTGTTAATGATTATTTTTTTAAAAAAATACTGTATGTAAATCAATAAAACTAAAGCTCGGTTCTGAAAAGCAGAGGAAACAGAGCAAAGGAGCAGAGTAGAAGACTTAGCCAAGCGGGGTCTTCTCCGAGGACTCGAGTTGCTTGGACCAAGAAGCAAGTTCTGAGGCTAGAGCATTAAAAGGCCCATTGAGAAGGATTGGTGCTTGGGGTCAGCTGACGGGATGTTGTAAGATGCTGTGTTCTGCACTCTAAAGGCACCACTTAGGTTGCAGTACCAGTGTGTCAGGTTTGTGATTGAGACAGCATCAGTGAGACAGCAGCTAAGATACCAGAGCTGGGACCAGAGCCTTGCTCTGAGATGTTTTGAACAGAGAAAATGCCACAACTTCAGGTCAAATGGGTCACACCTGATTTTTATAAAAGGAACAAATCAAATCGGCATATCTGTTGAAAGGATTCATAATCTAAAACCAGAACATGTTGCCTGAATTTGACTCGCTTCTTAAATGTAAGGTCAAGTAGAGGAACTGACCCAAATCTCTGTGTAGGGGTTTCATCCAGGCATATATAAGTGAACTAAAAAAACAACAAAAGCAGTATGAATTTTACTTCCCGTTAATTTAGGGACAGGGCACACTTTTTTTTTTATGTATTTCCAATTCCTTTACAGAATTTCCCTTTCTGTGTGATGTCTGTCAATATTACTCGTATTGTAATCCAAGTGCTGAGGGAAGAACGCCTTTCCAGGTGAGTTCGTTGCAGATCTCTTTTATTACAGATGGCATGGTAGAGCTGTGTTCAAGTTGTTGCCACTCTTTTCCTTGGTATGGAACCATGCAACTCAAGAAGAATGAAAACATTTACATTAGTGTGGAAATTAAGTACCGCTTCCGTAAAATGTTGGGAATATATTGAATACATTTTTTTTGAAAAATTCCACGAATACAGAAGATCCAGGACTGTAAGCATAACTGACAGGTCAGTCAGCTAAATTGAGGCCCACTGCAAGCTAGATCCTTATCTACTCTTACCCCATGTGAGCCAAATTTGATAGGAGGTGGGCAATCCTCCTGTCATTCAACCAATGCATCCCTGTGAGGAATCATACAGCTGATCCCTGCAGAAAGCAGGTACCACTACTCCTCAGATGATGTTTTCCCCAGTAGGGGACGCAGGTGGCGCTGTGGTCTAAACCTCTGAGCCTCTTGGGCTTGCTGATCAGAAGGTTGGCGGTTCGAATCCCCGCAACGGGGTGAGCTCCTGTTCCTCCGTTCCAGCTCCTGCCAACCTAACAGTTCGAAAGCACACCAGTGCAAGTAGATAAATAGGTACCACTGTGGCAAGAAGGTAAATGGCATTTCCATGCGCTCTGGTTTCTGTCATGGTGTCCCATTGTGCCAGAAGCAGTTTAGTCATGCTGGGCACATGACCCGGAAATCTGTCTGTGGACAAACACCTGAAAGCGGAGATGAGCGCTACACCCCATAGTTGATTTCGACTGGACTTAACCATCCAGGGGTCCTTTACTTTTACCTTTCCCCCAGTGCTCTCCATCGTGAAAGAGGGGGATGGAAAAGCTGAATAGGGCATGCAGCTTGAAAAACAAGCCTTGCTATATTTTTGGTTTACCACTCGTGGTTTGTTTAAATGGTAAACCACGACAAATCATGCACTGTGTGTGTGTGAAGAGTCCTGGAAGACTTGCTCTCTGCTTTGCATGTTTTTTCCGCCTGGCCTGGTATGGCAGGGCCCTGACTGACTCCAGCTACAAAAGCTGAGGCTGTTGAACACTCTTCGGCTGGGGTGTTTGGGGGTATTTTGTTGGGGTGGGGTTGTTGCTGGGGTTGGGTTTTTTTTTTTTATCTTCATTTTAGATCTTGCGATTTACCGGTATGTGACAATTCTTGTGCATTTTTTGATGTTTCATTTATTGTTTATGACTACTTTTGTTGTGTTTCAATTTTTATGTAGTAAGACACCTTGAGCATTAGAGGCACATTCATGATTAAACCATAGTTTATGACATGGGACATGCAGATGTTTTGGAGAGGCATTTGCACCCCAAAGCCACGCATTCTTACTTTGGAGTAAGCCTTGCTATGTTTGGCAGGGCTTACTCGCTAGTAAGGAGGCTTAGGAATGCAAATTTTCAGGGGGAGTGCATTGCTGCAAATGTGGCAAGTAGCAGGAGTCACACCACTTACTGACACTTGGTTTTTAAAGTGAATTTAAAAAGTGTCCCTTTAAAAGCAAACTAATTCAGGGCAGCTCATGGGTAGGATATTACTTTGGGGGTATAATTTTGTGGGGAATTTTATTTAGTGCTGCCTTGGGGGTTATGATAAATGAAGGCCAATGAAAGGGAATTGATTTGGAGCAGAAGATGGGGGGGGAATTAATTGGGAGGGGGAATTCATTGTGCGTTTGCTTCAAAGCTTTGTTCTGCTCAGAGGGGGGGAAACATTTTACACATGCTCAGTGCCCGAGATGCCAGACTTTTTGAGAACAAAATGTGACAACCCTATTCATCCTCTTCCAAGATGTGGAAAGACTACCTCATTCCTTCCAGTCCGTACTGCAGAAATTGGTGACCATTTTTTGTCAGTTCTGGAAAAGGGGAGGAGGAAAGATTGCCAGGAGGGCACTTACAGAATTAAAAGCAGCCTAGAATTCCTTAGTACCTTCAAACCTAACACATTTATTGTTGCCTTAGCTTTTTGCAAGCCAAGATCTTATTTCTTTGGATGCATGCATTGTACCATGTTGGTTTCATAGTGCTTCATGTACACCTGGTATTGTAGTGACCCTTACTGTGAGCCTCCAAGGTAGACCTGTTTTATTATCCCCACATGCTGGGGGAAGGGACAGTGGCCATGGCTAGCACACATAATAAAAAGGTAAAGGACCCCTGGATGGTTAAGTCCAGTCAAAGGTGACTATGGGGTTGTGGCACTCATCTCGCTTTCAGGCCGAGGGAGCCGGCGTTTGTTCACAGACAGCTTTCCAAGTCATGTGGCCAGCAGGACAAAACCACTTCTCCCCCCACCCATAATTTTTATTAAATTTTTCCAAATATCTTAAACACAATACAGCTTAACAATATTTCTCTATATCTTATCTGAGTTAACTTCCCTCCACCCCTCTTCTGGCTTCTCTACATTGCTCCTGCTTTAAGCGCGATTACTATATATACATTCTATAAGTGTCTATAATTCCTTAATAAATTTTTGTATTATACTTTAGACATACATTCCTTATTACAATACAACATTACATCTTGTGGTCTAACCAAATGCTTACAATAAATGTTATGAGTTTTATTTCAGTCCTGTGAGTGTCTTTATTTATGTACAATTTTCTCTTAAGTATACCATAAATTTGGACCATTCTTTTTGGAATTTCTCATCGTCCTGCTGTCGGATTCTTCCAGTTAGCCTTGCTATTTCCGCATACTCCAATACTTTCTGTTGCCATTCTTCAATTGTTGGGATATTCTGTTGTTTCAATCTCTGTGCGAGGAGTAGTCTTCCTGTTGTTGTGGCATACAGGAAGAATTTCTGATCCTCCTTTTTACTGTCCTCTCCAACCAGAGCGCATGGAAACTCTGTTTACCTTCCTGCCACAGCGGTACTTATTTATCTACTTGCATTGGTGTGCTTTTGACCTTCTAGGTTGGCAGGAGCTGGGACAGAGCAACAGGAACTCACCCCGTCATGGGGATTTGAACCGCTGACCCTCTGATCGGCAAGCCCAAGAGGCTCAGTGGTTTAGACCGCAGCGCCACCCGCTGGGCCACCATCTCAGGCTTTCTTTTGACATGGGTGTGTGTGAACTTCCCCTTGTTTTACCTTAAATTCCAGAGGCGTGTTGTCTTTCCCCCCAGCAAAATGAAATGTTTCTTGGCAAGCAAAAGCATGCTCTTAGTGACGGAAATGCAAGTCTTTGCCAGCCAATATGGAGTGACATTACTGAGCCAGATCGACCAGAAGTCTGAATTGGTATAAAGCAGCTCCTTGTGTGTCGTTTCCCCTTTTGTCTTTTCCTGTTAATAAGGCCCAGTGATAGGGAAGATGACCCTGGGAATAAATTTGTTGTACTTGTCTCTTTCAGAGAGTGTAATCGAAGGCAGCAAGTCATTGCAGTGCTAAATGATTTGTACGTGGCTGTATTTTTGCGCCTCTTCAACATCTGGAAAGCACAACAAAAGACTATTTCCGACTCTGGTTTTGTTCTAAAAGGTGGGCTGTTTTAGTCCTGTTCAAAAGAAAGAAAATATACAGTATAATAATTCCTTGTTCCGTGCATATACGTTCCTTTATGAGAGAGCTGATTGCCATGATCAGACTCATGTGCGGAGATAAATGTTTGTGTCATTGATTCTTGAATATGGTGCTGCAGGCAAATGCTATGTATCAATTTATAACTGGGGAAATAAAGCAAATGTGCTGGCATTTGTTGAATTTGCATAACTGAAGCTAGGTCTGACACCTAATTAAATAAATTCTAGCTGATTAATCAGGTGTTTTAATTAATTAAATAAATCTGCCTAAGTTTGCATATTCCTTATAGAATTCCACAATTCTTATTGAGGAAAAGGAAAAGGTGGTATATAAATGTAATAAATTATATGTGTGTGTGTACAGACACTCTCTGCATGCACAGAATTTCTGAGGTTTCAGCTGTACTTGCATCTTCAAGCTAGTGCATCTTCAAAGCTCCTGCCTTCTTTTAAAAATCAGGACTCCAAAATGTGATTCTCGGATTGCCAAATGCTGCACCCAGTCCTGAATTCTGTGTTTGTAAGATGCAATCATGAACCTGCAGAACACTCCCCTGACCATAGCTGCTTAAACTCCGAAGAGACTGGAAGAATTTGGAAAGCTACTTTTTACTTGGCTTCTAGACTCCTCTCCAAAATGTCATTTTCATAGCTGTGCAGGTTTGCAGTAGATTTTCTCCATGCTCTTCTTCATAACTTTATAAACCTTTACCCCGATACCACCACCAACCCTGCACTTGGCTTAAAAAGCTCAAAAGTGGCCTTTCCTCACAGGGAAGGTGAGCTGGAAGTCAAAATGGCTAGCCTTTTTCCAACCCAGGTGTCTTGACTTCTTCAGAGCATGTTCCTACCAGATACAGTGACACCTCGGGTTAAGAACTTAATTCGCGCTGGAGGTTTGTTCTTAACCTGAAACTGTTCTTAACTTGAAGCACCACTTTAGCTAATGGGGCCTCCCGCTGCTGCTGCGCTGCTGGAGCACAATTTCTGTTCTCATCCTGAAGCAAAGTTCTTAACCCGAGGTACTATTTCTGGGTTAGCGGAGTCTGTGACCTGAAGCGTATGTAACCCGAAGTACCACTGTATCATGTTTCTCTCTCTCTCTCTCTCTCTCTCTCTCTCTCTCTCTCTCTCTCTTTTTCTTTTTGCAGAAGTGGAAGCATTTGCTAAAAGAAACCCGAAGCAGCTGCTGAGACATTTGGAGACTTACATGAACGGGATTTCGCTTTCAGCAGGGGAAGACGGCTTTCAGGCCAACGCTTTCACCTCGGAGGTTCTCGGTTCGAACCTGAACTCTGTGAGAGCTGACAGTAAGGAGCTGAATTTTACTGGAGTCGGTGACCTGCCGACGTCGGAGAGAGAGCAAGACAGCTGATCCGGTCCCAGGGAAATGGGAAAAGTCCTTGTACATGATAAGTCGACAAAGCCGGTTGATATGGTCTCTTAGTGGCTCTGTGGCCCGGCTGCAGAAAGGCTCACAGGGAGGGCTGAAGGTCTTGGAATGCTGCTAAAGTAGAAGTGCGGGGGCTTCAGTTTGGGCCAGAGGCGCTAAGCAAGGTATAGCGAGAGCCCCAGGGGTGGAGTCTGGGTTCAAGAGCAAACTGCTTCAGTTCCGCAACGAAGCAATCTGGGCAGGATCCATTCATCCCGGTTAGTAGCACTAAAGCTGTGAAGCTGACCTTTCTTTTGTTGCGGGAGTGTATATCTGAATTTCCAAATCCTCTCGCACACTGAAAATAAAACGTTCTTCCGGTTCCCAAGGTTTGTTAGAGCTAAGAAACCTATGTTTATGCATTGCTGAATGCGAGCTAATGTGAGCCTTGAGCTGCTGCAACCAGAGGCTACAATTCCTTCAGTTAGGATTTTTATTATTATTATTATTATTACTGGGGAACGTACGAGACACAAAGCTGTTGAATCCTTTTTACTCCCGTCAACTGGGAAGCATCGATTTCTCAGTTGATGTGCACCTGCTGTGACATATCAACCCACAGGATGTGTATGTGTGTGTGTGTCTTTTGTTTTTTTAAATGGGATTGTCAACAGGAACCACTGAATGTGTACTGAAATTGTGAGCACCCGACCTATATGCTATTGAGGGTGGTCACAGACAACCAGCAACGACACAGTAGTTGTGTGAAAACGTACCATATGGCGGCTGCAACTGCAAGGTGAGGCATTGTGTGGCTTTCAACCATCTGGGAAACCCAGTGGTTACTACACCTCGGTTTTCCCGGATGGCTGGGGTGGTGAGGAGGGATGGTAGCAGTGGTACTACTAGGCTTACCATATGACTGGCTAACATATGAATGACTCTTGTAACGTGGTGGAAACGGCCGCACTTTTCAGCAGCTGACATGTGGTGCCCAGTGACTCATTTTCACTCTGCGATAATCTCCTTCGGACGTCCTGTCCGGCGTACCAGCTGTATTGTATGCAAAGTTGTAGCCCTGGCTGATACTGGGCTTTTCCATTAAACTTACTACAATCTTCAACCCTAAGCTATGTGTCTGTTTTCTTCATACCATGACATAAAAAGAAAAAAGAAAAAAGTAAAGGTCCTCTGGATGGTTAAAGGCGACTATGGGGTTGCGGTGCTTGTCCCGCTTTCAGGCCGAGGGTGCTGGAGTTTGACCACAGACAGCTTTCCGGGTCATGTGGCCAGCATGACTAAACTGCTTCTGGCGTAATGGAACACCGTGAGGGAAACCAGAGCTCATGGAAACGCCGCTTACCTTCCCGCCACAGTGGTACCTATTTACCTACTTGCACTGGCGTGTTTTTGAACTGCTGGGTTGGCAGGAGCTGGGACAGAGCAACAGGAGTTCACCCCGTCATGGGGATTCAGACCACCGACCTTCTGATTGGCAAGCCCAAGAGGCTCAGTGGTTTGGACCACAGCGCTGCCCATGTCACCTTTGAGTTTAAATAAACGTACTTATAGAGGCACTGTGGGCTGCCACATTGCTCACCAACTCTATCTACCCCACCTGCAAGCCCCTGCCAACTTCCACCGTCCCTTTATACCTCACCCAACCCCCTGCGACCCCTCACAACTCCTTTGTGTCCCTCCGTCAGGATGGTGTCCAAAATATAAAAAGCCTAAATGTATTACCTACAAAGTTATTTTTGTTTCAGTCAATTCTGAAGGTTGGTTAGACATTGTTTCAATGCATGGCAAAATGATATTTCTAAATATATTTGGCAATGGAAAAAATCAGAAATAAAATATAAAATATTGATAGATGCAAAAGAGAGAGGTTTCTCTCTGCTGGATATGAGATTATACTATGAAACATCTCGTCTTTGTTGGTTGAAGGAATGGATGACATTGGAGAATTCACATATTTTAGACTTTGAAGGTCATGATAATATTTTCGGTTGGCACGCTTATTTATGGTATGAAAAGGTGAAAGTACATCAAGGATTTACAAATCATATAATTAGGAAAAAGTTGTATAGAGTATAGGATGAATATAAAAATATATTAGAGGCAAAAACACCATTTTGGCTCTCACCATTGGAAGCTGTAGCGGTAAAGAAAAAGAATATGATTGAAGGTGGACAACTTATAGAAAGGAAAGTATCAAAAGAATTTTAGGAATTATCAGGAAAATTAATAACATGGATACAATATCATTTGAACGAAGTATTTAAGAAAGATAGAATACAAGGGATATCACAACTGGAGAGAGATCTGTTGGAATGAGATGTAAAAGTGCTGTCTAAAATGTATAAGATATTGGAATAGGAGACAAAGGATAAGCAAATAAAATCAATGATACATTGGGCAATAAATACTGGTCATAATATAGATAGGGAAGCATGGGAACGTGTCAGGGAACTGCCATCGGAAGGAAGGGAGGTGAAAGGACTCAGACAGGTTGGAAGAGACTCAGCAGCGGAAGAGGGAACCAGCAAGGGGAGAGAAGCTGAACTGAGGGAGGTGAAAGGGCTCAAACAGGTTGGAAGAGACTCAGCAGCTGAAGAGGAAACCAGCAGGGGGAGAAGCTGAACTGAGGGAAAGGGAGCTGGGGGATGGCTCAGAGAGACTTCCAGCGAAAACAGTGGTGAGGTTTCCGGACCTCCTGTTGGGACACCCACTCCTCGCCGGAAACTGTCACGCAGAGAGTCCAGAAGACGTGTTTCCGTTAAGGAGCTTTTATGTTGGAAGCGATTACGAAAGCAGCCACTGTCGGAATCTTCTAGTGACTAGAGGAGCCATGTCAGAGGGGCTCAGTCACAGACAGAGGTTTGTGGACTTGAACAAACTCTGAGGGAATACGATTTTACGCACAAGCAGCTCATCTTCCCATCACAGAACGATTGTGGAATATGGATATAAAATTTACAGATTATTGTCTAAGAGAAAATTATATGAAAATGCTATATTGATGGTACCTAATACCGAGTAAATTGGCAAAAATGTATAAATCAAAATCAAATAAATGTTGGAAATGTAAAGAGTAAGAAGGTTCTTTTCATCAAATGTGGTGGTCTTGTGGTACGGTTAAAGCTTACTGGGAAATGATATTCATTATACAGTGGTACCTCGATTTTCGAATGATTCCGTTGACGGACATTTCGGTTTACGAATGCCTTAAATGCTTTAGTTTTCGGACATGCCTCAAAAGTCGAACATGCCACATGGCTTCTGTATTGAGTTTTCCATATTGAGGCTTCCATATTGAGTATGTGGTTTGCAAATGTTTCAGAACTCGAACAGTCTTCCGGAACAGATTACGTTAAAAAACCAAGGTACCACTGTATAATGAATTGAAAAATATGTTTAAAATAATGTTTGTAAAAGAACCCAGAAGCCTTCCTTTTGGGAATTATAGGGACAGAACTACCCAAACTGTATAGAAATTTATTCATGTATGTGACTACAGTGGCAAGATTGTTACTTGCTGAAAAATGGAAAGAAGTCCCAGCGAAAGAAGAACGGATACAAAAACTTAACGGAATATACAGAAATGGCAAAAATTACGGAAAAATAAGAAATCAAGATAACAAGCTTCTTATAAAAGAATGGAAATGGTTTATTGAATATTTACAAAAAAAACCCCAGTAAACAGATAAGAACATTGGCAGGATTGTTGTAATAACCTGCAGATTTATAGGAGTATATATTTAAAGTAGATGAATAAATGAGTAAATTAAGTTAATTTGGAATATTCAGAAAATATAAAAAAGAAATTTATATATAAAACATAAATGCACAGTGTTGCACACTGGAGGGGTTGTTTTGGGGGAGATTTGCTTGGGATCAGATGGTACTGCAAACTTCAGTATTGCATGCAAGCTTTTGAATGACACTTTGGTACAAGGCTGATCAGACCCAGAGCCTTATCGTGCTAACAGGCCTTGCTGTTAGTATATAATAGACCCATATTCTTATCTCTGATGTTGCATAAAGAAAGTTTTCTCCATACTAACTTCTTCCAGGAGGAAACAGAATTAATAAACGAACAGTTGCAACACTTGTGTGAGGGACGTCTCCTCCAAATCTATTCCTGTGGCATGGCCACACTTCTTCCATTTCTCAAAGGGAGCCCTGAAACAGTGTGATCTCTGATCCAGTTGCCTGCCCTGCCCTTACATTACGTGAATAATTTCTGCAGCCTCTGTAGTACAGTACAGTCGGCTCGCAGCCTACACAGAGATTACGTTCTGGGGATTGTGCCTAAAGCCAAAATAGTGTACAGTGGTACCTCGGTTTACGAACTAAATCCGTTCGGGAAGTCCGTTCTTAAACCGAAACTGTTCTTAAACCGAGGCGTGCTTTCCCTAATAAGGCCTTCCGCCGCCAGTGCCCTTCCACTCTTCGGTTTCCGTTCATAGACCGAGGTAAAGTTCGCTGACCAAAACACTACACCAGAACTACTGCGGAGTTCGTATACCGAATAGTTTGTAAACAGAGCTGTTCTTAAACCGAGGTACCACTGTATAGTCAAAACACACTGGGTGCAATGGCAGGTGGGATTGCCAAAGTCTCTATTCCTGGATGTCCACCTACTTGTAAACTACTTTTTTTTGCCGATCATGTAAAGCTGAAAGTTGTGAGCTTGCTGCATTGTAGCTTCTGCACTTGGACCATCCACCCCTGCTTATTCTTCAAGCGTCTCTGACTGTTCCTTGTTGCTGGTTATTTTTTCCTGAAGCCTGCATATGCACAACTCTACTCAGGCTCAGCCTATTGTATGCGCACATATGCTTTCATCCTGCAAAAGGGCGCTTTTGTGCCTCTTAGGTTTTATTCCAGTTTTTTCTTAAGCACGCAGTTGTGGCAGGAACAAGTGAGATCTGCAACAAAATTTTGTTGTGCATAGTGCCGGCCATGTCCTTTTCCAGGAGACTCCCAACTGGAGGCAGAGCATAGCCATCAAAGCTAGTAGCCATTGACAGCTTCCCATAAGCTTGCCCGATTTTTGAACACCATCCAAGGTTGCGACCATCGCTGCCTCTTGTGGGAGTGAGTTCCACAGTTTATCTTCGCGCTGCTGTAAGACCCTTTCAGGAGTCTTCATTATGCCCTCTGAACTCACTCCAGGCCACACCCTGTACCAGCCTAGCATTGCACCTTCGTTGAGTATTTTGGTCTGTGTTTGAAGTCCCATGATAGTGTTCCTTGTTTGCCTGGATGGAGTGGGTGGATATACAGTGGTACCTCGCAAGACGAATGCCTCGCAAGACGAAAAACTCGCAAGACGAAAGAGTTTTTCGTTTTTTGAGTTGCTTCGCAAGACGAATTTCCCTATGGGCTTGCTTCACAAGACGAAAACGTCTTGCAAGTTTGTTTCCTTTTGGATTTTCAATGCATTCCTATGGGAAACCGTGCTTCGCAAGACGAAAAAACTCGCAGAATGAATTAATTTCGTCTTGCGAGGCACCACTGTAATAGAAACCTACGACTTGTGTGGCAGGAATGCAATTGCCATACAAAGGTAAGAGTCACCCCCATTGCTCTGCCCATTTTTGCTTCTGGACTCACCTGTCCATAGCATGTGGCCCCCAAGAAGGTTCAATGCGGCCCTTGGTCTCCAAAAGGGTTTCCATTGCTGCTTTACCAAAAAGCGCAGGGAAGGTATATTTAAACCTTTTTTTGGCAAATGCTCTTAATTTTTAAACAGCTTATGTGATCTCAAGATTCCCGGTTTCTTACCGGAACTAGATAATTGCAGTGTTATTGCAGAAAAACAGCTGTGCAATGCTCTGTGAAGGAAAAGGGATGAGTAGAAAGACTTCTTCCGTTGCCCGTGATTGCACATGACTGTATTTGATTGATCTGGCTTTCTATTCTGTGGTCTCAGAACACATTGTTCACAATCTATTATGAAACACAAAAGAGAAGAGATGAAGTACATTATTATTTATTCTACGATAAACAACAACACCCAAGGAAAACCTTGAAATCTCAGCCAAGTGACAACATCTCTCACCCCACACCTAGTGCAGATGTTTTGTCTCAGAAGAAGCTAAGGAAATGGGGCTTTGAAATATCGCAAGATATTTCCACCTGAACCGTTCCCCCTCCTGATCTTCCCTGTTCACACACACATAAGAAGATTGTACGGCAATGTTTCCTCCCTCTAGTGCAAAGGGCGCATTCCCCCAGACTTGGAGAAGCCTCATTAGGAGCAGATGTGCTTGGCCTCTGGTGCTGCTGAGAATATTCCTTTGTACTGAGATGACTCCATCATCTCAATACGGAAAGGCAAGACTGCTGGGAACGGGGCACTGTCAGTGTTGTGTTGACTGCCTGATCAGGACTCAGTGTTTGGATAACGATTGCAGGGGGGCTGGCTGCGAATGCCTTCCCCCAATTGGCTGCCCTTTGTGATCTCAGTAAGCATCTATGGAGCAGTCAGCCCCCCTTCCCCGAGTGCCTTGGCTCCCGTGTAGCCTTTAGAGGGGCCTGGAATCTGGATCGGAGGCTACTGTGTTGTTGGTGTCACTGCCTTGGAGCTACTGCATATTGATGAGGGAGGCTGAGCCCACAGCTTTTTCGAGCTCTGCAGAGAAGGGAGGCAGTGGAGTGGCTGGGAATAGCACTGTTCCTGGACAGGCAGGCAGGCGGGCAGGCAGGCAGCTGCCAGCAGGCTCTCCTAATAATTTTTGGTTTTCTCCCTGTCTCCTCCTCTTCCTCCTCTCCTTTCTGTCATCTGGACCCATCAGATGGGATGTTGAGCTAAGAGCAGAGTTGCTGCCACACTCAGGTGTGTATTTGTGGACATTGGGGTCGGGTGGGATGGGGGAAGGTCGGGATAATGCTGGAGATAGTGCTCATGTGCCAGGGCTTCTAAGCAGCCCTTTTCTATTGTCTGATGCAAAAGGCCCGGCCAACGGCATACTGCATTTCCGAAGCTGGAGGTGACAGCTTTGCCGCTTGGATGGAACAACATTGCTGCTTGGGAAGGGAGGGAGCCGAACAATTGCATATGTGCACATGCACAGCTGTGCTTGTCGGACTAAGGAGAAAGCAGTGCGTGCGCCTGAAGATTGCTTGCTTGTTTGGAAAGAGAGAAGAGGTTTCTGCATTCGTGTATATGGTGTGAGAGGAGTTGTGTGTACAGGTGGGTAATCTGTGTGCATGTGTGCGCACAGGAGGCTGACTGGGACCCTGAGCAAAGGGACTGGGAGATGTGACCGGGTGTACTTTGCACGAGACAAAGAGGATTGCGTTGGAGGGGAATTGCAAAGAAACAAAAACAAAAAAACCCGCCCATGCTTCTGCTACCAAGGCAATGGAGGTTCTGTTTACAAGACTGCATGTAAGAGGGGGGTTCTTTTTGTGGATGCTCCTTGACATTTAGGCAGTCAGGGGAGATGGTGGATATATACAGGGCGTCTGGCTCGTAGCATCGCTGAGCATGTGTGGGGAATGGGGAACTGCTGTAGTTTTCCTCCAGCGTTGGGAAGGGAGCTGCAATGCCCTGCTAGCGAAGTGTGTTTTGTGGTGCAGCTAAGGAAGAAAAGCAAGTTTGTGTGGTGTGCAGAGACGGGCGTTGCTGGCGTGTTTTGTGGCAGGAGGGTGTTCCCGTGGGCAGGCAAGGGGAGGCAGGTTGTGTCTCTTTACCGAAGGATGCTGTGTAGGCAAAAAGGAAGGGGCATGGGGCATGGCTTGCGGTGCTCATGCGTTTTCCAAGATCAGCATCGGGAAAGGGCTTTGTTATGTATCTGCGTTGCTTGGCTGGCTCACGAAACAAGGTGACCTCTTGTACTCTGTGACCCTGGACATATTCCCGGGAGAGGCCTCTATATTCTGCAAGGAGAGCACATTTGGAGAGGTGGTCTGGGGATGACGGGACAATAGAGCACAAAGCACCCACCTCACATCTCGACCTCTGGGCCTGACACCCAACATTTACAGAGCATGCGCCTTACAGAGCGGTCCAATCGACTGGGTGGTGTTGGGTGGCATGGCCGGGCTAATGTAGTAGCCATCGTGTCACAAACTGGGAGACTTGAGGCCTGTTTCCCAGTTCCTGCTTTGTATGATGGGAATAACGGTGATGGACCTTGCAGGTTTGTTGTGGCAATCAAAAAGTTATGGGGGGGGGCAGACAGCCCCGGATACATCAAGTGCCTCTCTTTTATCAGGGATACTCCCTGTTTTCCGGTAGTACCCTCCCCTGGAAATTTACCTTCCCTACTTTTTGTCCTAGTTGTTTTTTTGTTTACTTTTTTAGGGTTGCTAAAAAATTTCATGTAAATTTCTAGAGTTGTAATTCTTCAGAGTTCAGCTCCCTCCCCAGAGACCTCAAAAGTTAAACTTCCTGTTTGGGGGGGGGAGTGGAAACATAAATGGGACACAAACATTAAAGCATCATGCAGTATGCCAGCTATCATTCACTATCCTGCAGTTGTCAAGGTATATTTTGAACTGTCACTGAGCTGCTGTAGTTTCATGGATATATTTCTCTCTCCGACCCCCCAGCATATCTAGGGGAAATTGATGCAGCATTTAACTGATGGAGTAGAATCTCCTGCAAGGCGAAACTGGCAGAGAGGGAACTCAACTTGGTGTGAGAGTAGGATGATAAAAACATGCCCCTGGCTGGGTCTATGAAATGTTGGAGGGGGAAGGGTGACGCCCAGTCTTAACTACATGCCCACTGACATTTTCTGATTTGAGTTGCAAAAAAATGGCGACTGTTGTATTTCAGCAAGCTTAGGGGATGAACTTTGCTCACAGTGGGTTGGCTGATGATTGTATTTGAGGCCTGCATGGAATTTTCCTCCAGGCCCAGGAGGTTGGGCAGGCCCATTGCCTTCCCTTGTAGTAGCACGTGGCTGGGCTTGCTTGCATGAGTCATCTGGAAGCGTTTTTCTTAAGAGTAGCATCATGCAGAGTGTTGGCTCTCTGTGATATAAGTAACACTGGGAGCGAAGTCAGTTCTGTGTTGTCTGAACTGAGTGTCTGTGGATGTGTAGGGCTACAGGCACATATGTGGAGTTGATAGGGACTGAACCCGGAGCCCTCGTTCATGCAAAGCAGATGCTCTCTCTCTCTCTCTCTCTCTCTCTCTCTCTCTCTCTCTCTCTCTCTCGGCTATGGCCTTTCCTCCACCGCAGCATTACCAAGTTGTAAGTTTGACAGCAAGAGCTCTAAATGGGTGGATATCGAGGAGGGTGTGGCAAGGAACTGGACCAGGGCTGGCTTCAGACTTCTAGGAAGGGGAACTTGGGCAAAATATCCCCAGTGGGTTCCCATCTCTGACTGTTGCCTCCCTTCTTGCTGTGAGTTTACGATACGATACTATACAATACGATACAATACGATATCTTTATTGTCATTGTCTCATACAGAACAACGAAATTGAAAAAAATCTACACCAGACATTCAAAAACCAACAAGCCTGCTATCCCAGCTATCCTAGCCTGGTTAACCCCCTAAAAACTCTGAATTAAATACAATATACTCCCACAGAGACTACCTTCCACTGCGTTTAAAACCAAAATTGCATTTGGATAGAAACTGTTTCTCAGGCGGCTAGTCTTAGTCTTCCAGAAGGCAGAAACTGAAAGAACCTGCCATTTCCTCGACAGCTACAACAATGGTACCTTGGTTGTTGAATGGCTTAGCTCCCAAACAAATCAGCTCTTGAATGCCGCAAACCCGGAAGTAAGTGTTCTGGTTTGTGAACGTTTTTTGGAAGCGAAACATCCAGTGTGGCTTCTGTGGCTTCCGATTGAGTGCACGAAGCTCCCGCAGTCAATTGGAAGCTGTGCCTTGGTTTTTGAACAGTTCTGGGAGTCGAACGCAGAGACGTAGCTAGCTGCTTTGGCACCCGGAGCGGCGGAGGCAGGGTGATCTGCCCACGGGGGCAGGGCGATCCCTCCGCGGTGTGCCATTTTGTCATCTCCTCAGGGTTGACACCCAGCGTGGGCTGCACCCCCCGCACCCCCCTTCCTATGCCCCTGGTCAAACGGACTCCTGGAACCGATTAAGTTCGACAACCAAGATGCTGCACATCTTTCTATTTCTGCCAGCTGTTCCCTTGCCAGGAGGCAGCCAGCAAGCACCTAGGCATTAGCAATGGTGCGAAAGAGGAGCAGAAAGTGGGGGGGGGGATGTGAGTATGAGCCCCTGACAAAGGCATGAGCCTCAGCCTGGATGTTCCAACTTCTGGCACCAAACCTGGGTTGGACTAGATCACTAGTGTGGAACCTCTGGCCTGGGTCTAAAAGTGGCCCTCCAGGCCTGTCTGTTTGGCCCTTGGAAATCTCTCCAGGCTGCACCCCTTCACCCCAGCCCAAAGGCCTCTCTGGCTCTGCTTTACAACCCTAGCACTTTTGTCAGGCTGGATTGTGTCCCAGAACTCTGAAAATGCCTCTTCCATTCTGGGATGGAGCGTAGAGAGGGGTATGATGCTTGCTTTTGCTTGGCAACATCTGGAGGGCCCAAAATCCCCACACCTGAACCTGCATAGGGTTTGGAAACTTCAGCTGGTGCAGAATTCAGTGGCCAGCTTGCTCACCGGAGCATGACGGTTTGAGCATATTACACCCATCCTGGTCCAACTGCACTGGCTACCGATTAGTTTCCGGGCCCAATTCAAAGTGCTGGTTTGGACCTATAAAGCCTTAAATGGCTCAGGACCACAATACCTCAGGGACTGCCTCTTCCCATATGAACCTACCCAGTCCCCGAGATCATCTTCTGAGCCCCCCCTCTTCGTGTACCTCCACGAGAGGTCAGAAGGGTGGCAACACGAGAATGGGCCTTCTCTGTGGTGGCTCCCCGTCTGTGGAATGCTCTCCCCAGGGAAGTTCGCCTGGCGCCTTCACTAAACACCTTTAGGTGAAAGGCAAAAACGTTCCTTTTCAACCAGGCCTTTAAAATGCTGGCTCTTTTGGGGTTTTTTTATTGGGTTGTTGGTTTTGTTTTGATTTTATGTATTTGATATTTTATGTGAACCGCCCTGAGACCTTTGGGTATAGGGCAGTATAGAAATTATACATACATACATACATACATACATACATAATAAATAAATAATAAATACATACATAAATAATAAAAAAATGTCTGGCAGTGCCTCTCTGAGATTTCAGACTGGATTTTGGCCCTACCTGGAAATGCAGGGATTCGAACCCGTGACCTGCTTGCTAAGCAGATGCTCTCTCGCTCTCTCCCTCTCTCAGTACTTGGGAGCTTGTCAAAATGAAAAGCAGGGAGGAACCGGTGGCGATTTCATGGAAATATTTCCCGCTTTCCGCTTATCTTTTGACTTCCACCTTCAGTTTGCTTCTGTCGCATCGCCTTGGGCCAAAGGGAATTTGAGCAGTGAAATGAAGCAGCGCATCGGAAGCCCCGCTTCTGCTCCGCTGCCTGCCCAGAAGCCATGTGTCCCCTTGGAATTGGAGGTCATTCCTGCTACTGGCGAGTTATGGGAATTCAAGACGAAGGTAGATAAAATTAAAGATCAAGGGGCCAGGAAGGTCAGTGGCCAGGGGTGGGGAGGGAGCTGAGGATGTCTTGGCCTCTATGCATAACAGAGGTGAACAGACAAAAACTCTTTCTCTCTCTCTGCCCCCACCCCCGCCCTCCTAGCTGTTGGCAGGAGCTGTGTGAAAGACTTCAGGACTGGAATAATAAAGGTTTCTGATGCAAGGCAGAGAATAGCTATTGTTGCGGGTGGGCTGGAAGGGGAACAAGACATGGAGCGGTATTACGGATTAGGATGCAGGTGTCTTGGCACAGAGCCTTTTGTAATAATAAACACTTGGCTGAAGCGAACTCCTGAATGCCTTCCAAGCACATTTTCCCCCCTCAAAGAATTCTGGGTGCTGTCGTTTGCTAAGGATTGCTGGGAACAGTAACCCTGCGAGGGGTAAACTTCAGTCTCCAGAACTCTTTCTTGGAAATACAGTGGTACCTCGGGTTACATACGCTTCAGGTTACAGACTCCACTAACCCAGAAATAGTACCTCGGGTTAAGTACTTTACTTCAGGATGAGAACAGAAATTGTGCTCCGCCGGCGTGGCAGCAGTGGGAGGCCCCATTAGCTAAAGTGTGCTTCAGGTTAAGAACAGTTTCAGGTTAAGTACGGACCTCTGGAACGAATTAAGTACTTAACCCGAGGTACCACTGTAAGGTCCATCAAATGTGCAGCGTGAATGGACTGTGGTCCTTTACACGCTTCCCTGCAATAAGTTCCATTAAGTTTAGAGGGACTTGCCTCTGTTTAAGTCCCTCTAAACCAGCCTGTCTCAACCTGTGGGTCCCCAGATGTTGTTGAACTACAACTCCCATCACCCCTAGCTAGCAAGGCCAGAGCTCAGGGATGGTGGGAGTTGTAGTCCAACAACATCTGGGGACCCACAGGTTGAGAACCACTGCTCTTAACTGAATTCTAAAAAGGAAAAACTTGGACTCAGGAGGAGGAAGTTGGCAGCCAGGCCTACCTACTGAGGTGGTTGTAAGAAAGGAGTAACAAAGGTCGGAGGTGTCTGGGAGCGGACTGATGTTAGTAGAGCAGTGCCCTGTTTGCCTCTGGTAGACAGGTGTGGGATTTATAAGAAGAAGAGTTTGGATATGATATCCCGCTTTATCACTACCCTAAGGAGTCTCCAAGAGGCTAACATTCTCCATTTCCTCCCTCCCTCACAACAAACACTCTGTGAGGTGAGTGAGGTTGAGAGACTTCAGAGAAGTGTGACTAACCCAAGGTCACCCAGCAGCTGCATGTGGAGGAGAGGGGAATCAAACCCGGTTCACCAGATTACGAGTCCACCGCTCTTAACCACTACACCACACTGGCTCTATAATGTATACTGCTTTGAGAGTTTTGTGACGAAGCAGTCTACAAATCTTCCTCTCTCTCTCTCTCTCTTAAAAATGTCAGTCTGACTAATGCTACTTGATCTGTCCTAGCAAGCTTACAATGTTCCCATCCTTGGTCCAAAGTAGAAATAGCTGAATATGTCACTTTCGGTTTCTCTTAAGTTTCTCATCTCTCCCCCTTTCCTGCCACCCCACAATTTTAGGTTCAGTTCTCCACATTTCCACATCGGTTTATGTGTGTTTTTAGTAGTGTGCGTGAAAATTCATCAGCATTTTTGTGTGAATGAGACTTCATCTCTGGGTCGTGGGTTCGATCCCAACGTTGGGCAAAAGATTCCTTCACTGCAGAGGGTTGGTCTAGAGGACCCTCATGGTCCCCTTCCAACTCTGCAGTTCTATTATTCTCTTGCCATTTCCCCTAATATGTACATTTTTGCAAGGGAATTCCCCCCCAATTTTTGTATTTTGTTTCTACTCATATATGCATTCATGTGCACACCAAACCCTTTAGTACATGGGTAGGCAAACTAAGGCCCGGGGGCCAGATCTGGCCCAATTGCCTTCTAAATCCGGCCTGCGGACGGTCCGGGAATCAGGGTGTTTTTACATGAGGAGAATGTGTCCTTTTATTTAAAATGCATCTCTGGGTTATTTGTGGGGCATAGAAATTCGTCCATTTCCCCCCTCCAAAATATAGTCCAGCCCCCCACAAGGTCTGAGGGACAGTGAACCGGCCCCCTGCTGAAAAAGTTTGCTGACCCCTGCTTTAGCATATGCATTTTTGTACACATTACTCGGCATTGCAAAATTCAGAGAAGTGCAAATTTGAAGGCTGGATTGTGTTTCAGTCCACGTCTTGTTTTGGGAAGTGTGAATTAGGTAAAGGTAAAGGGACCCCTGACCATTAGGTCCAGTCATGGCAGACTCTGGGGTTGCGGCGCTCATCTCGCTTTGTTGGCCGAGGGAGCCGGCGTACAGCTTCTGGGTCATGTGGCCATCATGACTAATCCGCTTCTGGCGAAACGCCGTTTACCTTCCCGCCAGAGCGGTACCTAATTATCTATTTGCACTTTTACATGTTTTTGAACTGCTAGGTTGGCAGGAGCTGGGACCGAGCAACGGGAGCTCACCCCGTCGCGGGGATTCGAACCGCCGACCTTCTGATCGGCAAGTCCTAGGCTCTGTGGTTTAACCCACGGTGCCACCCGCGTCCCTTTGTGAATTAGGTAGGCTTGCCTTTAAATGGGATCTGAATCTTATTTTCTCTCCCACTCCTAGTCTGAGGCCTGGTCTGGAAGTAGAAAGCCCATATGCGCACCACTCTGAGCTATAGGCGTCAAATAATAAAGCATTTACCATCCCCATGTGCTCAGCTTTCAGGATAGCTGTGGAATGCTTTAAAATGACATGCAGATCCCCTCCCCAAATGGCAGCAACAGTTGCTTCTTTGTGCTGCGCGGGGTTGTCACAGAAACGGAGCGACGGTCAAATGATTCTTCGCATTTGTAATGGCTTTTGTGACAATGGAGAAGAGTTAACCCAGAAGAGCTTGGGCTGCTGTCTGCCCACCAGCAACCACGGCTAGATGGAAACAGCAGGCAAATGGGCAGCTTTCTTTTAGATCGGAGAAGGAGGCCTGATCTTTGGCTGCATCCCATGTTGCTGCAATGAACTCATTTTAAAGGTTGTAATATCCAAAGTGCTTAACAGCACACTTTTGAAACCGAGTTGGTTCAGATTGGGTGACGAGGCAAAAATGTAGCAAATTAAAGCAGGATATTTAGAAGCAAGAGATGCGGGTGCTGCTGTGGGTTAAACCAGAGCCTAGGACTTGCCGATCAGAAGGTTGGCGGTTTGAATCCCCACGACAGGGTGAGCTCCTGTTGCTCGGTCCCTGCTCCTGCCAACCTAACAGTTCGAAAGCACGTCAAAGTGCAAGTAGATAAATAGGTACCGCTCCGGCGGGAAGGTAAACGGCGTTTCTGTGCGCTGCTCTGGTTCGCCAGAAGCGGCTTAGTCATGCTGGCCACATGACCCGGAAGCTGTACGCCGGCTCCCTCGGCCAATAAAGCGAGATGAGCGTCGCAACCCTAGAGTCGGCCACAACTGGACCCAATGGTCATTTAGAAGCAAGCTGAGCGATTGCTGGAGTAATATCCTTTATGGACCATGTTGTTGTTGTTGTTTTAATCCTGGCAGGCCAGGGACTGAGGTGAAAGCTGTCCTGCTGGATCTCTCAGAGGCCTTTGACACCATTGGTCATGACAATCCTTCTGGACCGTCTAGAGGAGCTGGGAGCTGGGGGCACTGTTGTACAGTGGTTCCGCTCCTTCCTCCTGGGCCGTGTCCAGAAAGTGGTGTTGTGGAATGAGTGTTCAGACCCCTGGGCTCTCACTTGTGGGGTACCTCTCCCCCATGATTTTTAACATCTACATGAAACCGCTGGGAGAGATCATCCGGGGGTTTGGGCTGGGTGTTCATCAGTATGCGGATGATACCCAGCTCTACCTCTCTTTCAAATCAGAACCAGTGAAGTCGGTGAAGGTCCTGTGTGAGTGTCTGGAGGCGGCTGGAGGATGGATGGCAGCTAACAGATTGAGGCAGAAGTACTGTTTTGGGGAGATGGGGCGGGAAATGCCTTCTGGGTTGTCTGGGTCTTAACCCATTGTAATCCTAGTGTTTATACCAACACAGCACTAGGGAGTTGAGGTCCTCCTTATTTGCTGCTGTTGCAGAAATGCTCCATCCTAGTTACCCTAGAGAGTAACTCATTTCTGATGCTACAATGAAACATGCCTATGGCTGTAGGGCTGTTCTTGCATCGTTGAATGTCTACTGCTATTGGCTCATTAATGTCCTTTCTGTTCCAGAAGTCTCCCCTCTTCCATTAGGCTACCTAAGATGGAAGCCCCTCTGGTAAGCCTGGATGAAGAGTTTGAAGATCTGAGGCCGTGCTACATTGAAGACCGGGAAGAGAAATCTCATTATTTTTATGGCTCCTCTCCTCGGCATTTGGAAGACCCCTCCCTTTCTGAGCTTGAGAACTTCTCCTCTGAGATCATCAGCTTCAAGTCCATGGAAGATTTGGTCAATGAATTTGACGAGAAGCTCAATGTCTGCTTTCGGAATTACAATGCCAAAACTGAAAACTTGGCCCCTGTGAAAAACCAGCTCCAGATACAAGAAGAGGAGGAAAACCTGCAGGATGAGGAGTAAGTAGATCAATGGTCAGCTGTAGAAAGTTAAGTATATGTATGGAAGTAAATAGTGTCAGCAGTAAGCTCTTATTTAGGAAAAAGAAACTCTACTATTTTCCCATCCCTCCAAAGTAAACTCTTGAGGGAACCTGTTTCATTTTGATTCTCTGCAGAATCTGGAGTTGCACAACACTGACTGGCTAGCCTCTACATCAGTCACATAAAACCACTTCTTCAATTCTCAAGTGCTGGTTGGTTGGCCCTTGGCCATCACTCCCCGCTCTTCATAGAGCAGATTTGTAAACATAAAAACCCAAACTTCCAAAAGAAGAGAGAAGAAAGTGCCATACCACAAGGCCAAGGAAACCTTTTTGCTCTTGAAGGCCGCAGACAGGCATTGTGCAGGGCTAAAACCCAAAGTTGGCAAGTTGATGCTCTCTCTCTCTTTCTCTCTCTGCCACTCCCTTTTCTTTCTTTCCCTCTGCTTCCCGTGCTTTTGCTCTCTAATTTAAATCAGGTTCTTGATCTCTACTGTATTGCCTTATTTATTTACTGAAAGTCCCTTCTTGCCTGCATTCAGGCCATGCTGCCCTTGCAAGGTACTTTGTAAGAAGTTTGGAAAACACCTAAAGACGTCATTAGAAATATTTCATTTCATTTTTAGTTTTCCCTCCCCACCCACCCACTGCTTCAAGTCCCTTTAAATAGAAATGCAGTACAAGAAACGCAGGAAAATGCAGGGCAGAACCGCCCTCCCAATACTGATACAGCTGTGGATGGCAGGACTGTGATAGGGCAGGTCGACAGGGGCTTGTGGTGTGCAGATGCCACAACAGGTGCCCCAGGTTGGCTTAGTTGATGCCTTTGTGCAGGCCTGAACTCTCTGCCTCTGCTATGTCCAAGTAAGCTTCACGATGCCAGGGTTGAGAAGGGTGTTGAGAGGGTGACCTTGTGCCACAACACCAGTCACCACTGAAAAAGACTAATAGTAACAACAAGAACATAAATATGGGCTTTAATTGCTGTTGGCCTGATGCAGCCAGGGAAAGTTGCCTGGGAACTCTGGTAGCTGTAGTTCTGGAGGTGGCTGGAGGAGCCAGACACTTATTATATGAAAAAGCAGCATATATTTGAAGGATGTCAAAGGACAGTCCTGTGTCCGAAGGAGTTTGCTGTTAATGGGCTGTTTGGTCCAAGTCTGGGTGGTGAAGTTTTGAAGGTTAAAGGACCACAAGAAGGTGCTTTGAAGTTGCCTATCAAGAGTTAGCACCATGATCTTCTGCACTGTGGAGAGAGGTGTTGCATTTCCGTTGAAATTATTAGCTGCTCCTAACTTTCCATTTGTGCACATATATATTAGCAAATGCAAATATATTGGTGGCCTGTTCTTATATGATGTGATTGAATCCTTTCCTATATTCCTCACATCCACAACATCAGAAGAGGTGAGCATTCCTGGAAACAGCCTGGTTCAGAAGCAGCAAACTTGAGCTAATAAGCAAGGACATTGCACCTGAAATGGGACCATACCTGAGAGGTCCATGGGTGATTTCCATAGCTCTTACTCAGTGGTTTTTTCCCCAGCCGGAAATCACTGGAACTTAGTTCTGGCACCTCTCAAGTGGGCGCCATTGCCATTGTACGAGAACGAGGGAGGTGAGTTTCAGCACCTCTTTTTCTTCGAACACAACCCTGTTCTTACTTCAGAAAAGGGTTGCTGTTTTTGTTTTTATTAGGTATTTTGTAGTTTCATATCTTGCTTTTATTTTGTGAACTGCCCTGAGACCCCCGGGTATAGGGTGGTATATAAATTCAATAAATAATAATAGTACAGTGGTACCTCAGGTTAAGTACTTAAATTGTTCCGGCGGTCCGTTCTTAACCTGAAACTGTTCTTAACCTGAAGCACCACTTTAGCTAATGGGGCCTCCCGCTGCCGCCGCGCCACCGGAGCACAATTTCTGTTCTTATCCTGCAATAAAGTTCTTAACCTGAAGCACTATTTCTGGGTTAGCGGAGTCTGTAACCTGAAGCGTATGTAACCTGAAGTGTATGTAACCCGAGGTACCACTGTAATAATAATAATAATAATAATAATAATAATAATAATAATAATACAGTGGTAATAATAATTTATTATTTATACCCCGCCCATCTGGCCGGGCTTCCCCAGCCACTTTGGGGGGCTTCCAAAAAAATATTTAAATACTATAATACATCAAACATTAAAAGCTTCCCTAAACAGGGCTACCTTCAGATGTCTTCTAAAAGTCTGGTAGTTGTTGTTCTCTTTGACATCTGGTGGGAGGGCGTTCCACAGGGAGGGCGCCACCACGGAGAAGGCCCCCTGCCTGGTTCCCTGTAACTTGGCTTCTCACAGTGAGGGAACCGCCAGAAGGCCCTTGGTGCTGGACCTCAGTGTCCGGGTAGAACGATGGGGGTGGAGACGCTCCTTCAGTACCTCGGTTCTTGAATGTTTCCGTTGACAAATGTTTCAGAACCCGAATGCTGAAAACCCGGAAGTGGATGCTTCCATTTTCGAATGTGCCTCAGAAATTGAATGGCTTTTGCTGTGTATTTTTCAATTTTCTCAACTGAATTTGCAGACAGCCCTTTGGCGCCTCAGTTTTCGAACATTTCGGAACTTGAACTGTCTTCTGGAATGGATTACGTTTGAGAACCGAGGTACCACTGTAATAAGAAAGGGGGGGGGCTTTCTCCATGAGGACTAGTTCCATTGGTATAAAGTTCCGTGGGGAAAGATGTGTGTTTCCTCACTGATTTCTCCTGGAGTGGGAGCACTCCTATTGGACAAGAAGATGTTTTGTGTAACTGAGTTTTGGGAAAACATGAGGTTCTTCTGATATGTCTCTATACTAGTAAACAACGTGTCTATTCAGGAGAGGCAAAATATTGATGGCGTTAAGCCAAGGGTTGGGGGGGGGAGACTTTTGCCAGCTGCAAGGAACCAAACAGGGAAGCAACAGATTCAACAGCTGAAAGAAAAAGCAAATGAAAATCTGGCCGTTGTAGTACAAAACAAAGAGAATTTATGCTTCCTTCCACGAAAAGGATCCTAGGTTTGCTTTGGCTGTCAAAACAGTGAAGATGCTTCCTCCGTATCAGCTGTCTGCACAAATATTATGCAGATACCATTGTGATTGTGTAATAATATGAGATGCATTTAAACCAGGGGTAGGCAACCTAAGGCCTGGGGGCCAGATGCGGCCCAATCGCCTTCTCAATCCGGCCCGCGGACGGTTTGGGAATCAGCATGTTTTTACATGAGTAGAATGTGTCCTTTTATTTAAAATCGTTCAGCCCGGACACTGAGATCCAGCGCCGAAGGCCTTCTGGCAATTCCCTCATTGTGAGAAGTTAGGTTACAGGCAACCAGACAGAGGGCCTTCTCGGTAGTGGCACCCGCCCTGTGGAACGCCCTCCCATCAGATGTCAAGGAAATAAGCAGCTATCCTATCTTTAAAAGACATCTGAAGGCAGGGAAGTTTTTAATATTTAATGCTGTACTGTTTTTAACGCTTGATTGGGAGCCGCCCAGAGTGGCTGGGGAAACTCAGCCAGATGGGCGGGGTATAAATAATAAATAATAAATAATAAATAATAAATAATAAATAATAAATAATAAATAATAAATAATAAATAATAAATAATAAATAATAAATAATAAATAATATATTATTATTATTATTATTATTATTATTATTATTAAAATGCATCTCTGGGTTATTTGTGGGGCATAAGTATTTCAAAATATATTTCAAAATATAGTCTGGCCCACCACATGGTTTGAGGGACAGTGGACCGGCCCATGGCTGAAAAAGGTTGCTGACCCCTGATTTAAATGATGTGCAGCCCTCTTGTTTGAGGGAAGTGGTCATCTGTGCTGTGTGATCTGTCCCCCAGTTTAATAATTTGTGTGGCAAGAAGAGCACCAAGAGAAAAATCATGGAGAAGTCTATCGACGTGCAGATTATAGATATGAATTGTGAACTCAGACGCTGAGATACGATGAAGGCTGAATTATAACGCTTCTGCAGCCAAAACAAGGCAACTGGGAAACAAGAGGGAAGGTACTGGCATGCTAAAGGGAACCCTAAAATTTGCAGAAGCAGAAAAAATACGTTGAAGGGGGAAAAAATCAAGACAAACCAACCAGTGAGGACTTAGCACACCCAGTGTCTGCAGAAAGCTGACCATTGTGGGGAGGGGACATAGAAAAGGAGGGTCCTGTTAAGTTGTGGGTGAACATATCAGATGACACAGCGATTCTTCAAACAGCTCTTGTTTATTCCCAGGCCAGAACAGAACTGAACTGAAGGGTTCAGCCAGCCTGCTTATATAGAGCTCCAGAACAACATAATTGTAACATCTTTTTGTAACTATCCAATTACTGAACGTCACTTTCAATCCCTTATTTGCATATGTGAACCTGAATGAAAACTATCTACAGTATCCCCCTGCTGGCCCAGGGTGAGAACTTCAGTACATAACACCCCTCCCCACCGAGATAAGGCGTTAGTTACAATCGTAATGATTTTCTTATATACAGCACTACACGTAATGGTTCAATTAGGCACAAAAGCATATCGGTTACATTTCACATGCTTCCATTAGACCAACAGTGTTACATGTCCAACAACATAGTCCTTTAAATAAGTTGGGCGCTTGGAAACTCTGCCAGACTGCAGGGGACCGGTACCCAGGTCCGGGGGGCCGCCCGATCCTTGCTGAGGTGGCGTTGAAACCAAGTCCCCTGGATCCGCTGCTGTGGGTGGAACATCCACAAGTGGAGTTGGCAGAATGTCAGGCACGGCAGTGGTCAAAGCTGGATCTGTCCTTGAAAAGCCCACTTCCCCCCAAATTTTAAGTGTTTAACAGCAACAAAAATAGTAGGAATTAAAGATAATTACAGCCGCAGTCACATTTAAAGTGCTGTGATACCACTTTTGAACAGCCATGGTTTCTGCCAGATAATTTGTTGGGTACTGAGAGTCGTTGTTAGGAGACCCCTGTTCCCAGGATTCTTTGGGCGAAGTCATGTGCTTTAAATGTGCATTGAATATGCTTAAATGTACTATGTTAATCTGCCCAGCAATTTTAGTCGGCCTCCAGGTCACCTGCTCCACTTACCGATTTAAGAAAATTTATATGCCCCTAAGCAGTTTGCAAGAGATGGTAATTACAGTTATGAAAATAGTTAATTGAAAACATTAAAACTAAAATTAACAGGAAGAGAGATTAAAACGTGTTGACATCTGTAGGCATTTTTGCCTAAACAAAAATGTTTTAAGCAGGCACCAAAAAGCAAAAAACAGTACAGCAAAGGTTCCTGTCTGATATCAAGTGGCAGGGAGTTCCACAGTGAGGATGTTGACATACTAAAAGACTGATGTCTTACAACTGCGCTGGTGAAATATATTGTATTTCTATTTAAATGATAGAAAACCTTTCTAAATCTGCATATAAATTAGCACGTGTAAATTGCACGCAAATGTTTGCCTTTTGGGTGTGTGATGCGTTTCCTCCTTTTGGGGATGAAGTGTTAGCAGCCACCCTAGTTGCAGTCCCAGTACGGATGAACTATACAGTGGTACCTCAGGTTAAGTACTTAATTCGTTCCAGAGGTCCGTACTTAACCTGAAACTGTTCTTAACCTGAAGCACCACTTTAGCTAATGGGGCCTCCCGCTGCCGCCGCGCTGCTGGAGCACGATTTTTGTTCTCATCCTGAAGCAAAGTTCTTAACCTGAGATACTATTTCTGGGTTAGCAGAGTCTGTAACCTGAAGCGTATGTAACCTGAAGCATATGTAACCCGAAGTACCACTGTATGAGAATATATATTTTTAAACCCTGAACAGCTTGGCTCGTGGAAGCTAAATATTTGGAAATTAAAAAGAGGCACGAAGATATTTCCGATGCCCATGTGAGTCGGCATATCATGTCAAAAACATTTTCATTAGTATTATTGCTCCAGGGCTTCTTTCCCTTCATAGTGTCTTTGCAGCTCGAGCTTAGAAGATTTGGGCAGAGACTGGTTTCCTTTTACCTACAAGAAAACATTTCCTAATGGTTCTGCATCTAAAGAAGAGAATTGCTTAGGCACCTAAATGTTAGAGGGGCGATTCAAGTAGAACCATATTTTTTACTACTGCTGTCAGACACACCAACTCTAGGGGGCCGAAGACACCTCAGCCCCCTCAATATTTGTTTTAAGGGGGCTGGGCCCCCTCAATCCTGAGGTGGCCCTGTGTATGTTGTGTGTTGTGCATCGCAGGTCCAGTGGCCAGCTCCTCCTCACAAACGTGCCGTGCACAATGTGTGTGATGTTGACTGCCGGTACCCTCAATTTTGATGGTAACCTGGTGCCTCTGACTGTTCTTGCTACCTGCAGAGCCCTAGTCAAGCTTTGTATGAAAGCACTGAAGACAGAGGGGAGAATGCATGGTGGGGAGCTGGCAATTGGATATCAGAGCTTTGAAAGATGCTTCAACAGTGTAGCTGACTGGGCACAATGATCTGAAAAAATGCTACTACTTATACCAATCCATATTATTATTATTATTATTATTATTATTATTATTTAAATTTATATACCTCCCTATACCCAGGGGTCTCAGGGCAGTTCACAAAATAAGATCAAGATATAAAACCACAAAATACTTAATAAAAATAAAAACAACAACCCAATAGCGCCCCCCCCCATTTTAAAGGGCATTCAGGGGTGTCCAAACTTTTTTCAAAGAGTGCCAGATTTAATGAAGTGAACATACATGAGGGCAGACCAAAGTTGTTGAGGTTTTTTTAAGATGGATGTCGCTGAGCTTTTTTTTGGATTTTACCCCAAGACATATACTGCCATGGGGGCCGGTTTAAATTGACCGGCAGGCCGAATTAGGCCCCTGAAACGGACTTTGGACATATCTGGCATAGGATGTAAATCAGATCAACCAAAGGCCTGGTTAAAAAGGAACGTTTCTGCCTGGCACCTAAAGGTGTATAATGCAGGTGCCAGGCGAACTTCCCTGGGGAGAGTATTCCACAGATGGGGAGCCACTGCAGAGAAGGCCAATTCTTGTGTTGCCACTCTCCGGACCTCTCGAGAAGGAGGCACACGAAGAAGGGCCTCAGAAGATGATCTCAGGGTCTGGATAGGTTCATATGGAAAGAGGCAGTGCTTGAGGTATTGTGGTCCTGAGCTGTTTATATATACCATCAAGATAACCACTTGTGCATAGAAATGACACAGTTAGGAGTTATCAGTGGTGAGCTCGCCACATCATCTAGACCAATGTTCTTCACCCTTGTGCCCCCAGATGTTGTTGGATTACAATTCCCATCATCCCTAATAACTGGCTAAACTGTGTGAGGATGAGGGGAGTCATAGTCCAACAACATATGGTTGAAAAATTCAGATCTAGACAGAATAACCTAAAAGATAAATTCTCGTGATCAAGTTATATGTAAGGTTGGGGTCAGCATATTCTCCCCCCTTGTGTGTGTGGTGTTATATGGGTCCTGCTGCCATGCCCATGCTGGTCCTGCATGTTACTTTGCCCATGTGTGCATGATCAAAGTAGTCGTCCTATAGAAACAAACATGGCAGCCGCTGGGCTGTTTCACTACAAACAAGGCATGTGGCAGCAGCAGGGGTGTGAGAAGCAGAGGTGGCAAGGGCCAGGTAACAAGCAGGAAGTTCTGAACATTGGAGAGAATGTTGCAGGCTTTGGGTACCAAGGCCCAAGCGTCCGGTTTTGGACTGGTTTGCAGCAGGTGACACTCAAGTTTATCAGAAGCCTTTTCCCACAAGCCATCTGCTTTGGGGATGCTGCCAAACAATGACACACTGAATGGTCTAGTGGTGGGAGACACCACTGGGAAACAATTCAGATACAAGAATGATGAAAGCAAGCTTGGGCTGAGCGCTCCTAAGAGCTTTAGCTGTACCTGATTTTAGCAAGGGTGCAAATTGACAGGGTTTGGGGCAGATGATGGGTTTCCCCATCATCAACTGCCTGACAATTTCAACTGGAGATGCCAGGGATTGAACTTGTCATTTGACAGGAAAAGCGTGCATTCATGTACTGAGTTATAGTCCCTCCCCTTGAGGGTAGAATCTTAGAGATGTTTTGCCTGCATCTCAACCTTTGATGGGCAAGTTGCTAACTTGGAGCTATCTGTGGTTCTGCAATTCCTGACCTGCCTTACTGCCTTCTTTGGGAGATCAGGCATCAAACCAAAATATGCCAAGATTTCTCTGCTTCAATTCTCATGTCTGTTAAAACAAGAACCATAGTGACTGGTCTACTGGTACTGTTAAGAAAACTTATTGTTTACTCTACTCTTTTGGAATGGCAGGGTTAATCTGAATAGAGTGTTTGGAAGCAAGCATTTTAATGATTGCAACCAATTGGCTGCATCTAAAGAACTTCATTATGCTCACAGTTCTCTTAGTTGCAAAATATGGAGGTTCTGTAGCAGATCTTTGGCTGCTTCTAGTCTTGTGCTAGTGGAAGAAAGTTGTTAGATTGAGTTTTGTTTTTCCTCACACAATGCTCTTGCATGAGGTGTGAAACAGGGATGTGCAGAGTTGAATCTTGTTTGATCTAGAACCCAAAATTCTACCAGGCAGAGCCAAGTACAAAACACATTCAGTTAGAATTAAGGAACTGGCTGTCCTTGAGGAAATGATGAGCCTATAAATTTGCTTTCATTACCAGAACTGAGCTCAGGCTTTCACACACAAGTCTACTTCTGATTACCTAAACTTTTGTCATTTCAGTAGCCTAATTTAGTCATTTTGGGCACTTTGTATGGCCTGTTTGTTGACCATTCATACAATTTTTTGCGGGAAAGTTAGACAAGGTTAGCTATTTAAAGAGCATTCATTCTAACTTGTTTGCTGGGAGATTAGATGATATTGTGTCAAATCAAGTGTTAGACTAGTTTTGAGTGCATTTCCCTGTCATTTCCCTTATTGCAAAAAGTCCAAAATTAGGGGGGAAGTAGGTTTGTTGCATAAGAACTTCCAGTCTATTCCAATTGTGCAACCAAAAATAGCAGACAGCTCAGACCTTTGCTGATCTACTGCAAACCTCCCAGAGTCTGCCAGTAGATCCCAGTCTACCTTCTGCCCATTGCTGGGGCAAAAGGACCTTTCTGCATATGAAAGACACCTTTTGCTATCAGAAGGGCAGCTTTTTGATCCAAACCATTGTTTCATAGGCTGAATATTTTTCATGTTAAAACTGAATTAGAACCCCTCCTGTCATTTAATGTTTTTGAATTCGATCTCAGCAAAGAGAATTCAGTTCAGATCAACTACAGCACTGTGTTGACCTTGGACATCATAGGCGGTTTAGTGGTTGTTTGCGACTGGGGCCATTCAGTTGAACTGGATGTGGCGGCTTTGTGGCTCTTATTTTCCTCCTGCTCTCTTTTGAACGCTGCCCGCTGAGCAAATTGCTCCGAGGGGTGCACCCCTGTTGCCAAGGCAGCTTTCCTCCATTAACAACCTCTTGCCTTTTCTCTCTCCAGGGTTTGGGATGCTCTTACAGACAATTACATCCCATCCATCACCGAAGACTGGAGGGATCCTAACATCGAGGTGCTAAACGGCAACGTCTCCGACACAGAGGTACTTCCTTGGATTTGTGTCCTCCCCCCCTTTCCCATCCATGAATCATAAGATGAAATAATTGTTGGCAAGCTTGGGCAGAAGTACGCTGTTGAAGCACAGTGAAATGGGAGGACAGTGGTTAAGCAGCTGCATGAACGCATGCAAAACAAAAATCACAGCTGGCTGCCATTCCAGGAAGCAGGAGTAATCGAATGTGAGAACGAAGCTCTTGTCAGGTAGCTGAACAGATCTCTCAGCAATCCTTGAACTGGGGTCACCGTCCTTTGGTAATGGAAAGGCATGTATAATGAGGGGGAACAGTGAATGAAACAGCTAGATATGTGTGTGTCAAGGGAGGCATTGTCCTCTAGGCTGTTGTTCGCTCTGAGATTGACACTGGCGATGATTGTACCGCCTCTACCCCTGACACGTTCGGAACAATAGCTTGCCAGCCTTCAGGACAATGGTGACTGTGATGGCTAAAAGAATACACACATCACAGAGCAAAGGATGTCTGGGTCCTTGTGCATCTGCAGTGTGCCCCTTTGGAGTGTTGTTGAAAGGCTAGAGGGAGGAGGCTTTTGTGTTAGACCACTTGGAAGAAGTGAGGTCCTCTATCGCCTTTTCCTTCCAACAAAACCTATTGAACGGGAGAACGAGAGGGGCAGGGGCTGGGATTAGGATTTTGCCTGATGGATATGTAGAAATAGGATTCACTATATAGAGCTAGAGCATTCTGAGATAAGGAACACCAATTATTGTCTTCTTAGCTTGTGATTTTTTGGAATGAAGGACAAACCTTGAACTCTCCAGTGGATAGGAAACTCTGGAGACTGGCAGGACATTGGTTTGGGATGAGACTAAAGAGGAGAATTCATAGGGATGATGAAAACTGTGGAGTCTGGAAGATCCCAAGGGGGTTAGTGGATTTTGAAAGACCCTTGCATTCTTAAAGTAGAGAATGCTTGCATTCTTGAAGGTATAATCTGGCGACAATTTTCTTGGTATTGGGAGCATCTGGTAAGTCTAATAAGGATTTGGTCTGGGGGAATCAAAGAGGAAGAGACTCGTAGATATCTGCATCTTAAAAATAACAATGGCAATATCTGACAATATTTAAGTTAGGCATTTTGAAATATTGAAGACAATATTTAGTTTTTACTATGCATCAGAGACTTTTGCCATTTCACTGTTGGGTGTTTTTATCTCACCATTTCTGTAATTTTTGAAACCCGAGGGCTAATTGTAGCCTAGAAAAGAAGAAAACAGAAATGAAGGGAAGGAAAAACATACTTCAAACACAGCTCTTGGAAATCCACACTCCATATTCAGAGTCTTATATATAATTCAATGAATTTGGTGCAATCCCCCCCCCCCCCGGTTGCAGTTAAATTAGGCCTGAAGCATTCAAAAGGCAGCACAGCATTGGGAACATTTTTCAGCTCCCTTTTTAGTGCATCTGTAGGAGTTTTCAAAGAACACTTCAACCCATGTGCTCAATGAATACAGAGGATGAAGGGGGGGTGAGGACATCTTTACTATTGTTGTGTCTAACATGTTTGCATGCCACTCCCCCAGCAGCCACAAATTTGGCATTAGTGTGAGGACGTTCTGCCTGCTCACTTTCATCCAGCTTTCCCACGTGACTGGGATCCCTGATTGGCAAGCATTGCTGCTCATATGGAGACACTCCATGGGTGCACGTTATTTATTGAACAGCATTTATACGCTGTGCGATTGTTGTAAAATCTCTTTGTGGTTTACAGGAAATAGTCATTTAATGATAATTAAAAATCAACGTGAAAAAGAAAAAAAGACTGAAACGAACCAAGATCTACATGTCAGGGATACACTTGTCAAAACAAAATTAATTTAAGAAGGCACTGGAAAGAATACAGTGCTACCTCGGGTTAAGAACTTAACTCGTTCCGGAGGTCCATTCTTAACCTGAAACTGTTCTTCACCTGAAGCACCACTTTAGCTAATGGGGCCTCCCGCTGCCACCACCGCGTGATTTCTGTTCTCATCCTGAAGCAAAGTTCTTAACCTGAGGTACTATTTCTGGGTTAGCGGAGTCTGTAACCTGAAGCGTCTGTAACCCAAGGTACCACTGTACAGTGAAGGTGTTTGCCTGATGTCAATTGGCAGGTGTAGGTATCGCCACACTAAAAGATTGTTTTATTACAAACATGGCTTGAGTATAAGTGCTTAACTGGGCACAGGCGGGGCAAAGCGATTCTGCAAGTAAACAAGTCCCAAGCCATTTAGGGCTTTAAAAAGGTAAAAGGACCCCTGACCATTAGGTCCAGTCGTGGCCGACTCTGGGGTTGCGGCGCTCACCTCGCTTTATTGGCTGAGGGAGCCGGCGTACAGCTTCCGGGTCAAGTGGACAGCATGACTAAGCCGCTTCTGGCGAACCAGAGCAGTGCACGGAAGGTAATGCCGTTTACCTTCCCGCCAGAGCGGTACCTATTTATCTACTTGCACTGGCGTGCTTTCAAACTGCTAGGTTGGCAGGAGCAGGGACCGAGCAATGGGAGCTCACCCCGTCTCGGGGATTCGAACCGCCGACCTTCTGATCGGCAAGTCCTAGGCTCTGTGGTTTAACCCACAGCGCCACCCGTGTCCCTTTAGGGCCTTATATACCAGTAATAACACATTGAACTTGGCCTGGTAAATAGATGGCCATCAGTGCGGATCTCTGAGCAGGGGTGTAATCTGCTGACAGAATCTCACTCCTATCAGCAACCATGCTGCTGCATTCCTCACTAACCACAGCTTCCGGATCAAGCACAAGGAAGTGCATTGCTGTAATCCAATACTGAAGCCATCCCCTTCACACAAATGTTGAATATGGGGGTGGGAGGGCCAGCAGACAGGTCAATGGGCAGTGGAGGCAGGACTAGTGGGTACAAACTTGCCCGGGGACCATGTCTTTTGCTGCAAGGCTCTTCCTTTCCTGAACAGGAGGAAAAGTCAGCAGCGGGAGTTCAAGATGGTAAGTGAGGAAAGGAAATGCCCCGTGGTCTGTCTCTTTGTTGTCACCTCCTGCACCTACTGCTGCTGGGAAAGAAAGTGTCCCTCACGCTAAGTTTCCCTCAAGAACAAATATAATTTAGTTGTGTATCCGGAGACATTACAAAAAAACAAACAAAATAAAGTGCCTGAGATAGAAACAGTGCAATCTCTTCTTGTCTCAGGAAATTGGCAGTAGGACTCCCAGGGGGGAAAGGGGGGAATGGCAAGGGCTGGCAATAATGGAGCCCCAAACAGTGACACCTACAAGCGATAGGTTCGCTGATAGGTGACATTTGGATGTTCACTAAAAACAAGAGTTCAAAGCATTATCACAATGCAGAGAGCTTCTTTTTGACGTCTGTCTGTCTTCAGCCTCAGGAAAAAAACTTAGGAAGGCATTGCAATCAGTGTTTATCTCTCTGCCACCCCTGCATTTTTTTTAAAAAAATATTTAACATAATTGTTACAAAATATAAGCAAAATATTGCAAATACATACATACATACATACATACATATTTCAAATAAGCACATATATATGAAAAAAGGAACAAAAGAGAAAAAAAGAAGAAAAGAAAAAAGAAGAAGAAATAAAGACAAAAAAGAAGAAAAGTTGGAAGAATTTTTTCCAAGTTTATTCTACAAATATCTCAATATGAAAATAATAATAAAATTTTGTTGATTGACTTCCATTGCTTACACTGCACTTCCTATATGCATTTTCAGCAAGAATGTATCTGTTATTCCGTATTTTTCCCATACAATCTCACACAAATATTCTGATCAATAAGTTCTCTAAATCTTTCATAAATCTGTTCTAAACACAACCAATACCTTACATTTAATCCTTGTCTACATAAACAATCATTTAAACATTTTCATTGTTTCTGGATTATATATTTTCGTTTTTGTCTTATCAAATCAGTCAGCCCTGCATTTATTTTATTTTTTGAAGTGTTGCTGGATGCAATTCTATTTTCCCCCAAAGACACCTGGTCATCTGTCTGACTCCAAACACCCACATCAAAGGTCATGGGAGGTTCACTTTAGGAAAGGAGTTGTCCCCACTGGCTCTTGCTAACACAAGCTATCCCCAGCCATAGCTTCTAACCCTAATTGATAAAGTCAGCACCAGGGTTTGGCATGAATGGGCACCTGCCATGGCCTTTGCATCAACAGGAGGCCCTTTGTCAAGCCCCGGCATCCTCTAGCCCTGCTGATCCTTCCCTTGCTGCCACAGCCTGTTCACCTGCCTCTCTTGCAGAGACCAGGAGCAAGGAGAAGAAACAGCAGACTCCACTCTCCTCCCTCTTGCTGGGCCTGGTGGAAGAGAGAAAGGGAATCGACAGGGTGAGGCCTCACTCAGGGCATCTTGCTCAGATGGGCCAGGTCTGTTCTCTGTTCTCCAACAGGGCAGGAGTACAGCCAAGGGAGCTCCAGAGCAATAGCTGGGAAGCAGCCACCATTGTCTCCCGCAGCTCCTGCCACCTAAGGCGGTTGCCTCACTCTGTCAAATGGTAGGGCTGGCCACCATCTGAATCTGAAGGTGGTGGGACAACTGTCAGGATGCTGTCAGCGGCTCCCGGCTGGTTGCCTAGGAAAGTATAAAGACAAGGAAAAGTTTCTTACCGTCCTTTTTTATTTCAATACAGTGGTACCTCGGGTTAAGAACTTAATTCGTTCTGGAGGTCTGTTCTTAACCTGAAACTGTTCTTAACCTGAAGCACCACTTTAGCTAATGGGGCCTCCCGCTGCCACCAAGCGATTTCAGTTCTCATCCTGAAGCAAAGTTCTTAACCCGAGGTACTATTTCTGGGTTAGCAGAGTCTGTAACCTGAAGCGTCTGTAACCCGAGGTACCACTGTATCTACAGAGAGAGGCTCTGTAGAACCCAGCCTCTTGGATAATGGCGATGTCCTGAGTGAATCTCCACTCCCCATCTCTCCCACTTCTTCATTCATCATTCTCACCATCTCCTCTACGGGTGCTGCTACCTGCCCTCTGCCTTTGAGCTCTTTGCTCTCCTACTTTTAACGCTCACCGGGTTTTGGGAGATGGAGGGTCTGGAATGATTTCTAATGACAACGTGTCAGCCTGGTCTTGCTCTGGCTCTCCCATGATTTCCCCACTTCCCCTCTCATCTGCCTTTGAGCTGAGACCTCCCTCGAACTCTTGTTGTAAATCTATACTGTCTTCCTCTTCCTCCTCCCTGGAAGGGTCAGGGTGGGGAGGCAGTCTCCACCATTCCTCGTCTGCCCAGTCCCTGACAATAACCAGCCACGGGGTTGGGTGTGTCATGTGTACCCCAGCTGAAATTAAAGAAAGGAATTGTTTCACTTTTATACCTACCTGCTCCGAGAGTGTCATACTTGCCAAGTGTCTGGTTTTAGGCGGGATGGCCCTGCTTTCTATGAAGGCGCTTCAGGCTCTGCCTTCATCCCAGGGCACCCTGATCTCGTGCACTGGGTGGGCAAGGGTGAGAAGCAGTGGGTGGGTGGGGGCACGAGAAAAGTGGCAGGACGAGTGGGGGGCCAAGTGGGTAAGGGCGAGAGAAGTGGTGGGGCAGCTATGGAGAGCGGAGACAGCACGAGTGGGAGGGTGGAGCCCCACTTTGTCCTCCCGAAATGTTGCAGGATAACTTATGGTCTGTGTGTGTGGTTTGGGAGCTGCACGGACAGGGAAAAAACTATGCTGTCCAGGGTTGTAAAGACTGCGGAGAGAATAATTGGGTGCACTCTTCCCACCTTGGATCAAATTTATGCTTCCAGGTGCCATAAGAAAGCTGCAGCGATAGCGCAGGATAGTGCGCACCCCGGAAATGATCTCTTTCAGCTTCTGCCTTCTGGAAGAAGGTACAGGGTTATAAAGACTAGGACTAGCCACCTGAGAAACAGTTTCTATCCAAATGTGATTTTGGTTTTAAATGTAGTGTAAGGAGTCTCTACGGGAGTATATTTTATTTTAAAATGGGGTCTCAGAGTTTTTAGGGGGCTAACCAGGTTGGGATAGCTGGGATGGCAGGCCTGTTGGTTTTTGAATGTCTTATGTAGATTTTTTCAGTTTTGTTGTTTTGTATGGGACAAAACAACACGGGTGGCGCTGGGATGCGGGTGGCGCTGTGGGTAAAACCTCAGCGCCTAGGACTTGCCGATCGCATGGTCGGCGGTTTGAATCCCCGCGGCGGGGTGAGCTCCCGTTGTTAGGTCCCAGCTCCTGCCCACCTAGCAGTTCGAAAGCACCCTTAAGTGCAAGTAGATAAATAGGTACCGCTTTATAGCAGGAAGGTAAATGGCGTTTCCGTGTGCTGCGCTGGTGCCGGTTCGCCAGAGCAGCTTCGTCACGCTGGCCACGTGACCCGGAAGTGTCTGCGGACAGCGCTGGCTCCCGGCCTCTAGAGTGAGATGAGCGCACAACCCTAGAGTCTGTCAAGACTGGCCCGTACGGGCAGGGGTACCTTTACCTTATGTCGATTTTTTCAGTTTTGTTGTTTTGTGTGGGACAATGACAATAAAGATTATCGTATCCTATCATATCGTAATGTGTGTGTTGGCTTTGTAGCCTGACGCATGGAGAATTGCAGCTTCCACCAGGAGCCTGCTATTCTGCTCAGTCAACAATAACTTATTAGGCCTTATATTATTAATGGGTTTGCTGGAGTGAAGGACTAATTTAATCGGGCCAGGAAGCATGAACAACAGATGGCCAGAGAGATGTTATTTTCAGCAGGCAGTGGAAGCCTGTAGGAGATCTAGCATCCCCCCCAGCAGCATACAGGCATATGATGCGGGTCTTTGAGGATGCTCTTGACAGCCATCGTCACTGTCCTCTCCGATGTTCAGAGCTCCAGGCAGCGTCTTAAAAAAGGAGAAGAGAACAGTTTGTCATTGGTGTTCTGAACTTCACTGCTGTAAAGTCGACACCTCAATTGATTTTCTTTTTTTGGCTGAGGATTATTTGGATGAACTCGAGCCATAAACTGAACTAGTTTGTTTAGCAAAGCGAGGAACGTGATCTGGAATTAGTTCCTTTCTTTCTTTTCTTTTTCTTCTGATATAATGTCTGTTCTTGTTTGGGTTAAACCACAGAGCCTAGGGCTTGCCGATCAGAAGGTCGGCGGTTCGAATCCCCGCGACGGGGTGAGCTCCCGTTGCTCGGTCCCTGCTCCTGCCAACCTAGCAGTTCGAAAGCACGTCAAGTGCAAGTAGATAAATAGATACCGCTCCGGCAGGAAGGTAAACGGCGTTTCTGTGCGCTGCTCTGGTTCGCCTGAAGCGGCTTAGTCGTGCTGGCCACATGACCCGGAAGCTGTACGCCGGCTCCCTCGGCCAGTAAAGCGAGATGAGCGCTGCAACCCCAGAGTTGGTCACGACTGGACCTAATGGTCAGGGGTCCCTTTACCTTTACCTTTACTGTTCTTGTTTGGGCCCTTGGATCGCCTCCAGACGTTGAGGGGTTCTTGCTAATCTGCTAGTAGGGTTTCGAAAGCTGAGAGGGACACACTCCTAAGCAAACCTTGAATAACCCTTGCTGTGATGCAGTTTCTTTTTCCTGCACCACCTTGTATTGTAGCCAGAACTCGCTGACCTTGAAAGCAGCTGAACAGGCGTAATCACCCCTTTGCTCGGGACCAAGGAATAAATTAAAATAGCTTTGTATTTCATCCAGGTTTTATTTGGAGAAGAGCTTTTTAAAAATGAAATAGCAGTCTTTTAAAATCAATGGAAATAATTCCAGAGTCTAGAAAAGACAAGGTTTGCGTACACAACATGCATTTCAAGCACAAGAATGCTGGGGTCTATCGTCTACCCACCACAGAACTACAATTCCCAGCACCTTTAACAAACTACAGTTCCCAGGATTCTTTGGGGTGGGTGGGGAAGCAATGAACCACTTTAAATGTATGGTGTGTATGTAGCCATAGAGAGAAACCGCTTTACCTCATGGTCACGTATCAGGGCTATTCATTTGTAAATGGACGAGTCTCAAGTGAATGTGAAATTGCTTCTCAAAGCTGATTCAGATGGTGAACATTAGGGGTGAAGCACAGGGGCAGAGCACATGCTATGACTGCAGAAGCTACCAGCTTCATAGAATCATGGAATTGTAGAGCTGGAGGGGACCATGAAGGCCATCTAGTCCAACCCCCTGCAATGCAGGAATCTTTTGCCCAACGAGGACCTCGAACCCTCGACCCTGAGATTCAGTGCCCCATGCTCACCTGGCATCTCTGGGTGAGGCTAGAAAAGGCTCCTGAAACCGTGAAGAGCCTTGGCTTTTCAGTGTACAGTGGTACCTCGGGTTACAAACTTAATTCGTTCTGGAGGTCTATTCTTAACCTGGAACTGTTCTTGACCTGAGGTACCGCTTTAGCTAATGGGGCCTCCCGCTGCCGCCACCGCACGATTTCTGTTCTCATCCTGAGGTAAAGTTCTTAACCCGAGGTACTATTTCTGGGTTAGCGGAGTCTGTAACCTGAAGCGTATGTAACCCGAGGTACCACTGTACAGGCAATGGTGAAAAATCTGTGGTTTCTCAGACTCTCTTCCCCTAGCTCTTTTATTTGCGGAGATTTAGCGTGTTTCCACTCAGCAGTTCATTGGGGACTCAGAGATCAGGGTTCAAATCCCCACTCAGCTATGAAGCTCATTGGGTGACTTTGGGCCAGTTACTGTCCCTCAGCCTGGTCTACCTCACAGGGTTGTTTTGAGGGGAGAATCGTGTATACCACCTTGACCTGCTAGGAGGAAAGCTGGGATAGAAATATAATAAAATATATTAAATCAATCAATCAATCAATCAATCAATCAATTTTTATTACGGTCCAGAGACCCAACAAATCGTTACAAAGCAATGCAGAATTCAGACAGCCTACCTCCAAGTTAAACAAGCATTTTGTTCAGACTTAAAGATAGGGATCATTGGTTCTTGCAACCACAGATAAAAACTTCACCACTGCTAATGTTCTAGCGTTTGTCTGGTCTTCCAATAGGAACCTGACATAGTGAGCCTCTGATTTTCCCGGGAAAGGTACCAGCAAGGGTAATATCAGTTCAGCCCTGGCTTGCTCGTATTTCACACAGTGCAGCAAAATATGTTTTATAGAATCGATGTGTTGAGCACACGACCTGCCAGGAAGAAAGCTGGGATAGAAATATAATAAAAGATATTAAATAGATAAAAGATTTGTGCAGTATTCACACAGTGCCATTCTTGTCTAAATGCCGCCCAGCATTTAAATGCTGCCCAATATTTTTTTCCCATTGTCTAGAGTTGTTGTTGTTTTCAGTCTGCAAATGATACACAATTGATAACGGTCCCCTTCCTCACATTTACATTGCTTTTCCTTTGCACTGAAATGAAAGGGGTGGCATAAGAGAATGGCAATGTCATTCTGCGTAATGAATTACGCAATTTCACCGCACAAACAGCAAGACAAATAACGGAGTTTTTTTTATGGAAGTTGACCTGCAGTGGAATGGAAACAGTGCAATGAATACAGGGCAGAATGGAAAACAGTTCCTTCTTGCATCCCTACTGATAAATAACATACACAGAGACACTGGCAGAAACAGTAAATCTGGATAAAATGGGGGGAAATAGGGGAGACATTTTGATGTTGTGTGTGTGCTGCGAAAAACGTGCTTGCATAAAGAGCACTGAGTACACAACAAAGCACCCGTAATGAAGTGTTCCTAAGGAAAAAAGGGTGGGAAGGCAGGATCCTACCCAACTGTCTGCTAAGAAGTCAGTTTGTCCCCAGAGCTGCCCTATGAATACAAATGTGCATTTGGCCCTTATTTTTTAAATTACGTTCAAAACACTATGTCATTCGTGATTGGTGCAATTTAATGTGTTTTAAACCCATTAGGCTACCTGTATTTTATGTCCTGGCTGCTCTGCAATTCTTCCTTGACCTCTTAGGCTCCCGTCACTTAACGCTCCTGACTGCAAGTGTGCTCTAGGGGAGATGGCTGGAATATTTTTGCTGGCTTTTAGAAGTGGGTGGGGCTCCCTTTTTTTGGCCTGAGGGCCAGATTCCTTGGTGGGCAGAAGCTGGCTCTAAGCTTGTGGGACCTTTTGTCAAAACACTGGTTCCCCTCTTACGTGGGCCCAGGTAAGCTTGCTTGATGCATGCAAGAGTTTGGCAATTAATGGGAATCGGTAAGAGGATATATTAATTATATTTAATCCTCTAGAGAACCGTGTGTGTGGGTTAACAGCAAAGGAAAAAAGTCTGAATTCGAAAGCATTCGAGAGCCCCAGTAGCAGAGTTTAAATGCCATTGTCAAGCGGTTTAGTGAAACATAGGAATAGTCTATTAAACCTTATTTATTTCATTCTGTTGTGTGAAGCAGCTGACCCCCTGCAATGAAATAGACTACACAGTGAAGTCAGTTGAAAAATGCTTTACTTACTTATCTGAGGCCACAAACATGCATTGTCCTATGCAGCAGCAATTGGAAATGCAGCTAAAAATATTCTTAGTAGAAATACAGTAAGATAGCTTCAGACATGTGTCTGAAGATAGGAGCCATGTTGAGTCACATCCGCCTCCAATGCTTACAGCGTGGAGAAGGAGGGTAAGGGAAGGAAAGGAAGAAAAACATCACTTCCTCTCTCACTGGGGATGAGGAAGCGTGACCTAACTCTGTGGTCCTTAACCCCTTCATATACTAACTAGCAAAACCATGCAGAGTTATGTTTGACTGCTAAACGTCCCACAGCAACCAGCACTGGGTGGCTGGGATTCGCCATGTTAACTTACTACCATGCCTTGACGTGATGTTATATTACAGAAATTAATATGGTGGCTGAGGGTGCCCAGAGCAGTTGTCGGCACAGCAGTGGGCCCTGCCAGCACATCACACACACACACACACACACACACACACACCAGCAACTGCCCATGGAGGCTTTGTGTTGGGTCTGCAAGCAAAGCAGCTGCATGTCAAGTATTGTGGCCTCTGCGCAGGGAGCACATTTGTAAGAATTAGTAGTGACTTCTGGAAAGTGGATCGCAAGGCTCTCGCCTGCCTTGTTCCACAAGCTCTGCAGCAGCTACCTCTTCCAGCGCTGTAGTGGGTGTTATGCAATCTCAGCTTCAGCAAGCGGGTGATGCAAGTGGCGTCAGCCAGTGCAGCAATTCAGTCAAAAAAACTGCTGGAGCCAGTGAAACAGTGAGGCCAGAAAGTATCGATTGCCTTCCTAAATAAGAATCAAACAGGAAGGGAGGACTTCCTGGCTTTTTGGCCCTTATAAGCTGAAGGCTGAGTGTGAATCTCTAGGGAACCAGAACTGGTCCCTTCAGAGAAAATCTCTGGCTACAGCCTTCCTTGAGCATGAGTATTGTTTTTAAATTTCCTGTAAAGTAATTCAATTCTGAAGAGGCTGGCTTTAAGTAATCAAATCAGAATGGCCCTTTTAACACAGCATCCTGTTTTTACAGTGGCCAGCCAGCAGGACCCAGGCACAAGAGCCCACTCCCCTCTTCAAAAGCATCACTACCTTCTACCATGGAGCCCAGGCAGAGCTACCTTGGCTTCTAGCCATTGATAACCTTATTCTCCATGAGCTTCTGGTTCCAGTTGCTGTTTTACGCTTCGCGATGCCCCTGATGTAGGGCCACGTTATGGGAAATTAGAATGGCAGCTAGACAAATAGGAAGAGCCCTGGTGAATCCAACTAAAAACTCATTTGATAAGACATTCTGTGGCTGGCCCAGATACCTATCGGAAGACTACAAGGAGGTCACTATCGCAATAATGGTAGGGGTCAGGGCCATATTTAGGTTCGATGAGGCCCTAAGCTACTGAAGGTAATGGGGCCCTTTATATGTCCAGCTGTCCTTTGTCATCAACAAATTGTTGCTGTTTTGTGTTGAATATATGCTATACAGTGGTACCTCTGGTTGCGAACGGGATTCATTCTGGAGGCCCGCTCGCAACATGAAAAGAGCGCAACCTGAAGCACCGTATCTGCGCAGGTGCGCAGTGCGATTTGGCGCTTGTGCGCATGTATGAAGTGCAATTTAGCACTTCTGCGCATGTGCGAGCGGCGAAACCCGGAAGTAACCCTTTCCGGTACTTCCCGGTCGCTGCGGGACGTAACTTGAAAGAACGTAACATGAAGCAAACGTAACATGAGGTATGACTGTATGGTAATTTACGGACCTAATAGGTATCTAAAACCATTTGCACATAACAAAATATGTATTTCATCAAATTAATTGTTGAACTGAAATACAATTAAGAAGAAGCATATTAACAGTGAAATAATGATTAAGCTCTAACTTAAAATGACCAGGTGCCCATTACTTACATCATAGGAGCCCCCACAAAACACTGTATGTAGGTTTTATTTTATTTGTTTTGTATCTTATATTTTGGAAATGTATATGCAGTTTTTTCCTCTTTACATTTTTTTGGGGCCCCCAAGAGAGTGGGGCCCTAAGCGATAGCTTGTTTAGCTTATACGTAAATCTGGCAGTGGTAGGGGTTCAGCACCAGAAGTCAGCCAATGGCTCAGATCTGAAAAGAAGTCTTCTCCCTCTTGGCACAGATTCATAGAATCTTAAGAGTTGGAAGGGACCCTGAGGGTCATCTAGTCCAACCCCCTGCAATGCAGGAATCTCAGCTAAAGCATCCATGACAGGTGGCCACCTGTCATTTGAAGCCAATCAGAGTGAAAGGAGGCGAGTTGGTCATTGAGGATTGGATCCTGGAGAAGGTGAGAAGGAAAAACACAAATGAGTTGTTGCTTTGTGTGCTCCAGAGTTAAGAATTTAGCCACACTGAAAACACAAGGTGCTTCCATTTCAGGAGAACGGTGTGCACCTAAAAAAGTAGATCTAGCTGAAAGGCAACACGTGGAGATCTGCATTGACTGGTGCAACACATCCCTAATTATTGTTACTGTATAATTAGATTATTGCCTAGTCTTAGAAGGCCCTCAATAAACACACGCGACGTAACTGGCTGTGTTCTTAGATAAATAAGGTATACTATTAATTGTATCAGGGACGCGGGTGGCACTGTGGGTTAAACCACAGAGCCTAGGACTTGCTGATCAGAAGGTCGTGGATCAAATCCCCGCGATGGGGTGAGCTCCCGTTGCTCGGTCCCTGCTCCTGCCAACCTAGCAGTTCGAAAGCATGTCACAGTGCAAATAAATAAATAGGTACCGCTCTGGCAGGAAGGTAAATGGCGTTTCCATGTGCTGCTCTGGTTCGCCAGAAGCGGCTTAGTCATGCTAGCCACATGACCCGGAAGCTGTATGCCGGCTCCCTTGGCCAATAAAGCGAGATGAGCGCCACAACCCCAGAGTCGGTCACGACTGGACCTAATGGTCAGGGGTCCCTTTACCTTTACCTTTATTCATTGTATCAAATTGTAAATTTCAACAGAAGTAACTCATAAAGTTCAACAAACGAACAAAGCAGAAGACCCAGTGGTCAGATCATTCTCCAGTCAGTTCAGGCATAAGGTCCATCCGTGTAATGGTGTCTATTCCACCTGTCTGTTCATAAAGTCCACACAATCCACATGAAAGGTTGTTACAGTTCCTCAAAATCCTATCACAGAGTCTAGACAAGGATTTCCGGAATATTGGCCTTGTTTCGCCATCCTGGGCTTCATCAGTAGTTAAAGCACATATGTGATATTACAAGACAGTGGATCTTATGGCATAGTAGTAGCTGTGGACCACTTTATGAGTTACTTCTGTTGAAATTTACAATTTGATACAATGAATAGTATACCTTATTTATCTAAGAACACAGCCGGTTACGTCTCGTGTGTTTATTGAGGATGCTTTACGTGACCATAGGTTTGTTTGTTGTTGTAATCCTAGAAGGTTGCATAATCTTAGGAGCAGGCCTGACTGTGGCTATTGTGAAGGGACCCTTCACTTGTGAATTTGCCAGTACACTCCTGGCTGTGTGAAGAAGACACAGCCAAATAAAAGTTAATGGTGGAGGGAGAACAGAACTGGTGGTGTCCCGGCTGGGTCTCCCTGGGCTCTGGAAGCTGCCCGAAAATGCCAAGTGGTAGTTCTGACCCCAGAAAGAAACACACCTGAGCCACACTTCATATTGATGCTTCTTGCCAGATATTTCAGTGCTATTGCCTGCTGGGTGTCATGATCTCCTCTCTAGGCTTCTCCACTGAGCTCTTGTTTTAGTGAACGACCCCTCTTTTCTTCCAACACTTTCCTCTCCCAGATATCTGGGGAAGACGAGGAAACAAAACAAGTACGCATGTTGCATGGAGGGGAATCTTGGGGGATTTTAATGAAACACGGCAGACCCTTTTGAACTGCTTCTTAGAACTTTGGTTTTCTATTTTTTTTTTATAAAAAAAGCAGAAAGAATACCTGCCCGGTCCATTTAGGAAATATTAGCCTAAGGACCAAAATAAAAATAGAATAAACCTAAATGGGGACCACCCATACCTGCTACTGAATCAGCATGCGGCTTGGGTTTTCTTCCCCCTTCAGATCCACGAGAAGGAAGAGGAAGAGCTTAACGAGAAGAGTGAAAATGACTCTGGTATTAACGAGGAGCCTCTACTCACAGCAGATCAGGTACACAATCTTCCCTTGGCCTTTCCTGTGTAAAAGATGGGAAATTCTAAGGCACCTTCTGCCACCCGCTCAGCAAACGTGCTCAGCCTTTACCGAAGAGCGGTGTTTGCCCTTTAGGCAACCCGCTTTCTTTCCAGGCTCAGCAAATCTGCCTTGAGAAATTGCTCACAATGGTGGCTGAAGAGCAGATGGAGATTTATGGGCATCTCGAATGCTTTCAGAGGTCAGCTTTGCCATGCATCCCCCTACATTGGCTGCAGAGCAAACAGAAAACATGTACAGGGTTGTCACCACACGGCTAACCTGTAGTCCCCAGACCATCTAACAGCTGTCCAAGATTTCAGAATAAAACAAACCCCTGTGTTGCAAAGAGAACGTCAGCAATGTCTAGGCAACATGATGACCATATACAAACGCAACAGACAATCTTTATAGAATTCCTTCAAAGCATAACAGTACAAAGACAAGCTGTGAAGCTTTGTGTATTCAGCAAATATGATGTCCAACACTGAACAGTGATTCCGGATATTGACTGCTGTTTCGTAGAATTCTTCATCAGCATGGTGGGAGGATATAGAATTGCTTCATTAACTGAAAATAAAATTTTACAGACGATGACCTGCATGCACATATCACTTTACAAAAATTATAAACTGTAATACGTACATGCTATAATAAGATGGGTTTCACAGCTTGTCTTTCATCGTACACAGTCTGGTACCTCGCTTCAGTTAAAGATTTTCAGAGACTTTGAGACTAAAGATTTCATTTTGTACTTGTTAAGGCTTGAAGGAATTCTATAAAGATTGTCTATTGCGTATGTACATGGTCATCGTGTTGCCTAGACATTGCTGACAAGATTTCAGAATGGCATCTCTTCATGGAGGTGCTGGATATTAAACCTGAGACCTCCTGCATGCAAAACAACCCTTCTGTATGTGGCGTGAGAGGGCATTGTCTTTGCCTCAGGCGGCAAAATGTCTCGGGTCATCCCTAGGAGTCCACAAATCAGGCAATGGAACATTTTTAAAAAACAAAAACAAAGGGAAATTCCATCCTGCAATTCTTCCCAGGAAGCCCTGGCTCCTAACGCTGAGAATCCTCCCTGCTCAAACTAGCCAGTGGTTTTCAACACCACCCCTTTCTCTCATCCTTCACCCATCACAGTTTTTGGAGGAAAAATTCCTCCCCAAAATCTTTAGATCTCATATCTTCCGCCTGTGGCCTTGGGGGCACTGGAATATGGAGAATGAGAGAGAGCATGCGTGAATTACTGTATTTTTTGCTGTATAAGACTCACATTTTTTTTAAAAAAATAATATTTATTAAGAATTTTAGAATTACAGGAAAAACAAAGAGAAAAAGAAGGAAAAAAACAAAGAAAAAAGAAACAGCAATCAAACAATACAAATTAGTAAAAATCAAAATCAAAAAACAACAACAAAACACATAACACATCACAATCAAGAAACAAAAATAAACCACAAAATTTTTAAAAAACAAATCCAATATTCTCAAATCCTTAACTGTCGTTACCTTATTTCATCGACCTCCTCACTCCTCCCTTTTTTGTATTCTAGTTATTAATTATCACAGCAAATCCTTTTCCATTTTTCATAATATTCTGTCATTAAATTACCTTAATCTATTTTAACCTCATCTTACTATAAAAAAACCCTAAAACTTAAAACTTAGATCTTATTTATACCAATTTCTCATAACCATAGCATATTCTTACATAGTTCTTTTAACATTTCTGCTAAAGCCAAATAATTTCGTTCCAACATTTTTCTAACATTCATCAATTTTACAGAACAATCCTAATAAATTTTTTAAAGACTTTCTTCCAATCTTCATCCAACGTCTCTTCCTCCTGGTCCTGGGTTTTGTCAGTCCTTTCTATCCCATCCATCTAGTTCATTAACCTGGTAATCTTATATCCGAGGCTCTTAAGTCTCTTCCATGTCCCTTCCGCAGATCTTCTTCATATTTATACCTGTACTTTACTTTGTCTCCTGCTCCTTTCACTCGTGGAAACTTCAACTTGACAGTATTTTTGTCCCTTCTCAACAGATCAGCCCCTGATATAGTCCACACTAAACTCCATGTGGTATTTAAAGACATGTTTCAAGGTCCCTCCAAAGTTAAGGACCCCCACAACTCCAAACATCTCACGGCCCATTGCCAGACTTGAAAAGTCAAAACGTCCCTGCATAGGGGGTCTATCCAACCCCCCATTTCCAAACCCAACAAAACTCTATCTCTCCAAGTCTGGCTTTTTCCAAGTTCATTTGTCAAATCCAACAACTCATGTTCCTGCTGGGCCACTGCTTCCTCCATCTCTGCCACCCGAGGTCTCGCAACAACCTCCTCCCTCGTCTGATCTGTCAGAGCACACTCCTGAGTTGGTTCCTGGGTGGGTTCTATATAGGTACCCACTACCTGTCCAAAATTTCTGATCGCAACAGTCATCAAGTCCGTCTTCTCATGTAACTGTTCCAATAAGGCACTTGTTTTGCAGAAAGCATGTACCAAAGCTTCTGAATACATTGTCATGCAAGGTCAGAAGTCTGTTCCCACGATCTTAATCTGCAGCTGCAAAGCTCCCCGGTTAAAATTTAATAACAGTTTCACAGGCTCCCTCTAGGGGAAGAACTTCTATTTGTATCCATCTCTTTTCTTTTTTTTTCTTTCTTTAGAAGGCAGGTCTAACAACAAAGTTTCCTTTTCCAGATATTTTGTCAATATTTGTTCCTTTAAAATGCGAAGGGGAACAGTGGAATCACTATGTTTCTCTTCTTTTAACTGTCTGTCAAAAACGTTTGTCTATAGTCAATGAACTTCCCAAAAAACATCAATCCTGACACCCCGCTCCCAGGTTCAAGACGGTGGAAAATTACTTTTCTTTACACACTCTTCTGCAGGTTTAAACAGTCCGGAACCCCCCCCCTCTTCTCCTGCTTCCGAAGGGGGTTCAACAATTTTAAATGATGAAAGTTAATCCTTTACAAACAATTTTCTGAACTCTAGTTTGCCATGTCTTTGCTTTAATCTATCTACAAGAAACGGAAGGCTGACTTCCTGTTTAGACCTTCCCGTTTCGGTGCCAAATTAAGAAGAATTTCTTAGTCCAATTTTCCGTTCTACTCACAAGTCGTTATTTAAAGTCCAATTGTCCAAATTTAACCTACTCACGGGTAGTTGTTTTATAGCCAAATTGTCCCAGGAAAAAGGCAGCGCTCTCCGGCAACGGCTGTGCGGCTTCGCTCCACGGAAGAAGCAGCTGACTCTCAGCACCGCGCCACTTGCCCCTCTTCGCTCTGGAGCCCATAGCTGGGTTCCTTTACGAGTTGGGGGGGCGCGAAAGGTGCCCGCCGAGTCCCATGGTCACAGGCTTCATCTGCCTGTGATTTTTTGAAGGGTCCCCGCTTCGCCGTAGCGGAAAGACCCGTTTTCCGTGGAGCCGGTCCCTCCGGATCAGAGGGGATCTGCCATTACCGATGGCGCCACCCTGGAAGTGTCATATAAGACTCACTTTTTCCCTCCTAAAAAGTAAGGGGAAATGTGTGTGTGTGTTATGGAGCGAATGCAGGCTATGCAGCTATCCCAGAAGCCAGAACAGAAAGAGGGATTGCTGCTTTCATTGCACAGCGATCCCTCTTGCTGTTCTGGCTTCTGAGATTCAGAATATTTTTTTTCTTGTTTTCCTCCAAAAACTAGGTGCGTCTTGTGGTCTTGTGCGTCTTATAGAGCGAAAAATACGGTAGTATGTGCGTAGAAACAGCCTCAGCTGCCTGTTGACGCAACATTGCTATAGGATAAAAGGACCATCTGAACAGCTTCTAAAAATAAACACGGACCTGATTGTAGTGTAACGCTGTGTTGTTGGGTATATTTTGCCCGGGTATAAATGTGACAATTGAAGTAAATGCACAAAAAACGGCTTCTGTCTTTTTCTTGGGAGTGCATGAATGACACAATCACTGCCTCTTTCGCCAGCTAACTAGGAAGCTTATGAGGGGTGTGCCATCACCCCTCAGGAGCAGAGCGCATCCTTTGTGTGCAAAAGGTCCTGGGTTCAAACCACGGCATTTCCAGGTAGGGCTTGGAGAGACCCCTCTCTGAGACCCTGGCTAGCCACTGCCAGTTACTGTAAACCTGGGATGGAGAGCCTGGGGTCATCCAGATGTGGCTGAATTACAACTCCCATCAGTTTTGACTATTGGCCATGAAGTCTGGGCCATGTAGCCACATCTGGAGGACCACAGGTCAGCCCATTTTAAAAAAAGAAGTTTAATCAGTCACCGATCTTTGCTATTCTTCTAGCTTCCAAGTTCTGTCTTGGGAAGCCTCTAAATGCTTTCAGCATGCGGAGTTGAAGATTCTTGAAGCAGTAGGAGATGGGAAGGGGCTCTCTCTGTCTGAGACCCCAGAATATCACTGCCAGTCAGACCTGGCAATACTAGATTAGATAGACAAATAGTTTAATCTCATATAAGGCAGCATTCTTTATTGCTAACAAACCTCTAAGAGGGGTTGGGTAAGACGCTTTACAGTCATGGGGTACTGCACAATGCGGTCTGATAGATTTTTTATTTACTTCATTCAAGGATCACAGGGTGGTTTACAATATAAAGACACAAAAATACACAACATAGTAAGATTTAGAGTTGGTGCTCATGCTAGCTGTTAAATTTCACACCGTCTTTCCCCCACAGAATCCATATACTGTGGTTCAGTGGGATTCTTGCCTTTGTCTCTAGGGTTTGAGGAGTGAGTGAGTCGGTCATTAATATCGGGAGCTTATTCCATACTGAGAGGCTTTCAGCTGCACCTGAGAATTTCTGTTCGTTACCATGGCAATGATACTCCATTTATTGAGCGGCTGCAATGACCCTCTGTTCCAAGTGGTGTTTTCTGCAAGGAATGCAAGAGACTTATTTACTTTTGAAAGATGGCGGCCTTGATAAGAAAAAACAAAAACAAGTGATCGATGGAGGAGAGCCTTGTTTCTTTTCCATGGATCCATTCCAGCTCTTAACTTTGTTTTAGGAAGGGCAATGCTGTTAAGAGTGCCAAAATATTTGAAGAAGAAAAGCCGTAGAGCGTTTCCCCCTAAAGTCTGGTTGTAATCCCTGTTGGATTGCTATTGGGTCAACCTTGGGATCCAACCACCAGACACGTAGGTGTCAAGAGACATCCCGCAGGAACAATTAGGAAGTGCACTGGGAATTGGCAGGTAGCCAAGTAATGGCCGCTAACTGGAAATCTTCCAAACCATTTGATAGATAGCAATGGTGTAGTAATATTTGGGAGAGACTATGCCTAACAACAATCGCACATCATAAAAGAAGGAAGAAGGGCAAGCAGCCAATACAGTTTGCATTATACATTTCAAGCCCTATGATACTGCTTTAAAGAGGCATGGCTTCCCACAAGGAATCCTGGGAAGTGTAGATTGTTAAGGGCACTGAGAGTTGTTAGGAGACCCCTATGCTCCCAGAGCTGCAATTCTCAGAGTGGTGTAACACTCAATCCCTCTTCCCAGAGAAGCAGAAAGATGAACACAATAACAACCCACGTGTGGGTAATGAATTTTGTGCAAATAGTTATCTCATCATGTCAAAGCATGCTTCTTGTTTTAAAATATTGGCAGCACGGTGCTCATCAAGGATATTGCATATTTCCTAAAGTGTATCAGGGTGACTTGTATCTTGCTTATCTCTGTAAGGATTTGTGGTCTGGAGGGAAGCTGGAGTGGAAAGGTCAACAAAGAGTAGCTCGGACAAAGGATCCAGGCTAGAAGAGGGCCTGGGGTAGAACCCTATTGGTTCCTTGTGTCACCTGATTCCTCTTGACTCGGTAGCTGCAATACCACCTTCTGGCCATGTGAAATGGTGCCACTGCAGCACACTAGAGGGCAGCCTATCAGCAAGCAGCTTCAAGGATGGGGGTAGGGCTGATGGAGTTGTTGTCCAGCCACATGTGGAGGCAGCCTGGTTGGCAAAGTCTGATGTGGAATGCTAGGTTCCTCCATGGCTCAGTACCCAAATACGCATTGAAGTCTGCTCCTTAATAGTCACTCAGTGGCTTTTAGAATTGTGTACTATGCCTTAACACATCTGGGTTATTTTGAGATGACTGGATTGTCCCTAAGCATGTCCATGATTCCCAGTTTCTCTTGGGCGTGCTCTCACTTTTCCTCCATGTTCTCCCTCCATTTTATCATCACAACCTGTGAGGTAGGGCATGTTATGTTCAGAGATTGTGACTGAAGGTGAGCCAAAGACGATTTTGAATTTTTTTTTTTTTGGGGGGGGGGTATTTTCAATCTCTTAGATTGTAAACTTATAAAGTGTAAAAGACCTTGAGTGTTTTGAGCAGGAAGGTGGCATACAAGTGTAGCAAATACAGTAAATGTGTTTGGACATGGTTGTTTATTGCATCTGTGTGTGTTCACGCTGTGACCTAGATGATTCAACTTTCATCAACGGTATTTAAAGTGCCTTAATAATAATAAAAAATGAATGGCCCCTATAAGGTACATTTGCCTAAACTACCCAACAGGTACACTGAAGAAAATGTATTCTTGCCGAGAAATTTAAACATCAGCTAACATTCCATTTTGTCTTGGAAGAAAATAAATAATACACAGCATTTTCATAATGAAATTTAATGTCTTTCTTTCTTTCTTTCTTTCTTTCTTTCTTTCTTTCTTTCTTTCTTTCTTTATGCACTGAAGCCAAACATAATTCTTAAGCAGTTAGTTCTTTTTGCAGGTGATTGAAGAAATCGAGGAGATGATGGAGAATTCACCAGACCCTGAAGAGGAAGAAGATATTTTGGAGGAAGACGATGGTGGAGAGACCAGCAGCCAGGCCGACTCTGTCCTTCTACAAGAGATGCAGGCGCTGACACAGACCCTGAACAACAACTGGTCCTATGAAGGTGAGGACATTTGGGTCTGGGCTATAAGGTCCATGGAGGAAGATCTGCTGCTTTCTTAGGGACAAACTACACGGCACATTAGCTACTAATCTGTACCTTTAAGTCTAGGGTTTCTTTACACAAATCCCGACCTTTATCACTTTATCCACGACAATGGTCCCAATCTGGATGCTGCCCCCACCTGGAATTTGCAAGGGGGGGGGAGAGAAACTCTCACCCATATGATACACCATAAAGCATTCTTTAACCACTTTAAATAGCCATGGCTTCCTTCAGTGAATACTGGGAACTGCAGTTAAGGGTGCTGACCTTACATACCTACAATTCCCAGCACCCTTAACAAACTATAACATGGTAAAAGAGTGCTTTCAACGTATGTTGCATCTGTGACCTCCATGAGGCATCTACAGGAGATCTGATCACAGATCCCCAACGTCTTGTCTCCTTTGACCTTACTGTAAGATTGCCTCCAAGTCTCCACTGGTGTTTCACTTGCAGCACAGACCTTTGAAGAGGAACATAGGAAACTGCCATGTTGTAGACTGTAGTTTGTCTGGTTCCGTATTTCTGTGCTGGCAGCAGCTCTCTGGGGTTTCAGGCAGGGAGACATTTCCATCCCTACCTAGCGATGCCAGGGATCAAACCTGGGAGCTCCTGAAGGTGAAGTAGATGCTGTCTACTGCTGAGCTGTAACTTGAGTGACAGTGAGGCCTGGTGCAGCCAGAGCCAATGATAGGTAAAGTAAAGGTAAAGGGACCCCTGACCATTAGGTCCAGTTGTGACCAACTCTGGGGTTGCAGCGCTCATCTCGCTTTATTGGCCAAGGGAGCCGGCGTACAGCTTCCGGGTCATGTGGCCAGCATGACTAAGCCACTTCTGGCGAACCAGAGCAGCACACGGAAACGCCTTTTACCTTCCCCCCAGAGTGGTACCTATTTATCTGCTTGCACGTTGACATGCTTTCGAACTGCTAGGTTGGCAGGAGCAGGGACTGAGCAACGGGAGCTCACCCCGTTGCGGGGATTCGAACCGCCGACCTTCTGATCGGCAAGTCCTAGGCTCTGTGATTTAACCCACAGCGCCACCCACATCCCTCCAATGATAGGTAGAGCCAATGATAGGTAGAGCCAACTAATTCTGGTTTTGTCTCCACCTCCCTTCCTCCCAAGTTCTTCAAGGGCAACAAGGAGGAGGATGCTGAAAACCAATGCCACATCCCAACTGTTTGTAAGTGCTTGGAGGGCAGTGTTCCCCTCTCCCCAATGGACAAGCCTTCACTGCAATGAGCAACACTCAGTAATGCATTCCACTGATCTGGATGCTGATTCTTTTCCCCTGTTCACTGCAAAGCGGTGGGGTGTCCTCATGACAGCTCCGTTCTTGTGGAATATAGCAGAACTGCATACAGGTGATGATGTGTTTCTTTTTATCATCAGTATGCAGATGACACCCAGCTCTACCTCTCTTTTAAATCAGAACCAGTGAAGGCAGTGAATGTCCTGTGTGAGTGTTTGGAGGCGGTTGGAGGATGGATGGCGGCTAACAGATTGAGGTTGAATCCTGACATGACAGTAGTACTGTTTTGGGGGGACAGGGGGCAGGTGGGTATGGAGGACTCCCTGGTCCTGAATGGGGTAACTGTGCCCCTGAAGGACCAGGTGCGCAGCCTAGGAGTCATTTTGGACTTGCAGCTGTCCATGGAGGCACAGGTCCATTCTGTGTCCAGGGCAGCTGTCTACCAGCTCCATCTGGTATGCAGGCTGAGACCCTATCTGACTGCAGACTGTCTCACCAGAGTGGTGCATGCTCTAGTTATCTCCTGCTTAAACTACTGCAATGCAATCTATGTGGGGCTACCTTTGAAGGTGACCCAGAAACTGTAATTAATCCAGAATGCGGCAGCTAGACTGGTGACTGGGAGTGGAAGCCGGGACCATATAACGCTGGTCCTGAAAGACCTACATTGGCTCCCAGTACGTTTCTGAGCACAATTCAAAGTGTTGGTGCTGACCTTTAAAGCCTTCTGGCGGTTCCCTTGTTGCGAGAAGTGAGGTTAAAGGGAACCAGACAGAGGGCTTTATCGGTAGTGGCACCCGCCCTGTGTCATGCCCTCCCATCAGATGTCAAGGAAATAAGCAGCTATCTTATCTTTAGAAGACATCAGAAGGCAGCCCTGTTTAGGGAAGTTTATAATATTTAATTCTGTATTGTTTTTAACACTCGATTGGGAGCTGCCCAGAGTGGCTGGGGAAACTCAGCCAGATGGGCGGGATATAAATAATAAATTATTATTATCATTATTATTTAGCATGAGCTCAAAATGTCCAGTTTATGCTATGCTTTAACACTGGTTTATTTATTTGTAGGCTACCCCATCTTTAGAGCCTGGGGTGAGTTACAGTTTTTCAAAACAAGCAATAAAGCAAATGAAGATGGGCACAAAATGCCCTGTTGAGTACATAAAACCACATGACAAAGCACCCAAACTTAACCCTGGGTGCTAAAAGCCCAGCTAATTAAAAATGACGAAGAAGAAAATGTGTTGCAATGATTCTGAAATCGGTCTGGCCTTGGGTTGCAGTAGGTTTGTGGAAGGGAGCCTAGCCACTAACTCATCTCCCGGGATACATAAGCACATTTTAAAACATTGGGGGTCGTGCTTTTCCAGAACATCCTCCTTTCCCTTTTCACATGTAGACGGTTTGAGTGGGTACATTGCATCTGCATGCTCCAAACACACAACTTAATTTCCAGATCTGGACAGATTTGGTACCTGTTTTCTGTAGCATTGGGCAACAGTGGCGCCCTGGACCTGTTGTTCAGGGCTTTGTAAATTAATATAAGGTTTGCTGAAGGACAAGAAATCTTGGGGGGGGGGGGCCTTCATAGGGTGGGGAACCCCCGAAACAGTCCAACGTGGCCTAAAGCATGTTCAGTGGGCATGGAATGTGGATTGACTGATAGGGTGGGGTGGAGACAGAAAACCAGACAGGAGGGGAAATTGAATGGAGTCTCTGGAAGAGGGAATGGCTGGCTGGCTCCCTTCAGCGCTGAACAAGAGCACTCTGCACACCTGGCAATGTTTTGTTGCAGGCACATGTTTTAGTCTAATTACGGTAAAACCAGCTTCAGAATACCACCCTGCATAGGGCTGCAATGTATAATGGATTGCTTCAAGTCATCTATCCCAAAAGCTTTTAAGCAACTTAAAAAGGAACCTCCAATTTATCATGCCACATGTTTTGGGGTTGCTGTTTTATTATTGAAAAACGAGCATTTTTTATAATGTAAGTTGTTACAAAAACTCCAGGTGGCATGCACCGTGTTGTTTTTCCGCATGGGTGGGAGAGAATGCCTCTTAGAGGATGATGTCGCCCTACTACAACACATGTGGTCAACAGTATCAAAAGCCACTGGGAGTTCGAGGCGAATGAGCAGGATCATGCTCCCTTATCTCTCAAATGTAATCAACATGGGCAGCCAAGGCAATTTCAGTGCCATGACCAGGCCAGAACAAATTGAAATAATCAGTTTCCTCCAGGCATGCTTAAAGCTGGACTGCTACCACCTTCTCATGCACCTTGCCTGAAAAGGGGATATTCACCATTGGCCAATAGTTGCTTTGCACTTCTGGGTCCAGGGAGGTTTTCTTAAGGAGTGGGTGCATCACTGCCTCATTCAAGGCAGATAGCACACACCTCTTCTCCAGTGAAGCATTGGTCATTCTCTGAAGCAATTGATTAAAATTTTCTTTAATCAGGTTGCAGCCCTGCTTCTGCAGCCCTAAAATGCAAAATAATGAGGGCTGCATTAATTAGTTACAGTGCAACACTGCACATGTCGACTTAGGAGTAAGTCCCAGTGTGTTAAATGGGTAAAGGATTGCAGCCTTAGATGGACTAGGTAATTTTTTGATTGACTAAGTGGAGCAGTTGATTAAATTTATTTTTTAAAAATTAATTATGTCTAAAAACTGTAGGTGATGCCCCTTCACAGATGTTGCCTGCTGTGTATGCTTTTCCTCCATCAGAAGTATTCTTTTTTCCATATTCACATATTTATTAATATCCATTAATTTACTAAAATTCCTAGAACGAGACTGCAATCCTATACACACTTATCTGGGGATAAGTTCCACTAAGCTCAGTAAGGCTTCCTTCTGAGTTGACATGCATTTTTTTTTGAGTGACAGCCCTAGAAATAACGCTTTGCATTAGTAATGCTTAGCATTTATAACGGTATGCATTTATATAGTGCTTTGTGAGTGTTCAGATTAACACTTAGCTTTTATATAGCGCTTTGTGGGTGTTCAAAATAATGCTTAGCACTTATGTGGCGCTTTCTGAATGTCCAAATGGCGACTGTCTCAGTACATCCTTATTACTTCCTTTGACAATGCAGCCCACTGATGTGCTAAGTTGCTTAAACATGCATGTCTGCCTCTTTCCATCCTTCGAAGGCTTGAAGCACATGTCCGTCTCAGAGCTTTCAGAGCTCCTGGATCGCGTAGAAGTTGCTATCCGGGACTACTCCGAAGAACTGGTCCAGCAGCTGGCTCGCCGGGATGAGCTGGAGTTTGAGAAGGAGGTGAAGAACTCCTTCATCACGGTGCTGATTGAGGTCCAGAACAAGCAGAAAGAGCACAGAGAGGTGATGAAGCGAAGGCGGAAAGAGAAAGGGCTGAGCCTACAGAGCAGCCGAATAGAAAGGGCAAGCCAGATGCCTCTCAAGGTGGGCAAGGAATGAAAAACAATGGTTTAAGATGGAGACAGGCAACATCTGGTCTGTTGAGGAGGGCAACATCTCAAGGGTTGATGGTGGGCAGGTTAGGGTAAGGTGCGAGGTGAGGATATTTATAGTAAGAGTAATAAAAAGAAATTGTTATTTAGGGGAATTGAATTTAATTCTAAATTATATTTTGGAAATGTGGGAGATTTCAAGGGGTCAAAAAAAATGGATGTACCATGCTATATTAGAAGCCAAAAAACTTGTTTTGATGAATTGGAAGAGCCGCAAAAAGATTCCATTGAGCACATGGATTGATAATATGGACAGATTAGCTACATATGAACAAATTGCATGTTGACGCAGATTAAGAATGGATAAATATGAAGGAATCTGGAATGAATATTTAAGCGATAAGGCGGATAGTGGTGGGAAGTGGGGGGAGGAGAGAGAGGTGGGAAAATATTGTTAAAAGGGTGCAGTCATAGGTATATTAGTGTATTTAAACCTGAATTGTTGAATTGTGTTATTATTGTTATTATGGTTGCCCCTCCAGCAGATATCATGCACATGCAGCCCACTACCAAAATCAGCACAATCACTTTTGTGACTTTTGTGATTTGTCCCCACAAAACACTTCACTACAGTTTCTTCCTATCTATTCAAAGGGCCTTTGCTGCATGATACCAAATGTAAGAATTCACTGATAAATGTACCGTATTTTTCGCCCCATAGGGCGCACCGGCCCATAGGGCGCACCTAGTTTTTTTGGGGGGGAAATAAAGAAAAAAAATTATTCCCCCCCCCAGGTGCGGGGCTGGGGCGGGGGAAGCCCGAGCTTCCCCCAACCCCAGCCCCCAGAACAGGCTGCTATCCGCAAGCCGTGGGAGAGCTGCACGAAGTGCGCACCAACCCCTCTCGCTCTCCAGGCTTCAGCGAAAGCCTGCATTCACCCCGTAGGACGCACACACATTTCCCCTTCATTTTTGGAGGGGAAAAAGTGCGTCCTATAGGGCGAAAAATACGGTATCTATGTACTGGCTCACTGGGAAAACTTCAGAAATTCATATAAACATGTGAGCTCAGCTACTCAGCAGCCCCTCTGCCTGGGCGATAATTCCTGGCATCCTGATACCTGAGTGCCAGACAGGTAGCCATTCCAGAAATAACAATCCCAGATGAAGACAAAAGCGTGAGATTAACTTGGCTGGGAAAACAGGGAAATGTAAATATCTTTTTTGTTACACTTGATGGGTGTTTGGTGGAGGGCAAGGAGAACCATGGGGCAGGGTCTAGGATGCTCAGATGACTGCCACCAGACCTCCCCTTTCATGATGTAAGCATGATGTATTAGTGATGTAATTTGGGGGGGGGTGTAACATGGGGATTAGCAGCTAATAAAAGTTTGGGTGCTCTTTTGTTCGGGGCTTCCATCTTGTTCCACCTTGTGGCAGGTGGGAGTCCTGTCGTGACAGTCTTCAATAAAGACCAAGCCTACTGGCTGCTGTTTTGCTCTGGTATTCCTGGCTGGTGTCCTTGTTTTTTGTCCAAGGGAGCCCTCAGATTTCTCCGTTAACATGTGTAACTGTTTTTTCCTCATTGGTTTATTCCTTTTATAAACTTGCTTTGAGGATTTTCACAATCAAATTTTATGAAATAGAAGTAAGGGAAATACATCCTGTCGTAGAAACTTATGGGCAAATCCTAATGTGCTCTGTTTTCTCTTCTCTGTAGCGATTCAGCATGGAAGGCATCTCAAACATTCTGCAGACTAGTATCCGGCAGACATTTGGGAACTCGGCAAATGATAAACAGGTGAGTTCCTCTTCTGAGGAAACGAGACTATTTATTTATATCCGAAAGCATTTCTCAATTGCTTTATATTTTTAAAAAATACATCTAAAAAGCGAATGGAATGGCTGGAATCTAAAGCAGCAGCCCTCACATTGCAACACTTAGTGCATTATCAAGCATGTTATCCCGAAAAAGCATCTTAAAAAGCAGAGACATCACCTTGCCAACAAAGGTCCGTATAGTTAAAGCTATGGTTTCCCCAGTAGTGATGTATGGAAGTGAGAGCTGGACCATAAAGAAGGCTGATCGCCGAAGAATTGATCCTTTTGAATTATGGTGCTGGAGGAGACTCTTGAGAGTCCCATGGACTGCAAGAAGATCAAACCTATCCATTCTGAAGGAAATCAGCCCTGAGTGCTCACTGGAAGGACAGATAGTGAAGCCGAGGCTCTAATACTCTGGCCACCTCATGAGAAGAGAAGACTCCCTGGAAAAGACCCTGATGTTGGGAAAGATGGAGGGCACAAGGAGAAGGGGACGACAGAGGGCGAGATGGTTGGACAGTGTTCTTGAAGCTACCAGCATGAGTCTGACCAAATTGCGGGAGGCAGTGGAAGACAGGTGTGCCTGGTGTGCTCTGGTCCAGGGGGTCACAAAGAGTCGGACACGACTAAACGACTAAACAACAACAACAATCCCGAAAAATGTGTGATTGTTCATGGGGGTGCAAGAATATTTGCTGTGGAGGATTGGCAGACAGGAAAGTGATGCTTTATCTTCCCCATGCCAGATAATTGAAGTGTAATGCCATGTATTGTTTTAAAGAAGCCTTAACATTTTTAAAGTGAAAGTTTGCTGACTAAAGATGCCCTGCTGTACCATTTGTGTTTTTCATCAGTTTGCAACATGTTTATTTTGAGAACCGGCAGCATTTCTCTCTGACCTATGAATTCGTTGATGCTTGAAGCGTCAATCAATTAAAATGGGTATCATGACTCAGCCAAAGCTTTAGAAGACTAAAATGTGTGCCATGGTTACCTTTTGGCTGTTGAAAGCCCTGCTGTTGATGGGCTGACCTGATCCTTCCTGGACTCAGTGGCGCCATTGGGGCAGGATTTGGGGGCAGATGTCAAGGGCATCTGAGCAGAATGAGGAGGGAGGGTCCTCAGACACACAAAGGCTGGATTACAACATTGTGAAGGAAATCGCAGAGCGGGACCCCTTGTACGTTTCCGAGCACAATTCAGTGTTGGTGCTGACCTTTAAAGCCCTAAACGGCCTCAGTCCAGTATACCTAAAGGAGTGTCTCCACCCCCATCGTTCAGCCCAGACACTGAGGTCCAGCTCTGAGGGCCTTCTGGCGGTTCCCCCGCTGTGAGAAGTGCAGCTACAGGGAACCAGGCAGGGGGCCTTCTTGGTAGTGGCACCTGCCCTGTGGAACACCCTCCCATCAGATGTCAAGGGAATAAACAACTATCTGACTTTTAGAAGACATCTGAAGGCAGCCCTGTTTAGGGAAGTTTTCAATGTCTGATGTTTTATTGCTTTTTTATTATTATCATTAATTCTGTTGAGAGCTGCCCAGATGGGCGGGGTAGAAATTAATAATAATAATAATAATAATAATAATAATAATAATAATAATAATTACCATTATGTCCCAAGTGCACTACTGCCTGGACTCCACAAATGCTAACAACCTTGTGTTTGAAATCTTCGTTGAGGCATTCCAGCTTGGGAACAGGACAACTTGAAAGACCATCTCACCTCTTATATACCCAATCCATCACTGTGCTTTTCAAGTGAGCGTCTGCTGCCGATACCATCTTATCAGGAGGGCCCTTGCACACCATATAGGAATTGGGCCTTTAGTGTTGCAGCACCCAGCCTTTGGGATCCCCTCCCATTAAATATTATACAGGTGCCACTTCCAAAGGCTTTTCTCTTCCAACAAGCCTTTGAAACAGAGCTCTTTCCCAACTCACATCTGCATGAGAGATGCTTTAAGATATGTCTTAAAGAATACATTGTTATTCTTTGTCGCCTGCTGTTTGCCATCCTGTGTTCCTTTGGATGAAAGGAGGGGATATAAATGTAATAAATTAAATGTATGAAGAGCCTTCTGATCCAGCAATCTGTGGTCAACTAAGGCCAGAAAGATGTTTCTTTCTGGTAGATGCCTCTGATTTCTGTCCCTCTTGGAAAGAGGATTACTAACTGCCAGTATCATTCCTTTCTAGTATTTGAACACCGTTATTCCCTACGAGAAGAAAGGGTATCCTCCTTCAGTTGAAGACTTACAAATGCTCACAAACAGTAAGTTCCTAGTCTGTCATGTTGGATGCATCTAAACACAACTTTAAGGTCACATGGGTCTTCTTTGGGCCAAAAGTAACCACTGAGCCTCTTGGGCTTGCTGATTGGAAGGTCTACAGTTCGAATCCCTGCGATGGGGTGAGCTCCCGTTGCTCTGTCCCAGTTCCTGCCAACCTAGCAGTTTGAAAGCATACCAGTGTGAGTAGATAAATAGGTATCGCTGTGGTGGGAAGGTAAATGGCATTTCCGTGTCCTCTGGCTTTCATCGCGGTGTCCCGTTGTGCCAGAAGCGGTTTAGTCCTGCTGGCCACATGACCCGGAAAGCTGTCTGTGGACAAACGCCAGCTCCCTCGGCCTGTCCTCATGAGCTGGAGGGGCAGCAGGGCTTTGCTGAGCTGCTTAGTCTCACTGCCTAACAGCTGTTGTGCGGGGTAGCGCAGCAGTAGGTGCTGCTTCCCAGCACATCAGCTGAGTGAGCTCTGCTGTCCTTCCAGCTTGCATGGAGACCCTGCCCAGAGCCTCAAGAGATCCTTCGCATAGTTCATCAATTTTGTCTGCCACTCTTCTTTGGTCATAGTTGTACCATCTTTCCATTTCTGGGCTAACAGAGTCTGCGCAGCTGTAGGTCGTGTACATAAATAGTTTCATCTGGTCCTTTGGGATCTCTGGTCCTATAATACGTAAAAGAAAAGCTTCTGGTTTCCATCAGTGCCTCCGATCACATGGGCTGCCCACCTAAGACCTTTCTCCTCTAGTGTAAGGAGGGCAGCAGGGCTGAGTGACAGGGATACTACGGAGAAGGCATGGCTTAAGTGAGTGTGGCCCTGCTTTTCCCCTTATGCAATTCTAATAATGCTGTGTTTGTATGTGAAAATACCTGTGTAGGGGCTTAAGAGACAGGCATATAAATTGTGCCTGGAGCCATCTGGTTTGAATCTAGGTGCTCAATTTTCTCAGGTTAGTTTTCTGTCAAGACAGTTGTTCATTTGCTTTTTGAAAATTCTACATGTTCTTGAAAATTCATTTTTCTCTGTGTTTGTATTATCAAATCATTTGCACATCTCTCTTTTTCTGGGCTGCTACTTACCACCCAAGCTTCTGTCCACCCCACCCCACCCCCAAGAAAAATAGCATGTTCTAGAATACTTTGCAAGCTTCAAAAGCTATTTCATAAACATCCGAATTCTTCGGCTAGTGGATTTAGCCTCTAACTCTGACTGAACAATTTGTGGAACAAAAATGGAAAGGTTGAGATGTTGTGACAGGCCCTTGTGCATTCTGGGAGAATCATTCGTCTCCTTTTGAGTCTCCATGGCAACTGTGTTTTGAACTGACTGGAACAAACACAGCCTTAGTTCTCTTGAAAAGAGCAAAGTCCTATGAATGGCAGTTTTGTGCACAGAGAGAGTTTTGTGCAAGTGACAATTTGTATCTTGAGGCGAAGCCTTGGCAGAGAGGTTACCAGGGATAAATCTGTGGTCTCCCCCCCTCCAATTAACTGGTGCGCAAAGCAGCATTGGACTGTGATGCAAACATAGGATTTATTTAGATGAGATCAGTTACTGGTCTGGAAGAAATGCCCCTGAATAACATTGAAAGACCAACCAACCTCTCCAAACACAAGCTCTTAGATTGTTGGTATCTAAGTTGCTACCAACAGAGCATGAGATGCCATGACTGACATCTGACATGTATGTTTTACTTTTCCTTCATTCTGGATAGGGATTGGCAATTCTGCCTATTTCCAGTGCGTGTTGCTTTTCACGTGTTTTTACCCATCGTTTTATTCCTTTTCCTTTCCACGTTAATCTGAAAATTATAAAGAACAACAAATATTAAAACACATATTCACTTGCATATTTCAATGCGTATTTCCTCTCAAAATACATATTGAAATAGACGTTTCCTCTCAAAATAGCCGTTCAATCGTGTTTTAATAGGTTTGAACTTTCAAGAACTGTGTTACAGCTAGGGATGAGCAAATCGGTCAGCTGAAGTTTCTCTCAGGTTTTTTAAAATTATTTCTCCAATCTTATTCGGTTCTCATTTCCACATCTGTCTGTGAATTCCTTTTAAAATCTGCATGAAAATTCACCAGCATTTTAGTGCAAAGTTCTCCAAACATATCCATTTTTGTATGCAATTATGCCTGATGTGGGACATGGGTGGTGCTGTGGGTTAAACCACAGAGCCTAGGACTTGCCGATCAGAAGGTCGGCGGTTCGAATCCCCGTGATGGGGTGAGCTCCCGTTGCTTGGTCCCTGCTCCTGTCAACCTAGCAGTTTGAAAGCACGTCAAGTGCAAGTATATAAATAGGTACAGCTCTGGCGGGAAGGTAAACGGCATTTCTGTGCGCTGCTCTGTTTCGCCAGAAGCGGCTTAGTCATGCTGGCCACATGACCCGGAAGCTGTACGCTGGCTCCCTCGGCCAATAAAGCGAGATGAGCGTGCAACCCCAGAGTCGGTCACGACTGGACATAATGGTCAGGGGTCCCTTTACCTTTATGCCTGATGTGCACAATTTTGCAAAGGAGTTTCTACTAATATAATGCATTTTTGTATTTTATTTTCACTATTTTATAAATGCATATTTTTAAATGCACATTTTGTCTGCATATATGCATTTTTTGTACACATTGCTTGGCTGAAAACCGCATTGAAATATTTTGCACATTTACAATAATGACTGTGTTTTCAGTTCACATATTGTTTTGGAAACTTCAAATTAGGTAGATTCACCTTTGAATGCAAACTGCATTGAATTTCTCCCCCCCCCCCATCCCTCATCACAACATTTGAGAAGTGCAAAATCTATAACACAGCTAACTTCTAACCTGCACATTAGTCCAAGAGGTGAGCGTATGAAGAGTCTTTCTGGAGCAAGACAATTTATATGAGAATTTGTAGAAACTGTATTTCTCAAAATTCTCTAATTTTGGACTGATTTCCTACCCACCGGTGTTGCTCTTAAAAGCTCATTCACATGTCTTAGAAAGCAGCGAAATCTCACCAAGGACTGAATTTAACTGCTATGCTAAGTAAGCCATTAATAGGATTGTCAGTTTTCCGCATTGTACAGGACATCTGTCCCTTCATTAGCTAGGATCAATATATAGCTGCGTACACAGCATAAAACACATTTAAAGCACATGACTCTCCAGGTTGATACGGAAGTGAGCCACCCTTCAGCATGAGCTACTAATTATTATTTTCAACAATTTCTCCCCGCAGTTCTTTTTGCAATGAAGGAGGACAACGAAAAGGTCCCAACGTTGCTAACTGACTACATTTTAAAAGGTAAGCGTCGGCAGCAGCATCTTATACTGAGACAGAGGTCATTGGTCCATTTGAACCAATATTGCCTGTTCTGACTGGCAGCAGCTCTCAAAAGTGTCTCAGGCCCAGAGAGATCTTTCTCCCCATCTGTTCCTTGCTATTTTAAACTGGAGAGGCCAGGAACTGAACCAGGGACCTTTTGTGAGCTATGGCTCCCTCCTTAACAATCAAGGACAGAATAACCTGCTTATACCAGCTTAGACCATTGATCTATATGGTCTAGTATGGTCTACTCCAGGCAATCCCAAACTCGGCCCTCCAGATGTTTTGGGACTACAACTCCCATCATCCCTAGCCTACAGGACCAGTGGTCAGGGGTGATGGGAACTGTAGTCCCAAAACATCTGGAGGGCCGAGTCTGGGGATGCCTGGTCTACTCTGAATCCAACAACTGCCTGCATTCTGAGGTCAAGATCTCTCCCAGGCTTGCAACCTGAATTCTTTTAACTGGGGATACCGGAGTGGCAAGACCAGTCATTCCAACCCAATAAGTTTCTGAGAGATGCTATTCGCATTCACAAAAACTGCACTCATCATCTCGAATTTCCCTGTTCTGCATTGACTTGCTTCTTTCCTTCTTCTTCCAGTTCTCTGTCCTACCTAAGAGCCATGCTCTGAGCATTGTGATGCCAACACAAGACAACAAGGCCAGTGTGTCATTCCACCACAGGGACTGCATGACGTAATGTAAACTTTTGAATTGTGTATTTAAAGATGTATAGCATTAACCTGGATTAAACAGGAGCAAGAGTCTTTCCTTTGCTGTCAATTTCTAGTCATAGTAAACATTTGAATGCATGAGTGAAGGCAAAGGCTGCTCATTTCTCTCTCTCGACCCCCTCCATCTCAGAGGAGGCCAAGCGTTCTCGTTCGCCCTGTATCCTCGGCCCATCTTCCCTCCCCAAGCAGCTATGAGACTAATTTGAATACTGAAATAAACTTTCATTTAATTAAAAAAAAAAGTTGTCACACTTCTTGGAGAGATGGTTTGTCACTAGAAAACCAGAAAATGTACAGCGTTTATAAATATTTTCACAATAATATCAAACATTATTAATGTGTTATCATTTAGCATTTTTAATTTTAGCCCATGATGTAAAAAGCATGTTATAAATGTCTCGGTTGTCAGCTTGGCCACAGTGACAGCCCCTCCTTTCTGTATAATTATCATGTGCTTATATGGAACTTGTTAGGATATTATTATGGCATGTTGCTTGTAATAGGCGGGGGCAGGAGATGCTGTGAATAAAGAATTCATTGAAATCTCATTATTGGGGGGTGGTTGGAGCTGGGAAGGAAGCGAGTGGTGAGTCTTCAATCAGTTTTTGCATCTGAAGCAAAAGCAGGACAGATGGCAGATGCCAAGTACCACTGGAGTCTTTTATCCCATCCTTAGAGTGATCAGAAGAAAAAGAGCATTGCCCGTCACCCCATCATTCCTGCATGACCAACTCAATCTTCCTAAATTGGGTCCTCCCTTAAAGAGGGCATGTATTGCGTGAGACCTGGAAAACCGACACCCTGTGTTGTGGGTGGGTATGATTGGTCAGCCACAACACCCGATTGGTAGGTCCCTCATAGCTGGGTGCAATCTGGCCAATGGGACGCAGTCCAAACGGTTTGAGGGACCTATTTATGCCCATGCCCGTGACCCAGAGCTTCCTCTTTCGGCACGTGCATTCGGAACACCCTCCCACCTCTCCCTACTTTTAGGGCTTTGCGCTTGACCTTGCTATGCCGTCGTGTGTCATCTGTCATTGGGACAGGGGCATGGCAGGAATTTTCACCACTTGGCTGATTGGCTGTTGCCATTTGGGTTTTGCCTGCCACGTAGCAAATTGTCACAACTTGTAAGGTTGTGGATAGGCTCTGGTTCAGGGGATAGGGATGGGAGAATGCTCTCACCATACCTATGTGAAGGGTATTCCGTTAAAGAATCCAGGGACTCGATGGTTTGGTCAACCCCTGAGAGGGGCTTTTGCCTGTGCCTGAGTCCAGGGGGACATTTGGGTGGCAGAAATAGCCTGTTCCCAGCTTTCCGCTTATCTAGGTGTTCACCCTTGGCCGACCTATGCTGGACCCCTGGGTCAGCACTACCTGCATGGCAGGGAGCTAGTCGAACCAGAGCCTATGCAACCAGTCACTTTCTGTAATCAGTAAAGTTGTGGCCTAAATTCTGCCAAAAACCAAAACCAAAATTTGAGTCAAGTGTGAATTTATTTAGGGGGGAAGTTTCTGGGCCTGAGCACGCAGATCCTCTCTCCTACAGTAGATCCCATCCTCCTTTGTGGTCATGCTGGTGACATTAACAAGGCTTAAATCCCTTTCTGAATATTAGCCTTCTGCCGCCTCAATAAATAAAACAGACTTCAGTCTGTGGTCAATGTGCAATGAGCCAAGTGTATCAGTCTTCTCAGTTTTTTCTCCCTATGCATGATTCTGCTCCAGCAAGTTATTCTTCTGAGAATCAATGTTAAAACCAAGCTGGCTTCCCTTTAGGCTTATTTTTGCTCACTGGGCTGTGGAACTAATAGGATGACACTGCAGTGCCTGCAGGTGATGTCTGCTGCAACAAACCACAGAGGAGCAAGGAGCTAAGACCAGGCTGGAACCTGGAACCCAATGGATATTTTTATACTAATAACACCCATCATTATTGGCTGTGGTGAATGAGAGTTGAGGGGGCCACATATTCCCCACTCCTGATATAGGAGTGTCCCCCTCCAATTTTTTTATTCATTTTATAACACAACTAAACAACACAAACAGAAAAACAAACAATACAAACAAATTCTTGTCTTATCCCTATTTTTTTCTAGACATTGTTAGGTGAGCTTCCCCAAGTCCCCCCATCTGATTTTCATTTTACCTCATCTTTAGCAGATTACATATATCATAATTTCTAACCACATTTTTATCACACTTACTTTTACCATAAAAATCTTCACATTTTATCCCTTACAAATAATACTATTTTAAGATACACTATCTTCTACTTCTAACCCTGCAGCCTATAACCACGTCCAAAGCAATTCTAAGATTTAAATATTAACAGATTTTTTCAAATATTCTTTAAACTTCTTTCAATCTTCTTCCACCGTTTCTTCTCTCTGGTCTCGGAGTCTCCCAGTCAGTTTGACAACTTCCATATAGTCCATCATCTTCATCTGCCATTCTTCGATAGTTGCTAAATCTTGTTTCTTCCAGTTCTTCACTAGTAATATTTTCGCAGCTGTTGTGGCATACAGAAAAAAAGTAACACCCTTTTTGGGGATTCCACCCCCCCACTATACCAAGTAAAAAGGCTTCTGGTTTCTTAATAAATGTGTTTTTCAACACTTTTTTCAGTTCATTATAAATCCTTTCCCAGAAGTCTTTTACCTTGGGGCACGTCCACCACATGTGGTAAAAGGTTCCTCCTTTTTCCTTACATTTCCAGCACATTCCTGATATAGGAGTTAAAGGGGTGCAGAGATTCTTTCATGATTATCTTATGTTTGAGGTCGTCAAGGGATGTTAGCGAGTGTCAGTGCAGCAATATACCGTATTTTTCAGTGTATAAGACTAGGGGTTTTTTTTATACCAAAAAATTAGGTTTAAAATTGGGGCTTGTCTTATACATGGGTAGTGTTGAGGGGGTGTTTTCTTAATTGGGAGTCCCCAAAATAGGGGGCGTCTTATACATGGGGGCGTCTTACACATGGAAAAATACTGTAATTATTTTTCTTAAAAAAAAAAAAAAGTTAAAAGCAAAACCACCAGTGGACTGATCTCAGGTGCTCGGTAGGCCCACAGACACCAGCTGCTCACACGTCAAATAGATTTCAGGGAAGATGTCATAAGGTAACGCCTCCCCTGGGCCTTTTTGAGATCAGGAAGCCTACAGGATATTGGAGAAATGTTTGATGAGCATCCTCTATCACACTTGGGGCAGCAGGCTAGTTTAGGGGGCCCAGGACAGGACATGTGGCATGCCTACCTGTGACCTCAGATAGAGAGGACCGACTATCGGACTCAAGGAGAGAAGCCCAAGGGCTGATGCTATTGCCACTATGCAGCATTTGCCACCTGAAGTCCTGTCTCACGCTAACAGTAGGGCTTTTTTAAAGGTTTGTAGATAATGGTTAACTTTAAAATAGTCTTTTAAAAACGGACAATAAGAATTTCAATAGGGATGGGTGAATCTGTCGACTTTGGTTTCTCGTTTCCCCACTCTTAAGGCCAGTTTTCCACATTTCCACATCAGTTTGATTTTTATTTTAAAAAAAGAAAAAAAAGTCCCCATGAAAACTCATCAGCAGTTTTGCCCAAATTTCTCCTACTATACATATTTAGCATGCATTTTTTGCTTAATATAAACATTTTTGTAAAGCATTTTCCCATAATATAATTCGTTTTTCTATGTTCTTTTCACTAATATATGCATCTTAGATTCAGGTAGACAAATCTGAAGAAGTGTGCATGCACATGAAAGCTTATACCAGAACAGACTTAGTTGGTCTATAAGGTGCTACTGGACTTTTCTTTTCTTTTCTTTTCTTTTCTTTTCTTTTCTTTTCTTTTCTTTTCTTTTCTTATTTCATGTGCATCTTATGCACACTTTACCCTAGTATATGCATTGTTGTACACATTTATTGGTTGGAGGACTGTGCTGCAAAATTCAGAGAAGTGCAAATTTCAGAGGATGCTTGAGTTTCAAACTGAATTTCAGTTCCTAGTCTAGGACCTATATTTGCTTCATTTTCACGTCTCTTTCCTGATCATAATGTTAACCTATTTGATCTTCAGAAATAATCCTTTCTCCTGCCTTGAAATTATTGTCAGGTTACTGGCATATTTTCTGACTTCCTTTTTAATCTGACCCCTTGCTCTACTTTCTTAACTCTTTCGCAAAACAGAGAGGGCATAGATGCAGATGGGCAAGTCGTAATCTTGTTTTAAGCACTTAATTGGTTGATAAAGATAGGTGAAGAGTTCAAAGGTGGAAAAAACAGTGGGTTTCTAGGTGAGAGGTAATGCCATAAGGCAAACAGGGTATACAGATCTGCTAGAATCAAAACGATTTCAACTCATATTCTCCTTTTCCCTGCCTCTTAACATCTACGGCACTATGTAGTACCAAATCAAGCACAATAAACACACTTTTAAAAATTAGAAGTATGCTTCAAACTAGTCAGTATTCCTTTGGAGGAAAAGCTATTTATGGACCTCTGATCAGAAATGCATTGAATTGGATTGGAGTCTCATGCTGGTTTCCTGCTTGAAAATCCCTACCTGCTGTTCCCCTCCATTTCCTCAAATAGCACTTCCAGAGTGTTTATTGAGCTGATAGCCTAGGACTTGCTGATCAGAAGGTCAGCGGTTCGAATCCCTGCGATGGGGTGAGCTCCCGTTGCTCGGTCCCTGCTCCTGCCAACCTAGCAGTTCGAAAGCACGTCAAAGTGCAAGTAGATAAATAGGTACCGCTCTGGTGGGAAGGTAAACAGCATTTCCGTGCGCTGCTCTGGTTCGCCAGAAGCAGCTTAGTCATGCTGGCCACATGACCCAGAAGCTGTCTGTGGTCAAACGCCGGCTCCCTTGGCCTATAGAGTGAGATGAGTGCGC